TTGAATACACCAAATAGGACGGTCAATTATCAACTCAAGACTGTGAAATGCTTTATCGTCACCAACTACAACGCTCCAACGATATTTTCGGTTACAGGTTTGAATCAAGTAGACCGGCACACGTGACATCAAGTTTGTCTTTGGCCGAAACAAACCCTGTGCTTACAAACCCTAATTTACCGCCACTGTGGTTTTGGAGGGAACTGCATCTTTCGTATCAATGTGATGATTTCCTGTATAAGTACACAAATTGCTTCACTCTATTTCTTGCCTGTTTTCTTGGAAACAAGAAAGTAGAAGAAACTGCCATGAAGGATATAAAAATTGTTGGTGACAGAGTAATTAAATGCACTTCTCTCCAAGAAGCACGTAATTTAGAATACGTGCAAAACAAAGTATCTTGTCCCAAGATCTATGACTATTACACAAAGAACTCCAAGTTCTACATTGAAATGGAGTATATTCCTGGAAAGACGTTGTGTGATATATGGCCAGAATTGAGTGAAGAGCAGAAACAGATTGTTACAGATAATATTCTAAATGAGTTGAATAAACTAAGAAAAGAAACATTAAACGAAATATGTGGAATAAATAATACTGTTATTGACGACCCATTGTTTGAACAAATGAGATTTAAATCGGAAAAAGAGCTAAACAAACATATCTCGTCAATGGTTCAAACCAGCAAAAGGTCAAATAGATTGATATATGAGGTTTTGCCTACTGACAGCAAAATCTGTCTTTCTCATGGAGAATTGAGCTATAACAATATTATCGTAAGAGAGAATTTAGCTGTGGTATTCATCAATTGGCACTGTATGGGTTTTCTACCTGAGTACTGGGATTTGATGAAAGCTTTCATCTACAATTCCAGTAATGATGAAGTTTCTGCACGTCTTGTATTTCAAGACCATGTTGATAAGAATGCCATAATGACTTTTAGTTATGTTTTGGATTTAGTGATGCTTTCAAGTTCAATGTATAGTGGAGAAGTAGTGAATGAGCTGGTGAATAGCTAAGGATATTATCAGTTTATATCTATATTTTTTTTTAGGTTATAGGATATGTTTCGTTTTTTGCTGCCTCTCATTTTTTTATTCATTCAACAACAAAGGTTACAGAAGGGGAAGTCTCTAATCAAAGAATTATGAAAATCATCATTCTATCCACAGTAGGAATTTAACAATATAAAATCTCAGTGAAATCTAGTTATATTCACGCATAAAACAACAATATGTTTGTACTTAAAGTGAAATTCAGTTAACAATTTATGATCAAAACCATCGACAATTAAAACATATTGACTAACTTCTTGCAAATTTATATTAGAATAAACAATCTTTCATATTTTTAACAACAAATTTGAGATAGTAAACCGGTCCTATAATCTAAAATCAAAAACATTTATAGAAGAAATAGGTTTATTGAACAAGTCTAAAATTTCATTGCCGCAGTAGATAGAAAGAGCTGAAACAAATGAAACGTAGTAGATTAATAGATGTTCAATAAAATTGAGCTTAATAGGATTGATCAGAACAAAACACAAAGGATCGTTCTGGCAAAAATACAATTAATATACTAGAATATTCAATTCAAAGAAGTGCCAAAAACGATAACTAATAAAAATACAAGTAGCCTTAAAAGGTTTTAATTAGTGATTTCCATTACCAATATACTATGCAAAAACTTTTCTAAGAGGCGGTTGTTTGCGAAGTCAGGCATAGTAGTTTTCATTTGTAAAAGTAATGATTAATTAATGAGTGAATAAAAAAGATAAGATTAAAATCAATTTGATAATGTAAAGAAAAAAGAAGTACTCCAAAACAAATAAAAACAATATACGGTGGAAATAAAAACTAAAGAAACAACGGCAATTGAATTTAAAAGAAAACCTAAATAAAATCAAATTAACGCTATATTACTAGTCGTAGCCTATAAATTATAAGCTATTCATTAAAGTCTAGCTTCATAAGTAATAATTATAATATGATGATGCTAACAAAGTTAAGCATTGATGATAGAAATTTGATAGTATTGGAAAATTTAAAACAATCAAAATATTAAAGATATCTAGGATACTAGAATACTAGGATATTGATTGTAAAATTTGCTCTGTTAAATGATAAACATCGTATCTAGAATCATCAGGTTGTATGTGAGCCATACCACTCATTTCTTTGGTTTTTTCATTTGATAGCAATTCACTTGTACTAAAATTCAAAGCTTTAACACCATCCATTATCTTGCCATTGGTTTTAATTAATCTATGAATTTCTGGGTCACCACTCTCTAATAATTGTAATAAAGTCCATAAGGCAATGTGTTCAAAAGTATTATTTTCGGATATTAAAAATCTTATTAAAAACCCTGAAATACCGTCGTTTGGCTGATGCCAATCCTTTATGATATAACTATAATCAGGAATTCTTGAGCATAAATTAGCTAAAGCTGCAGCGGAATTTCCACGAACCTCATCATAGTTGGAAAAAGTTAGAGGAATTAAGACATCAACCAAGTTTAAGTCTAATAATTTTTGTTTTAAATCATCAGCCAATGCTAATATAGCAAAACAAGCAGATATTTCGCTTAAAACAGAACCTTGAGTTTGTAGGACCAAATTCTTACATTTTTGAACTGCACCTGCTTCCAATAAAGCACTTCTATTTTTTTCACTTGAAGCAGCTAGGTTTCTTAGAGTTGAGACCGAATGACACTGAATTTCTTCGGAACCTTTATAGTCCAATAGATCAACTAAGGGCTTTAAGAAACCGGCGTCAATAATTAGGGCTTCATTCATGGGATGTATTGAGATATTTCGAATACAAGCAACAGCAGCTAATATTAAAGGTTGTTGGGTTGATTTTAGTAGAGTAACTAGATGAGGTAAGCCACCAGCTCTGACTATCTCCAATTGATAGGAAGGGTCGGATGCTAAGTTTCTTAAAGCCAAAGTAGCTTGACATTGAACCCTTGAAGAAGGAGAGTCCATTAATTCAACTAGTTGGGAGACCAATCTTGATTCTGTTTGGAATAATTTTTTTCTATTAATCTCATCGACGGCAATATTTGATAATGCGGTTGTGCAGTAGTATTGAACATCTTGGTCAGTTGAGGATAGTAAAGAAACTAAGACAGGTACAGCACCGGCGTTAACCAATTCTTTTCTATTCTCCAAAGAGTGGGTCATGTTCAATAAAGCACCAGTAGCATTTCTTTGAACTCTTAAATCTTTGTTTTTGGCCAATCTTGTGAGAGGGACTAAAGCGCCAGATTTGGCGATTTTAGCTTTATTGTCATCTTGGGTGGCCAAGTTAGTGATACAACCAACAGCGTTGCATTGGACCTCAGTGTTTTGAGATTCCATTTGTCTAATTAAAGGATCTAAACCTCCCATTTGAACGATTAGGACTTTATTATCATTGTTGACGGCCAAGTTGCCGAGAGCAGCACAGGCAGCTCTTTGGACTTCAGGATCGGAGCTTTGTAGTAAAAGTAATATTGGGTCAAAGACTTCTTTGCCAACAGCCTTGACATCTTTTTCAGTTATTTCAGCAAAGGCCAAAGCAGCAGATCTTTGTAGGTCTAAGTTATCAGAATAAACTAGAGTGCTCAAAGCTCTTAAAGGGCCAGGACCAAAAAAATCGATTTCAGTTCTATTTTCTAAGTATCTTAGCAATTCTGTTATAGCTTCTCTTTCGTTTTCGGCCAATAGAGGTTGATTTTCGTCAGAACGATCATCAGAATTTAAACAACTACAGCAAGAGCCCATTGGTAGAATGTATTAAGAGGCTGATTAGAGGTTAATAATTCAAGAGTAAGAACGTGGAATTGAAAGATGGCAAATAGGAAATTGGGATTAAGGGTTACGAATTGAAGATTGCGAATAAGATATTAGGAATTAGGGATTAAGGGTTAAGGATTGAGGATTAAGGATTACGTAGGAAAAATAAGGGATATAAATATGATTGATGATTGATTGAGTTTTAAAACAGAAATTGAATATTTTGTGTTTGGTATTTGGTATTTTGTAATTGGTGATTGGTGATTATGGTTTATTATTTGTTGTTTGTTACTCGGAGAACTAAAGGATTAACTGGCTAGACAATTGGTAGAAGAGAAGATTGAGTGGTAGAACGATTCTTTGAAGGATCAAGTGATTAACTGAAAAGATAAAGAACCAACAAGATCAACAGCTGGACAATTAATTAAGTGATTAGATAATTCTAAGATGAGTATTAAAAAATACTTGTAAGTAAAAACAAAGATAAGATAAAAAAATTTTCTTCAAAGAAATAGAAAAAGACAAAAAAGCAGTAAAAGATTGTATGGATAAGAGTGATATCAAAGGGTAATCAATCTAAAAGCAAAAATTTTCGTTTTCGTTTTGCTAGAATGATGTAGATGGGGGATTGCTTGGATTTGTTGCAAAGGATAGATGGATAACGCTAGATGGAAATATCAAACAACTAAGAAACAAAACCTCAGGAATTCGAATTAAAAATTAAGAGAAACAGTAAGAGTGAGTAGCAAGTTGATTAGTTGGTAGACAGCGATAGAGCGATAGAATATTAGGATATAGGGAGTCTGGTTTTGGCCAGAGAATTTTACACAATTAACGTTTGAATGCTGGAGAGCAGAACCATCCGCCACCAAGGGCGCGTGACGCGGCGGGAGCAGGGACGGCCCGCCGCGGTGGAAGCTGCAGCAGACCCAGCGGCGTGGTCAGATCCAGCAGCACGGGTGCAGGGCCTTCAAAGCCGGGCTCCGTCGGACCGGGCGCAGGACGCGGGCAACGACCAGCTGTCTTCAACAGAAACGGCTTTTGCTTCTTCCTCTGAACTGCCTCTGCTTCTTTTGCTTCTTCTTCTTTCTCATCATCTCCTTGTTCCTTTCACCATGAGCTCCGGAAGATACTCCACGCAAGTTCACCAGAGAGAGAGAACAAACTTATTTGCAGAAACTCCCTCTCGAATCACCTCCCCCTTCAATTCTTCCACCTCCAGGATATCTACTCCATTCGACGATTTGAATTCTTCAACTATTAATAATAACAATAGCACCATCCTCAATAATACTTACAATAATAATGTATACAATGGTAATATCGCTCAGAGATCTAATCTTTTCTCAAGTTTTGCCAATTCCACCCCAAATTTGTTCAATACTAATGCTGCAAATGAATCTCTCTTATCCCAGTTAGAGGCCCAAAATGACGAAACAATAGATGTCATGACCGACAAAGTTAAATTATTGAAAAACTTGACAATCAAAATGGGCACTGAAATCAAATCAGCTAATCTTAATAGTCTATCAGATACCTTTGACAAGACCTCTTCTTCCTTGAAAAGAAACTTTAATAATTTACTTATTGTATCTAAAAACGCTGGTATATCCTGGAAATCTTGGTTAATCTTTTTTATCTTGGTGTTTGGTTTTTTCTTCTGGGTATGGATCTTTTAAATTTGTGCTTTAAAACTAATCTTTTATTATTTATTTTTTACCTTTTATTTTTTTACTTGTATTTTTTTATTTTCCATTTATCTATAACTATTTCTCATTATATAATCATTTAATTCATTCCACTTCACTTCATTTCATTTCAATTCAATTCAGTTCAAGTTGTTTTATTTTATTTTATTTTATATTTATTACTCTTATCTCTATTTTTTCCTATACTATAATATACTTTTTATTCAATTTACTCAATTTCATTTAATTCACATCATTCCATTTTATCTCTTTCTCTTACTCTTACTCTTACTCTTACTCGAACTTGCTTCCATCATTTCCACTCACATTTATATTCCCTATTATTCCTAACCCAGGATTCTTTTGATGGATCCTCTTCAATCTTAAATACTTGTTGTACTTTTTGATCCCATTTATAACAAAATATACTGCTAAAATCAATACCAAATATCCAATTACCCCATACTGATGAACAAAATCCATAAATCGAAAATATCTATTGAATGGACTGTCAATCAAATTCTTACTAATTTTACTAATATCTTTATTTAATCTTGGAAATGTTAAAAACAACATCGTATTTCTTATCCTCCACGGCTCATTTTTCAACTCATCATTTAAATAATCTTTATCATAGTAATAATTCCCATTTTTCTCAATAATTATTACATCGTTCTCCTTATAATCCTCCATCTTTTTATTATTATCAAACCCTAAATCCTCAATCAATTTCAAATTTTCCTTTTTATTTATATCAATAAATCCAAATATACCTTGTCCTCTATTTGAATGTTCAACCATTTCGGAACTCTTATGAATAACATCTGATGAAGTCTTTTTGGAATTTGTTTTCATTTCTTCAATTTCTTGATTTTTTTTCTCTCGATTCTCAATCAACTCTTTATAAAGCTCAGACTTTCTATGATACTCAAAATCATGATAACCTAACGATAAATTGTATATATTATTTATTGTGCTTTCTTTATTGGTAGAATCAATAAACGATAAAATAATCTTATCCACATCTTTATTCTTATTATTCCTTACAATTTGTTTCCAATTTTTACTACTGATCTCATTGAGAATAGGTAGTGAATTTCTTCTCATCCAGCCTAACACTAAATCATAATCTCTGATATCTCTAGGATGAAAATTTTGAAATGTTGACGAGATTAATGAGTTGTCTTTGAAACATAAAAACGTGGGATATGATGTCGTGGTTTCACTTATAAATCTTTCATTATTAAAACTCTCAATGGGTTCACTTTTATTGTAATTTATATATTTCAATAAATTATTCCCCTGTCTTTCTTGTAGCTTGATAAAACTACCATCATCTGAAGTAAAAATGTAAACATCTGGCAAACTCATTATGGGCTCCAAAAGAAAATCTAAAATTTCAAAATCTTCTGGTGTAACAGTCTCTGGGTTGTAATAAAATACAAAACTAATTTTATTTGAGTTTCTCTCAAACGGTAATAAGTTATAATCATCAATTGGTTTGTTCTCTAAAGTTGAAACTAAATTCATTTTTTTGGATAATATCCTGGGGTTTACCTTTTCAAACTTCATATTTTGCAATAGTCTTTTAGTAAAATTGACAATTCTTGATTTAGTCTTGAGTCCTGTGAATTTTATTCTATTGCCGTTTTGTTTTGGTAAAATCATCATGACCTTTGGAGCAACATTTTTAAAACCGGAGTTGATTGTGGCTAGTTTGTCGTAGCCTAATTTTTTACAAATTTGTTGATTAGAATGACAATTAAAATGATAAGTCTCAGTTGATAACTGATTTGATATCAAGTTCCATGTAGACTGAAATTCTAAGCAGGAAGGGCATGATTTTAAATCAAATGAATCCTCGTTTGAGTTATTTAGATCACTAAATTTGTCATCGGTTGAAGGCCAAAATGAAACCAAGACAGATGAATTTTGAGGATGATCACCATTAAGAAATTGCAAGAATTTTCCAGATGGCAATAACTGGCTCCTTGAGGGGAAGTGTAATTCATCAAGATTTCCGTATTCAAAAGCAAGATCTCTCATAAAATTTATAAAATCCTCAGGGTTTCTGCTTAGAGATTTGGGATAAGAAAGTAATAAGTCTCCCCCATTTTTGTCCTTATTTGAAACATAAACTCGTAGATTGGGGTAAAATTTGATCGATTCTTGTTCACATAAATCGCCATTTTCAGCACAATTCACCTGGTTCATTTGAACATTCAAAGTCTTGCTTTGTTCCAAAAACTGTTGATACGTTTCTTCCCAAATGGGGGCCAAATGTTGGCAATGACCACAATAAGGTGAATAAAACTCAACAAAATGTATTCCCTGAGCCATCTCAGAATTAAAATTCTTCATGGTCAATGAGGGCGGCAATATATCCAGCTCTAGTTTCTTATCGTGTGAAGGAGGAGCAGCATCAGTATAAACAGCAAATGGATATAGAAGCAAGTAGACTAGGCAGAGGACCACGAGATCCAAGCGACACACTCTGGAGAGATCCATTGTTGAGATATGGCTAGCATATAGTACGAGATCTAGGATACTTGGTTGTTGGAATCAGATAAGACCCAGAGGATGCAGAGGAAGATGCAAACGCAGGGCTGCTGATTCTTCAGCCACCCACATCTTTGGCGTCAGCATTTGCGGTCCCGCGTTCAAAACCCCGCGAGACCCTGCAGAGCACAGGCTGTACCGCAGCTGTCTTGAGCGGCCCGCAGCAGGACCGCTCTTATGTAAAAATTATTAATCCTTCTGCATTACACATTATTAATAATAGATCTCTTAGTAATCCGGAACTGGGATATTGGGCATGCAAAACCTTTTCTATCCAGCTATTTACATCCTTATTGACCAACCGATGAAAATCAATATAAAACCAGCTCAGCGCCGTTGTTCATATCTTCTCGAACTTCAATTGATTTTCCAATTGTTTTCTTCGATATTGTCTCTTGCATATATCCTTTACTTATCTTTCACCCAACTTACTTTATCGGTTTCAACTAGAAATGTCAAAGGTTGCTGTATGTTTTTTGTTTACTTTGTCTAATCTGTTTTTTGTAATAACTACTCGAAATTGGTTGCTAACATTGTTTGTTGGTAGATTCTTGCTTACTCCATGTATGGTCATATCTTTACATTGGCTGATTCTCTCAAAAAAGGTGTTGAATCTGCTGGTGGAACTGCTGACATTTATCAACTTCCAGAGACTTTGTCCGAAGAAACTCTACAGTTGTTACATGCCCCTGAAAAGCCATTTGATATTCCAATTGCTACTCTAGAAACTTTACAATCTTACGACTCTTTCTTATTCGGTATTCCAACAAGATTTGGCAATGTTCCTGCCCAATGGAAAAGCTTTTGGGATTCAACTGGTGCTTTATGGGCTAACGGTGCTCTTCATGGTAAAACTGTCGGCTTTTTTGTTTCGACTGGTACTCCAAATGGTGGTCAAGAAACCACTGTCAGAAACAGTATTTCAATGGTTGCTCATCATGGTATGATTTACATTCCTTTGGGCTATAAAGGTGTTATGCCTCAGCTATCGAATTTGGATGAAGTTCATGGTGGCTCTCCCTGGGGTGCAGGAACTTTAGCTGGAGCTGATGGTTCAAGAAAACCTTCAGAGCTAGAATTGAAAGTCGCCTTTATTCAAGGTTTAGAGTTTTATAATACTTCTAAAAAATTTATATCCATTCCAGATTCTGTCAAAGTTTCTTCTTCCAATACTCCATCTTCTGTTCCTCCATCTCAATCAAACTCAATAAAACCTGATGCCGCGGTTAGCCCTGAAAAGAAATTGTCCAAAAGAGAGAGAATTCGTCGTCTTTGTGTCATAATGTGATTTGCTTTAACTGTAATTATTTTGTTGTTATTCTATTCCATTAGTATTCTATTTTATTATCACTCCTTTTCTTTGTTTTCCCTGAGTTTTATCTATATTTATCTCCAATTTTTACTTAATTGATCTTTTTGCTTTATTTTGATTGCACTTTTTTACTTTTGTTTTCTTTCTTTTTTTTTCAGGTTTTAATTAAACTATTAAATCTCCAATAATAAATAATTTAGACTCTTAATATCTTCCCGACAATTTATCTTTTGCAATAACCACTTTAAAATCTAGATCGAAACACAGTGCCTTCAAAAGCATGATCTGAAGATATTTTGCACCGACTCACACACATGCTTCAGAAAAAATTATTATTTTTTCACATCACATGTACTGAAATTTTTCAATTTTTTTTTCTGAAAGAAAAAATATTTAATTTTTTTCAGATTTTTTTTCATATATTTCATATATCAAAAAGAATCTTAGGCAAAAAAAAGAAAATTAATCAGATTATCTCAAACAATTCTAAATACAATATTCCCAACTCACATTATTCTGCAATGGCAATCAAACAAAAGATTAGTAAATCCAAAAAGGTGTCTTCCAAAAAGAAGGAAAAGCAAGAAAGTAGTGAATCCGAATCCGAATCTGATTCTGATTCTGATTCTTCAACTTCTTCTGATAGTGAAAGTGAACATGAAGTCGCGCTGAAGAAACAAAATGATTCCAAATTTAAAGCATCATTAATTACAAAATCTTCAAATAAAGACAGTGAAAGTGATTCAAGTTCTGACGGCAGCAGTGACGATGACAGCGACAGCGACAGCGATGGTGATAGCGATAATGCTAATGTTGGTCAAACTGTTTCAAAAGCTCAGCTCTCAAAAAATTCTACAAAAAGCAACATAAAAAAGATTAAATCTGACGAAAAAACAAACAAAGACAAAAGCACTGATAATGAAAGTGAAAGTGAAAGTGAAAGTGAAAGTGAAAGTGAAAGTGAAAGTGATAGTGATAGTGATAGTGATAGTGATTCAGATGCAAAGACTGTTAGCAAAAAGGAAACATTAAAAGAATCTTCAAAAAAAGAGGCTTCAAAGACAGTAAATGATTCCGATTCAAGTTCATCAGATTCCAATTCTGATTCTGATTCTGATTCCGATTCAGAATCGAAATCAAAACCAAAATCGAAATCGAAACCTAAAACCAAAACTAAATCAAATTCTTCAAGTTCATCAGATTCTGATTCTGATTCTGATTCTAATTCTGATTCTGATTCTGATTCTGATTCTGATTCTGATTCTGATTCTGATTCTGATTCGGAAAGTCAATCACAGGAAGATGAAAAAGAACCAATTAAAGAAGTCGACACATTTAAAAAAAAGAGTGCAGCCGATGCCCTTAACGATAATTCTTTCAAAAAGAGAAGTGCTGTTGATTCATTCAATAATAATGCTCAAAAAAAATTCAAATCTGATTCATCTTTTAATGACAATGCTGGGGCCTCTTCGACTTTATTTGTTGGAAGATTATCTTGGAATGTTGATAGTGATTGGTTGAAAAGGGAGTTTGAAGGTGCTGGCGGTGTCGTATCTGCTCGAGTTATATCAGACCAAGCTACTGGAAAATCGCGTGGATATGGTTATGTTGATTTTTCTTCTCCAGAAGATGCTCAAAAGGCTTTAAAAGAATTGCAAGGTAAAGATGTTGACGGAAGACCAATAAACTTGGATTTGGCTAAGGCCAAACCAGCCCAGGCACCAAGAACTCAAAATAGAGCCAATTCTTATGGCGACAAAAGATCACCTCCTTCAGACACTCTTTTTGTTGGTAATTTATCATTCAGATCTACACAAGATTCAATATGGAATAAGTTTGCTGAAGTTGCTGAAGTTGTGGGTGTTCGTATTCCAACTGATAGAGAAACTGAAAAACCAAAGGGTTTTGGTTATGTTCAATTCAAATCGATTGATGATGCCAAAAATGCTTTAGAAAAACTTAATGGAGAGTATATCGATGGAAGAGCTGTGAGATTAGACTTCAGTGCTCCCCGTCAAAGATAAGTAGCTTGTACAATTAGTAGGTAGATCATATTTTTGTTTGAGATTTGTTTTATACTTATAGTAGTGTTAATTTACATTTTTTTTTTCATTTTTTTTTGATTTAAATTTCTTGACACTATACATATGAAATAAAAAATATAACATTTACAATACAAAATGCAAAATGCAAAATGCAAAATGCAAAATGCAGTGGCAAAAACCAGAGATTAGTAGTGCAGTTTATACGGCGATTGTCATTAGCACAAGTTGAACAAATTTCTGAAGACTCCAGTAACCAACTTTTTTCAAACGTCTAATTTTTGAATTTTCGTCCACGACATAATCTACAAATGCATCATAGACTTTTGTTGAAATATCGTCCATCAACAAGCAATCATAGATAGTCCAACTTCCATCAAAATCATGCATATCCTTAACAATTCTGCATTTGATTGGAATATAAGTATTTCTAGAGTTAATATATCCAACAATTGGAGCAATCAAGGCGTAATTAACATAGGATAGTTCAGGCGTTGAAAATGGGATTTGTGCTTTGACATTGTTTAGTTTGATTTTCAAATCTAACACAAAATATTCATTCAAGTTTTTTGAGATTTCCTTTTCTTTTTCTTTTATTTTAGTTGAAATGTGGTCCGAGTTTAAATAAGGATTCAGCAATTTATTTTTTGATAAATTTTTAAATTCTTCTTCTAGTTTAAAATTGGAAGTTTCAGTATTGTATTTGTTCAAGTAATCAGTTTTGCTATAGTATATTCTTTTAGCTTCATTAGAGATATTTTCAGCTAAATTTGATATAAATTCTGTTAAGTTTATGGTATTTTCATTCGGTATAATGACATCACCTATCATATCAACTTTACCACTACTTATCCAACCAAAGGGACCTTCCAAGCCAGTGTTTAGATGATCGACATTTAATCCGTCAACTCTTAACCTGGTTATTAAATTTTTTGAATTAGAGTTATATCTAGTATAGATACTGAATAGTGAGTTATCGTATGAGCCATTGATGTTCCTTGCATTTAAAAAATCATAGAAAAACCAATTTTGACGCAATTTGTTCAAGTTGCAATTATAAATTGAGATGTTAAAGGGTCTGAAGTTATCGGGTTGTAACAATTTAATCAATAGATCTTCCATCACAAAATTTTCAATTTCAAAGTCTCCTGGACTTTTGATGTTTTTATAGTTTCTGGGATCATCATTTGGTTCCCAATTAACATGGGTTCTATCAACAGTACCTCTAATACATTTCATGTGTAAGGTTTTAATTAAGCCTCTAGAATTGAACCATTTGATTAAAGATATAGACATTTTGATTTCTTTGATATCAAGATCATATTGAGTGTAGTTGCCATCATCATTAAGATAGTCTTTGGGTCGTTTAGAAATAAAACAGTTTTGAAATGTAAAAGAGTTTGGACCGGGAATAAATACAGCTTTCTCAAGATTGATGACAAATTTTGAGTTTTCAGTCAAATAATTTGACAAATGAAAAGCTAGAAATCTCTGGCACTCGTCTTCGTACTTGTTATAAAGGAAAAAAGATAATGTTGCAGAAGATGTCAAGAAGAATAAAAACAACGACTTCCATCTTTTCTGAAAAATGTGAAATGGAGTTGTTGAACTGTATCCTTGATTGGAATTGGGGAGCTGATCGATAGCATCTTCAAGTAGGGTTGGTTTGGTAGAAAAAAACCTTTCTAATTGCAAGAGTGGAAATTTCTTTTGGAGGGATATGTCATCCTTTATCACCCAACAATTATGAAAATTATTTGTGGTTGATGTGGATCGAATTCTGTGAGTACTTTGGGATTTTGTGTGAAGATCCCCTACTGGCGTCTGTAATCTGCGATTAAGAGTTGATTTTTCGAGAAAAGAGCATCTCGGCCTATCAAAAAGCAAGAATCTTTGAGCAGACAGAAACAGGGATATCTTGCTCTTGTTTGTGCTAGAGGCCAAAAACAGCTTATACATTTGCAAAATGAAAGACCCAGCAAAAACCCATGAAATCGATCAAAAGAGAAGCAGCATCTGGTTTGCTAACCCCAGAGCCTTTGAACAAGAACAGAAAAGTTTCTTGATGGAGGTTCAAAGGGTTCGGATCTCTGAGATCCGTACTAATCATCCCGGATTGGTCAGTGCTGACTAATCCACAAAAAGCCGACGCACCCTCCTGCAGCTTTAGGGACTTTGAAAAGATGATCTTAGGGGGAAAACCTAAAATCTGGGCTGGAGAGATTCCGGAGGGATTCCGTGCGCAGAGTTCGAAGGGCTGCAGGAGAAGAAGAGAAGTGAATCAGAACTGTGAGCCGGAGCTGGAGGTCGTGCTGAAGACTGATGAAGACTCCATGGGATCAACAATACAATGCTCAGACTACCGATTACGCTTCATTTCGTGTTCTGCCTAGTAGAAGCCTTCTCCACAAGTGTGGGAGTAAAATCATTTTCGTCAACAATTTTCTTTGATAGCCACTGGTTCATAAGTTATACATGTTATGCCATTACTGACCATGGCTTTGTTCCTACTATTTGATCAACATCACAATAACAGATTGGTAGCGAAACTCGTTAAGGAATTAGCACAAAAACCTTAGTAATTTAGAGTGAATAAGAGGTTGTTCTTAATACCAACAGATTTAGAAACTTGATTGTCGATCACAATATTGGAACGAGACTTTGCTATTGTTTTCTCAAGCGCCATCACTTTGATTGGAAGTGGACAGGAGTAAAGCTTTTAAACGGTCATGGTGTTCTTCAACAACAGTGATATAATGAAATGGCAAAGAAAAGAGATGATGCAAGCCCACAACTATGAAGATTGAAACAAATATAAATGATTTTCAACTTTTCAACGAAATGATTTCCTCCTCCGAACGATTAGATCATCCCGTTGGAAGAATCAAAAAGAAATCAACTTTTTACACAGGGTGCACTCAAAAGTTTATATTTCACCGATAAATACGGCTTAGGGTTGGTGATTGTTTTGATATTGAATAGTTCAATAGCTCAAATCGATCTGATTCAGACATCAGCTCTTCAGAAAACTCTCTTCGCTATGTACATATTTAAATGTGACATTTTTCCTTACTAATCTAATGTCTCTCCTTTGTTTAGATCTCTTTTATTTAGTATTGAAACACTTCACATCACACACCAATAACAGCTTGAGGCTTAATAATATTACCAGAATGAAGTATCTTCTCTCATTTATCTCCCTAATATCTCTATCTCTCTCTATTCCAGTCCCACTTCCAGTGGCCCAAATAACTCCACTGCCTTCATTGGAAAAAAGATCCGGAACAAATCAACAAGTTCTAGAAAACAAAGTATGGACCTCAAACAACGAAAGAATAACCCCAACCATTATTGATGGTGTAACAATATCTGCATCTCCTGTAACCAATTCTTTAACCCCCTGGATCTCTTTGGACTCTACTGGTATTCCCTACAAAATAACACCCACAACTGATGATGATGGTGAAACCGTTAGTGCCTCACCCACCCCAACTGAATCAGACTACCCTGATCCAACTGGTGTGCCTCCGGTTTTAAGATGTTTTGGTGATAGAGTCGCTAGTGAATTCGACTCAACACCTGGATATCCCTTTTGTACTGCAAGAAATGGCACTGAGCTATTAGTTGGCGAAACCTATTGGATCACCTGGGATCCTACTTACTGGGGCTCCACTGAAATCACAAAAGTTAGACTTTCAATCAATATCATAAGCCGTGGTAATAACGATGAAGAAGTCTTCATGAGTGACTATATTAATAACAACAATGGCTATTATCCTTTAGCAGTTGAAAGTAGCTTTGAAGGTTATGGCTTCCTTTTATTAACTCCCTTAACAACTTCTACCACTGAAGCTGAACATGTTGGTACTGTCAGTGGCCCTGTTGTCAGATTCATAACAAGCAAATCTCAAGCTGCAACCACCATTTCAAGACTTCCTTCTGATAATGGTTTAGAAAACAGCTCTAGTTCAGGAAACAAAAATTTAGCTAAGATCATTGCTCCCTCCGTTATCATTCCATTTATCATTATTGTTGGCGGTTTCGTTGTATTCTATATCTGGAGACAAAAAAAGAAGGCTGTTTTAGGCTCTAAATCCCAAAGAATGACAGACCCTAAAGCAAAGTCCGTCGAACTAGCTGAAAGTCCAAATACAAGTAACAGAAATACAATGGATTCTAGTTTCAGCAATAACAAAAATGTCGGATTCCATGACACTTCTTCTATCATAACTGCAACTACCCATGAAAGTGTTAATCCTTTTAGTGATAAGAATCGTCATTAATTTTTTTTTATATTTACATTTTCTTTGATTCACTTTATGTTTTTTGGTGAAAGATCAAAATTGGTTTAAGATGTTAAAATAAAATAGTTTTTATGGTTTTGTGTTGGGGAAACATTATATTTAGATATACCTCTTGTTTTAGTATTGTTAGTTCTTTCTTTTTTCTTTTTTCTTTATCAATTTATGCTCCTTTTCTTTTGCTTTGAGGATAAAGGTAATACCGTAGTCTCTCAATTAATGTGATTTGTATCTTGAAACAATACATTCAAGTTTCCATAGGAAAACAGTTTAAGTTTATTACTGTTTTTTATACTGATTGTTTAAATTTTATAATCTTTCATTTGGTCAAGCTCAACTTGAAAAAATTCTCAAATCTGTAATAATGATTGAAAATTTAATACTTAAAATAAAATAAAATAAAAATAAAATAAAATAAAATAAAAATAAAATAAAATAAAAATAAAATAAAATAAAATAAAATCATTAGTTTTGACTTCTAATTCCTTTCATACCACAAAAAACATTTTCACTATTGTAATCAAAATAACAAGACACCGCTACGGTTACATAAAAAAAATACTTAATCATTATACTGGTTCAGATACCTTTAAATCAAAATCAGATCACTAAATAATGGACTAATAAAATTCAATTATAGCTATGTTATAAAACAAAACATAAATTTACTTAATAAAAAGTTCCATCACCACCCTCCATGATTAAATTACAGCCATTACTAATCACGCTTCAAAGTTCTTTGTTTTTCAGAGTTTTTTATCACTTTCTCGTCCACAAAAAGACCCTTGGATCGTCTAATATCATTAACGTATTTTCTGGCTACGTTTTCTCGTTCTGCAAATTCCCCAAGTTCTTCAAGTTCTTCTTCTGTATTGGGAATCCAAAATGGATTTTCATCAATAGATTCAAAACCAGCAAAAACTAGCTGAGGATTAGCAGCTCCTGAAGTCTTCTTTCGGATTTCATCAGAAAAACCAAATGCCTCAATAACAGGAATTCTAGAATTGATTGTAAAAAATGGAGTTCCTTCTTTCATTTCTTCGGAAATAATATGTCCACGACATCTCTGGATGACACTATAAACTTTCCCGATTGCTTCTGGTGAGGTTTGAATTGTACTCTGATACATTGCTAACATTATTCTGGGAGACCAGTCCAAAAATCCATTTTTGATAGACTCTCTAGTGCCACGAATCAACTTACCCGAGATCTCCAGTGAAAGATTAATTTTAGCCATTGAACTTTCCGACGATTTCTTTTCAGATATTGCTTTGTTCACTTTATACTGTTTATCTCCCAATGATAAATTTTCCAAATCATCTGAAATTAGAACATCATTTGAATCTGATAGAGTTTCAAGAGAAAAAACAATCACTGCTATTCCTTGAACAGGCTCATCAGCAAGAGGTCCCAATAATGTACCTAGTTGGAAAGCACTTACTATACTGTCTTCATGTTCAAAAATATTCTTATTATTATTATTAGATTCCAGAAATAGCCTTTTAAAATTATTTCCTTTGGTAAAATCGAAACAAATATTTGGACCAACTCTTTTAGGACCAAACGAAACAATATTTTCAACATTAAGCACTTCTTCATCTTTCGTGTAATGATTTTCTTCAAACACTTCTTGAAGCATCTTCTGAAAATCTGATACCCGTTTAGATAATGCTTTTGCCCTGATATTCTTAGGATTTGTGAATTGTTCTATTAAAGCTTGATTCTCAATCAAAATTTTAGTCACTTCTTTATAAAGGGGCTGAACCTTGAAAACTAACTTAATATCACCTACAACCAATTTTGAAAACCCTCTTCCTAATGTTTCATTGATAGGAGGACTCATATCGTTTGCAAAGACAATAGTTTCTCTGTATGGAATTAATGGCTTTGAGACTTGAATTTCAATTCCAGCAAATCTTTCCTTCAAATCTTTTAAACATCTTTCTAAATGCAACTCGCCAGCAGTGGCTAATATAAGTTCACCATTATCTTCGACATATGTTTCAACACAAGGATCAGCTTCATTCAATAACTTTAAGCCATTTTCCAAATATTTCATTTGAGTTGGATCCACGGGCTCAATAGAAACTTTCACTATTGGAGAACTTTTGAAGATAGAAGCCATATTGATTCCTGTGATATTTGGAGAAATTAAAGTCCCATTTTTAAGCACTTTCCCTTCTAGGCCACCAATTCCACAAATATTGCCGGGGGGAATTTCCTGAACAGAGGCAAACTCCCTGCCCATTATTAAATAAAGACTGGAAATGGTAATTTTTGCAACATGTTCTGCTGGAACTGAGGGATCATATTTTGGACCGAGAGCTAGCAAGGAATCACCTACTTTCAATTTTCCACTAAACACTCTAGCGAAACCAATTAAATGTTCTGTGGGTAATACAACCGGCTTTTGAGTTTCTTCATCTTCATCTTCTTCGAATTCAAATTCAAATTCAAAGTCAGAAGTTTGTTTTGAAGTGAGATTGCTACTATCCAAATCATCACCATGCAAAAACAGAGCACTGGTTGCTTCCAAAGCATCTGCAGCCTTTTTTGCTTCTGAACGTGCTTTGCGACCTCTTTCTATTATATCATCCATATTAGGGGTGTATTTCTGTGCCAACTCTTCCTCTGGAATAGATAGCATTTTAGAAACATAACAACTTACGGGACTATCAGAAGCACAGTTTAAAATACCAGCTTTCAATTTTTCATCTATTAATTGGGCGGAAGGAGAATCTTCAATGAGGAAAGCAACTCTTTCCTTTTGAGAATCGATAGGAGAAGGAAGCTTTTGAATTACAGTAAGCAAAACCGATGAAGAAAGTGGTAGCCATTGAGCCATAATAATTTTTAGCAAATTTTTTGTATCTTTTGATTTCAAGTCTCTTGGAGAGATTTTGAGGTTCAAGACAGATATTATTTTTTCTAATTGAGCCATATTTTTCTCGACAATTGTATTTTGATAAACTTTATAGATATTGTCTAAAACAAAAGAAACAAATAAAGGTTTCAAATTTTTTCCTTTCAAACCCTTTGAAGTTAGAATCTTTTTTGATTTTGGAGAAAAGTAGTAATCACCCCAAAGAACTTTTTGTAGAGTGGATCTATTCATATGTAGTTTGCTTTCGTAGAATAGTGCAAATTGAGAAATGGTAAAGCCCCAGGAATCAATTGAGCTTGCAAAGACGACGTTATTTTTAATTGGATCAAAATATAGATCCTTGTCATCGTTTTCAACAAACTTTTGAGATTCATCTTCTTTTGTACTTAAATTTTTTTCCAATTTCTCTCTCCATAACAAATCGTCTTGCATTCGCTGACCAGCAAAAAAGGAGCCTAGCACAGCATTCACAGTTTCTATAATTTTTGAAAGATGAATATATGTTTCTTCAGGAGATAACCTTAGCTCAGTTATTAGTCGATCAATTTTATTTAAGACAAGAATCGGTTTTAAATTATCAATCCAGCATTGTCTCAAGACTCCTATTGTCTGAGAACAAACGCCTTCAACCACATCAACCAACACAACAGCCCCATCACATAATCTGGAAGCTACAGAAACTTCAGAAGAAAAATCTATATGGCCAGGAGAGTCAATCAAATTAATCAAGTGTTCATTTACTTTGGGGGAAGAGGAGCCCTCCACCTTTTGTAGGACTCTAAAGTATAGAGAAATTGAGGAGGATTCCATTGTTATACCTCTTGATTGTTCATCTGGTCTTGAATCGAGATAACGAACTTTTCCTGCCATTCTTTGAGAAATAATACCATTTGAAGCAAGCAAAGAATCAGACAAGGTTGTTTTTCCATGATCAACGTGGGCTAGGATGCAGATGTTTCTGATGCAAAAAGGATCATTTTGCAACCGAGTAATTGTATCAATACCAACCTTCATTTGCAATAGTAAGTCTGAGAGATAGAATTCATCACATTATGAAAGAGCATGAAAATTTTGTTCATGCAGATTGTGGTGGTCCGTCTCTCTGGTTCCACGCACGGAACAAAAATACGTCCAGAAGAGTCGGACCTCGGAAGCTATTCAATAAACTAAGATAGGAAATTACTAACAATGAGCTGCTAGAGATGGAAATACTAATCTTCGCCAGCTGGGATTTCATCTTTCAAATACCTGATGAGTCTCAATTTTATTTCAGTTTGGTCGTGGCCCCGAAGCACGTCGCTCACAAAAGAGACATCAACATCAAGTTGAACCATCTGTAGAGCACCCTTCAACACGCCACATAGAACGTTGGAGTACCACAACTCCTTCACAGCTTTGCCATCATCAGGCAATTCAACAAATTCAGCTAGAGGATTTTCATCAAACACCAAACTAAACTGCTTGCCATTGTCTGTCCAGTTTGTCACCTGGGGAACTATGTTTAAAAAGATTTTGAATCCAACTTTAGAAATAATCTCGCCAGTTTCTTTAAAGGAGTTGCAGCGTCCAGCCCCAGTTCTCGCTAGGAAATCTTCAATCAACCTCACGCCGATGTTTTCACCCATGATCTCCAACTGCTTGTTGACCTCACAGTAGTTGTTGTTCAAGTCTCTGCATAACTGCGACACAACAGAGCCGTAGGTTAGTGTGAACAACTCCACATTGATCTTCTCAACCCTGTTTTTCCAGATTTCGTCTGCTGCTGTTCTGACTGCCTTGGACATTTTGTTCTATGAGACGAAGAGCAGAAATGTGGCCAACGGACGTTTGAGATAGAGAGAACGAAAGCAGTCACATGCTGAAACGTTCTCTTTTGGGCCGTAAGCATCGCTCATGGCTTTTCTTTGATCCAATATCTTTGATCCAATATCTCTGCTCTTCAAACATGCTTTATACAAAGTTTGGTGATGATTATTACTTCCAGGAGGAGGAGGAGGGCCATATTTTAAAAATTGGATCCGATGGGATGGCTTTACATTCCTCAAAATCATTGCCCATTGATCATTCCCTTGCTGATAACAGCCCAAAAAACATACGTAATAATCCACAATTTACTTCTGGGATTTTTGGCGTTTTACAGTTGAAAATAACTGCTCATATCATTATAATCAAAGATGTTGTCGAAGTTGGTAACTTGTTCAATCAACATGTAATCTATAAGATAAAACATTTTGAAATACTACCACTTTTGTCCTCAACCATCACCAAAAACTTAATTTCAAACGACAAAGACGAAAATTACTACTTGTATTTATTGAAAAAACAATTGAAATCAGAAAGCTTTTACTTTTCCACCACTTTAGATTTAACCAATTCATTTCAGAAAAGCAAAGCTTCTAATATTATTAATTCTCCTGATTTCAAGCCTAATTACCCTTTCTATTGGAATTCCTTTGCCCTGAAACCCTTGATAGAGTTAGCCGCAAAGAATCCCATTTTCAAAAATTTTTTATCATATGTCGTAAATGGATTTATTGATCTTGGAAGCTTTCATCACCATAAAGATACAAAGTTTAGAATGGCTTTGATTACTAGGAAGAGCAAGTTTAGAGCAGGCACTAGGTATTTTAGAAGAGGTATCGATAAGGACGGTAACGTTGCCAACTTTAACGAGACTGAACAGTTACTATTAGTTTCAAATAATGATTTAAAAAATGGTAAATCCACATTAATTATGTCCTACATTCAGATAAGAGGCTCAATACCTGTTTACTGGGCAGAAATTAATAATCTAAAATACAAACCTCCATTAGCAATTGGTGAATTTTCTTCAACCTCTTCTGCTGAGCTTCATTTTCAAAATATTTTCACCAACTATCACAATGAAAAATTGGTTTTGATTAATTTGATAAATTCCACTGGACATGAAAAAAAAATTAAGGACAAGTTTGAAAATTTGATTGAAACTATAAAAACTGACTTTAATGAAAAGATTAATGAAAAAGAAAAATTCAACGATACAAATGGAATCTTTAACACACTGAATCACCATGATGATTCCAATCTTTCAAATACTTTGAAAAATAGAATCAATTATATTTACTTTGATTTTCACGAAAACTGCAAGAATCTTAAGTTTGAAAACGTGAATATTTTAATTGAACAATTAATTAACTCTGGTGATTTAAATAATGACGAATTTTCAGTTTCTAAAATTGATACAACAGATCACATTACAACACTTCAAAGCCAGAAAAACATCTTAAGAAGCAATTGTATGGATTGTCTTGATAGAACAAATGTAGTTCAAAGTTCAATTGCTGAATATGTTTTACAAAAACAATTTGAACACTTAAACATTATTGAAAAAAATGGTATTAATTTTACTCAAAAATTTCCTAAATTTTTCTTGGATTTTAAAAAGATTTGGACCCATAATGCCAATTCTATTAGCAAAAGTTACTCAGGTACCAATGCACTAAAGACTGACTTTACACGAATGGGTAAAAGAACTCTATCTGGACTATTTAAAGATGCTTACAAATCATTGAATAGATACTTTTTGAACAACTTTTACGATGGATCTAGACAAGACTCATTTGATTTGATTCTCGGGGAAATTACCCATGATGAATTTTTCTTAAAGGAAAACGAAGGGTTGACTACAAGGGATAATAGACCTATGATTGTTCAGTTAGTTCCTAATATTTTGAAATCTGCAACTGTCTTGCTTTTAACAGTAATATTTTATCCCAAGAATAATTCGTTATCTAGCCCAACAAATTTAATATCCTTAGGATGTTGTTGCTTGTCCATTTTTTTCTCAGCATATTTTATTATGCATAATGGTATGCAGTATGTCAATTGGCCAAAACTAAAGCAATTGGATTATCTCCAAACCCAGGAAATATTTTCTAGCCAAAATCACCCCTCGATTAAATATGTAATACATGATAATTACCTGTTATCATGTTCTTTCAATAAAATTCAATAAATCTATAACATTACAAACCAGAGAAAAAAAATTCAGATATTTAATGATGTAAATAGTTGATTGTTTTCTGCTATAAGAAAATGGAGAGAATACACCACAATAATTTCAGAACCCTATTTTTCAAGTTGTTTTGATTACTTAATTTTAAAAAATAAACCAGTTTCACTTACAAACATAAAGTGAATGAATAAGTATCTGATCACTCAAAAAATCCAAATAATTTTATTATCACATCTAGTAACTATTGTTTAAAACTGAATAAAAAAAATTAAAGAAATAAAACCTATAAAAATAAAAACTTTTCAAACCATCATTTTTTTAAAATATCGAATATTGATAACAACGAAAATTCAATATATACCATTTGTACGCTTAGTACGTAATTCTCTCTGTTGTCTTTGAACCTCTGGATCATAAGTTAAAAACTCATCCAAACCCTTACCAGCAGGCACCATTGGAAGGACTGGAACTTTTGATTCAACCTCAACCTCTAATAAAATGGGTCCTTTTTCCTCTAAAAACTCTCTTAATTTCTCATCTAATTCCTCTTGTTTGGCGGCTCTAATTGCTTTTACACCCATTGATTCAGAAAATTTGACAAAATCAGGATTTAATTGATGAGTGTGAGAGTATCTATCTTCATAAAACAATGATTGCCACTGGGTGACCATACCCTGCTCTTCATTATTCAAAATTAAGATTTTCACAGCAGTACCAGCCTGGACAGCCGCAGAAAGTTCTGTTAATGTCATATTAAACGAGGCATCTCCATCAATATCAATTACCATTGCCTCAGGACGGGCTATTTTCGCGCCAATGGCAGCTGGAAGGCCGTATCCCATGGTGCCTAAACCACCAGATGTTATCATGGTTCTTGGTTTTGTCCAGTGAAAATGCTGAGCAGCCCACATCTGATGCTGACCGACACCGGTAGTTATAATAGTTTCGACATTCTTGTTTTGATTGCACATTTCGGACAACTTTTTTATTACTGTTTGAGGTTTAATCTTTGATCCTGGGGTCTCAACCTCATAAGAATAAGGATACATACCTTTCCACTTGTTGATTAAATTAAACCACTCCTTCCTTTCTTTAACAGGTTTAATTAATGGTATAAACCTTTTCAAATTATCAGTAACGTCACCTTCAATTGCTTCTGTAGCCTCCACAACTTTATTTATGTTCTTTGGGGAAATCTCAAAATGAATAATACCACCCTTGTTCTGAGAGGCAGCCAATTTTGCGGCAGGAGCAAATTTAGGAAGAGATCCAGTGACACGATCATCGAATCTTGCACCAAGAGCAATAATTAAATCTGCATTTTGAATTGCTAAATTGGCATAGCAGGATCCATGCATTCCTAACATATCAAGAGACTTTTTGTCAGTTTGATCAAAAGCTCCTAGCCCCTGTATGGTGGTTGTTACAGGTATTTGAGCTATCTCAGCCAATTCTTTCAATAATTTGGGACCAGCAGGGTTGTTTAAAATACCAGCACCAACATACAAGACTGGTTGTTTGGCAATATTCAATAAATGTGCAGATCTTTTAATGGCATCCTCGACAAATTCAGAAGCAGCATGATTTGTAATTTTTGACAACATTTTGGAGGGAATAGATGATTTAATTGGAATAGCGGTTTTTAAAATAGCAGCAGTAACATCTTTTGGTAAATCAACAAGAACAGGGCCAGGTCTTCCAGTGGTAGCAATTTCAAATGCTTCATTTATTCTTCTGGGCAATTCTTCCACGGACTTCACCATCACATTCCATTTTGTACATGAACGAGAGATTCCCACTACATCTGCTTCTTGAAAAGCATCAGAGCCGATAAGAGTTGTAGGAACTTGTCCCGTAAACACAACCAAAGGTACACCATCTGCCAAAGCATCGGCCATAGGTGTTACCATGTTTGTAGCGCCAGGGCCAGAAGTAACTAAAACAACCCCTGGTTTCCCTAAGGTTGATGCTTTTGCATATCCAATAGCCATAAATCCAGCCCCTGCTTCGTTCTTAGGAAGGATAAAATTGAAGTTGGTGCTGTTATGTATTCCATCAAAGACTGGAAGGATAGCACCACCCGGATAACCAAATATCGAATCAACATTATGGCGACGCATGAGTTGTTCAAATATTTGGCCACCATTTAGACCAATAAATGAGTTGTCATATAATGGTTTTGGGGATACATGCTTCAGAAATGTTGGGTGAATAGTTGAATTCTTATTTCTGTTATCATATTTGATGGCAGCTGCTGTTGAATTCCATCTAAGACTTTGGGTTAGGGAGAAAAGTGATTTATTGAAAGAACCAAAAGGTGCTAGTCTGCTATTTATCTTTAACATTTTTGAAAGAAAGTGAAATAAATTAAGGATAAATATGATTAAAAGCAGAGAATTTTACAGAATTATATAAAGTGGGTGTGAAAAAAAACTCGACTCTCTTGGCTGAAAAAATCCTCATGTCAAAATGAGTCACAAAATCTCCAGCTTTTGAGGGGATTTCTGCAGATATTCGCACAATTTTGATTTCTTCAGATGCTCACTGCCCACAAATAGAGGGAAAAAGGTTTTAAATCATGATTCCGCACAAGCGGATCCAGGATGGTGGAACTGTTGAGCCTCAGACAGGAACCTTAAATGCCGAGCTTGACCCGGATAGTCTGTGGCGCAGAGGGGACTTGTGGCGCAGAGATCAAGTGAATTAGTCATGAAACACCAAAAGACCTCTTTTGAGAGTCAACAACAACAGCTCGAGAATTGGTAAAGGTATCCTATGCCCAATCTTCGCACAACCCAAGACATTATCTGATGTGAAAGACTCATTGCCATCACCATCATTGTTAATAACCTTTTACTTTTGCCTGCCTTCGAAATTCTCCACTCCATTACCAACGTCCATAATTTATAAAATTCTTTCACTCAAAAATAAATTGGGTTTAAATAAATCTTTGCTAGAACTGCCAAATAAATTCTATCTGTTACAGCTTCAGTATTTTTATCACTTTATAGGCCAACTTTTCGACATAGTATTTTGATTTTTATTAGCCAGACATAAAGTGGTTTGGCCTTGAAACATCCCTTAACCACCATCAACAACAATAATAGTTTTCTTAAAAGCAGTTCTTTGCAAGAATCTAATTTTTTCAAGCTATAAATAATCAAATAGAATACTTATTTTTGATGCCAAGTTTTACTGACGAAAATAATTTTGCAGAAGTATCCTTCTTATGTTGTTTATGGAACCATCTGTACTGTATCCGTTTAGTTTTTTGGCATTCACAATGGAAAAATGTGTATTCTTTATGAAGTAAAATTGAATCAAGTTTGAAAACGATCAATTGGCACTATGGGTTTTCTACCTGAGTGCTGGGATTTGATGAAAGCTTTCATCTATAATGCCAGTAATGATGGAGTTTCTGCATGTCTTGTGTTTCAAGACCATGTTGATAAGAATGCCATAATGACTTTTAGTCATGTTTTGGATTTAGTGATGGCTTCAAGTTCAATGTATAGTGAAGAAGTAGTGAATGGGCCGATGAATAGCTAAGGATTTTATCAGTTTATATCTATAGTTTCTTTTAGGTGATACGATATGTTTCGTTTTTTGCTGCCTCTTTTTTTTTTATACATTTAACAACAAAGGTTGCAGAAAGGGAAGTCTCTAATCAAAAAATTATGAAAATCATCATTCTATCCACAGTAAGAATTTAACAATATAAAACCTTAATGAGGGCTAGTTATATTCACGTATAAAACAACAACAATATGTTAGTGCCTACACTGGAATTCAATTAACAATTTATAATCAAAACCATCAATAACTAAAACATATTGACAAACTTCTTGGGCATTAAGTTAGGCACCTAGAGTAAGTCTTCATAAGTTTCTATTTGTGAGATGTGTATGAATATCTCTGAGGTTCAAACATTGGTTAAAATTGCAGTGCATAATATAGTTGCAAACTATCGGTGGATGCTGGATGATCCCGTTAAATATTACACTTACCCCAGCATCATCGCAGTGTCTCAGAAGTAACACAATTGCAGCAGTAATTAGATATCACCAATATACAAACCAACTGGTTGCTCAAATCACCTTTGTTCCCATTGAATTTCTGATACATGTAAATCTCTTAATAATATCCACTCTGTTGCCCACCTGTTTGTCAAAAAAACCATACAATGCCATCAAATAAACCAGAGAAGAATGATGAAATGACCATTATTGACAAATCAATATGGTCAATTAACAACCTTTTAGAAAAATACAACTCATTTAAAAAGTCCGGATCAGCAAGCGATTTTTACAAGTTTATAGCTCAAAATGGGTATTTATTTCAAAAAAAATTCAACACACAATATGAAACTACAACCACTCATGAGAAAGCTTACCTCTTCCTATCTCAACTACAGCTTCCAATATTTAGAAATATCAGCTCCCTTATAGTTCCATATAAATTGGTTAATCATAAACCAAATTTTGGAAATCATCATGTTTTTCCTCAAACCTATCAACTGGTGATTAGAAACATATACAGATTAATGCACAGCAATCAAAACAATGAAATTCTCTTAAATTCACTAACAAAAAATCTTCAAAACCTAACCCAAAATGAAATGGAAATAACAAACGATGTTGTGATAGACTATATAGTAAATTTTTTCTCAGTCAGCACATTTCTCTCCATAACTTATCCCAACTTACAACAAGACAACACAATCCAAAAATTACAAATCAAACCAACCTCAAAAAATTCAAACGACTCTTTTGTGCAAATCCTGCCGTATCAAACTTCATCAATTTCTACCAATAGAAATAACTCTATTTACGATCATTTTCATATGGTGATTTTAAATGGTAAAAATGAATTTTCCAACTCCGAAATGAGACTTTGGCTACAAGAGCTATTGAACTATATTACCAAAACCCCGAACAGGATACTTGCACCATTAGATTTCTTTAATAAAACAGATATCATTATAAGTGATGAACAAAATATCTATGAAATTTTATTACACCGCATTCTAAATCCTATCAGCAGTTTGATATCACCGCAAAAACTACAGTTAGGTCATCGTGTTCTTAGTAAACATCTCAAAATTAAGGATATTAAGGATGCAAATACACAATTCAAAGACATAAAATTCACAGTAATTCCAGACACCTGCTTCCAACTAACTAGTAACGGAGATATCATATTTCCAGTGGAAATTAAATTGCCGAATATCAAAAATTATTTTCAAAAATTATTTTCAAAAATTTGTTAAAGCACACTTTGAAAATAACGAAATTTCATCAAAAATCAATCCATTCAAAAATATTCTATCCCAAGGAATTTTCCAATGTTTATTGGGCACAACAAATGCCGGAATTATATCTGATTACTCACACTGTTTAATTTTCGAGTTTTCATTTGATGTAAAAATATCAGAGGATGTTTACGGAATAAACATTTGTAACATGAAAAGATGGACATTAAATGCAAACTTCTCAACATGTCAAAACCCAATATTGATGGTTGCTCATCCGTTGCTGTTCTTACTTCATTTATTTTAAAACAATATTTATTTAAGTCCCGATTATCTTCTGTTGAGCGAAAAGCAAATAAATTCAAATGTTTAAAAATTTTAGATGCCCTACGGATTTCAGAGCAAAACAATACAAAATTAATTCGCCAATCATATAATTTACAAAATCATTACTTCAAATTGTTTAACGATAAAAATGATATCGCTCCAGATTTAAACTTGACAGATGAGGAACATGAGGAAATGAAAAAATTGCTTAACAATGCCAAACAAATTTCTAATGATATTAAGCAATTTGAAATTGAAGAAATCCTACAAGGAAGTGAGCCTGGAAAAATATAAAAAAAAATCATTTTTATTTTATAGACTTCGGGTCCTCGACAATTAGTAACAATAGACAATGAAGAAAAACTAGCACTGGCATGAAGAAAAACGGGAAGGATAATGATTTCACTAAAGACCTATGGAATGATTGCAATGCTCTTCATAATGTGATATTTCATCAAGCGTCGTACACCATGATATCAGATTGGTTTTTAAACAGCAAGAAAAATGAGTTTGTGGATATTGCAAAAAATTACTTCAATTCAGAGAATGAGAATTTAAGGGTGAAATCTACAAAACAGAAAAAACGAAAGAACCAGCCAAAAAAGACACTTTCGAAGCGTAAGCACCAAAAAATTACTAAAGAAGGAAGAAATTAGATTATAGCCCAAAAAATTCTATCAATTTTAAAAACCCAGCATTAATTAAAAACTAAAAAAATATTTGAAGGCATATATAAACACAAATACATACTTTCATGAAAACCAATTTGTAGGTATATGTGTTGTAAGAGTTCATATTGATTTCGACAAAGCATATTATTATTTTTTAGTTCTTCCACGAAAACCTGCCACTCTTAATTTTGCGAAATCAATAGTTTCCTTAGCTAATTTTATTTACAGCAATGTACCTTTTTGTGCTGGTGAATCTAAAAGGCCAACAGTGTTAAGGTAACTAATATAAATACCTATTTGGTTAAAATCAGTATCTTTTCCAGCAGAGACATCGACAGCTGTGAATTGTGGATGAGGTTTCAAATACTATTCTTGGGTATCCAGTTATATGGCACATCTTAACACTTTTATCAGCACTAAATGTTGCAGCAACAACAGTTCTAGCAACGTGGTTAGGAGATACATGATTGACATTATTGGATATTTAAGGAAAATAATTAATTTGCAAACAATCTTTCAACATTCTCCAAAGAAAGTCATCTGTGCTTATACAACCTGATTCCATATCCCCATTAATTTAACCAGGTCTGATTATGGAGCCAGAAGGAACTCGTTCACCAGCTTGTTTACTGTATATTCAGCTACCCATTTATTTTGTCCGTAAGCAGTTCTGAGCCCAGTAGTAGACCCATGCAATGTATCAGATTCAAGAGCACCACTTTTACCTTTTTCAATTAATTTTTCAAATAAATCTAAAAAATTATTTGTATCAATTGCTGAAGTTGTAAAAACAAATGAAAAAATTTATGTTTTCCAATTTTATAAATATTAAGATTAACAGTATAAATAACATTAGAATGCTTTGGCTTAGAGTAGAAATAATCCCAATGAACTAACGCACCGTTATGAATAATGTAATCAAAACTGCTGACAGGATTAATAAATTTATCTTTGCTTTTATCGCTAAATTGGGCCTGTGACGAAATACCAAGAAATATTTTGATTCTATTGTCAAAAAAACCTTTCCATGCATTATAAGTTTTGCATCTTCTAAATTTTCTCTACACCCTTAAGTTCTGTTTCAGTCCAGACATGAGCAAATACAGCAATATTATTATGACCTGATGGGGATACATTTAATAAGTCTGGCAAAATATCTAAACCAACAAAACCAGTGACCTCAGTTACAAAAGCTTTGATAGAAACATCCTACAAATGACCGAATTTTGCTGAAAAGAAATCCTTTTCTATCAGTCCTGACTATGTTTTTTTACATCAGAATACCTGAGAGCTTCACTTTCAAATTCAACACCTTCGTCGAGCGAAGATTCATCTGACGTTTGTCTGACCCAGTTTGAAAATGCTTTGAGATTGCTTCTGAGAACAGTTCGGAACTCGTCTCCCAATCCCTTTATCTTGGAACATTTCGTGACCCGGCTGTATATTTGTGCGGAAAAGGCTGTGTACTGCGCATACGGGTAACACAAGCTCTTTCCGACCTCCAGCTGAGCGACAGCATTTACTACTCCATCCATCTTTGATCTGAGGCACAACATCAACAGCTTTCCTACCAGTTTCTCCACCATCAACCAAAGATGAAAATATACTTAAACCGAAACCCTAGAACACTCATCTTGACATCGAAGACGCATGCTCTCCTATTTAGATATACGAAATCTAGCTCTCTGAGCTCCAATTCTTCCAGGACCTCAGTTCATGTGGAATTGCTTGATCTAAATGTCATCAATTTAAGTAGAAAAGGCCTCGTCAAACTATCAAAAAACGAAATTCATGGCTTTCTTGGTTTGATTAACATTGGTTTAAATACTTTTCTATGTGCTATAACCTCCAAGTATCAGGTTGCTACTCCTCTAGCTCATCACTCCATTAATAGAATCTTATCAGTTGAGTTCTTTTGCTTGAATGATGCCAAATGGGATAACTACAATCTAAACCAAATCAACACCAATAATTTCATAAATAACAACTACAACAACAATAGCATTAATCTCAGCACTTTTGATACTTTTACTGCCACAGAACCTAATATAAATTTAATCGATCATCCTTGTTTGGATTTACAAAAATTGTTAAGCAATGGTTCTTTTTACTATTCCTCGGATTTCGATTTAACAAACAACTTGGAGACTAGAGGGGTCGTATCAAATTCTTTAAGTTTTGACAACTATCAAGATGAATATATGTGGAATTCATTCATGATGACTGAAATGATTCAATTCAGAAATAAATCATCCACTGATTTTAAGAAAATTCTTGACAATAATGGATTTTTAACAACTGTTATAAGGGGTTTTGCAAAAACATTCCAATCAAATATTAAACAATATAAAGCCGACTTGACTTTAATTTCAAAACAAAGCTGGAAAAGAGCAGGTACGAGATACAATGCAAGAGGTGTTGACGACGACTCTAATGTCGCAAATTTCGTTGAAACTGAGATAATTTTGCATTTAATAGACCATATTGTATTTTCTTTTGTTCAAATCAGAGGTTCAATTCCTTTGTTTTGGGAACAAGAAACACAATCTTTAAATTTATCCACCCCAAAGGTTCAAATAACTAGATCCTTAGAAGCAACTACCCCTATTTTCTTAAAGCATTTCGAAGATCTAATGCAAAACTATGGCTCCATTCATGTTGTCAATCTTCTATCCAAATCAAAATCATCTGAAGTCCCCTTGTCCAAAAGCTTTTCGAAATTAATTCATTATTTGAATAATTTAAATAAAAATCAACAGCCAGTTGACTATTGTAACTTTGACTTCCATCAAGAAACAAAAACTCAAGGCTACCAAATGGCCAAAAGAGTTATTCCATTGATTAAAAGCAACATGTATCTTTTTGGTTATTTTTCCTATGACTTGACTCAACAACAAACTTTATCAAGACAAAAGGGCGCATTTAGAACAAACTGTCTTGATTGCCTCGATAGAACAAACTTAATCCAACAAGTAATATCAAATGCAATACTTGATATGATTCTAGATGATTATAAACTAGTTTTACCCAGTGAGTTTGATTTTTTCAAAAAACACAACGTACTATGGGCCGATAATGGTGATCAAATCTCTCAAATATATACCGGCACAAATGCTTTAAAGTCTTCATTTTCAAGATCTGGGAAAATGTCCTTAAGTTTAGCCTTATCTGATGCAACAAAATCGGTCAGCAGAATGTACATCAACAATTTTGTTGATAAAGGCAGGCAATTAACTATTGACACATTATTAGGAAGATTAGCAGAACAAAGTCCTGTTCATTTATTTGATCCTATAGCTGACTATGTCAATGATGAATTATCCAAAATTGAATCCAAGTTTACAACTTTTGAAAACTTGAATATTTTTGTCGGCACATTCAATGTCAACGGATTGACTCCAAATTTTAATAAACTATTAAATGAGGATGACCCTTTGCATTTCATTGAATGGCTATTTCCAATTAAAGACAAATTTATCCCAGATATATTTATCATAGGCTTCCAGGAAGTTATTGAACTAAATGCTGCAAGTATCTTGAACAGCGATAATTCCCAGTCAATTGTTTGGCAAGATATTATTGGTGACGTTTTGAATAAATATGGTGAAGATAAGGGAATCAAATTTTCTCTTATAAGAGCAGAACAAATGTCTTCGTTAATTTTCCTATTTTTTCTAAGAACAAGCAAAGTCGAAAACATCAAAAGAGTTGAAGGTTCAAATAAAAAAACTGGTTTAATGGGAATTTCTGGAAATAAAGGTGCTGTTGCAATTAGATTCAACTATGGCTCCACGAGCTTTTGTTTTATAAATTCACATCTTGCTGCTGGAAGATTAAACGTTAAAGACCGCAATGATGACTACCTGATGATAGTACACAGCTTGAAATTTACTAAAAATCAATCAATATTTAATCATGAAGCTATAATTTGGCTAGGTGATTTAAATTATAGAGTTGAGTTGGATAATTTCGAAGTCAGGGGAAGACTAGAAGATGAGGAAAATGTCAACTTTGAAGATCTCTTGAACTATGATCAATTACTAGCTGAGATCGACAAAAATGGCGCTTTTAGAAATTTTGATGAAATGGAAATCAAATTCAGACCAACTTATAAATTTGATAATAACACTAATAGGTATGATACTTCGGAAAAACAGAGAGTACCATCTTGGACAGATAGAGTTTTATACAGAGGTAACGCCTTAAAACCATTGGCTTATAATTCCATTCCAACAGTTATGTTTTCCGATCATAAACCTGTGTTTGCAGCATTCAAGGCTACAGCCAAAGTGGTAAATTACGAGCTAAGAGAAAAATTTTCAAAGGAACTATACGAAAAATACAGAGTAATTCATCAAAACAACAACGATGACTTGCTCATTGATTTAGAAGGTTTAGACGGTCCAAATAATATTGCTCAAATAAAGAAAACAACTACTGTTATTGAAAGTAGAAATAACTCGCCATCTCCATTATTGAACAAAAAGTCTTTTACTTATGACACTAGACTCTCACAAACTTATGCTGATAACCAAAGTGCTTTATCAAGTGCCTCTAGCGTCAAAAAAGATACTTTGGATAAAAACGCAGCTCAAAGTTCAGAATTGATTTCCATATCTAGTTTTCAGTCACAATCAGAACTTTCTTCTGACGAAGAAATTGCACCTAAGATACCTGCCCGAACTTCTACTCTTAACAGTTTTGGAGTTCCATCTCTACCATCAAATGAAAGTAAAAATTCAACGCCTGTTCCACCAGCTCCACGCAAAAACCTTCCTCCTGGTTATTCTGATATGATTTTACAGCCCAAACGCATTTCTTCAAAACCATCAGTTTCCACTAAAAAACAAGGAGAAAAAACTAGTTCCAATAGTTCTAAAATTAGTAGCAAAATCGCTAAACCAACAAATAACCCAAATAGCGCTCCAACTTTTCAATCTTTGTCTCAAAGCACAGAATTTTTTCACAAGATTTCATCAAAATCATCAGCAAAATCATCTAGTGACACTTTTAATGAATCCCATAAACGAACCAATAGTATTTCAAGAGTTCAAAGTTTGACTAGTAATTCCTCCATTGAGATCAATAAAAACCCCGATTCGAAAAATCCAATTTTTATTAATCAATTGGGAATGAACAGTGCCCCTTTAATTCCAGTTAAGAAACAAAATCTCAAAGCAAATAATTTATCAGATCCTCAATTTAATAAACCTGGAAATACATCTACGAAAGTCGCACCGATAGTTCCAAAGAAGCCCGATCATCTTCGAGCTTCACAAACAACTGCATATTAAAAAAAAGTATTTTTTCATGTATTTTTCAATGTCTTATAGAAACTTTTATAGTGTTTATTAATATACAATATATACTTTGGCTGATTAATGATTTTTTCATGCAAAGTGGTAGTTTTATATCTATTTTAATAGTTTTCATAAAAAACAAAGGGAGGATAAAATTTTTATTTTATAACATTCTTTCTTTTTCTTCCTCTCGCTCTGGTTGTAGGCTTCCCATTAGTGGATACCCCATTTCCATTACTGCTTAGTTTTGAACCATTGGTTGATCTTTTGTTCGCAAATGGTTTTTTGCTTTTTGGTAATGACAAATCATCATCAATTGATGATGATTTTCGTTTCCTAGAACCATTAGAAGGCAAAACTTTTTCTGCTGATGCTTTTGAATTTGTTTTTGCTTTTCCTTTTACTTTTGTTTTTATTTTGATTCTTTGATTTTCTTCTGACTCGTGTTCTTTCACTAAACAGGATAATAGTGTTTGACATCTTCTTGATAATTCATTATTATTCCTACTTTTAAGAAAAAAATCAAAAGCAAAAATGGGAGATTTTCGAATTTCTTCTCTGATTCTATCATATAAATCTTCTGTAGAAATTCCATATTTATACAACATTAAAATTAAAAATCTGTCTTCGTCTTCACTGAATAACTTTTTGTTAGCTGTCTTAGGGGGGGATAATAACTTCAATTCAAATAATGGAATATGATAACTCTCAACTTTCCGAATAAGAGCTTTCTCTTGTAACTTGATTTTTTCTGATTTTTCTTCACCAACTTCAATTTGATTTATATACTTATCATGGTTATCTATGCAAGTAAAATTGTTCCAAAACTTTTTGCTATAATCTAGGATTTCTTTATAGCTTTTGCCTTCAAAATCTGCTGCAATAGATTTCAAATTTGTTCTTCCATGCTTTCCACTCAAATGAATAAAGGTTGTGAAATCTCGTCTTGACCAGTTATCAAACCCTTGTGTAAGCAATTCATTTTTTAATTTTTCTTCATTTTCAGTCAATGGTTCAGCATTTCTAATTGCTAACTGTTGTAAAGCTTGTTCATTTTTTCTTTTTTCAAAAGTTGTTGGAGGTCCTTCAACTAAAGCTACTTCATAATTGATTCGTTTTTTATAAAAATTTTTCTCTTTCTCTAATAATTCATGAAGTAAAGGAGGATAAAATTGGTGGTCGTAGATTGAGTATTGTTTTGGGGCTTTGATTTTATTTTCTTTTGCAGGCCGGCCACTGTTGCTATTTAAAACATCTCTATAGTACATGTCAACTGAATAATTCTCTTTTCTTTCTCTTTTGGAAGGGTTGATCCATTGGAAGGCTCCCAGAGGCCCTTTGATTTTTTGATGGATGACTTTTTTGAAGTCTTTACCATCCCATTCATATGCAGAATCAGAAGTAAATTTTTGTAAATCATCCAATCCTAATTTTTCATATTTAGAATTTAGCTCATTGGTTTTTTCTTCTGATTTTTTTAGTATATTTTCAATATCAATATCAGACACGGGAGTGAATTTATCTGCAGATTCAAATACATCTTGTGCACCATGTTGAATCATTGAAATTAATTCATCTTTTGTGGTTGACTTATTGTGCTGAGTGGAAGCCGTGGATGGATCTCCAGAATTTCTGGCTTGTTGAATAACTAATTGATCCAATCTCAATTTTTGAGTTGCTCTCTCTAATACTTTTTCCTCAATAGCATTCTCTGTAACCAATCTAAAAACTTTGACCTGTTTTTTTTGACCAATTCTATGCGCTCTATCCATGGCTTGTAAATCAGCTTGAGGATTCCAGTCTGAATCATAAAGAATAACAATATCTGCGGAAGTTAAATTAATGCCTAAACCACCTGCTCTGGTAGTTAATAAAAACAAAAACTTTTCAGAATTAGGCGCATTGTAATCATCAATTGCCTTAATTCTATCAGAGTGCTCAGTTTGACCATCAATTCGACAATAGTTAAATTTCCTTAAATAACAATAATCCTCCAAAATATCTAGCATTCTAGACATTTGAGAAAAAATCAACACTCTGGAACCATCTTCTTTCAATTTTTTCAATAATTTGTCTAAAACCTTTAATTTATGAGAATTATATACCAAATGTTCATCAGTGGTAAAAGGAGGACCCGGCTCAGCACCTTCAAAAAGATAAGGATGATTGCAACACTTTCTAAGCTGCATCACAACATTTAATAATCTCGTTTTATTACCTTTTGCACCACTGACAATGTCAAAATCTTTTTCAAGTATTTTTTTATACCATGTTTTCTGCATGTCAGACATTTTCAAGTATAAGTTAAGTTCTTTCTTGGGAAGTAGAGAAGTTTCAACGTCGGCTTTAATACGACGTAAAAGAAAAGGCTGAAGAACTTTATGTAGTTGTTGAACTAATAAACGTTGTTGGTTAACTTTTTTTTCTTCTTCTGTGTCCAAAACCTCCGAGTTATTTATCTCTGTTTGACTTTCATCTGAATTTTTGGCGACACCGTTGTTGCTTGAATTTTGAAACCATTCATCAAATGTATTAGAATCAGAAAAAACATCGGGTAATATAAAATTTAATAATGCCCAAAGCTCGTGAAGATTATTTTGTAGAGGAGTACCAGTGATTAATAATCTGTTTTTGGAGGTAAATAATCGAATTACTTGAGATAGTAAACTTTTCTCATTTTTAATTCGATGGGCTTCGTCAATAATTACATATTCCCAGTTAAATTTTTTCAAAGCAGCTTTTTCTCTTAGAACTAGCTCATATGAAGACACAACGACATCAAAATCACAGGGCAATAATCTAGACTTGACTATATCCGCTCTTGTTTGTTTATCACCGTTTAAAAGTAAAACGTTGACTTGTGGAGTCCATTGTTTGAATTCTCTGAACCAATTATCCAAAGTAGATTTCGGTACAATGATTAGATGAGGGCCTTCAATGCATTTTATGTACCTTAAATAACCCAATAAAGCAATGGTTTGTAAAGTTTTGCCTAGACCCATTTCATCAGCAAGAATTCCAGATAAATTGTATTCGTATAAATTAATTAACCAGTTTAACCCCTGGACTTGATAAGAACGCAATAAACCATTAATATAGCCAGGAGATTGAGTGAATTCAAAGATATTAGAAGTATTTTCATTTTTTTCATCACTTAGTAATTCAGCATCTTCTTCTTTTTCAGTTTTCCTTCTTCGTTTTCCATTTTGGATTTTCAAATTCACAGTATTCAACAACTTTTTAAAATTTTCATCCTTTTCAGCTTTCGAGTTAAAAAAAAGTTTAAATAAATCAGTCAAGGATAATAGATAAGTGTATCTTTTATAAATCTGAGATTCAAGGATTATTTTATTTTGTTGGGTATTACTCAGTTGAACACAAGACAATAAGTATTTTTTTTTCTTATCTTGATTTGGCTTTGAATCGATGTCATAGCCTGCATAGTTAGCTAAATTATAATCAGAGCTTGAATATTCAGAATTTGTAGGGGAGTGACTCCTAGATTGGTTTCTTGATGTCGAAGAATCTTCTGATTCTTTAGGTGAAGTTTGTTTTGAGAATGAATTCTCAGTAACTTTTTCATTATTTTTGCCATTAGTTGTGGCAATGATTGTGTTAATCGGTGAAGTAATATTATTGTTAGTGGTATTATTGGAATTAGAATTGTCGTAAATTTTTTTTGGTTCTTGAGTTGAAATTTCAGAATCACTTTGATTTATTTCAACAAAGTCTTGTGTTGAAGGTAGATCGATCATTTTAACAAAAGAATCATTATTTTGATTTAACAATTGGGCACCAGCATGATCAGTATTGACAGAGCTTATGGTCATTTTTAAGCCAAAATAAATATACTCAAAATAATAAATAAAGTAAATGAAGGGTGAACGAGAAAAAAACGAAAGATTAAGTAGTGATAGAAAAGTTAGAAAGATGAACCCAACACCAATAATTCAATATTAATCGCAATTCACGCAAAAGTTGTGAGGCTAGTGATGTCCAAATAAAGTGATTTGTGGCGCAGAAACGCGAGAATCAGACTCAAAAAGCAAGGAAAAATTGTAACAAAAAATACGTGTTTTGCGATGAGAAAGTTCACGCAGTCTGTCACGCAGTCTGTCACGCAGTCTCCCTTAATGAAGAAAATAACTCCTTTCGATCCATTTTGATCTTTTTATAGCAACCACAAACAATAACTGTCAAGTTAGTGCTTTGGTCCTAATAATGATTCTGATTCGGACAATTGGAATATTTGATCTTCCAAAAATGCAAAGAACAGTCAAAGCAAATATTAAGAAAATAAATTCAAAATAACTGACGCCGCTATGATATTGCAAAAATAGAGAGGATAATAACACGTCGAGTTTTTCTATGGTTTCATTTTGCAGCTGAAAGCAACTGGTTCAATTGTAATTTGTTTCTTTCCACCGGTTCTGGATAATTGAATAATGTAACTGTGATAAATACTATGGTTGAAGTGGTCGTTCAATCCTGATTATACCACCAATTCTCAACATCCCCATAATCCAAATGGCTATATACCTCTGGAAAGACGTGTTTCGGGGAAGTCCGGCACAATAAACGTGACTTTTCAATTTCATTAAGACCCGACAACGTTAGAGCCCTGAGAAGCTAGGGCTTGAAATTTTCGATCGGGCTCATAACCATCCCATTTCCAGAACCAAAAGGCGATATCATCACGCCTTTATAAAGGGATAGTTAAAAGATTGCAATTTGATCATTGATTGTTTGATTTTCAATTCGATTTCACTTTTAACATCAATATCAGTATCAGTATTAGTATCAATTTCTATTTTAGATTACTTTTATCTTCCTTGTACTTTTAATTTCGATTCTAGTTTAAATTTCAATTTTATCCTCTGTTTATTATTTTTTTTTCTATGTCTTCAGGCAGAAACTCTTCCAAAGCCAATCCTGAAGCTCCCCCAGGTTTCGAAGATGAGTATCAGTTGCAGTCACCAAAAGGCGACATCAATCAAGAGAAAAGTAATGCAAAACCATTTTCAATAGGTGAACAAGATTTGAATCCTCCAACAGGAAAATATCCCAATATGAAGCCATATTTGGATCCTTTATCTGATTTTTCCAGTCCTGGATCATCTGGGGGAATGTATCCCACTCGAAATGATCCACTATTCAACCCACAAAATAACAAAGCAAATAACAATCATCCTTTCAACTCTCGATATGATGATCCAATGACTGGAGGCGATCAATTGAATTCAATTGGTCAAGGATTGCCAGCCAATCCTTCTCTAAATGATAATAGGTTTAATAAAAATAATTTTGGGCCTAATTATCCTGGATCAACACCTTTTGATAATGGTTTTAATGGTCCACCTGGTCCACCTGGTGGATTTGGTCCTGGTGGATTTGGCTTTGGGGGCAACTCTTTTTAATTTTTTTTATGTTCTATGTTTGTCCTGTCATGAATTACAAGTATTTGATCAGCAGTTTTAATTACAAGTGGGTTTTTTTTCTTTTAATTGACATATTTATATATAATTACATTAAGAGTTTTAGTAATATTGTGTTGTTTCTATTATCAATTTGTAAATATTCATTTTTTTCTTCACTTTGTATATACATCATGTATTGTTTTTTCATTGATATAATGAAAGAATACTAAACTATTAAAAAAAGGAAAAAAATAGAAAAATTATTAAGAGTTATAAAACAGTAAAAGAAATGCAAGTATTATAAAAACCAAATACACTAAAAATTCAAATTGTCAACAAATCAAAGAAAAAACAAGTCAAAATAAAAACAAAAATTAAAAAATTAAAAAATTAAAAAATTGAAAGATTAAAAGACTAAAAAATTAATATGAATTAATGAACAATCAAATGTAAAATCAATAATAAAATGAAAGATTTACAATTTGAAAATTTCCATCTCAGGCTTTTAATTCCAAACTTTAAGAATAAATAAAAAAAACAGAAAACAAAAAAACAAAAAGGCAATAACTCACAACAAAATCCAAGAAATAAAAATAAAATAAAATAAAACAAAACAAACAGCATGTCAATTCTATTCGGAATCTGAAGATATATCTTCAACATCATCGTCCAATCCAATATCTTCCTCCCAGCTTTTTTCAACTGTTTGTCTAACTCTTTTGGTGTATTGAGACCTATGATCTTTATAAAGATTGGCGGCTTCAACGTTAGCAGGACTAGCGATGTTTGGATCATTTAATAAAGATTGGATAGAGGTTAATATTGAGGAGACATCATAGGTAGGAGACCACCTATTTTGTAAAATATCAAGACACAATTCACCAGAATTGTAGACATTTGGATGAAACATTTCGGACAAAAACTTCACTGATGGAGGTTTATTGGGGTACTGTTCATCGAACTTCAAGGACAATCTGAAAGTACCATCTTCAAATGGAGTGTCAGCTGGCCCAATGATAACAGCATTCCATATCATAACATTGTCAGGTAATGGAGAAGCATTCAATCCAGCTGGGGGGTCGCTTTGCATTCTCTAATTGTCAGGATTGATTAGTAACTATCGAAAAACAGAAAAAAAAAATAACCCAGCAGGTAACATACCTTGAAATCTCTCATGAGACGTCTTCTGGCCGGAGTAGACATTGTTGGTGAAGAAGTGGAAAATGAAGTTGATTAGTTGGCTCAAAAACAAAAGTGAATAGCACTGGCAACACTGTGAAGTCTGAGAGGTGTTTGAGGTCTGTGAGGTCTGTGGTGGTTCCCCAAACAGTGAGCTCTGGGGCAAATCCACCACCAACCGCAGCCACTGGCCGGCACACGTGGTTTGCCACTGCTTTCCACCGGACTGCGGGCAGCTCCCGGCTGCTTGCCGCCGAACCGCTGCGCTGGTACGTTCCAGTTACCTGGCCCAAGGTGCTTTTGTCACGACGGTGTCTTCTGGCTGGGGTCTTTCTCTGCTGCCTGTGCTGCCTCTACTGCCTCTGTTGTTCATGCCCCGGGCTCTGGAGCTATTGATTTTAATGTCCCTCTTTTTGTGGAGCGATCTGGCATTCATGTTTCCCATGTTCCCCATGCTGGCCATGTTTATCGGCGATCTTGGAGGACTCGTGGAGGTGTTGACTAAATGTTTGTAGCTTTCAATTGAATTCACTGATAACCGTCTTAAGTTTGAATAGCTGCTGTCGTTGGTGTTTCCGCTTCCATTATTATTCTCCAGGTTTGGCAAGACCGTAACTGGACTGAAATCTAAGCTAGAATTTAATGTGTCTTTATTGTATCTCAGCTCGACAGGAATCTTTCGTAGATTATTATTTTCATATTCATATCCTTCATGTTTGTTTTTGTAGTCATTTTTCCCCTGTTTGTTGCAGTTATCATTGCTGTTCAATAGTTCCTCTGGTATATTCTCGGGCAATAGCTTGCCTGTATGCATCTCAATCCAAGGATACAATACCCCACCAAAATAAAAATGTTGAATAACAGGGAACTTGTCCAACACTTCTTCATAATACATTTTCATTAACCCTCTCAATATTTTCCTCCATGTTTTAATTCCAGATATATCATATAGCATAGGAGAGTGTTCCCAAAATGCCCCTCGTTTAACTTTAATAATAAATGAAATAGAATTAAAAAATAAGTTTTTGGTTTGATATTTTTTCAACTCTTTTAAATCTAAAAAACTCGATGGTTCTGGTATCACTTTGCTATTGTTATTGTTATTGTTATTATTATTGTTATTGTTATTATTATTGTTATTATTATGAATACTATTATTATCATCTGCTTTTCTTATTATCATAGGTTTTTTGAATTCATTATCGTTTTCAAATAATTCTTTCTTGCCAACAAATTGTGATGCTCCTAAAATATATGAAAAATGAAAATGATCATCTAATCCCCAAACTCCATGACTGCCTGCTGGCTCCAATGTATAATTCAATATCAACTTTCGCACCAAATCATAATATCTGCTAAAAATTAAAATAAAATCAACTCCTTTAACATTCTTAATCACATCACACATCCACAACCCACCAATGAATGCAATGAAATTTAACTCATGCCCAGTTCCATAATCTAGTCTAATTTTGGATCCAAATGAATTCAATACATAGAATTTGATTTCAATTAAAAACGTATCTGCTGATGGTCCTTTATAAAACGGTTCAATTAACAACTCTTTCAATAAATTGTCAATATTATTTGCAACTCTTTTATGCCAATCTCTGTCAGCTAAGTTTCCATATCTTCTTGGCCCTTGAAATGGTGGGATCTCATCCGCATACTTACTAAGAACATCTAATAATTGTAAAACATTACTAACAGCTTTATCACCACCACTGTCCTTAGATTTATTGAATGAGAATGCTGCACCTTTGATTAGACCATTGCTCGATGTTAATATAGTAGAGTTGGTTGATATCTCATGGTCAAAGTCAACAATTCTAGCATCCAAACAGTTTTCAGGGCATTCAATTGAACTGGTCAACTCAATTATTCTATTCATAATTTTCTTTAAATTGTATATTGCCAATGAATTCTGAAAATATCCAGTTCCAACTGAATCATGAATTCTCTTTATTGGATCAATAAAATTGGGATTCTTTCCCAAGGATTCAAATAGTCTTGGTTCATCTATCATTTTGAGTGCTCTCTTATCACTATTCTCGTTATTTGTCAATTGACAATTATAATAAGTTAGCCTTTGAGTGTTATTTAATTCAGAAGCAGTTGCTTTATTATTGTAGCGCTGGATTATGTTGTTGTTTACTCATTGCTCCTTGATTTTTTTTAGCCCTGAAAGACCAAAGACACAAGTCTAAAAACGTGCAGGTTCTTGCTGCAAGCACATGAAAGTTGAAGCAATACCTTTAAACTGTAATTCGGAATTTCTACACAAAAAATACTTAATATATACTTAAATTTAACTTTCATTACAACATCATATATAATCATCATATATAATCGATGGCTTGATATTATTTACTAAAATTCTCTAAAATAAATAATAAAAGATCCACATTAGGCGAGTTTTCCTTGGGATTCTTTCCAGCAACCTCCTTGAATTCCTTAACTGTTTCTTCAATAAGGCTAACCACATCTTTTTGAATTATCTCCTTGGGCACCATATTTTTAATTCCAATCAACAAATTTAAATATGTCAATAACAATTTGAAATCATTCTCATCAATTCCATTTGTGTATTTAGATTTCTTAGATTCCAGATCTAGACTTATGGTGAAATTTTCATCGTCATCCTTATTTATAGAAACAGTAAAAGTCTCCTCCACTGAACGTTTGAATAACTCAATAATCTCTTGCAACCTTGGATTCGTTAAAGTGATGAATTTAGAACTTCTGGGTGGTAAAGATGGTGGTTGGGATTGAGATTGTTTTAGAATTTCTGTTTTTTCTTCTGAAGGGTTTTCACCTATTTTCATTCCTTTCAAATTTTCCTCTATATTTGAAATACTATCCTTGATAACTGGTTTATTTCTAGTCAATAAATCTTTTAAAATTCCAACCATTGCTATTCTAGCATTCGAATAAGGACAAAATTCTATTGAGTCTTTTAAAAACTCCCAGCAAAATTCTTCATCACTTAATGACAATATTTTTACAATTAACGTATAAATCGATTGTCTTATATTATTCTCCTTTTCATCAACTGAAATAATAGTTGTTAAAGTTTGCAATAAAATTTTCAAAAAAATTCTCAAATTTTTATCCTTTGAAATATCTTTAATATCATTATTAGTAAGACACTCCCTTGAAATTGATAACCAAAGACCAAAAAGAATACAGTCTTTAATTTCAGTGTACACTGTGTTTCGTTTTTCTGCTATTCTAAAGCTTAGAAAATCTGATAACGTGAGATTTTTATCATTTGAAATCGATAAAACCGGAATTAAAAATCTTATAGATAATAACAAAACATCTTTGAAGTTTAGCAATGAGGAAATAATTTTTTTCTTTGTCATTTCTTCATTAGAGTCTAATTTTTCACTGAATGAAAAAAAACAAATATATAGTAAACCAATCTTCGATAATTTAATGCCATCGTTATCATTATCATTACCAATTTTTTTTGAAAATCCATTACCATTCATTGAAATTAAAGAATTTCTTTTAAAATCATCATTGGAAATCCTAAAAATCTCTCTGATTATAAATTCTTCTCTTAAATTTTGATCTTTAATTGAATTTGAAATTATATTTAAAGTTCCTTTTTCCAGTAAAATCTTTAAATATAATTCCTTTGAATAATTAATAAAATCAGCTTCAAATATTTCTTCCAAATTCAAATCAAATGATTGAGATAATTCCATCAATCTTAAAGTGATCTCTTTCAACATTTCATCATTAGTGGATCTATAATTTCGAATGTTTTTTTGAATCGCATTACTAAAATCATTATTATTTGTTTTATTTTTACTAGTTTCTTTATTTGATTTTGATTTGGAAATAACTGGTTTGTTACATAGTGAGAATTTCAACTGTAATTGTGAATAAAAACTCAAAGATAAACTTAGGTCAGTATATTTTAAGGATAATTCAGCTAAGTGAGTTATAAATGATTGTAATAATTTTCTTTGTAAATATAGTTCGTCTTCAGAAAATTGATAAATATTATCAAAGGTACTATCTTTAGGAGGATCCAATGGTAAAGGAGGTATATAATCTCTTGCAAAAACATATAATCTTCTAGCTAAGAAAGAAAGATTAAGTATCTCATCCACATTATTGTTTAATAGTTTTAAAAGAGCGGTTATTGCCATAACTAAAAACTTTGAAGGACTGTTCGTATGTATTCTCTTTAGTGAAGCCAGTAATAACTCTAATAAAGAATGAAATTTGATATCAAAAAATCTTTCCTTAAGCTCATCATTCGAAAATTGGTCGACTAGGAGTTCCAAATTCAATTGATCTTCATTTTGATTTTCTTCATCTTTATTAGCATCACCGGTTTCCTTTTGCTCATCTTCTTTGTCATTTTGATTTTCCTTGAAGTGGCATTTTAAGGATGACAATAATTCGCAAGCCTTAAGAAATAATTCCTTCGGATTCCCATATCTTGCTAATAGATCAAAGATAGATAAGGACGATTTTATACAAGGAGCATTACTAAGATAACTTTTGAATTTAAAAGAAGAGGATTCTATAAAGTTTATTAGAACTTCAGGCAAATCCCAACCAATTTCATAAATCAATTCATTATTATTGAATTCAACATCATTTCTTAAAATCTCATGTAACGTCGCCAACAATTTTTCCATCTCATCATCATTGTAATTGTTTGAATTTGATAAATAAATGTCAATCAAAGTAGAATAAGAAATAAAATCTTTAGTTTTGATAGCGTCTTTTGCAGCATCATGAAAAAATTGACAAATTTTATCCACAGAAATTGAATCCAGATCTTCCGAAGAGAGTAAAGTGTATTGGGGAGCTAAGAATGCCTCGCTATCTAATCCAGAATTGTCTTCATTGCTTTCAACGTTGGACATTTTGTTTATTGTACCTTTAGTTTCAAAACCAGTAAATTAATTTGAGAGGTAAATTTGAGAAATATATTTCAGAGCAAGAAAATGTTAAGCACATTTTGTTACTAAGATAAAATAAATACAAATGTTGGATGTTTCCCGATTCGCCACACCGCATTAAAATCTGCAAAGCTGCCATTTTCCAGCATATGCACGTGTGTATCCATGAGTTTGGGTTCAGTAATAGGGCTTTTTAGGGCTCCAATATCTGGTTTTGGTTTGATACAATAGAATACATCAGAAAAGCCTGTTGTTTTTCTTAGTTTATGACTTTTTTTTGCTTCAATTATATTTTCCCAGATTTAATGGTGAAAACAAGTACACATTTGTTGCTGATATTAACTATTGGTAAGGTAATGCGATTAATCAATAAAACCTAAAAGCTAATTAAAACAAAAAGAAATAAAAAGGCAAAGAGAGAAAAAAAGATATAAGACACAACTAATGACCAAATTTTAAACCAGATCAAGAGATAAAAATCAGAAAATGCAAAAGGATAAAATAGCAAATTTAAATTGAAAAAAAAATTAAAAAGACGATTATGAAAATAGAAATCTAGAATTAAATTGAAGAAAAAAAATGAAAAAAAAAACACAATAAAAAGGGATAAAGCAAATTAAAAATAAAATATTAGAATAAATTGATATTACAACTTTTTTCATAGTAAAGTGCCACTACAATTCTTGGATATGGTAACCAAGTTCCTCTAGTTTATGAACCGTCCAGAGCCATGTAGCAGCAGCATTATCCATGCTAGAAGCAACACCACTTGGATTAGTTTCTATGCCATGAGTAGCATAATATTTCCCGTTATCTGTTTCAGGAGTCAATTCCTTTGATAATGCACACTTTAATGTAGCATAAGCACCTTCTTCATTTGTTACTCCAAAAAAGAAACCAAATATTTGAAAAAAAATCCAAAATATAATTCCAATTAATGGTAATCGCGTCCAATAACTAAATAAATTGGTGTTCATGACAAATCCAGGATGAACTGCAACACTTAATATTTTCGGATTTTTCAAGGATAACATTTTCATATACTGGATTCCAGCAGTCTTTGCCATTCCATATCGAAACCAAGTAAATAGAATATTCGGTTTGAAATTAAATGTCGAATCCATATTAAATGGATAAAATTGAAATCTATGGCCAATTGATGATAAATAAATAATGCGAGGATCAATCACATCTTTTTTTTCCATTAATGGAATTAGCCTCTGAGTCAATAAAAAATGTGAAATAAAATTAGTCTGTAACTGAATTTCAAATCCGTCTTTGGTTTTTGAATATGGCAAGGCCATGACACCAGCGTTATTGATTAGCAAATTTAAAGAAGACTCTTGGTTCTTGAACGTTATAGACGCTGTTTCAACAGAGTTCAAATCACATAAATCCAATTGTAAAAATTTCAATTCACCACACTTTTTGGAATTCAACTCCTCTTTGGAATAAAAGATCCTTCTTTTCATGGCTTCATTCTTAATTTCCATTGTAGCTTTATCAACTCTGTTTTTACTTCTTCCACCAATGTAAACAACAAATCCATGGAGATATAGATGTAAAACAGTGTACCAACCTATTCCACTGTTACCGCCAGTTATAATGCAAACACGACGGTCTGTAGATGGATTAACGTAAGGCAAGTTATTGGGATCAAATTTGCTCATTGTTGTAAAGCAGGAAGGACTTTAGCATAAAATCTGGCAGAAAGTGCTTTTTTAAAGCTGCTGAAGTTGCTTTCCAGGAGAAAAAACAGCACTCACAAAAATGTAAAAAACAACAGAGATTTCGAATCAAGCTTTGCGTCACGTGAAAGCTGTTTCATGTGCTTCTTTTGCTGTCAATTGGTTTGGAAGTTACGGTTTTCATGTAGACGTGTTTATAAAGTAATTCTAAGTAGAATAAACTGATTATAAGAACAACAGGTATAGAAAACAAGGAAAGAAAACAAGGAAAGAAAACGGAAAATATTTAGAACAGTATTGAGAATAGTAAGAATAAGAGTAAAACAAAGAAATGAAAATAATATGCATAGAAAACAATCATTTTAAAGTCAGATCTAATATTAAAGGTAGATGCTTGACATGAGATTTATTAGGCTTTATTATATTATACACTAGGTGTTTAGCAGCTATCCTCATTGCTTGACAATCAAATATCTTTTTCCTTTTTCCATGACAAATAGCTTGTATCACCACTCTTTCTTGGTGCAACGAGGTGAACGATTAGAAATAAGATAGCCAAAAGGAAACAAATGCCTCCAACCACAATCCAAGTAACACCTAAAAACGAGTTTTTGCCACCGATGATAGATCTTGTAGTTATATAGATGTATTTATTTCCATTGAATGGCTTGACAGGCCAATGTAGCCCAACCACGACTTCATAAGTTCCTTCTAAAAATTTGTCGTCATCATTTCTATAATACAAATTTGAAAATGTTGGTAAACCAGCTGGGTGCATCCAATTTTGAAATTCATACCAAGTTGAAATATCCGGCATATTTTCTTCGGAATAGCCATTTGGAAATCGTTTAATCCAATTTGGTGGAGGAACAACTTCAGATGGATCATACGCAGTTTTCTTGAACCTATTTTTATCGCTCTCCCAAGCAATACCCTCTTGAGTCATATCATAGTCGATAGAGGTCTGGTTAACACCCTTGGGCATTGTAAAAGTGTCATTGAATAATGAGTTTGCAATTAGCCCACATGGATAGTATCTTGTCCCATTGCTATCAACAGATAAAGGTTCGCAGTTTGCACCTACTGTATTTTTAATGGCGTCAAGAGAAGCAGCTTTACCATTAATTTGATCTTCACTAAATGAAACAACATATCTTCTATGGTTTGCATAAAAGTTATTCAATTTGTAGAAAAAGAAGACAGGAGACCCAATGTCATTTGGGATTTGAAATTGTAAATGGCATAACCCATTTTCCTCAGGATCGGATTCAGACAAGTTTACAGTGTATTTCCATTGTGGTTTTATTGAGATATCTTCTTTAAATCTAAAGTCGTAGTAATCATCAGGTATTTCAGCAAAACGGTTCATTGGTGCCTGGCTTTCACATTGTGTATACTCAATAGTTAAATCTTCGACTTGGTTAGAACCATAAAGCATACCGGCTCCCAATGGGATGAATATTATAGCAGTGATTAATAATAATGGAATAACAGTTTTGGGGGTTATTATAGGACTTTGTAAGGATGCAAAATAAAAAAAAATTGGAAAATTAAAGAGATAAAATTAGTAAAAAACTAGTTCATTGGATTGGGTAAAAAGAGTAAAATGAGAAAAATGAACATACTGATAAGCCTTCAAACGTTGCTGTGTAAAACTATTCTCTATAAAGTTATGTTAGAATTTTATGTTTTAAAGATCATTAAATGATATTAAGTAAGATAATTGGCCAACGTACCAACTGGTCTTCTATTTTTCACCTTGGGAGCTTGATCAGTCTCATTATCAGAATCAGACATTGAGTCTGATTCATCATGTTGATGGTGTCTTCTTTTTAAGCTGAAAGGCATCTTCAGATAACAAATAAAGAGATACTAAAGATAATGTAGAAGAACTCAAAGAATAATAACGTGTCTTTTTGATTGTGATTTGTTTATTCTAGTTAGAGGTGATGATTACATCAATAATGGAAAGATTCTGAGTAGGAATCAAACCGATGGAGCGACAAATATATCCGTGAAATCCATTCTCTGATTACTATTCCACCAAAAAGTAATTAGCAAGTGTCAAAAGCAGAAACCGGAGGATGGCCGTTAATGAGCAGAGATTTAATACACGATGGAGATGGGTGGTTTAAAGATTTAATACAAAGTTAACCAATATGATAGCAAGTATGTTCTACACTTATAAAGGCTATCAATAAGATTGTTTAAATTATAAATATAAATATAAATATAAATATAAATATAAATGTAAATGTAAATATAAATAAAAACATTTTACATAAAAAAGGAACTAAAAACCATTTCAATCGTTGCAAGAGAATATAATTACCAGTAGCTAAAAACCATACTGAATCGGAATAAAAATACAAACAAAAACATAAATAAAAATAAAAATACGAATATGAATAAAAACAAAACCAGAAATAATAGAAAAAAAAGAAGGAAATCGATTTATAAAAATCTAATTTGAGCGCTATTTGGAAATAACAGCTTCAAACTCACTAACATTAGTGTAGGCGGAATTAATAGATGCAATGGATGATCTTCTGTTGTGTGCAAAAAGATCATCAGAAGATTGAGTTGAGGAAACACTTTCTGATCTTTTTAACGATTTTGGTATGCAATGTATTGATAATTGGGAAACTCCTTCAATTATGACAGGATCAGAAATTCGATTTGATAAATAAAGATATTCAACTGGTTCATCTCTTATGTTTAAACCTGGAACTAATTCGGTATATGTCATCATTATTTTCAGAAACAAAAAAAAAAGCAGTAAACTAGTGACAAGATTATTTAAGAATTAAAAATTGTGATTGAAAATCGAGACAGCAATTAAATTGGTATTATCGGGAAATTGTAACTGTTTAATAATAAATAAGGGTGATTTGTAGACAAATAGATAAATATATATATATATATTTATGGACAATGAAATATTAATATATTTGTATATTGTGAAGGCGATGATGATGTGAAAAATCAGTTAAATAAAAAATGGAAATTGCCTAATTTATATGCAATTGCAAAATAAGTATAAATCCAAAAAAACCCCAGTGTTTTTGTTTTTGTGTTTCTTTTTGTTATGATGGAGATGTTGACACCAATGGCGAGAAGAGATCATGATGTAAAGGTATCATTCAATGAATTTGAAATTCATTCATCATGAATGAATGATGAAAGAATTACCAAATCCATATGGTGCGATAACTCGAGAAAAATCAAGCAAAAAGATAGCAATCAAATACAATAGCTTTGTTGGTGGGAGGCTAAATTGCTAATCTGCAGTGTTGCAAGTGTTCAATGATGGTGAAAAAGGGTGAGCGAGATTTAAGTTAGCCATTTTTCGCTAGATACTGACTTTATTAGCATCGCTCAAGTCATTTGCGTGAGTTTGATTCATCAAAGATAATGCCATCCACAAAAGAAAAGAGAGAAAATGACAGAGAGGGAACGGAAGCAGTTTGTGAGAAAATGACCTCAGAACAAAGTTTGCGTATGCATGAGATGCTCAACTCCAATATGCACACGTGGTGCAATGTGCATGAACATTGAAAAACGTATGTATATGCATGTTTGAAAGATTCCGTTGCTCTGGAACCAACGCAGTGGGAAATCAGATGCATAACGTTTATTGTTCAATGTTGATATTATTTATTAATTATTATTAGGAAAGAAACAGAAGCAAAAAAAGTTAGAAAAGAAGCAAAAAGATGACATTAAGTTCACATAAACAAAACAGAGAAAACAGTCATCAAGAGAGTTCCAACAAGGCCAGTTCTAATGGCATTGGAGCCAGAACCGGAAGAGGAGGTGCTACTTGAAGCAGATTCTGACTCAGTAGCAGAAGCTTCTTCACTGTCCTCAACCGTAGAGCTGCCAGATGATTCAGATGATTCAGATGATTCGGAGGAGCCAGAGGAGCCAGAGGAAGCAGATGTTATTCCAGAGCTGCTTGATCTGGAGATAGTTGAGTTGTAATTGCTTTGAGTTGAAACAACAGAGGTGGCAGTTGAGTTGGAAAAGCCTCCAGAGGTGGCAGTTATAGTAACAGTTTCTGAGCTTTCTTCAGTGGCTTCGGCTGAAGAATCACTTGCGGTAGTTTCAGCTGAGGATTCGCTTCCAGTAGCGTCTACAGTTGCAAGACTTGATGGTAAACATGTAGTACCTGTTGGAGTAGTTGGAATTGTAGAACATTCAGAAATAGCCACAGTTAAAAATGGCCAGTAGTCATCATATAAACACCATGCACAATCTAAACAATCTACCATCAACTGGTTAAATTGGGAGTCATCTGCACATAAACAATCCAAATCGTATGGACCTGTGTCTGATTCACCATCTTCAGCACACTTTCTAGCAGCCAAAATACTGTATCCACAATTAGCATGACAACCATAAGAAGCCGATTCAGCCTTAGCAAGTGCCTCAGCTAAGGGTTTTGGCAAAGCTGCAGCTAGGGCCTCAGCCAATGGGTTGGCTGCTGAAAGAAAGAGTTGCAAGGAAGCAACAGTTATTATAGCGAACGAATTGAAAAACATTGTTTGATAGTAACCACCAAGTGTGTGTGAGATAGCAGGAAAACGAAAACTGGTTTCTTTTTTCAAACAAGTGGGAAGGAAAGAAAATCAAACACTTTTATAAAAAAAGCTGCCAGGCCCAAGATCAAGATCAAAATCAAAATCATCTGTTTTGTCAGGTTGGGCCTTTCCAATGTCCCTCAAAGAGAATTCAAAAGGAATGGATTCTAAGCCAAAAGTGAATAAATTAAGCAGCACCCTGTTCTTCTCTCCAAAACCCATCCTCCATGCCCCAGAACCTTAAAAGTTGTCGGATATACCGCTGCACGTTTGGAGCTGGAGCTCCTCCATCCTCCTCTGCTTCCTCCTTTGCTGTCTCTTTTGAAGACCTCCAGTTGAAACACCAAAACCAGGCAAGACCAACGCTGCTTGGGGAGCACAGCTGATTATATCGATGCTATATATGTACGGGTTAGTTTCCGATGAGTTTACATATCATTAAATACCTCTCCTGCATAAGATGTCAAAAGTGAAAAATCTTGCTTTTTTCTTATTTTGTTTCACTCCCTTTCCCAAAACTCAATGTAACTTTCCCCTAAGAGTAATACCTCTTTACTCACCTCTTTGACGTCTAAATTGGTAATTTCATACCAACTGTTAGTGGCCTTGTCCAATAGTTGGATTTTCCAGACAAACATGTCCAGGTTCTCTTTCATATTATCGTTTTCGCTTTTTGTCTCAAGAATAATATTGGCTACTAGCTTGTAATAGACTGGTTTTCTCTTGATGTTTCTTTTTTTGCTGTTTTCCAAATAAGCACTCATATCGAGCTTTGATAATGGGAAATTGATAACTATTGGGTTTCTTTCAACTCCACTTAGTCCCTTGATCGAGTTATCTTTACTAAATCTATTGATATGAAATATTAAAACCAGAGGCAATTTTTTAATTTGAAATGTTCTACTCTCTCCTGTTAGCTCTTGGGTTTGAATTCCATTAAATTTATTTAATAGAGTATAAATTGAAATTTGAGGAATCTCCTTAATTGTATTGCCATCTTTAAATAACGGAATCGATGGCAAATCCAAGGTTAATATCCAAAACTTATTTATTGATGAATTTGATTGACTTTTCTTTTCAAATTTCAATATATCGCTTTTGGAATCCTTTTCAACAATAATCGATTGAGATTTGATAATTATCTTTCCCTGGAAACAATTTGAAACAATCGTGTGACTTCTGCGATTATTACTATGGCTGCTATGGATACTATGGATATTACTATTATCATGGTCGTGTTCGTAATGATTAATCTTAACAAATCCATCATGCAAGTTATTCAATAGCCATAATAAAAAATCCTTTGGATCTCTTTGTTGATTGATTGTAAATTTTTTTGAAGATAATAAACTAATGTATTGTAGTAGTTCATGGGGACTAATATGAGGCTTGAATAAATTTTTTGACCAGATTTTTCGAATTAATAATCCGAATTTTGTATTTAAAATGTTTTTATCAATTGTACCAAAGTTGTTCAAATTTAAGAAAAAGTTTCTTAAACTTGAAATGTGGCTCAACGATTGTAAAATAACATTGGCATAATCATTAGATTTAATATTGTTTAATCCGATGAACCCAATTTTATAAATCTTATGATTTAAATCATGAGAATATAATGTTTTTTTAAACTCGTAAACAAGATTGTTATTTCTATTACCGTTATTATATACTGGAACCTTTTGATTTAATTTTTCAATTTGAGATGAATCAAATGTTGGATTGATCAAGTACTTGATATCGTTTAAATTTGATGTATTTTTAATCTCATAATTCTCAGGCAAAATAAAGAATTTTAGGTTGTTTAAATTGATAAAAACATGATGATTATTGTCAATTGAATGATAATAGGCATGAGAGTTTTTCGTTCTTCCTTGATAATATTTTCCACACACTAAACAAGCATAAATATTGATATTTGATAGTGATACTGAACAAATTTTTTCAAAGTCAAAATCTAAACTTGATCTATCAATTGTATCAAGATACATGTTTTCAATAGAGGTATCATTTGCAAGCTTTGAGTTACTCATTTTGATATGTTATTAATACAAAAGCGAAGATAACGAAAGAAGCAGGAAGAATATGAAAGATGAAAGAATATGAACGATGGAAGATGAAAGATGGATTTGTTTTTATAAAATCGGTCTAAGACATTTTGCTCATTTTTCTAATGTCTGAGGTAGGAGAAAAGTTTAAATATCTTATTAATTAATATAATGTAATAATGTAAATAATTTAATGATATCAAAAATCAATATTTTTTTATATTGCTTTTATATCATCTAATCATTGAGTCGTATATTCATTTATTCATTATTATAAAAAGAAAAAAAAATATATTAATATATATTCGAGTAATAAATTGAAAAGTTAAACATCGAGATGTTAAGATATTAATCTATTGGGATATAAATAAAACTGGATAGACATTATATCCTAGGCTTGAATTTTTTCTTTTAAAATGTTTAATAATACATGAGCATCAGCAGCAAATTTTCTAATACCCTCACTTAATTTTTCAGTTGCCATTGCATCTTCGTTGAATAAGAATCTATAGTTGGGTTCGTCATTAATGTAGGAGACCTTTTCATCAGGAGAATCCTTAGCTAATTCTTTTGATAGGACAACAGGGAGATCCTCATTTGAGTTTAGTAATTCTTCTAATAAACCTGGAGAGATGGTTAAGAAATCAACACCGGTTAAGGCTTTAATTTCTCCGGAATTTCTAAATGAAGCACCCATTACAATTGTATCATAATTGAACTTTTTATAATAGTTGTAAATTCTTTTAACAGAAATGACACCTGGATCATCAGCACCAGAGTAAGATTTGCCAGTGCTTGCTTTATACCAGTCAAGAATTCTGCCAACAAATGGAGAGATCAAAGTCACACCAGCTTCAGCACAGGCAACGGCTTGAACAAAGGAAAACAAAAGAGTCAAGTTACAGTGGATTTTGTATTTGGATTCCAAAATTTTAGCAGCTTGAATACCTTCCCAAGTGGAAGCAATCTTAATCAAGATTCTGTCCTTTGAGATGCCTTGAGACTCATACAAGCTAATGATTTTCAAGGCCTTTTCAATTGTTGCATCTGTATCAAAGGACAAGGTGGCATCAACTTCAGTTGAGACTCTACCAGGAACAATTTTAAGAATTTCTTTACCGAATTCAACTAAAAGACGATCTAAAGCAGCTGAGGCCTGTTCTTCTGGAGTTGAACCATTTTGCTTACCATATTGAATAGCAGTATCAATCAATGAAGCATATTCAGGTTTTTTGGCAGCGGCCAAGATCAAAGAGGGATTGGTAGTGGCATCTTGTGGGGTATATTTGGCAATTGATTCGAAATCACCAGTATCAGCAACAACAGTGGTGACAGATTTTAATTGATCAAGAGTAGAAGGCATTGGGAGCAAAATAAGGTGAGAAGAGAGCTGGTACAGGGAATTGGAGAACAGAACAACACAGTAGAATGCAATTCAGTATTGAGCAGAGCAGGTCAGTAAGCAAAAGAGAATAAGAGAATGGCTGTAGAAGAGTGCTTTTATATCTAAATATTTGTGGAGCATTTCTCAATCCCATTTTTAAATCCGCTTTTAAATCCCGTCAGCATATGCCAGCTGCCCGCTAGCGGAATATCGGCAGTCTCCCGAGACGTTCACGCACGATGCTTCGTCAGCGGAAACTGCAGTCCGAGGCGCGCTTTTGAGTGGGTGTTGAGGGTCAATACGGCGGACAATGCGTATATTCGGTGACGGCTGCACTGACGTTAAGACCTCAGCGGCGACGAAATCTGAAGCAGCAGCCCTTGTTCAACGGGCTGTTCGGCCGGCTGCATAACCAATCAGTCAGTAATAGTATGGAGACCATGTGGTTTAACCCTGTAGCTTTGGAATGGCTAGGAGATGTTCATCATCCAGACAATTATTAAGGATTATATAAGGATTATTAAGGATTAGAAGAAGCTACTGAATAACAGACAGATAATTCGTCTGCTTCCAGAATATGATCTCTATCTCCAGAACTGTTTGCTGCTTATTAAGTAATAGGCAGCGTCATGTATTGTTGACTATTTCTGCGAGCCTTGACTAATCAAAGGGTTCTAGGTCCTACACAGGGCTTGTGGTGAAGAACAAGAAAATACAAAAATGTATAATGGCAAAACGTGTAATGGGTCTGTTCTACAACCTCTCCAGTTCTGGGTATTGCTTCGATAATGACTGCATTATCGGTTTGAGAGCTCAACGACACTTTTGCTGAACCACCTTGTTATGATATATCACCTGGCTTTTCAAATTCATCTTCGCACTAAAGACCAATGCTGTCAATTTTTTACCATCAACACATGCAGTGTCCAATCCTCGAGTATACTCGTGGAGGTTTAGTTTTCTTCCAGCATCATGTCCATAGATTATTGAGTACTTTTCCAATTCTTCTTTATTGCCATTGTCCTCCATTGACCTCATTTTGTCATTATACACTTTGTACCATGCTTTATACTTGAATGGGTTCATTTGTCCTATGCTCACATCGGATGCTTCAAGATATTCTGGTCGTAATAATGCCCTCATATTGGCCAAGTTCTCCGGTTCTTGATCCTCCAACTTTACATTCCATTGCAATCCGGCATGAATAGCTAGAGTGTCTAGTGGCGATCTGTGATTATAGACTGGGTCATAGCTTTTTAAATCCGTCTTCAACTCATCGTATTCAGGATATTTATCTGATCTAGGATTTAAATATTCATATGTTATATTGCCTAATTTCAAAATCAAAGGACATTTCGTTATGTATTCAATATGGTCTTTCGTTAGTCTTTTTGCTATCGATAATTCTGGATCAAAACTTATTCCCTTAGCACCAACCAATGAATTTTGCGATTTCGACGAAGGATAGGAGGAATTACTAAAAGATGGCAAATCAACATTGTGATACCTTGAATATTTTTCTAATATACTCAACTCGTGGTTGCCCAATATACACGACAATTGATTTTCAATGGCAAATTCTAAGATTTCAAAATTTTGTTTTCCCTTTGAAATAAAATCTCCTAATAAAACTATCTGGTCTTTATTTTTATTAAAATTGATCTTTTTTAATAGTTTTATAAAATAACGAAAGGATCCATGAACATCTCCAATTAAAATTAATCTTTCAACACCAATTTTCTTATTTAACTGATCAGCTCCAATGTTATCATTGTTATCATTGTTATCATTGTTATCATTGTTATCATTGTTATCATTGTTATCATTGTTATCATTGTTATCATTGTTATCATTGTAATAATTATCATCATTACCATCACTATCTTCACCATCTTCACTATCTCCATCATTTGTATCAATTTGATGACCAACTGGCCTTATGAAATAATTTAATTCATCTAATTTCGTTAACTCTGGTAATTCAACACCTTCGGGAAAATCATCACTGAATAAAGCAATTGTGAATACAGCAAATATAACTATTCCAAAAATTATGGCTAAGCTTCTACCTAGATTTTTCCCCCAATGTTTTCTTTTTTGATTGATTCCATCATCTTTATTGTTATCAGTAGTTTGGTTACACTGTGTGTAATATGTATAACGAGATGGGCTATCAGGCGAGCTATTTTGAATCGCTTTCTTCAACAAAGAAGATCTATCACTCATTAGCAAATAAAATATGTCTAGCAAGGATATATTACAACTTTTATTGCAGTAAATCAAAGATATAGTGCAAATATATATTAATATATTGATTGTAAATATCTCTAATCAATAGAAATCTTTATCGTATCGTAATCCTGCTGGTCTTATATACTGATAAAGTCACTAACTATCTCATAGTGCATTCTATTGGGGCCAAAATGACAGACATGCGGTGGCTGCTGACTAAGGCTCCCTTTTTTTATGGGCAGAAGCAGTGTTCGCTAGCAGTATGTTCGCTATGGTTTCGCTACCACCAGTTTGGATGGAATAGCATTCACCGGCAAAGTGCCGAAAATGGTTACGAGAAAGAACACAAAACAGAGAGAAAGCTCGGACCACGAGGGTGCTTTCCGTGACCGAGTCGCTTTGGATCCGGATAGCGCAAATCTCTGTCCTGTAAAACGGAACAACTGGGGACTGAAAATGAACTGGAAAAGGTCTGGAATTGGTTCAAAACAGAGAGGAATCTGTTGTTTCTGTGATTTGGAAAATGGCTGTACTTAGACCTGATATTTACTGATTCATCTGAGATATGGCGATACCTGATTTGGCGGGCTGGTATTTAATCTGTGCTTCATTGTCTCATTACGATTGCTGTTTCTCAATTTCATTACCATTCTTTATTATAACCAACGCTCTAACAGTTCAACCTTTTAGTTTCCTATAATTTATACACCTACTTTTGTTTATTTTTGAATAAAAACAACCAGGTGAACAAAAATTGTATTCTTTTTTTGTCTTTACCAAAAAAAAATTATTATCTCTTTTCTTTTCTTTTCTTTTTTTTTTTTTTTTAGCTTTCGTTTGTTTGCTAAATTTAAAATGAAGCTCAACACAGTTAATCTTATAAAAAATGCTTTCTTGTTTTCAATTCCGGTTTTGGGATTGATCCCTTTGGAGATTAAAGGAAAAAGGTTTATTAGACCTTCAGTTAAATCAGGGGAAGAAGGTGAAGTATTTTTCATCAAGGGGGTTGATTATCAACCTGGTGGATCTTCTGCATATACAGGAGATATTGGTGATGGAGATGTGCTATCAGATCCAGATAAATGTTGGAGAGATGTTTATTCATTGCAGCAATTGGGAGTCAATACTATTAGAGTTTACTCGCTACATCCCGAATTGAACCACGATGAATGTATGACGATTTTGAATAATGCTGGGATTTATGTCATATTAGATGTCAATTCAGCGTTAGATGGAGAGTCATTGAACAGAGATAATCCATCATCCAGTTACAATGCTAATTACTTGACAAGAGTGTTTAAATTCATTGAAGCATTTAAGGGGTTTCCCAATTTACTAGGATTCTTTGCTGGAAATGAGATTATCAACGATGAAGATTCAGCTAGTTTAAATCCACCATATATTAGAGCGCTTCAAAGAGATATGAAGGAATACATCTCTAAACACAGCAACAGAACTATTCCGGTTGGATACTCGGCAGCTGATGATAGTTCATTAAGATCAGCTACATTTAAATATTTACAATGCGATAGTACAGAAGATGGAGAGATTGACTCTAAATCCGATTTCTTTGGGCTAAACTCGTACGAATGGTGTTCAGGAGAAAGTAACTGGAAATCGTCAGGATATGAAAAGGTGAATGAGACATTTAAGGATGCAGTGATTCCAGTTTTCTTTTCAGAATATGGATGCAATGCATTTAGACCAAGGACTTTTGATGAAATCTCTGGAGGGGTATTTGGTGGATTAATCAACACATTTTCGGGAGGATTGATCTACGAATATAGCGAGGAGTCTAATAGATATGGAGTAGTCAATATTGATGATGACGATGAATCGATCGCATATACAGATGAATTTGATAATTTACAAGGAGAACATGAAAAAGTTGAGAACATTTCAGCCAACTGGGGTGAAAATGATGTTCAAGACAGTGAAGAATATGAGTGTGATGCAGATAAGATCCTTGGAATTTACTCATCATTCAATTCTAATTTCACGCTCCCAGAACAGCCAGAGGAAATCACTGAATTGATTGAAAATGGAGTTGAAAATAATAACACAGGAAAGATCATTGAAAACTTGGAAATCAAGGTTACCAACCATACAATAAAGGATTCAGATGGAAAGGAAATCACTAACAAGGAAATAGAATTTGTGAGTGTGAATTTGGTGAATAGCGTTGGACAAAGTGTCACAGTTGTGAGCAGAACTGCTTCTGCTAGCAGTAGTCTGGAGACTGGCCAAAGCTCTGAAACCTTGACATCGAGTTCTTCAGATGGTGGAAACAATATGGTGAGTATTTCTTCACTTTCTTCAATGGGATTGTTGGGAGTTGTTACAATAGTTTTATCGTTTATATTTTAGACATTGCAATAGCGGTATTAGCCACAACAATACAGACACTCGTATACTATCCACTTGGTGTTCTGAACAATAAAGGAGAATTCACATTACAGCTGAGATGTTATGCGTATATCCATTCATTTAACGAGGAGCAGGTTAGATCTGCAGTTTGGAAAGGGCATTGAGCAATCGACAACAGGCACTAACCAGAGACAAGTCGTAGGACGTGTCTGAGTGGGCCACAGGCAAATAAGAACTGTGGAGCAGAACAGACGACTTCCAATAGTCCAGCTACTGCAAAGGCAGCAAAGGCAGCAAAACCTCCACTTCCACCAAATCCAACAGACGGGCCCGGAAGAATACGCGCAGTCCTTCGGCAGCCCTCGGAGATTGCAGATCCGGACATTGTTCTGCACAATCAGCCCGCCGAAAAAGAAACGAACGCTGGGTCTCCCATTCGCACGGGGCCCAGAGTCTAGCCGATCGTGCCACTTGCCTTTTCGGCTGCAGAGCTGCAGCGCGCCGGCGGCGTGTAGACAGAACAGCCGCAGCTGTGCACAGCCGTGCGCAGAACAGCAGACAGAGGAGTCCTGTTCCGACAGGGCAGCGCGGATTAGAGTTTGAGCCTGGCGCCAAAGAGTAAAGTAAAAAGCGCTGCTCAGAGCTCTGACCTTTTTCTTTTCTCTTTGCACAAAATCCAGCACACGCACCATCTTCTGCTTCCTCTTCTGATTCTTCTGCTGCTTGCCCCGGAACCTTCCAAACTGCTGCTGCTGCTGCTGCTGCTTCCTGTTCTCCCTTCTTGGCTTTATTTTCCATCTTCTCTTGCCTTCCAGTGGCTTCTTCCATTACTTTACCCTTTTCACTTGATTTCTTTTTCTCTTCGTGCTGTGATTCAATATCTCTTTCAAATCAAGACATTTCCTTAAGGTTTTCTTGAATATTTGGTAACTCTGGCGTTTCTTTCCTCAAGCTTCTGTTCCATTATTTCTGTTATCTCTCCCAGAGTTTCTTTGCTATCTACAACTTTTCATCATTTTACCACTCCTCCATTTCTCTGCATTATTCTCAAGAGGCTTGATTTATCTCCAATTGGTTTGAATTATCCTGAAAAAATCTTGCAAAAATCTGGAAAAAATCTTGAAAATATCTTGAAAATATCTTGAAAATATCTTAAGAAAATCTTGAGAAAATCTTGAAAAAAACCTTGAAAAAAACCTTGAATCATCCTGATTCTTTCTAAATAAGCTTGAATAAATTTCCTTTTCCTCCCAAAATGATCAAAGTATGTATATCTCTACTATCTTATTATAAAACCTACTCATAACTCATTAAAACCACCACCCCTTTTTCAATTTCAAAAGTTTCTGATTTACTAATAATTGTTTTTATCTTTTTCTTTTTTTTCTCCTTTATTTTTTCTTTCTTTTACTTGGATTTTGTTTGACTTTTTTTTCTTTCTTTAGAACCTAAGGAGATCTCTAAAACACGAAAAACGTTCCTCTGCAAATACCAACAATACTAATCATACTATTAGTAATAATAATATAATTAATCCAAACTCTAATAATACTCTAACAAACTCCCAGTCTCCTCTAAGCTCCCATTCAAGGTCTCATTCTTCATCTTCTTTCACACAGGCAATGTTAAATGCTTCCTCAACTTCTCCAAGGGTATCCACAAACATCAACGATACCTCTGACTACTACAATAACAATAATTCGGACTATATCAATATCAATAACGCCAATATAGACACTGATCAAAATGCTCCCAAAAAAGTCATTCAGGCTTTATACGATTATAACCCCCAAGGCCCTGGCGAACTAAAATTCTCAAAGGATGATTTCTTCTATGTCATTAGCAACGAAAATGACAAAAATTGGTACGAAGCTTTTAACCCAATCACTAATGTTAAAGGCAAAGTTCCAGTCTCATATTTCAAAGCCTTCAACAGATCAAGACCTAGAACTTCCTCTATAATTAACCCAACCATATCAAACAACTCCTCCATCAACAACAACAACAACAACAACAACAACAACAACAATAGCATCCACAACTCCTCCATCATAATCAACTCAAACACTTCAAACAATAGCATCGACGATTCCACCACTCCAACTATAATAAGTAGCCTAACTCTAGAAAACCCAAATCTTATCCAAAACAACCAGATCAAAAAAACAACTGCTCCTACCTTATACGGCACAGTTTTATACAATTTTAAAGGTGAAAAAGAAGATGAACTAGATGTCGAGGAAGGTGAATATCTTGTACTATGTGCTCATCATGAATTCGAATGGTTTATAGCAAAACCAATCGATCGTTTAGGTGGCCCGGGTTTAGTCCCAGTCTCTTATATCAAAATTATGAACATGGTCCCTGGTAAAGAATCATCTCCAGATGTTAAACAAGAAATCTTGGTAAATAACTTGCCAACTGTCCAAGAATGGAAAATCTTAAACGCCCAATATCAAGCTTCTTCCATTCAACTAAACCAAGAAATATTCGAACAACAATCTTACTACCAAAATCAATTTGGAAACCAATTCCAGAATCCCTACTCAAATCAATACCCAAACAATGTTTACCAAAATTCAGGTATCAATCCAATCAACTCCTCAACTTTGGAAGAAATCGTCGAAGAACAACAAGAATTCACGTATGAAGTCCTAGCAGTATCAATTGAAAGACTTTACCTAATGAACGATGAATATTGGTATAATATAATATGCAAACTATCAAATAACATTGTTAGATCTCTATGGAGATGCTACAAAGATTTCTTTAATTTCCAAAAGCTACTACTACAAGCATTTCCAACTGAAGCAGGTGAATTTGATACAAAAAACCGAAGCTTACCATTCATACCTGGCCCAGTGGTGTTTGTTTCCGAAAATTTGGCCAGCCAAAGATTATACGTTTTAGAAAAATACTTGAATGAACTAATCAAATTGCCCGATCACATATCAAAATCGCACTTGGTTTTAAGTTTATTTGAAATAACTCAAGAAAATGACAAAGAATATACAACTGAACAATTTATACAATTATATTCATCAAACTCAACTTCAAATCGATCCTCAGATTCGAAAAAATCAATTTCAACCAGTGCAACAAGTCAAAATAATGATAATGAAAATAATCCTCATAATAATAACAATAATGAGAATGACATAATTGGTAAAAATTATCAAATTAGTAGTGAAAATTTAGATGATCCAACCTCGTTAAATCTTCAAAATCTATCAATATCTGATAAGAATAAAAATAATAATATAGTAATTAATAGTAATGGCAATATAACAAATACTGATACTAGCATCAGTACGGATAATGTAAGTAATAAAAATGATAAAAACAATAATGTCAATAATACCAATAATGAGAACTCACTTTCTAGTAGTACAACATTAAGTAGATCAACTATTCTATCGAATGGTGGAGGTAAAGGATCCTCAGTTAAACAAACAAAAATTAAATGTTATTTTGAAGATGATATTTTTGCATTATTAATTCCACTCAATATAAGCTTCTTAGATTTGAAAATAAAAATCTCGAAAAGAGTTGATTACGATGTTGAACAAATAAAACTATATATAAAGAATAATTTCAAAAATGCTGAAAGCTCTGGGAAACTGGAAATCTTGAATGATGATGATTTAAAGAAAGCAGTCGAGAATGATTCCAAATTAAAATTGATTGTTTCTGTTGATGATGAAGACGAATGAGAGAGATAAGAAAGATAATTTTATTTCTTATAAGTATTTTATATATTATTTTTTTTTGATTGATATTTTTTGTTGTTTTATCTTGTTTTGTTTTATTTTTTTCATGTTTTTGTTTTGTTTTTACATATTTTGATTACTCTTTTTCACTTTTTGTTACTTTTTAGTACGTTAACATTTTACTCTTTCCCTATCTTTTCATTGTTTTATGTAATTTTGTGTTTTGTGTTTTGTGTTTCTTTTGACATTTTTTCTTTTTCTTTTCTTTGAATTCTCTTTGTCGTTTAGTTATATTGAAATAAAACAGGACTTTTATCGTTGCTTTGTGGACGTAGAAACTGAGAAAGGGGGATTTAGGAGAGTGTGCTGCTTCTGCTGCTTTTGGTGGTTGGGGAGAACAGCTTCAGAAATGACTTCTCAAGTCTCACAAATAGCCTCAGAAATAGTCTCAAAAGTGGTTTCAGAGCTATTTTCACCACCACTTTCAAAACGTTTACCAAAAACACTCTCAAAAATGGTGTAGAAAACGAGTTTTTAGCACATTTTTCCAGAAAGAGTCAAGAGGTTTTGGGGCAGAGAAAAGTTTGAGTTAAAAGAATAATATTACTGTGTTTTTATTATCAAAACAATAATATTCTGTTATCCTCACTTTAACCACTGGTATTATTTAGCATTTTGTTATCACATCAACTGCCTCGCTCTGTGGTGCTTTGAGTCTTATCCTCCTGAGGGCCAGTTCTCTCCTAATTCTCACACCAAATTTGCCACAGAACAACAGCTTACGAAGATTAGCAATTACAGAAATAAGTGAACTAACAGAATACTAACTAATAATAATTATTGGGAGTTGGAAAGAACTGCGAAACAGGTGTAAAATATTTGGCTATATTTCTCAGATACCAACAGCTTGTGCGATAATTTCCATTGATCAAACCAGAAATGTTGGTTATTAAATAAACTGCTATTGATTTAACTCCAAAGGCACAAATCTGATGTGAAACCCACTAAACAAGAAGAAGATATAAAACAAGAGGCAAAAGCTCCATTAAACCATCGCTAGCTCTCGTCTTTCTACCCAGTTCCTCTTTTCCACAACAGAACTCTACCTGATGATGATGGCACTTTCAAACAACAGCAACTGTAATTCTTCTATCATTGAGCTTCTTCCTTCGACTGTGCTTGATTTGATCTTTGGCTCTTCTCTTCTTGACCAGCAGGACCTAATCAACTTGTCCTCCACCTGCAAATCCTTCAGCTATCTTGCCCAAAAACACTTGTACAGGAACCTATTCATCAATGACTACTCTATAGATGTCTCCCATCTTGACAGCTTTCACCATTGCTGGTCTTTTATCAAAAACTCCAATGCTGAATCCTGTGGTTTCTTCACAAACCTAATCAACATATCCTCAACTCTATCTCGAAACCCTTATCTTTATGTCTTCATTGAAAATATCTTTGTTGATGTGCAAAGTGTCCAGTCACTAAACAACCCTTTGTTTGAGGCTCTACTCAGCAATATTATTTCCAATTGCACAAATCCCAACTTCAAAATCCACCATAATAATCCTCATCAATTTCAATCATTAAAGTCTTTGAGGTCTTTAGAAAATTTCTTGGTTTTGCTTCCTCAATCAAGTTTCAATCTCAATTTCAATTCAAATACTTCTTTTGTCACAATTGATCTGTCATCTTATTATAACCAGAAAACAACTTTGCTAAGTAATTTCAATGCTGTTTCAAATTTCGATGATGATCTCAAAAATTTATACAGGGAAATATCAATCAAGTCTAATAGAAACCAATTGTTATCTCTAACATTAAATTATCACCAATTGGATCACAATATTTTTAGCTTCAATGATTTAATATTCCAAAATTTGATCCAACTACCATCCATAAAAAAGTTAAACTTAAATTTAAACTCTCTAAGTGATTTAACAATTTTTGATAATTTCAATTTAATCAATTTCCCCAATTTAACAGAAATCAAATTTTCAAACATCTCTTGCACCAATAAGTCTCTTATCGATAAGATCTTCCAAATCTTATTTATCGATAATAACTCATCCAATTTAAAATATGTTTTCCTAAAATTTAATGGTCTATCTCCATATTATTTTTTCAAAAACTTTGAAGATATTAATTTATTTCTAAACGATCTTCAAGACTCAAATTCGTATTATGGTGAACTATTAAACTCATTTAATGATTTACTTATCAATAATAAAATTAAAAACAATTCGAATATAAAATATTTGAATCTCATGTTTGATCAAACTAGACAAAATTTATTAATGGTTCTTTTTTATCAGTTTCTTTCTTTCAAATATTTAAATCTAAATGACAATAAAACTCAATTTTTTCGATCCAAAGATATTGAAATTTGCAATTGTTCTATTTGTTCAAATTTTATTGACAATATTGAAAGAAAGCTTCAATCGTTAAATAATGAATATTGCTTTTCAAATTATATTAAAATTCAAAACAACTTAAAATTCTTAAATGAAAAACAAGAAATTTTAGAGAAATCTGTCAAGAGAAACAAGTATTATAGCGATGGGATAATATCAAGCAATTATTACAATGAATTGCTACTTAACGAAATCGGTGATGATAATGGTAATAATAATAATAATGATTACATCGTATTGTTAAACCATTTTTACAAACCGTTATATGAAAAAATCAGGGGATGTACTTCATTATCTAATTTAGAAAAATTAATTATTGGAGATTGTTCATTGTATTGAAATTTTAATTGCAATAATTATAATTGTAATGTTCTGTAATCGTTGGAATATGTTTGGATATAATCAATTGCTTCTGTTTAATATAAAATATACCTGAGTTCTAACTCCAATCTCTTTTTGCCATTTTAATTTCACTATTCAGAAAATCAGTATTGAAAATTTTATAATTTATTACGAAATTAATTATGATGCTCAATCTGAATAAAAATTAGCTTTTCTACATTCAGAATGGTGTTTTCATTGATCCATATTGCAGGTAATAGTGATGGTATGATATATATTTCAATATATTAGAAATTCTATTTAAACAAAAGCTAATTGAAATTGATGGATAAAAAAATTTCTGAAAAAAAAATGTTGAGAGAAAAAAAATATATATATAAGAATGAAAATCAGAATCGGCGATATTTCCATTTCCCAGCTGTATCTTTTTTTTTATTGCATCTATAAATGTTTCTTTGACATTATTTTCTTTATCCTTTTTACCTCCAGAATATCCATTAGTCAAAAATAAATTAGTATTTATCACAAGCTCTTCTCCAAGTTTAAAGCTTTTAAAATCATTGATAGTGATAGTTTGAAATTCTGTAGTGATTGGGAACAAATTTGAATTTTTAGTGGCCCATGGAAAAAACTCACTAAAATCGTGCTGATCATTATTATGTTCAAAACATCTAATTGGAAAAGTAGGAGTCTGTTAATTTGCGAGTCAATTCATAAACCCAAGGGAATAGTAGAAAAATCGTGAAATGAGCAAAAATCTTTCAACTGATACCCAAATGAAGATAAATCTTTTACTGTCTGAACTTTCCGATTCTTCACCTGGGTCCCAATAAAAGAAATGACCCTGTTAAATTTATAAACACCAGAAGAACAATATCGAGAGTTCTTTCATTTGGCTTTAATAATGTACCACAACCTCGCTGGTAATAATGTTCCAAATCTAAATAAGTTAAGGATTTGGAGATCTGGTCAAATTGGATAATGTATAAATAACCTTGTAACATTCATACTTAAGATGACCATTATTGTCAATGACCAACTATTTTACCAATTCAATCATGAGCACTTCCACCACCATTGCACCAGCATCGCCAGTGTCTGATGGAAATAATAGAGAAAAGTTTGTAATAGAAATTATAACTTTTAGTAGCAAACCGATAAGATAATCAGCTGAGTATTGTTGCTTACGGCAATGTATAAGCTTTTCCTGTCATGTTGGCATTGAAAATACTAGTGTATGGGAATGGTAAATCTTTTTGAGGTAATACAATTTAGCATATTTATTAAATGTTTTGGAAAGCTTTTGATTTCAACTGGTTCATCATTTTCCATTTTAAATGGTGAAAGTACTGTTTGCAGTTGCTATTTATCAATCATAGTTTAATTATACATGTTTTTGTTATGTGCTCTATTCATTGAATAATTTGAGTCGCACATTGGCGTATAGTCTCTGCTTTTGCGAGAAATACGACCTTATGATACAGAAATACTCATGAATCATGAATTGAGCTATAAGTAAAATCTTGAAGGAAAGGATATTCTTAAACATCCTGAGTATCTTGAAGCATTTTAAACAATTTTGGCACAAGAGGTTAGTGAGCAACAAACAGGTACAGCGCATATTTAATAGAAATTTAATAGAAAATATCATCAGCCATAAATATTTATTGTAATTATTTGTCGTAATTAGTAATCATAGATAGTAATAATTAATCACAAATGTTAATATTATATACGTTAGAAAGTTCAAAAGTTCAAATTGAGAAACTAACTTGGTAATAAGGGAGCGTTTTCAGTGTTAGTTCCAGGAACATGTTCATCACCATCGCCGATATTAGCCAAGGTTGAACCAGTTGCAACAACAACACTGAAAAAAAACAAGACAGCACTAATAATAAAAGCAAAGATCCATTGCAAGGCAAACACTTTAATGCCCAATTGACCAAAACCAAGAGCAAACATGAGATAGGAATTAGCTAAACCAAAGGACCAATCTTTGATGGTCACCAAGACAAAGACAGGAACAAACAAAAAGTTCCAGATAAATATATTTGCTAAGATTCTGGCAGCTAGATTTTCGTGGAAATGGAACATAACAGCACCATTCCAAAACAAGAGATAAAACAACCAGGCTAAAGGTATTGACGAAGTTGGCAAGTGGATTAAAAAGAAGTAATCCGATCTTTGGATTTTATAGGTTTTATGAACAGCAAATAAGGCTAGTATGTTAAAAAAATTGATAACCACAATCAATTCAGACAAAATGTAGTGGTTTTTCGAGAATAAAAATGCCCAAAGAAAAGTCAAGATATTAAAAGAAGTAAAATGCCAACCAACGACCTGAGAGACACTTAATCTTGTGGAAGTCGAAGTTATTTTGGTAAGACTAGTTGTTCCCCTACTGTCAGGATAGAACAATTGGATGATATAGGCCAATTGAACACCATAGAGACAAAGCCAAAAAATAAATATGAAAAAAATATTGGCAGTAAAGGGAGTTATGCCCAAGTGGAAAGGATCTTCATCATCAAGAGGACCTTTTTTGCCAAAAATGAGATACCTAAAGTTGCCGAAAATGGAGAGGATGTAGGAGAGGATGGTCAAGACCTGGTTGGTTAGCAGAAGACTGGACATGATGAAGCAGCGTAGCAGGAAGAAAGAGATAGAGACCAAGAGACCTACATTTCATCTGGAGAACATGAGGTGCTTTTATAGCAAGTCTGCTTTCTCAAGCTCCCAGTTTCTGAGCCCAAAGCTCAAAGCTCAAAAGCTTAGAAAAAAGCAGCTTATGCGATGTTGAGATTGCTCCCCGCTGAAACAGAACATCACACGCAACATGTCCTTTGGCGTGCGCAGAAATCCCTGTTTCAATCGGGCGTCCTTATCGCAATCTCCATACCACTGGCTTTGCTTTGGTTTTATGTCATACCCAATAAGCGTATTTGGTGGGACAGTGGACAGGAGATATATCAGAGGTATATCAGAGGTATATTAGAGGTATATTAGAGGTGTATTAGAGGTATATTAAGGGTATATCAAGTTCATCGCTTCGAGCCTTTGAGTGGTAGGCAGAGCTGCAGAATACAATGGTGACTGTTCCATTTCTTATTCCAGCTCATTTCGAGGTGTCAACCACATAACGACCAAGAATCTTCCCACTCTCCATTTCCTCATAGACGTGGGAGAGCTCAGACAAGCCCACGATCTTGATGGGCGACTTGACTAGTCCTCTGGTAAAGAAATCAATGGCCTCTCTGGTGTCTGCTCGATTGCCCACGTACGACCCAATGATCTTGATCGACTTGACAACATGGGAAAACACCAGAGACTGGCACACTGCTCCAGCTGGCAAACCAACCAACACAACAGATCCACATGGACGAACGTACTCAACCGATGAAGCAATAGCTTGTTGAGATACAGAAACGTTAATGACCCCATGGGGCCCCCCATCAGTTGCTTTAATAATCTCATCATTTATGTTCGACGAGTTCGTGAAATCAACATAGGCCTCACAACCTAATCTCTCACACAACTCTTTCTTGCCTGGTCCACCATCAACTGCCAACACTCTATAGCCCATAGCTTTGGCATATTGGATTGCTAATGAACCCAAACCACCACCACCACCAGAAATGCAGATCCAGTCCCCTTGTTTCAATCCTGCTGACTTGATTGCTTTGTAAACTGTTACCCCTGCGCATAATATCGGAGCAACCTCTGCTAAATCGGTACCTTTGGGAATCTTTGCTGCTTGAACTGCATCTGCAGTAGCATATTGTTGAAACGATCCATCGTGTGTGTAACCTGATAAATCTGCCTTTGGGCAATTTGGTTCTAAGCTCTGTTCACAATATTCACACGATAAGCACGATCCGTTAAGCCATTTGATACCAGCGTAATCTCCGATTTTCAAATTTTTCACTTCTGTTCCTAACTTGACAACAATTCCAGCACCTTCATGGCCACCAACTAATGGCAATTTAGTGTCTAATGGCCAATCTCCCTTCCAGGCATGCAAATCAGTATGGCAAACACCAGAATATAATACATGGATCAAAACCTCATTTGGTTTAGGTTCCGGAACCGGAATATCTTTATACATGAGCTCACCTCCATTTGTCTCAAACACAACCGCTTTTTGGGTTTGAGGAATTACAAATCTTTCGTTATATTCAACCATTTTAATTTATTAAAAACTCTCAAAATTCTCAAAATCTTCCAAGTTAATTCTTTAAATTTATTAGTTATTTGAAATTGATTCAAATTGAAATCATTTAAACGTAAAATTAAATGTAAATGAAATACAAAGGGAAAGGTTCAGTAGCTTTATACGAAGGATTCACAGCTCCAGATCAAACGCTTTTCAATTTTAACCGTCTTGCTCATTTTATTTTTATTTGAAAATCATTTAGGACTCCATAAACAATTCAACTTTTGTTTTAGCAAAGTAAAACAAATGAAACCTCTCACACCATTTGTCCATAAAAGAAACGTTCATCATCCATTCGATTACAAAAACCCCATCTTAAAAATTGAACAAAAGGAGATCTCAACATTAAATTTGGCTAAATTCTAATGAATTTCCAATCAATTACTTCAAATTAATAATTGATTTTCAGTGAATAATCTTTTGGACTAATATCATGGGGTATATGTTACACTCTACAAAAACACTGTTTGGAAATTCCAGCTCCAACTCCATTTCTATTCACTAACCATCCCAATTATTCACTTAAATATGCAAGCCAAACTAAGTACAGATGGGCACTTCGGAGTTTTCACAGACCCCACAAACGAGAAGGACCAATGTAGACCCTCAAGAACATTTGCTTTTTTGTTTTATTTAAAGAAAAGGGGTTTGAACAGATCAGACCCCTCGACCCCTTCCAATCAGGCCACAGGCTCTTTGAGTGTCGGATCTTATTCGATTGAATATCCACTTCTCGGAGATTTCAGCTCTATCTGTTTTCGGGAAAGCTATTCATTTATTAATTCTCTTTGCCCAGCATATATAGAAATATGTTTATTTTGATTAAAAATAAACAAATATATTGATAAATATACATATAAACACATATTGAAAATTAAATATCATCGATTTCGATGAGTATTATCTTAATTTGAGTTTCAATTATAGTTATTAGAAATAAAACAAAGTACTGTCTCATAACTAGTCATAATCACAATTGCTATTCCAATTGTTATTCCAATTGCTATTCCGATCGCTATTAAGTGTAGCTAATTTTTTTGCTCTTCAACATTTTTTGATCATATTTATGCTTAAATTTTCTTGCTTTCGATTTGCGCATTATCAATTTATAGTAATTCTTAGTTTTTAATTTTTAATATCGTAAATTACTTGTCTAACTGCGCTCACACCAATACTCCACACAACTCTTATTCGCCGAGCTGGTGGTTTGAACTGCATCATGCTAAGACTCTAAGTTTTTTGTTTCCAATAAAATATTTATCTTAGCCAAAACATAATAATAATTTCTACCTGTGTTGTTAATGAATAACAGTAGTCGTTACTTAATAGACTCATGTGAGTGTATATGAGCGTCCATAAATCTCATATTCAGTATTGGTTAGTTCCCTCGGATATCACTTTTCACCAATGAATCCAGCTTATCATGATAAAGGTCTCAAAAAAATACAAATTTAAAAATAGTCAAGAAACCATCTATATCAGCAGAGGAAAAAATCTGTTTTCTATTTGATATTGAGCACTCATTAATTCGGCCACACTTATAAAAACACAATTTTGTCACTATACAAAATCACTAATCAATGCAAATGATCGAAAATCTGTTGGTACTATCGATATATCAATTAAATTAGTTTATTGTTTTGTTCTTCGAACAACCTTTCCATTTCTGGACAAAATAAAATAGCTAATTCCTGCAGTCATTTGTAAATTTTGATTGAACGCTTTAAAGAAATGTTTCGCTGCAACATACATTGTGATCATTGTATTTGGTAATATATTATACAATTACATTCTTTATTTTGAAAATTTTCTCTAGGGGCTTGTTTATTTTTATGTTCTTACCATAAAATCACAATCAATATCAGTTTAGACTCTTTTTTCTCTGAAATTTCTTCTATTGTGTAATAATTGTTATAAATTGTTTACCAAAAGTTTGTTATGCAGGTGGCAAAAATGAAGCAAATAATGACGATTGAATCATAATCCAACTAAACAGCCAAAAAATAAAAAGATTTTCAGTATTAATAGTAAACTTCTTTGAATTTTTGTAGAGTTTTCCAGTTTTTTTTTGTCTTTCAATGGTTAGATTTAATTTATCAGCTAAATACCAGATAGAAATCGGCAAAAAACAACTAATTCTAATCAAAATTTGAATATTCCAGAAAAATATACCTAAAAATAAATAAACTTTTGCTATTAGTATCATAGGGTTTAAGTTTAAACAGTAATACCTATTTGAAAAATGTCGAATTGAGGATATGAATAAAACTAAAATCGGTAATACTATCAAAAAATTTGGTATGTTATTGATTGACCAATATTTTAAAAATCCATTGTCCCAATAATATGACTGGGCAAACTTAATCAACGATTTATCGATTGTTGAGCACCATTTATCTCTTTGAGGGCAATATTCAATATATGAGATGTAATTCAAAATCACTAAAGAAATAAAAACTTGTAAACCTGTAATTAATGATATAATTGAATTTAAAAATTTTCTAAATCTTAAAAACTCATATAAATCATATAAATAAAATATACCTAATAACAACAAATTGGATCTGATCATTAAACCAATCGATACTAAAGTTCCAGAAATAACATATAGCAATATTTTGAAAACCGATTGAAATCTTGGAATCGAAACTAGATAGGAATGCGTGGTCAACAACATTGAAACCTCTCGAAAGTATATGGCTAGAATGGAAATTAAACATGATAATGCTTCGGAGTATGGAGCGAATAGAAAAATACCAGAAGGTGATAACACCAATAACAATGATGACTTTAATGGCATATTTAATTTAAAACATCTTTTGAATAGGGAATTTTTTTTAAAAGTTACAGCTGTCAAGTCATATATTATGATGCAAGATAAATAATGACATAAATTCGTAATTATAACACTTGTTATCAACTTTGAATAAAAATTATCGTAAATATTGGAAACTTTTTCAAAATCAATACTTATAACCACAAAATTTTTCACAAATCGTAAAATTGAGATCAAGTAACTATCGAAATTTTTAATAAATCTCCACCATAAAGGACCAAAAACCCATTCGTGTTCAAACTCAATTCCATTTTGAAATAATTTGCAGAAATAAACAGCATCCCACACCATTAGCTTATCAAACAAGTTTTCAATTAGGTATTTTATTATTATTTTCAAGCCAGGAACATTATCAAAATTACTTAAAAAAGTCGATTTTTCATTCAAAATAGTTGAACTATTAATGATCAACTGTGAGGAAGTGTCAAACTGAACAGGAGATACTATGACTATAAGAGCAATCAAAACCTTGATAAGTATGAAAAAACAAGTGATTCTGATAAAATGAACAAAAATCATTATCTATACTTCTGATTTTGTTTGATAACTGCTTATGTCATGGATCTGTAGTTTAGTTTATTGTTTCGTAATAAAAAAAGAGATTTTTATGAAGCTTCAAGGAAAATAAACTTTTGCGGCCTATGACGGAACTAGGGTTCCTTCGTGGTTTAAGAGCCCTAGGACTTGATGATAGGGCTCGTTTTATAGGGCTATTGTATCACGTGATAAATATAAGCATCTGACTGTTTTCGGAGCTTCACCTCACTTATATAATATCGCAATATTCTCTTTGCTTGGATTAAAATGACTAGAAACACAGACTTAGTACTAGCATTGTTCACATCATCAGCCATATTTTCTTGTTTCTATACCAAAGTAATCCCGTTGCCCAATGCAATATATGAGTATTTAATTGTTATTGTATGTTTCAGTGTTTCAATTATTTTTTTCTTCAGTTTCTAGTTTATTGTCGTAATTATACTAATAGCGAGAAGTTTCCGTATCTTTGGATGGTTCTGGGAATTGTCTTTTATTTGAATAATATAAGGAAAAATAGAATAGATAAGGCTGATAAAAAGAATGAATGAGATCAAGATAACAGAAGTTTAAATGAAAGACGCATTTTGAATGAAAAAAGAAAAATGTTACTTAGCTTTATAAATATAAGGATGGTTTGGTAAGGAGTTGAGAATTTAGGGAAAAATTTAGCCAATAATTTAGAAAATGATTTAAAAATTTAAAGATAATAGAATATTGAATTGTTAGAATATTAAGTAATAAGATTTTATTTTCTATTAGATCTGACTGATTTCCATTTTTTTATTGGCTTTTGCTTTAGAATTTTGAGAATAATCGGAATTAGAATTTCCATTTGGTGCTGATTTTGATTTTAGTTTTCTCTGTAAGTCAGCAAAAACTCTTAGACTAACAGGCATCAGGCTATATGCATCATTGTCAATTTCGTCTTGTTCCCTTTGAACGAGTTTTTGTGCAGGAGTTTGGGCTGTAGAACCTCTCAATTCCTTAGGAATATTTTCAGTGTTTAACAAATGGATTGGGGGATCAAAATTGATAGGCCAAATTCCACCTTTCTTCTTTAATGCAATAGCAGCCTTTTCTCTCTTTCTTTTCCAATTCTTCAAGTCGTCGTTGAATAATTCCCACACACAATTAACACAACCACTCATACAACAATTATCTGGCTCTATTGGTTTTGATGGAACAATCACACCAGCAATATTCAATGAAATATCTGATGAGGACTGAAATCTTGAGGTTGTTTTGGGAATTTCACCTTTTTTGTGTGGAACACCAAATACTTTTTTCATTCTTTCCTCTGCGGTTTCAACTATTCCTTTAGTATTACCTTCGAATACAAACACTTTGGTTTTTCCACCATCTTTTTGAATTTCTTTTACTTCAACTCCCTTTTCTGGTGGACTTATGCTTACATTTGAAACTGAGCTTGCAGTTATTTCTATTGAATCTTCTTTTTTTTCAATTTTTTCTATTGTTGGTTTTTCCTTTTGTTTCTCTGCTTCAAGTCTAATTTTATTTTCTTCTATTATCGATGAGGCTTCAACCACTAGATTATAAAAATTATATTGATTATGAACTGTGCGAGATAGAGAAGAAAAATATCTTGTATTCACAGATAATACAGTTCTAGATTTTCCTATTAATTTGACCACCATTATTCTGCTCTTGTTACTGCCTTATTATTCTAATGAAAAACATAGAAATACTAAAAAATCGAATTTCTAATTGTTGATTCTATTGATTCTATTCTATTGATTCTATTCTATTGATTCTATTCTCTTGATTAAAATCTCATAATTGCTGCCAAACAATAATGGAGAGATGAAATCTGAGAGTGTGACTGTAATTTATAGAGAACCATCTTTGATCATTGCAAATGTAATCTCTGAGATTAGGATGCATTATTTTTCTCCAATCATCGTTGGGAGGAGAGATGTGGTCACATGATAGTCCAGTCTTGTTCCGAAATCCGACAGAATTGTTATTTGAGATGTGACGTCTGGATTTGACAGGTTTATACACATGTGCTTACCGGATATCAGCAAGTGTCCTGAAAAGCCGGTGTGGCAAATGCCATTTCTCCACACAGCCGGTTTGCGTGCATATGCCTTTGTAGGTGGTTGCACGCATGCATACGCTGACGCGGAGCTATTGCACACCGTCTGCGGGTTGCTTTGCTACCTTATGCCGGGCGGCCATCTATTGCACGCGAACAGGCTACGGAAGCGAGCAGGATGTAAAGTCGGCAGATGTCGATATGTGGTTCAGAACATCGGGGAGCATGTAAGTGTAAAAGTAAATGCGACTGGGCTATCATGTCGAAATATATGTGAGATATGTGAGATGTGTGAAATATATGTAAACTGTACGTGGAATAAATGAATGTAGGGTCTGCTTGCGCTTATCAAAGTGTCAACAAGCTATAAAAACTATGGACAACCAACGGCAGCTGTATCTGGAGAATAGAAGTGAAAAAGTAAAAAGCATGAACATAAACAGCTTAGGTCTTGATAGCAAAAAAATTATGTATTGAATAGAAATACCAGAGTTTTGATAATTTTCTCATACCAATGACTAGTTTGGGAAAAAAAAATATTTAGAATTATCCAACGCATTTAACTAATCATTATTTAAGCATTACTTAAGCCTTAATTAATCATTATTTAAATATTCTTAAGCATTTTAGTGAAAAAAAAATTCAATATTTATATTTTACTTGGAATCCAACTTCTTATGAGTGTAGGGATCATATGAGTTATTACTGGAAACGGACGATTGGTTAAGGTTACTATTTGGACTAGAGTTACTGGAATTTTCAAGAATAGTATTTGAATTAGATCTTAAATCAGAGTTGGGATCTCGACTCACATCACTGAAATTATTTGTAGAATTATAAGTGTTGTAATAGCTATTTCCATATGATTGTGCAGGTGGAGGAGGAGGAGGTTGGTAGTAACCGTATGGTGGATATCCTCCATAGTACGGATAGTGCAGAGTGTAAAAGGGATGAAATTGTTGATGAGGCGGTGGAGGTGCTGCCAGTGATGGTGCTGGTAATGGGAGTCCTGGAAGCCCTGTTTGATAGCCTGGTGGGAAGGGTTCGTGAGCTTGACTTGTAATGGTGCATTCTGGGCTTTCAGCAGATTCGGGTTCTGTAGAATTTACTCGAGGAGAGTTGGAGTTTGTACTTTTGTTTTCAATTAGATTTTTTCTTTCTCCAGTGATATTATCCAAGTTATTTTTATTGTTGTTATTGTTATTGTTATTCGAAGAATTATTACTAGCGTTCATCATTGGTGGTAAAGGGGCGAGTGGGCTATTCATTAGAGGAGGAGCAGCGTATGCAATTGGATAGTAAGAGCCTGGACCATCAGTTGCCGAGCCCTGAACAATTTTTTTAATATCTCGAACAAATAATGGGTATAATAAGTCAATAATCCCTTCTCTTTGGGCCATTGCCAAAGCTCTCTCAAAGGGAATCCAAACACCTTTCAAGTGCATTGAGCCGATTTTCACAACATGTCTAATTTTTTCAGATTTTAAAATTCCATCTCTTCTTCCTCTAGTCATTTGCGCCACATTTAATAATTTTGTACCATTTATCATGTTAGTGTCAGCTCTTCTCACAACAGATACGCCATTAGCATCGACCTGATAGCAAAGAGTCTTTTCATCTTCCCACATTGTGGTTGTCACTCTTGGTCTTATGCCAGCAGGTTGAATTTGGCCAGTGGTAGCTGATAAACCATTTGCAGGAGGTGGAGGTATGCCAGTAGGAAAGGAGACGCCAGGTAGAGAGTAGAAATAAGGGTATCGATAATCAGGAGGTGGAGGGGGATTGTTTCCCACAGGAACCAACTGGCCATTTGCATCATAAGAAGGATTGTATGCATTATTATAGAAATTGTAAGGAGCAGAGTCGAATGAAGTCTCAGAATTGGGGTTATCATTTGGTGTTTTACTATTGCTACCGTTTGTAGTGTTTTTCTTGATCAGTTTAATTTTATTTTTTTTAGATTGATTTTGATTTTGATTTTGATTTTGAACATCATTTTGATTTTGAACAGTATTTGATAATTTTGAATGAGGAGAAACAGTGGTAGTGGCAGTGGTAGTGGCAGTGGCAATGGCAGTGGCATTGGTATTGGCATTACCGACAATAGAGGTAGGCGAATTGGTTTGAGAACCAACGAAAATTGGATTTGAAGATTGGGTGGATGATGTTCTTTGAGGGTAACTGTTGTTATTACTGTTGCTGATTGACTGGTTTGAAGAGTTTAAAGGCTGGGGATTGGAGGGTTGGAATTGTGACTGTGGTTGTGGTTGCGGCTGGGATAGTGGTTGTGAATGGTTTTGGTAATTTTGAGATGGAGGGGGCTGCAATTGACCAGAATCTTGTTGAGTCAATTGAGAGGAGGTTTCAGCCGTTGATAAAGGCTTTTGCTGGAATTGTTGAGGTTGGGGCTGGAGCTGGGACTGAGACTGAGACTGGTAGGGACAAGCAGTGGAAGAGTAGTACTGGGTGTTGTATTGTTGGTTGTAGTTAGTGTAGTAGCCCTTTTGCTGCAACACAGCAGGGTCATTGGACAGATTGATAGTGGTGTTGACGATATTTTCAGTTGGGCTGCTATTTGCTGTTAGAGCAGCTGAAGATTTAGGATCACCCAGACCTGCATTGACAGTACTTAGAGCTGAAGCTGGGGGAGCGTAGGAGTGGTAGTTTTGGTAAAAGGCAGAGTAGCCGGAGGAGGGAGCAGCAGCAGCAGCAGAGAGGGCACTGTCCTTAGGAGGAAAAGAAGAGGAGCTGATGTTGACAGGAAGATTCATGGCTGGATGCTGAAGGGGAGCTTGAGTCTGAGAAGCAATTGGGTGAGCAGGCATGGTTTAATGCAGAAAAATTATAGATGGGACGAGGAAAGCGAGAGGGAACTGGCGGCGGTTGGCAGGAGGTTGCTCTGGGCCGGAGACAGGAAGCAAAAGCAGGAGAAAAAAAGGAAAAAGAGGACGAGGGAGACGACGACGGACACGAAGATGCAAAACAAGTCTGGAACTGAACAGAAAGAAGATGGGTGAGCAGAAGAAGCGAGAGAAAAGATATTCCAAGTGGATTGCAACGAAGAGTATAAATAAGATTTCTGCTCCAAACTAGCGGCAGAAACAAGTGCATGATGAAAATTTGAGAAACAAAGCGAGTATGTGTTCGGTACAGGAATTACACCACCCGTTGCTGCACATCCGCTAGCGCGTCATGTTGTCAGGCCCACGGCGTGCAGACGTGCACGCCGTGCGCAACCTGGCGTTGTTGTTGCGGCAACATGAGCTCGATCGGGCAGGCGAGTACACTTGTCTTCTGCACCTCGACTGCCTTTGCGTGATTTACGTGCAATTCGTTAACATAGTTACATATGCGGTACAGCAGCACAGTTTGATTGGTCAGCCGGCGTCCTCGCTTTACAGCATATTGCCACTGTCCGTTCCAGGTCTTTTTACTGTTTTTGCACACCCTCGTAATCTCCTTTTCGACATCTCCCTTGCAATATCCGCACTTCCAAAAGCAATTTATCTCCGCAGCGCTCATTAGTCTTCGCGTTTAAAACAGGAAACGCAAAAGCACAAACATCCAACTGTCGTAGTTTGTATTCCGCATGAGTTCGATCGTCTGCTTGTTCGTAGTTCGTAATTTTCAATTTTCTTAATTCTTATGCCTGTTTATCGTTCATTATCCTCAGTACTCTACCTGCCATAAATAAAATAGAACTTTTGTATATTTTGATGTGTAAATAAATTTTTCAATTCAAAGCTATTTGTTTATTGGAGAAACATATTTAAAAAAATATCTTAAAAAATATATCTCAAAAAATAAAAGATAAAAATCAATAGCCAACTTTTTAATAACTACCCTTATTTGATTAATGATTTCTAGTTCCAGACTTTATAAGATTCAATGCACTAAATACCCAACCATCTGCTCCACCTTCCATCATCAAAATCTCATATATACTCTTTACGTCAACTTGATACTTTTTAATTTCTTCCACTTTGAATTTTTCCGTTCCGATAATTGCACAATTCTTTGTACTGGGTATCCTTAAAATCTCTTTTTCTATCTTCCATCCAATTGATCTAGATAAGTACTCGATATGTTCCACCAATCCCGAATATGTCGATGAGGACGAGTTGGTAAATTTATTGAAATTGACTGAATGGTTTTCACCATATTGATTCTTTATCTTATTACTATGAACAATACTATCACTGTTTTTGTTACTGTTTTTGTTACTGTTTTTAATCGAAAATGAGGATGGCTGAAATCTTACACGCACTCCAGATAAATTATATGAACAACATGGTATCACAATAAATGGATACCCTAACAATGGTATCCAGCATGACAACTCATCCGAATGGTTTCCAATAATAAATGTGTTTTTGGAATATTCACATGTTTCAACATATGATGATTCTAATAAATACTTTGATGAATAGCATGCATAAAGTGGCACCCCGCTATTATAACCATCATCACCATTATTGTTATTCTCAAATGGTAACAATGGTGATGACGATGATAACAATGAATTATTAATCAACTCATTTGATCTGATTGGTACTTGAAACGTTTTGCCATTATCCTTCAAATCAGGCCTGATTTTCATGATATTTGGATCAGGTCGCAACAAAACACTTGGTATTATGATTTTCTCTTTCAACTTATCCTGGATTTTTTCTGGAAACAATTTCCACGATTTCCTCTTTCTTGCATCAATTCCGACTCCTTTATACCCTTCCATCAACAAAATATACACCAATATCCCATTTCCACATCCCAAATCTCGAAACTCAAACTCCTGTTTGTTTTTATAAATCTTGCTCCAAAATTCAATCAAAAATGCTGCAATTGATATATCCTCAAACACATGTTTCAATGGATTGGTTGATTCAGCCCAATTATCAACCAAATACTTGGAATACTTTTTTTTCAATGCAATATATCTATTTTCAAATAACACTTTGGGAACAATTAAATCATGTGTAACTCTCTTTTGATACCCGTTCATAACCCCATTTGAATGCTTTTTAGCAGTCTGCAAAAGTCTATAAGCAGTCCTAATTGGTCTATCTACAGGTAATAACTCTTTCACCTCTTTAATTGATAGCCCGTTTTCATTTAAATAATCAAATGGTAAATAATGAATAGATAATTTACCATGGTGATATAATATTCCAATCGCATTAACCGCCGGCAAATAAAATGGACAATCTAATTTATTGTCAATATGGGGAATGTAAACAATTAATAAAGACTGATCAAATTCTTTTGAATCATCCAAAATCAACATTAAACACGTCTGGTTTATTATACAGTCTTTAAATGGGTTTCTAGGTATAATTCTTCGCACTATTTGATATAATGGCTTAAAATCAAGACTTAATGGCACTTGCTTGATCTCTAAATCGTCCAAGTTTTTAATCAAAATCCCATTATCACTGCAGTTATCATTATCATTATCATTATTATTATTATTATTATTATTAAAATTTAACGGAATTTTGGGCTTTTCATTTATTTTATCACTGATGTATTTGTTAACCGTAATCGGAGAGACTGACAAGTCATTTCTCTTATTATGAAACTGATATAAATACTTATTTTCTTTCAAAATATCTGCTCTGAGTATAACTGTAGAATTAATATTTGGCTGTTTAATTAAATTGAGCATTGCCTTCTCAAAATGAAAAAATTTAAATGATACTTCTTCTTCAAACAAACCAATCCATTTCAAGCCCAATATCGATTGCCTATCGATTATATTAGGAATTTCTGCACCGGCAACATGACTTTTTCTTTTAGAATTGTTTTTGAAGTTTTTTTTGGCAGCTTTATTTTCAGCTTGGTTAATCAAATCACCATCTTTGGAGCTCATCGTGAGTTAGTGAAGAACAAAGAAAAGAAACAGTGTCTGGAGATATATAGAATGTAATTACGCCCACCAAAAAATAAAATGAAAACTATCTTGTATTGATTATATATCCATATAGAAAACAATATATGTCCATTGAATAATAAGATCCTAATATATCCACTTCTACAAACCACTATCAAATAAAACCCAATCGACTCCAAGCCATAATTAGAGTTTGAAAAATATTATAAAGCGCACGTGATCAACTACGCGCATAGTGCGTAATATCATGTATTTACATGTGCAGAAGAAACTTACCGCAATGGTGGTAACGCCAATGATTTTCTCAAGTGATCTGCTCCAGTGGGGCATGCATGAGAACTGCATAATTTCTGCAGAGGTGTGCTGTTGGTATCAAAGAAGGCGCTCTATTTACAAGTTTCCTAATTGGGGCGGCTTATTAAACGATCTGCCTCTGGTTCTCATTTCACTATCTTTTTTGTGTCTACAAATGCAAAAATATGGAAATGGTGTAGTAATTAACCATCTCAATTAGTCTAGATCGATGGACGATCTGGTCAAGTTCTATTGCTTTTAATACACTTCTGAAATTGGCAACCTAATTATTTTCCACTCATTATTTTCCACTCATTATTATCTATTTTTCTGGCTATTCCCATAAAACCATTTTATTCTCATAAAACTGTTCTATTATTTAAAAAAGTAGATTTATACTTCTTGTTTTCTATTGCAAAACAAAAAGATTTTCTAGTTTATTATATTCAAGTCAAATCTGGTTTTTTTCTCTTTCCATTTAATCTAGCTGTACCATAATGAGCCAAATTTTGCATCAACCAAACAACGCGCATATAACAAGCACAAATATCCTAGCACCAAAAAATGCTGATTCTGTCCCAAATCATCTAAGCCAGAGAAATAATATTAATGATAATGCTGATGGTAATAATACCCATTTCAACACCACCACCAACAATATTAATACTAATATCAATAACTACAATACTAATATCAATAGCTATAATAACAATATTAATCATATGCAGGGCCCACTACCCTTCAATAGCTCCAATACAACAAAATCAATTCCTGAAATATATCCTGATCCTACTCCTTCAATCTTAAATACCCTTAATATAACGCCAACTGAACTAAATCATAAATTTTCTAAAGAATCTAAGTTGTACGAAGAAAATGAAGATACAATTAGTCACAAATCCAAAGATATAAAGACACCTAAAAGCAATCTGAATGGTTCCAATGATTCTCACATTTTGGCTCCAATCGATAATAACAAAAAAGTTCAAAAATCAATCAAATCCTTACATTCAACTCAACATCAATCAAAATCAAAAAGAAATACTCCTGATACAATCACAAACTCTTCTTTTTCTGCTTCTGTTCGTCCCAAAATTTCAAATGACATTATTCGAAATTACAATATTCCAACAAAACCTGATACCGATTCCAAAAAAGTCAACAAAAGTGATAATAAAGATCAAAATGTCTTATTTGTGACAAACTCCCCTTTACAAAATAAAAATGAACCCAAAAAATCCTATAGAAAATCCCTTACTAGGAGGTTTAAATTTCATAAAAAACTTAATCATGACAGCTTCAATAGCAAAAATAAAGTTAAAACAAAAAAAAACAAACCATCTAAAAATAAATCTGATAAATATTCCACAAACTTATCAAGAAAAAGTTCGGTATACTCTCAAGATTCAAGACTTAACAGGGTCAACTCGGCTTATAGAAGAGCCAGTGGTAATTATTTGGATATTAATCTTAAAAGAGAAAATCAAAACTCAGAAATTTCTAATACTGCAGTATATTCAAGAAATCTAAGTTTTGAAAATGGAAACAACGATGATAATTCTAAAGATATTAGTAATAACAACATCAATAACAATAAAAATAAAAATACCGAAAGCAAAGATAGTGATTCTTCAATGATTAATCAACAAAAGAGTAAAAAATGGTTTTTTTTCCCGGTCAAAAGAAAATCATCATTATCAAGAACAACAAAAAATCCTTCAAAAAAACAGCATTTTCATCAAAATTATGTTAATCTGTATTTAAGAAATACTCCAGCAGAATCCGTTCTTTATAGGAAAAAATCTGTTTTATTAAAAACAGATGGAAATAAGTTTGTTATATTTAAAAAAACCAATAACATTGATCCGTTAATAAAACCGAATTTTGAAAGTAAAGAAGCATTATACCATAAAATAAATGAGATATTTGGTGATGACGATGATAAAAATTCATTAAAAACGACCAATTCTATTGTTATGAATAATGCATTACCAAAATATTTACTAAAGTTTGGATATGATTTGAATCAAGATGATTTAACTTACTATTATGGATTAGATCGTAAAAGCCGAAGAAAATATTACAACCTTAATGCCAAAGATAATTCTAATTCGAATATAAGTATTAGTGAAAACGAAAAGCCCTCCAAGAAAAATATTTATTTGCAGCTATTTAAAGTATCTCCCAAACTCAAATCACAAATTAAATACACTGATTTTGATGAAAATAAAAACATATTATTAATAACACCCGATATGAGCAGAAAAAATAGTATAAAGGCAAGTAGTTGGTATAATACGAGTTATCAAGATGATCAAAAAATAGAGGGAATTGATCGAAAATTAAGAAAAGTTCAAAAACAAGAATCACAAATTGAGACAGATGATTTATTGTCCGACGGTAATTTGAAAGATACAGAGAAAAGTAAAAAGAGATCTACTAATATTGAAGGTGGAGATGATGAGGATATATCAGATAACAATTCTCAGGATCGAACATCTAATTTGGAAAACTTGAGAATTATTGAAAAAAACTCTCAACAGACATTGAAAAAGAACAAATCAAATGAAGTTGGTGATAAGTCTATGGACAAGTCATTTGAAACTTCATTTGATAAATCTATTAAAAGATCCTTTGATCAATCATTAGATAAGGCCTTTATAACCCCAGTGCAAAATGCTGCAACAAGTTATACAAATGAAAAGGTGCATCGAAAAGTTGATTCATTTAACACCACCAAAGATACAAATAATGATAGGAGTGTCAATGATAACAAGAATGGGAATGAAAATGAGAATAAGAATGTTGATGGTGGTAATAATGAAAACAATGAGAATAAATATAAAAAACCCAAAGCTATACTTAATAACGACAATATAGAGGATTCTAATTTAACTATAAAGGGGCCGATTTCTCCCATAGCGTTAATAAATCCCAATTTGACACCTACTAATAATATGTTATTAGATACAATGAATACTGATAGCACCAATTCTTCGTTAATTTCAGCTCCGGGTTTTATCTCTGTTTCTCATGTTACTGGTAAAAATTCGAGGTTGTTATCACCAATTACTCTTAGTCACCAAAAGCTGCTTGAAGATACAAAGGGAGTTTCTGCTGTGAAAACCAGTCAGGAATTAGGTGATAAAGACAAGAAGAAGAGTGTCGATAGCGATATTAATAGTAAAAATAAAGATAAAGATAAAGAAATTGATAAGAATAGTGATAGAAACAGTGATAAATATAATACGAGAAACCGAGAGCTTACTGATGAGATATTGAGTGAGTTGAATAAGAAAGATGAATTAAAGGCGGATGATTTATCAAAAGCAACCAAGAGTGAAAATATTATAATAGTAAATAAAGAAGATGATAAAAATAAAGAAAATAAAAAAGCAGAGCAAGTTGGGAGAGAGAAAAGTATTCAAGGGTATATACCAAGAGAAGCAGTTGATGGAAAGTCCAAACTAGCAAGAGTGACGGATCAACTGGGATTGATAATTGGAAGAGATAAAAAGGAAAAAAATGAGGATATTAAGAGAGGTAGTTCTGAAAGTGAATTATCCGAGAAAGATTATGAGATGTGGAATGAATATTTAAGGAAAGTGATTAATGAAAGAATCAAATGGAGATTAAATAATTCATTGAAACTTGATAATAATTTAGCAAATGAAGGAAGAGATAAAAAAGGAGATGAAGAAATTAGTAGAGATGGTTTGGTCGAAAAGAAGCATCAACGCAAGAAGTTAAGGTCTCATATGAGTAAAGAGAAATTGGAGTTGATAAACGAAATGAGCCGAAATAGAAATAGAAATAGAAATAGAGATGGGGATGATGTTTCAGTCAAGAAAGAAAAAGCAAGCGAAATTGATAATAATGATAATAATGATAATGGCAATGGCAATGGCAATGAAGAATTTCTTGGAGTGGAGGAAATCAATTATCATAATTTTAACAAAAAACCGATTAAAACACAGAGTTTGTTTAACTTTGATGTTAAGGATAATTATTTAAAAGTTCTTAATCTAGAAAGAAAAAAAGAATCAGAAGATGCAGAGCAAGAAAAAGTGAGAGAGTATAGAGATAGACAGTTGATTAAAGAGATAAATAAGCAGAATAAGTCGTTGACGCAGATGTTAGTTGCAACAAGAAAAAACAGAGAGGTAGTGAGAACTAATGAATCGCTTAATACTAGTCGCAATAGCAGCAGTTCATCGTTTAAGATTAAAACTCGATCCAAGATATCATTATTGACTAATTTGGACAAGATTGAAAATGATTCGTCATTTGAGAAATATTTGAAGGGAGGAGAATCGTTTGAGTCGGAGATTGAAATCAAATCGATTTCAACTACAGATTTGATACATGGAATATTTATATCTGATGAAGAACTATCAATTACTTCGTACCACTCCAGCTCTGGTAATGGGTCCAGGAATAACAGCAGCAACAGTGGTAAGAACATGAAAAAGGGCAAAGATCGAGAGATCAAGACGATTATCCGAGAACCAATTCAAATCCAACCGTTGTCCCCACTGCGAATCTACCAGAACAAGTTGGCACAGTCGCAAAATGCGTTTGAAACCATCAGCTCGCACTCCCAGTCAAATTCCAACTCAATAGTGAGCTCTGCTGCAAACTCCATCGCTGACGAAGAGGAACAGCATCTGCGTTTCAAAAGATATCCAGCGTCGCTCATCTCGGTGTCGTCCTCCACGCCCTCTCTTCCACACCAGGCCAGAAGAGACCTCATTCCAGGGATCCTGCGCCGGAGAACAACCCCTGCTCCTAGCGGCGAGCTTTCTGTCCTCAGAAGCCTCTCGAGAACCAGTCTTCCTGCTGGAGCTCGAAGCAGCTCCTCCAGAAACAGCAGCTTGAGAGTCGCTGTGTAGTATATGTAATGTACCATATCGGTGGTGTAATATAGCAGCTGCCAAGCGCAGCATCCTAACGCCTGCCTACGTTTTTGCACGTGTCTAAGCAGCTTAACACATTTCTAGCGTGCTTACCTCAGCACTGTCTGTCTCCAGTCCCGCTCATTTCCGCACTCGTTTCCGGCAGGGGGCCCGGCCGGACAGGAATCTTCTAGAACGCCTTCCCACAGAGTATACTCGATCACGTGCACAGTTGAAAATTTTTCCAGCATCATCAATCTCAATTTTCATTTTCCATCTTCTCTTCACTCTGCCATATATATTAGTGTTTTTGCTCTTCGACCTGATAAGTGCAATCTGTTCTCCAACTTTTTATCCCTTAAACTTGTATATAATAAGTTCTTGTCGTATATATATCCCATATTCACTGTCTATTTACAATGTATACTGCTAGAAGAAATCTTGTCAAAAATTTATCTGTATGCGACCCATATTTTCTTTACATTCGAGGAGTCCTTTGTTTGCTCAATTCGTTTGTCTTTATAGTATATTATATTATATTATTTTGTTTTAGAATTACAGTACTAACTCTTCTTCCCTATAGAAACTCCCAACCTTAAGAAGATACAATGGTACCAAAGCCTCTGGTACCATCATTGGTATCGATTTAGGTACCACCAACTCTGCTGTTGCCGTCATGGAAGGTAAAGTTGCCAAAATCTTAGAAAACGCTGAAGGTGCCAGAACAACTCCCTCTGTTGTTGCCTTCACTGATGACAACGAAAGATTAGTTGGTATTCCAGCCAAACGTCAAGCTGTTGTCAACCCAACAAACACCTTATATGCCACAAAACGTCTTATTGGTAGAAGATTCGATGATCCAGAAGTCCAAAAAGATATAAAACAAGTCCCTTTCACAATTGGTAAGGCCGCCAATGGTGATGCATGCCTTGTTGTTGAAAACAAACAGTATTCTCCAGCTCAAATTGGTGGTTTTGTTTTAAACAAAATGAAAGAAACCGCTGAAGGCGCTTTAGGTAAAACCATCAAAAAGGCTGTTGTTACTGTTCCTGCTTATTTCAATGACGCTCAAAGGCAAGCCACAAAAGATGCTGGTCAAATTGTCGGTTTAGACGTCTTAAGAGTTGTTAATGAGCCAACTGCTGCTGCCTTGGCCTATGGTTTAGATAAAACTAACGCAGAAAAGGTTGTTGCCGTTTTCGATTTGGGTGGTGGTACCTTTGATATCTCCATTTTAGATATTGACAATGGTGTCTTTGAAGTCAAATCTACCAACGGTGATACTCACTTGGGTGGTGAAGATTTCGATATCGAATTGGTCAGATACATTGTCAAAGAGTTCAAAACCAAAAGTGGCATTGATTTAAGTGATAACAGAGTTGCCATTCAAAGAATCAGAGAAGCCGCTGAAAAAGCCAAAGTTGAATTGTCTTCTACCATCTCAACTGATATCAACTTGCCTTTTATTACTGCTGACGCCTCCGGTCCAAAACATATTGACATGAAAATTACAAGATCTAAATTTGAAACTCTCGTTGAACCATTAATCAAAAAGACTATTGACCCAGTCAAAAAGGCTCTTAAGGATGCCAACTTATCTACCAGTGATATCTCTGAAGTCTTATTAGTTGGTGGTATGACAAGAATGCCCAAAGTTGTTTCTACCGTCAAAAAAATCTTTGATGGTAAGGAACCATCAAAGGCCGTTAACCCAGATGAAGCCGTTGCTATGGGTGCTGCCATTCAAGGTGCTGTCTTGGCCGGTGAAGTTACCGATGTTTTATTATTAGATGTTACTCCATTATCGTTAGGTATTGAAACCTTGGGTGGTGTTTTCACAAGATTGATTCCAAGAAACACTACCATCCCAACCAAGAAATCTCAAGTTTTTTCAACTGCTGCCTCTGGTCAAACTTCTGTTGAGATCAGAGTCTTCCAAGGTGAAAGAGAATTGGTTCGTGACAACAAATTAATCGGTAACTTTACCCTTGGTGGTATTCCACCAGCTGAAAAGGGTGTTCCTCAAATTGAAGTCACCTTTGATATCGATGCTGATGGTATCATTAATGTTTCTGCCAAGGACAAATTGACCAACAAGGATGCTGCTATCACTGTTTCTGGTGCTTCCGGTTTATCTGATTCCGAAATTGAAAAGATGGTTAAAGACGCTGAAAAATTCAAAGAAGCCGATAATGCTAGAAAATTAGTTGTAGAAGCTGCCTACAAAGCTGAAGATTTCTGTGCTAAGACTGAAAAATCTTTATCTGAATACTCTGAAAAGATCTCAGAAGAAGACACCAAGGAAATAAACGAAAAAATTGAAAAATTAAGAGAACTCGTTGCCAAATCTCAAGGTGGTGAAGATGTTTCTGCTGAAGAATTAGTTGAATTGACTGAAAGCACATCAAAGAGAACCTTTGAAATATTTGGTAAATTGTATCAAAACAACCAAAGCTCTGATTCATCTTCTAATGAAAAACCAGAAAACTAAACTTGATTTTTTTTAATTTTTTATTTATTAACATCTAATGATTATGTAAAATGCTTGTATATAACTAATTAATGGTTTCTTTTTGGAACTTTTGTCTGTCTTGTAGAATTCTAAATCATAAAGTGGAAGGTCATTATAATTTCATTTTCAGAGTACTCTGTGATCGATTTTAAGAGAAACTAAAGATTTAATATGCTATTTATCGAACTACTTACTATTTCCACTGCTATATCGACAACCGACTCAATGATCTAATTCGATTATCAAAACTTCTCTTGATGTCAGACAAGTAGTCCAATAATATTACAAACAGGAACTAAACTAAAATAGCAGATGCTTTCTCAAGGCAACAGAGAGTATTTAGTTATTATCCCGATGATTTGAGTGATTGATTATTATTTAACAGACATCTTCACTCTCCAATCTTGAGTTAAACAAAGATGGTCTTTAAATCCACCACCTACGCTGAAAATAAGCAAATGTATTTTTACAATTGAGAAATCCCTTGTTTGGATCTATTTCATGACTATTGTTAAGAAAATTAGACTGGTGGAGCATATTGGAGAATGGGCAAATCGAATCTAACAATCTGACGATTGAATCTTTCTTTCATGGGGATCGCTAGCGAATGGATGAATGATTTATGTTAAAGACATTGCTGCATAGTGCAAAGTAAAAGCAAGAGCAAATCGCTAATAACTGGAGGAAACCAACTCCAGCTCCAGTATTGTTTATTTCATTTGTGATTATTAAGTCTGTGGTAACTTAAATGGAATTGGTTTATTCGTTTTCTCTTGTGGATTCGTTTGCAATGACTAGTGTTTGAGACAAATTTCAGGAGATTTCTTTAGCCACATCGTCAATTTGAAAAGAACTTTGATGAGAACTTTGATAATAACTTTGACAATTTGATGATAACTTGGAAGACTTTGTTGAGGACAACATTTGGGTCTTAAAAGAAACAGTCGTCTTTTTATGGCAACAAGTCTTAGAAATTAGTTGAATATGTTTCAATTTGATCTACATGTTAAAAAGAAGAAAAAAGAGGGAAGAGGGAAAAAATCATCAAATGAGCCTGTATTAAATGTACTTTTTATAATTTCATAAGCATGAGTCTTAAAAGGATTCCAGTAAATAAAACAAAGAAAGAAGGGAAAAAATAGGAGGTAAAAACTTGTAAATAATAAAAGACAAATTTTAAAAATGCAGTAAAAATTTTGTTATAGAGATAAAATAGATGAAAATTTTTTAACAAGGAAAAAAATTTTATATAAGAAAATTTGAATAGAAATAAGGAAAAAAAAAATAATAATCATTAGTTAGCTTTTTATAAATTAATTTTATTGTAAAAAAAAAGTAAAAAAAATGTAAAGAATAGAGCTTTTTAATTATAGTAAAATTGAAAGAAATAATGAGATTAAAAAGAATTAAAATTTTGTAAAATCAAAAGCAAAACTTGATTTTTTATCATGTATAAAATCATTTGATTCTCTTTCAATTTCCTTAAAGAAAGTGAAATCAAGCATATCATCATCATTATCAAGTAGCGAATCGCTAGGAGTAACTAGGGGAATATCGATAGGTTTACTAAAGATCTCATCGAAGTTAATAGTAGCTTCATTAATTGAGTTGGAGTTAATATTATTAATATTATTGTTATTATTATTAGCATTAGTATTAGTATTAGTATTGCTTGGAATATTGGTTGAATTATCGTTAAAAATGGTAATATTATTGTTATTAATATTGTTGTTGTTAAATGTATTAGTAAATTTATCATTAGGATCGTTAGAGATTACAGGATCATTATCAGAGTTAAAAAGTTGAGAATCTGGGGAAAAGGGCAAATTAATGTCTAAATTTAATATATTATTATTCATTAGGTTGTTGTTGTTATTGTTGTTATTGTTGTTGTTATTGGAATTGTTAGAAATAGTTATGTTAGAGTTAGAGAAGTTGTTATTTGAAGAAGAGTTATTTTTTTTCAAACCGGTTATAATTTCTTCATAATTAAAGACATTTTTATTGTTGTAGTTATAGTAGGAGATTGAATCAGGGATTGTATCAAAATGGAAATGGGCATCAAGATTTGAACTTATGTTGCTTATTGTTGTGGATAATGAGTGAGAGGAGATTAAGCTTGGAGTTGAGGATATTGTTGTAGCCGAGTCATCGAAATAGGATCTCTTTCTACTTATTATATTTTGATCAAAACTACCGAGGGAGTCTATTGGAGAGGAGCCTTCAAATAGTAGGTCATTTAGATCAGAGATATCATTTGATTCATGAATATCATTAGAAGGAGATGAGTATGAGTTTGAGGAAAATGAGTCATAAGAGTGGTGAGTGTTGATTGAATTGAAGGAGGGAGTGGTGTTTGAGATGTTGTTGTTGTTGTTGTTGCATTTATTGATTTGGTTGTTATTAAGAATATTGTTATCGCTATTATTATTATTGCTATTGTTGTTATTGTTATTGTTATTGCTGATGATGCTATTAACAAACTTTTTATTTGAAAATGAATTTGAAAATGAATTTGATTGGGATGAAACTTTTTTATCTGAAGTAGACACTTGCAGTCTTAGAGATTTTAAATCATTTACTAATTTTGATAGTTCATTTTTCAATTGTGAGTTCTCTTGTTTAACTTGTTTGAGAGCGTTTTCCATTGAGGTATCATAATTGTAGGAGGCAGTTTGAGAGGAGGAGTTGTAATTATAGTTATAGTTATAGTTGTAGGAGTTATTGTAATTGTAAGAGTTATTGTTTAAGTTATTGTTGTTACTATTGGAGGTGATTGGATTTATGATATTATTTTTGAGTTTGTTTTGAGAGGAGAAATCGTTATTTTCGAGCAAAGATTTGAGGGCAATGTTTAAAGACACTGGATCCATTTTGTTATTGTTGTTTGGGGCATTTGAATTTGTGGAGGAATTTGAGATGATTTTGCTGTTTTGTGAGTGATTTGAATTGAATTTTGGATCCTTTTTGGATTTTTGGTCTCTCGATTTACGCTTCTTGGAATTGTGAGAGGAATCATTATTGGAGTTGTTTGACAAAGAGTGATGAGAAGAAGGTTTTCTTCCGGGCTTAGGTCTGGGAGGTAGAACCCAGTTCTTCGAGGTTCTGATGTTGATGGTTGGAAGAGATATATTGGGGTTTAAAGTGTTCAAGTTGCTATTTGCAATGTTTGTATTGCTTGAGTCGAAGTTTGAAGGCAACGAACGACGCAATAGAGGAGGAGGAGGAGCCTGGGAGGATTGTTGGAGACGAGTTATGAGGTTGGAGGACATAATGAAAATAAGAATGAAAATGAAAATAAGAATGAGAATAAGAATGAGAATGGAGTAGGATTGAAGAAAGAGATACGAGGTTGTACAAGATTATAAGAGAAATGGGGATGAATAATTCATGTAATACGATTGGGGTAGGAGATAATTTATAGTGAAAAATGGATACTTGAAGAGGAACAGGTATGGTGTTAGAGAGATCAACGAGTAGGAGGTAGCAAACAAAGAGATGAAGGAGGACAAAGAATCCAGTAGAAGTGAGAATTACCGAAGCAGTAGAGAGATAAAAGCGTAAAGTGAGCTGGAGAGGTAAGTGAAGAAGGAGCACTAAGAGGATATCTGATAATTGAATAATCGCAACTACGAGATTTCATTTCTTTATATCTGTTTTGCTTTGTTTTGCTTTCGAAAAAAACCAAATCGGCAAAAGAGCCATTAAGCACAGCCGCCGCAGCCCGCAGGCTTCAGACGTATTCCCATTCCAGCGCACACGCACAGCTGCAGCGCGTGTGCCAGCAGTACTCGGCGTGCAGCAGCGACTCGTGCGGCGCCCGCTCTTTGGCACAGTCCGCGTTGCTAGTACGGACAGGCCACAGAGCGGACTGGTTCTGTAGTGCGCGTGCTGAAGCTGTGGGGCTGCGCTATCCGCTGAGGCCCTTGCGTGTGCTGATTGGCTCTCTGTGGACAGAGCCTTCGGAGTCGGAAGCTCTGGGTTTGAGCTCGAGCTGTAAATCTTGTATGCAATCGTGCAGCTGCAGCACTCTTCCCTCCGCGTTTTTTCTTGTGGTTCTGGGCCACTGGACGGTTTAGAATGGATAGAAGTTTGGAGCGTTTGCGACTTTGGTGAGATTCTGAGAGACGCTGTGCTGCTGAGAGTCACGAGCAGGAGAGGCACAAGCGTCCAAGGATTGCTCGTTGTGACGACCGATCATGTCGGTGCTTTTCCAAAGGCCAGGTGGCTTGTTGCCAGCGCTGCGGATGCTGCACGTTCAAGCCTGCTGCGGTTTTGCAGTTTGGGAACAACCAGTGCAGCGGATACTAGATTGCAGTTGCACAGGGGCACAATGTGGCCAGCAGCAGCGGTAGCTAGAAAAGTGGTGCTGTAGCCCGCACAGAAAGGGAGCCACGGGATATGCACGAGGAACCCACCAGAACGGATTGAGGATCAGAGGATGGCGCACGCGGTGATGTCGTTGTTCCGGTCCACTTTTTGTTTCCTGAAACAGCCGGCGCAAAGCAATGACTCTGTTTCAGATCACCAGCAAATACACGCGTGTGGACGCGTGTAACTGAACCCTAATGCAGAGACGCAGCGCACGAAAGCGGATGCTGAACGGAATTGTGAGCTAATCAGGAAGAAAGCTCATTAGAGAGAATAGGACAAGAAAAAGGGCCCATTTGTGTGAGCATTGTTCTTGTCGGAAGCACCGTTTCTATTATTATCTTTACGACCTACAGCGTGTGTGATCAGAAATGTGAGCAGGAATCTGGTTGCAGCCATCACAAACAACCGCTTTTCTCGCTCGCTTGTTGAATCACTTTTCGTGATTTGATTATGTCCAGGTTTTGATCAACTTTAAATTGGTCTTTTCTTTTTCTGCAGTTAAAGTTTTTTAGTTTCAGAATTTAATTTTTTGCTTTTCTTTATACCCATTTAATTTCACTTCTTCAAATTTAGCTGTTGAAATCCGAATCTTATTTCTGCTCTTATTCTAAACCCTAATCTTAATTTCCCGATTATCCAACTGTAATCCTTTGATTTGTTTTTCCTCATTTTGGTTTGTTGTCGTGATTCTGATTTTGTTTTAAACTGATCCCATTTCTTTATATTAATCAAACATTAGTACATTATTCACATTATACTCATCAATCCAACAAATCAAATCAGCAACTGGTGTTACGATCTAATCACAATATCAACAATAATATCAGTAATAATAATTGACCTACTTTTCTTTGTTTATATTTTTGCTATTATCTTTACCACAATCCATCTCTGTTCCTTTTCATCCACTTCTATTGATTTATCTCCCTTATTCAATTACGTCTTGTAACCATTCTCTACACTTTCCTTAAATAATATTTATTATTATTATCAAATTTAATATTATATTCCATATTACTATTTTTATTCTCACTCTTATTATTATTATTATTATTATTATTATTATTATTATCATTAATGTTATCATTAATGTTATTATTAATGTTATCATGAATATTATTAATATTAATAATATTCTTGGTTCTTAATTTTTTACTTCTCCATTCAATCAATCTCATTCTTTTCACAAACTCCCGATCATGGAATTTAATCTTTTTCTAAAAGTGTTTTATACTGGTCTATGGGTTATTTAATAATCAAATGAAATTTCTTCATTAAATATTCTGTATTGATAATAATTAAAGAATGATTTGATAATTAGAGAATGATTCAGTAATTAGAGAATGATTTAATAACTAAAGAATAACTAAAGAATAATTTAATAATATTTCAATATTTCAATAATATTTCAACAACAATTCAATAACAATTTGATAATTATTATTACACCAATAGTATATTGTTATAACATAATATTGTTGTTATTATATTAATAGTTTATTGATATTAGTCTTCATTTATCCTCATTTATCCTCATTATCTCCCGATTTACTTTTCCATTTTATCCTATTATCATCATTATTGGACCATTTAATCCCATTTAATATCATTTGTTTCAATACTGTTAATCCAATCTATTAAATAAACCATTTGAAAACGAACCGGATCGATTGATGTAAACTGTAGTAGCCAATAGACTGTATTCTTTGATATGATATCTCTCTCTGCTACTATGTCACTTGATAAATAAGCATCATTATAGAACTAAAGTACCCTAAAAGAAAAATTAAAATACATCAATATATACTGAATATATACTGAATATATACTGAATGATATAACGACATATTTATATTCAATCTTTTCTGAATTGTATCCTTTATTGCTCGATATTACAAACCACTGCTCTCTAATATTCATTAACATTCATTAACATTCAACAAAATTTAATAATATTTAATAATATTTAATAATATTAATAATTTTCCTCAAAAAGAATGAAAAACTATTTGCTCCCACAAAAATACCGTTCTCTCATTGGCCCATTTCAATCGACCCATATTATCCCACTTTCGATTCCATACTAAACTTCCACTCCACCAAATCTAAAAACACCACATGAAAATAAAAACCATTGGCATGGGTCTTCCTGCGTGCACACGCGCACCCACGCAAACTGCACACCAATTTTCACTGCACTACGTGTCCCACCATCCTGGACACATTCTTTCCTCCCTCTTATTTTCTTTTGTTCCTTCTCTCTTTTGTTCTCTTTGTTCTCCTTCTCTTCTCTTTTCCTGCCTCATCCCTTTCCAGCTCCTACTCCTGCTTCCTCCCAGCCAACCCCTGCTCCACATCCCAGCCCACGCACAAATCACACATCCTCCAACGGCACCCACCCCCCTGTCCAGCCAATCACAGCACGCACCAACAGTTCCCTCAACACTGGTCTCGTGTTTTGACACAAGAGTCCCGCAATCCCGGCCTCTGCCCTTTAGCTGCCTTTTTTATTCTCTAACATCTTCAATTCCTCTCCTGCCTTAATCTTCTCACTTCTACGCTCTATCAAGTCCATTATGCCATTGAGCGAAAACCATCTGATGACATTGTTGCTTGTCTTTTTCTTTCTATATAAAGTCAATTAAATGCTCTTTTTTCCTTTTTCTTCTTTTCTCTACACCTTCACATCTTCACATCTTCACCTTCGTCTTAATTTACTCTTATCAAAATGGTTAAAACTTTAATCCTTGTTCGTCATGGCCAAAGTGAATGGAACGAAAAGAACTTATTCACTGGCTGGGTTGATGTCAAATTATCTCCAAAGGGTATTGAAGAAGCAAAAAATGCTGGAATTCTATTAAAGGAATCTGGCTTGAAACCTGATATCCTTTACACCTCAAGATTATCTAGAGCAATTCAAACTGCCAACATCGCTCTAGAATCCGCTGACAGGTTATTCTTGGATGTAAAGAGATCCTGGAGATTGAACGAACGTCATTACGGTGATTTGCAAGGCAAAGATAAATCTGAAGCTTTAAACCAATTTGGTCCTGAGCTATTCAAAACCTACAGAAGAAGCTACGACACTCCTCCTCCACCAATTGCTGATGATAATCAATTCTCTCAATTCGGTGACGAAAGATACAATAACATTGATCCAAATGTGTTACCAAAAACCGAATCCTTGAAATTGGTCATCGACAGATTATTACCTTACTGGCAAGATGAAATCTCAAGCCAATTATTAAATAATAAAACCGTCTTAATCGTCGCTCATGGTAATTCCTTAAGAGGTTTATACAAACATTTAACTGGCGTTTCGGCTGAAGAAATCTCAGAAATTAATATTCCAACTGGTATTCCTCTAGTGTTCGAATTAGATGATGATTTGAAACCAATAAAGGATGCTTACTATTTAGATCCTGAAGCTGCTGCTGCCGGTGCTGCTGCTGTTGCTGCTCAAGGCCAAAAGAAATAGTTTATTATCAATACACAACTAGATAGCCTAATTATATATTTAAAATAAATATCTGATTTCATCTATATCAATTCCCCTCCCCTCGTATTTCTTTTCATCTCCATCTCTATCTGCTTTTCCTGTTGTTTTCTTTCCTTTTGCCTTATTCGCATATCAATTAGATCAATCTCATGTTTTAATTTATCCTTCTGAATTCGTAATCTCAATCTATTGATTTCAAACTTATTATTAATCATTCCCATTTTCTTATCAACTTCACTTTTCTTAAACTCGAAATCTTCAACAAAATTTTTCCTTATCAATTTTTCCTCACTCTTAATTATTTCCATTCTTTGCTGTAAATTTGAACATTCCATTTTTTTCTCTTTAATTCTATTCTCAATTTCATTTACATATTGTTTCAATCGATTTAATACATCCAAATAAACTTTAACAACTCTTTCATCATCATTACTATTATTCATATTATTCATATTATTATTATTCATGTTATATTTATTATTTATAGTATTCATAACAATACTATTGTTATTATTGTTCATATTATTAATACTATTGTTATTAGTACTGTTGTTATTTGTAATAGTGTTGCTATTCGTGCCATTATTGATATTATTATTATTATTATTATTATTATTATTATTATTATTATTATTATTATTATTATTATTATTATTATTATTATTATTATTATTATTATTATTANTATTATTATTATTATTATTATTATTATTATTATTATTATTATTATTATTATTATTATTATTATTATTATTATTATTATTATTATTATTATTATTAGTAGTAGTAGTAGTAGTAGTAGTAGTATTAGTATTAGTAGTAGTAGTAGTGATGGTAGTAGTGCTAGCAGTAGTAAAATGAGCATTACTGGCCTGATTTTGTTCATGAATTATATCAGAATACAGTTTAACTCTGATAATATCAAGCATTTTCTCTTTATAATTGTAATTATAAAAAACCACTTGCTGCGTAATTATATCTTTATAAATATACTCTGTACCATTTTGAAATTTTTCCTCTGGATATGAATTTTCCAATATCTTTTTAATATAATTGATAAATTGTTGTAAAAGAGTCCCATTAAATGAAAAATCCTTATCAATTAATGAACTTTTTCGAATAGAAATATTAAATGCTCCTTTTGAATTCAGAATACTTATTGTTAAAACTTTAGCTGAATTTTGTAATTTATTTTGTTCTATTAAAACTTGATTTTGGTTTTGATTCTGATTCTGATTTTGAGGTGAACTAGGAACTTTATTTTGAGAAAATTCTTCAATATTCGACAAGTTCCATTCTTTGTATATCGAAAATAAAATTGGCAGTTCATTCGATATATCTTTTAAATCAAAAGCAACATTATTTGGATTATTTAACTTTATTTCAAAAAAATTATTGGGACAATCTATTTTATTTAAAACGTATAGTTCAATAGATTGTTTCTCTATTTCCGTAAAACAAACAAACGTTCCATTTTTTAATCTTATAGATACTTGTTCAAAAGAGTGGTAACTGTCCAAAAAAGCATTCAAAATTTTTACTATAATCAGCCTTTTAATTTCCAATACATTTTGAATGTTAGCTTTATTTAAAAAATCAAGCTGAGAAAACTTTTCTAAAACACTTTGAATAGCCAAAATTCTTTTACTTAAAGAAAATATAAAACTGAAAAAAACTTTATAGTACATGAAAAATTCCATTACGGTAAATGCTTTCCCACAAAGATAGAGTTTTGAAATATTAACATTAAGTATTCTATTTACATTATCACTAACAGAAAAAGTATTACTGTTAACAGTAGTAGCAGCAGCAGTAGCAGTATTAGTATTATTACTATTAACAAAAGAGTTATCGTCTGTGTTTTTTGTACCATTATCATTATTATTATTATTATTATTATTATTATTGTTGTTGTTGTTGTTGTTGTTGTTATTACTATTTGTGATATTATTAGAAATATTGTTATTAACGATGTTGTTATTTGTAATATTATTACTAGTAGTAATAGTATTTAATTGATTAATTGAATGATTTGAAGTTTGTGTTGTTGGTTGTGTTGTTGGTTGTGAAGGTTTTAACATTTTCTCTTTAATATTAATTTTTTCAAGACTTTTTCTTTTTTTCGGTACTACTAAACTGAAGCTTTTATTGACTAGATCATTTGAATTTATTAGAGATTGATAGGTATCTGAGCTTGGACTATCAGAATGAGATAATATGACACTTTTTTGAGCATTTGGTTTAATTGTCATAGAGTTTTTAAGGTTACTTCGAATATTTTCATTCGAAATAGTTTTCAAATTGTGAGGATTATTTTCATCAATAATAAGTTGGATAGTTCCATGTTTATTTACGATGAAAGTTCTTTTATAAAGATCTATATTTAAATTAAGTAGGGGCATAATGCCATTCAAATGAACTAATAAATTGTTTGATGTCTTCGAGTTATTGGATGGCAAAATTTTTTGGATGTTTTCTTCAATCGCATTGAAAAATTGAGTAAAAGTATTGAAATTTACTTTATAGATGTCGAATTTATAGCCCAAACTTTTCATTTTTTGAGTCAAGATTTGAATGTTGACAATAAAGGAAGTGATATCAATGTCGATATTTTGATTGTAAATGTTATTCAAAATTTTGTCTAAAATTGAGTTTCCTTCTGATTGAGAATCATTTGAAGAGTTTAAGATGAAGTTGAATTTCTGTAGTTTGAAGGATAAATTTTTCTCTAGATTTGATATTAAAGGCCTATCTAGATTTCTTATAAAGGAGTTAAGACACATAACTCTTAAGATGTCTACAGATTGCTTTTTTTGAGTATTGAATTTTTGAAATCGGTCCAGTTGATTCAAGTAGCCAGATAGGTCTAGTCTATATTTTAACGATCTTGGTAAAAGATTTAATCTTTGATTATTTGGGTCGAGTAGGAAAAAATGGATCTTGTGGTTTTGGAGTAAAAGAAGATAAGAAGGGTTTTTATTGTTGACTAGAACAGGATCATTTGATAAATCGTAAAGCAAATGTTTATGATATTTAAAGATATTGTTCATTAATTCCAAATTGAAATAACTCTTTTGTTTACTTTTTGTAGCTGAAGTTGGAGGTTCGATTTGAGGATCCAATGAATTTTTTCCATCATTAATTTCTAAATCCAAAGGTTTTGGTTTTGGTTGTTCTTGTTCTTGTTCTTGTACTGGTGGGTTTGGTGCTGATGGTGGTGATGGTGCTGGTGGTGATGAAAAATAATTTTTCAAGTGATTTAAATTGTTATATGGAGAAGGCATCAAGAAGTAGTCAGACATGCTGATTTTATTATCAAGGATATCTAGTAGAGGCTCTAGATTCAATAAATTTAATAAATCATCCTTTTCTTTGACTAGAAGATATAGAGTTTTCATGAAATACTCGTTGAGTTTAAAGTAGTTGATATGGTTATCGCGATTGAGGTTGTAGAATTTAACGAGTTTGAAATTGACAATTGCTCTGTAGGCATCTGAGGTGTAAACCTTGGATAATATGTCTTTGATGTCTCTTGCATAGCTTAGAGATTTGTTTCTTAGAATGAGATAAAAGTCCAACGAGTTCAAGTTGGTGAAATTGAAGATAAAGAAGCAGTTTTGCCTGGGGGAAACGAGTAAGATGTTCCAGACATTGTTGATGAAGAACAAAAAAAGCAAATCAGCAATTCTCGTGGATTTCTTTATGGGGGCAAACTTGGAGAACAAAGGAGGAGCTATAGCAGAGTTATTGGAGAGAATAAAGAGGCCTTTGAAGTCGTCGACCTTCTGGAAGTAGGTGAGAAGGATGTTGATGTAGACCTTGAGGTAGTTGCTAGCAAGCTCTTTCTTGTCTGTAGACAGAGCTTTTGCTGGTGCTGAGCTCATGCTGGAGAAGAAGAAGAAGAAGAAGAAGAAGAAGAAGAAGAAGAAGAGGTCAAGATGGAGGAAGAAGAAAAAAACTGAAAACACCTCGAATCAAAACAACTGAAGAGAAAGTGAAGAAACAACTCCAAAGAAACACAACCATCCAACTGCCAAAACACTCCCAGTCTGCTCAATCTTTTGTTCTTCTTGCTTTTTTTCTCTTTCCTTCATCAATCGCCTCTTCAACGTCGCTCGTTCCTCTGTCTCTGCTGCCCATCTCTCTGCTTCCTCTGCTTCCTCTTCCAATGCCCCAGCTTCAGACTGGCGACTTCCTTCAGCACTTCCTCAGTCTTCTCTTGCTTAAGGTCCCTCACTCCCACCAGATATGGAACAACTACCACTCCTTCACCATTCTCTCCTCCACTCCAGCTGCAATTCCTCTGCGACACACCAAAGTTGCTTCTTCTGCTTCTTCTGCTGCTTCTGCTTCCAAAGACACCCTCTTCCTCTTCAAGTTGAACCAGACCTGGAACGTCATTGTTGTCAGTGTGGAAACAGACATTGTCTTTGTTTTTAACTTCACAGGCCTCACTTCCTGCCAGTTCTTGAGATTGATCAGAAGCTCTGATTTTGGCATCTTATCCTCCATCGACTCCACGTTGCGATTGATCTTCTCGGGTCCCAATGCTGATGGTGCTGATTCTGATACTAATAGCGATGATGAGACTCACAACCCATTGTCTTTCAATTCAGGCGACAGCTCAATTATCGACCATGTTCTCGACCTACAGACTATAAAGATCTTCAACATCAAAGACACTTCAAAGGCTTCTTTGTTCTCGTTGCCGACAAAATTTCTATTGCTTTTAAATCTACTACTATACAACAAATACTCAATTCTATCCTGCAACCAGTTATTCAAGATCAATTCGTTGCTAAACCTCGTAAAAACTCTCTCTTTCTTCTTCCCATTTGACGAGTTTCTGACCACTTATTCCAACGACCCTGAAAACTTCGATCAAACAAAAAGGTTTTCAATTGGCTACAAAGATCTAATTAAAAGTGGTACTACTTTTAGAGATGAATTGTATTTTGTTAATGAGTACAATGTCATTTACGTTCATTTCGATCCTTCCTATAGAAAATTTTTCATTCAGAAGAATTCCTCCTCTGACTTATCCTTTAATATCTACACTTTATCACATATGCCTCAAGATCTATTCTTGAATGCTTTCCACAAATACTCTCTTGCAATGTTGCTTTTATTTGTTAACAACTTCAACTTCCCCATCATCGATCACATCCAAAACCTTTTAAACAAAAATCCACTTTACCAAAGAATAAAGGTGAAATCTCCAATCATATTATCAAATACTCAAAAGGCTTCTCAACTAATGCAATCTCCCACAAGAGAATCCTCCTTTTTAGGCATTCTATCTTGGCTATATTATAAACTAAATCTATTTAATTTCATCGATTACAATAATGTTGCTTCTATAATTGATTACTCAAATTTACACTCGATTAATTTATCCGAAATTCAGCACTTTTCGGACATTCTTATCAATTCTCCCGATATTTCTCTAAATTTAATAAAACATTTCCCTTATAACTTTACTCAAAATTCTAATATCCACTCAATTTATAATGGTGTTCACCCTATTTTAAATCTAAATGATGACGAGTTCAATATTTTCTACACGTTCAATCAAAATGATAAATATCAATGCAAAATGTCTAGAATTCGACAGCTAGATCATTCTTCCATTTTCTCAAACTACAAAAAGCTAAAACACACAAATTTCCAATGTATCAATAACAATAAGATATCTATCAGAATTTATGAAAATCTAATTTACGATATATATAAAATTGGAAATTTTAATTATAATAACATTCTCCCTCAATATCTGTATAAAGAATTACCAGTAGATTATCAGATATACTCTAGATTGAAAAATCAAATTACTAGAAAGAGAGTTAGATCGAGAAGTTCTACTAATATAAATGATGTATCGAAGAGAAATTTAAGAATAAAAAGGATTTCAAAACAAAATAATAATCAGAAAAAGAATAATTTACCTCTGAATATCAATTTTCCTTCGGATAATAACAACAATAATAAATTAAACTTAATTTTAATAAATGATAATTCACCGCTTAAATATATTGAACCTAATGAAGATCAAAACGAAATATTTAGCGTTATAATGGCTAAAATTAGTGATAAAATTCCAAATTCTAATCCAAGATCTCTTTTACAAAGTTTTCAAAATACTAATCAAAAACAGGATAAAAGAGATAAAACCTTTTCCAACAATAAAGAAAATACGTTGGTCAAAGATGAATTTAATCAGGATCCAAACCAGAAATTAAAAAATAAAATTGATAACGAAGATGAAAATGAAAATGAAAATGAAAATGAAAGTAAAACTAAAACTAAAAGTGAAATTAACGGTGAAATTAAAAAAAAAGATGATGATAATTGTGATTTAGAACATTTGAATAATTCATATATCAATTCTCAAGTAAATGCTGATTCTTCTATTAACAGTGTTAAAAACAATGTCTCTTATACGAAGAACAAATTTAATGATAAAATTAATCTGCAAAGTTTTATCATTCACGATAAAATAGCTGAAATTCGTAAGATTCTGAAAAAAATGTATGATATTGACGATAACTATAACAATAATGATATAAATAAACAAAATGTCCACAGAAACAATGAGGATTTTAGAAATAGAGAAAAAAGTAATATAAGTACTAATACAAATATAAATAGAGAATTTCATTATGTGAAAAAGCGATCACAATCTGTATTTCAAAATAACATTATTAATAATCATATTATTAATAATAAAAATAATGTTGAGAATGAGATAAAATCTAAGACTGTAAGTATTAATGTCGATGATGATATTAATGATGATATTGAAGATGTTATTGATATTGACGATGACGATATTGATAATTATGAAAAATCAGATTTTAAGAAAAGCAATAAGAGAAATGAAAAAGAATCTAAAAATAGGAAAGCAAAAAGGAAGCCTAGGCGTGGAGTAAGAAGGTTTTCAAATGATCTGTTTAATAAAATACTTGATAGTGAGTCTGATTCTGAATTTGAGGAGTATTTACAAAAAAATGGGAAATTACTGGAAAAATCCAGATCGGGTTTAGAAGGTGAATCTAGCTTACTTAAATCAAGCAATAATTATGATAATACGAATTATATTAATAATAATAGTAATAATAATAGTAACAATAATTTAACAAATGTTAAAAATATTGATAATATTAAAGATTATGATAAATTAAAATCGGAACATTTAAAATTGCAACAATTATATAATTCTACGGTGGAAGAAGTGAATGCAATTGTTCAAACATGTAAAAGTCGAGTAAAAAGACTAGAATTAAAACATGAAATGGAGATGAATGAGCTCAAGTCGGCGATGAGACGCAAATTTGTGAAATATAAAAATGAAAATTTGAATTTAAAGAAACAAATTAAATCAATTGAGAATTTATATAGGTAATAGGTAAATTTATTGAGAGACGAGAAACTTGTGACAGATAGTGTATAGTATGGAAACATAAATTTATAGCATTTATTTAGAGGTAATTTAATAATTGAATAAAAGCAAATTACAACAAGCTGTGAAGTTGTGAGGTTTTGAAGTTTTAAAGTTGTGAGGTTGTGAAGTTTTGAAGTTGAGAAATTGTGAAACATAAAGAATTCAAATTTTATAATTGTGTTTGATAGGAAATTTGAAAATAACATTTTATTGAAGCCGAACTAGAGTAAGAAAAGAAAAAACGTAAAGAGATGTATAATAAAAGAATGAAAAAATAAAAACACAAGAAAATGAAGATGAAAATAGGGATGAAAATGAGAATAAAAATGAAAATTGAAAAGACACAAAAAAGAAAAAAAAAAGACAACGAAAAAAAAAGAATTGAATTGAAAGTTTAAATTTTTGATTTTTTTGGTAGTTTTCTTTTTATTAGACGTTTATTATTGATTGAGGTTGAGATTGTGAGTTATTCCAAAGAGAGTTTGATAATAGATGTTTAAGATTTTGGATGATAATTTTGATATCATTAAAGTTGAAATTTAGAAGGTAAGTGTTTGAATCGTTTGATTTTGTGAGAGCATTTTTAAAATCGTTAATATTGTTGAAGTTATTTTGATTTTGAATATTTTGAATATTTTGAAAGTTTTTGTTATTGGATGAGGGAGTTGTGTTGGTGAGGTAGTTATCGTTATAGGGAGAATCGATGAGGGTATCGGAGGAGGATATTGAGGAAGATTTATAATTTTGAATTTGGATTGAAGGAGAAGGTAGATTTGAAGGAGAGGACAAGTCCAAGTCCAAGTCCATGTTATGGTTTATATTGTTATCGATTGAGGAATAAGGGTTGTCAGTGATAGCAGAAGAGGAATTGTTTGGGATTGAAGATAAATTGTTTGCTAGGTCGTTGTATTTGTAGTTTAATAAGTTGAATTTGTTTTTCAAGTTTTCAATTTGGATTAGGTTTTGATTTAGGTTGTATTTTAGGGAGTTGTTGTTTGATTTCAATTGACTATTCTCGTTGGATAGGAGAGTGATTTTCTGGTTTAACTCAGAAATTAGTTGATCATTATTCGTTGATTGAAGAGACTCAATTGTTTTAGTTTCGTTGTTGTTATTAATGGTATTAATGGTATTAATGGTATTAAGTGATTCATTAAGTGATTCATTAAGTGATTCATTAAGTGATTCATTAAGTGATTCATTAAGTGATTCATTAAGTGATTCATTAAGTGATTCATTAAGATTATTTATTGAGGTAATGATTGTATTATTTTGGACAATATTTTCTGAGTTCAAGTCGTTTAATAAGCCTTTTAGGTCATTTAAACTAGCAGATAGTGTTGAATTGAATTGGTGGATATCAGTAGTGAGTTTATTGTAAAGTTGGTTTTGGATATCATTTTGGAGATCCTTTTGGGTATTGATATAGCTGCTCAAGGCTAATTTGAACTCGTTTTGGAATAGATGCTGGAGATCAGGGTAGGACGATATGTTTTTAAAGAAGTTTGGGGGCAATTTTGTGCTTTCTGTTTTGGATTCATGGTGGTGATTGGTGATTGGATTGGCATCGTTGTCGTTGTGTTGTTTGGAGGAAAGGAAGGATTGGTGCAAGAGCTGCTTCTTCTGGTTCTCTAGCTTCAAGTCTGTGAGAGTAGAGTGGTACTTCTGGAGCAAGCTGACAAAGGAAATGAGCACTATTATAAGGGACAACAAGAGAGAGTCGTTCATTGTGGCAGGAGCTGTGATCAAGAGCTGAACATGCAGTGGTTGGAGCTTGGTGAATGAAAACTCACCTTCACTGATCTAAATATAATCAGCAAACACCCAAAGCGGAAATAAACAGAAGGATATAATTCCCACGCACCGGTGCAGCAGGGACATTTCATAAGCGCTGACTAAGACTGCTTACCTAACAGCTGACCACAACCTGCACACTGACGCATGCGTCTGCAGTCTCCAATCACGCGCACTTATGTCAGCACAAAGATTTGAACCTGCAGCGAGGCACAGCAACTGTGGGAGGCCGAGCTGAAATCTGTTTACGACGTGAGGTGTGTTTGCAGCAGAATGAAACAGCAGAGAAGCAGAAGCGTCAGAAGCAGCAGCAGCAGCAGCAGCAGCAGAAGAGAGAGAAGAAAGAGAAGAAAGAGGGGCAGCAGCAGAACAGCTCGCGAGCGCTGCTGTGCCAAAGAGGTGTGCTCGTGCTCCTCTCCCTGTAATCCATTTGAGCCTGCCAGTTTCATCCACTGCATTTTTATCTTTAATCACAGAACTCTAGCAATCTCTGACACTGTATTGGTGTTGAGCTGTGATGCTGTAGCTGATACTGGCGATACTGGCGATGCTGGAGAAGTAAAGAAGCGAGGAAGTGAAGAACGAAGAATGAATGAAGAGCTGAGGAGCTAGAAGACGACTCCAAGCTCCAAGATCTCACTCCACTCGTTTCCTCTTTTACTTATCTTCTCTGCCTGTTTTTGACTCTCAATTATATTTCCTTTTATATTTAAACTCTGTAATTTCATTGATACTTTTTTCCAATGTTTTGCTTTCCCATTTTCTATCTATCACTTTTTATCCTTTTTCTATCTCTTCAATCTGCTGTTCTTGTTCTTATTCTTGCTCTTTTTTTTTTGTTAATTCGTTGCTATTTCTCTCATTCTTTCTTTTCCATTCCCACATCCAACTGATATCCATATCCAACTACATCTTTCCAGCCAACAACCTTCACTCTTTTCACTCTTTTCACTCTTTTCCTACTGTTTTTGAAAGCTTCTTTTTCTTTTTTTCTCTTTTCTTTTTTTTGAAAATTCCACTTTAATAATTCGCCTGTTTTTCTCACAAATGGGTTCAATTAAAAAATACACTTGTATTAATTATATTTCAAGTTCCAAGGTCTCTTCCACCACCACCTCTTCCACCTCTCCTTCCACCTCTTCTTCCTCTTCTTCTCAAAATTCAAATACCCATAATCAAAGTAGTCCCCAAAACAATCTGCCCAATCCTATTAACAACTCCACCAACTTCCCTTCTAATACCTCCCACAACAACTCCCTCGATATCCCTTCCTCCAATTTATTCTCCTCACTCACAAACTCCTCTACAATTATGTCAAACAAAAAATTGTCAAAATTCAAACTAGACAAATTCAAACTCGACAAACTAGATAACATAATTAATACAAACACAAACACAAATACAAACACAAACACAAACACAAACACAAACACAAACGCCATAGATAACAATACTCTCTTCAATGATAACACCACTGATAACGATCAATTTATCCTAGATGACTCCTCAAAATTTATCAAAAAAAACGATTCCTCCTCTCTAAAAAAAGAAATAAAATCCCTTAAAAAGACTAACCACTTCAAAGACAATCTCCTAAAAAAACAGGAAAAAGAAATCAAAAACTTATTGAAAAAATTCAGCCTGTTCCAATCCTACCAAAATACAATTGACAACTTGAACGATCAATTAAATTTCCAAAAAAAACTAAACAAGGAATTACTACTCTCAAATAACTTTGACTCCAATTCATCTTCTTCCCCAATTAATAACTCTCCCAAAACAATTCCCATCTTCAACAACCCGATATTAATCAACGACCTAGCCCTTTTAGACTCAAACCTTCAAAACATCTACGCAAAATCCACCTCCTCACCCAGCAACAACAACAACAACAACAGCAACAACAACAGCAACAACAACAGCAACAACGATGACGACGTCTTAAACCCAGACTTTGACAAATTCCAACTACTATCCCTTTACGAACAAACTAACATCATCCTACTAACAAAACTAAACGAAAGAGATAAAGAAATATTCAAACTATCCCAAATCATACAATCCTTATCTTCCCAAATTATCGACTTGAAGGACAATTACCTCTTCAACCTTAAAAACACAATCCACAACTTACCAAATCACTTATCAAACCAAAGCTCCTACTCAAATATAAACATAAACTTCAATGAAAAGTTATCTCTAACTAATAACAACAATAACAATAACAACAACCATAACCATATTTCCTATCGTTTGCCCTCAATTCATGAATCTGCCAAACAAACACAAAGAAGCTCAAACCCGGACTCAATATTCTCCTTCATAAACTTCGATCTGAACGATTTAAATGATCCCCATAACGATAAATTCAATCTACTAAATTTCTCCGATGAAAATGATACATTCAATGACCAATTTCTCAATAAAGACATCAAAGATATTCATAAAGAAAAAAATATAAATATATCAAGGATCAAAAATAAAATCAAAATCAAAAACAAAAACATCACCAACAAAAAATCAAAAATTACTGATCCTAATAACGACGACATTCATGATAATAATGATAATCATGATAATCATGATAATCATGACGATAATGATGCACAATTTGAAACAGATTACCTAAGCTTCATCAAATACAACGATGATCATTTAAATGACGACGATAACCACTCCTTGCTTTCTTTAAACAAAAACCCAATCTTATCAACTCCACAGTCTCTACCTCCTCCTCCTGTTATGAACCTAAGCTCCCTACGTCCTCCAAGATTAGAACACGCAAATTCAATCTCAAACTTTCACAATTACTCCCAACAATCTGATTTAACCCCAACCTCCTCAAACTTCTCTTCAAACATATCTCACTCAAACTCACTATCAAGACCTCATGTCCAAAGACTGGTAAGTTTGGCTAATACTAGAAAAAGTATCTTGGGTAAAAAATTGGTCTTTGATAACAACAAGCCCTTGCCTATCACTCCAACCCCCGTTTCAGATTTAAATATTGACTCAAATTTTACAAACATTGATTCTAATATTCCTACTTCTGACCAAATTAACAATCACAACTCCTCTCCAAATAAAATAACCAAAGGCGTTACCAAAATTGAAACAGAAATTATTCAAAATGAAACTACTCCTGATATCAATATTGATACTCAAAATATCAATCAAAATAATCTCAAAGAAGTAACCAACAATGAATTTTATTTTGATTCCAATTCCAATTCCAATTCCGATTCCAATTCTAACGCCAACTCTGACTCCAATTCCAACTCCATCACTAATTCCAACTACAACTCTAATCTCATTTCTAATCCCGATTTTGTTTCCAATCTCATTTCTGAACCTGATTCCCATATTGATTCTGAGCTGGATAAAATTGAAAATATTCAATCTGATAATCAAAAATCAAGACCCCAATCTAAATATCATAGCATTTCCCTGTTTGCCGAATCCACTGGATCGCTGGATTCATATGTTTCAACAAGGAGACCTTCAGACTCATCTCAACTTACTACACCTCCATCAAGTGGGAATAGCACACTGATATCAATTGATATGCCGGGAATTCCAGTGATGTCTGTTTCAGTCGAGAAAAAATTCAAAATTACCTCCAGTTTTGCCGAAAATTTGAAAAAATTCGAACAAATGTCAAAATTAATGGAGGCACCTGTCATAAATAAACAAAACAAAACATTCAACTAAATTGGTGATTCATAAACCATTCAGTTACAAATTATTGTTCAACTCCAAATAAATTTTGTTTTATAGCATGCTTTTTTGTTGTTTTTTTTAAAAAAAAGAATGCTCAATTACGTTCAACTACATTTATTTCTTTATCCTCTTTTGCTTTGTTTCTCTTATAGTTTAGTTTATTCTATGTTGTACTTTTTTCTCATTATTTTGTTTTTGTTTTCTTTTGTTTTTTCCTGATTTTGTTATTTTTATTTATCCCTTTGTCTGCTTTATTTTTATTATTTCTGTTTTGAATTATTTACTATAAAATTACTAGCTGAAGAATCAAAAAGTGAATTTTTGGAAGTATTTGTGGAGATAATGATTTATTTCAAAGGATTTGCAAAAATATTCATTTTTTTTTCCAGCCTCTTCATGATTTGAAATACCTGTTTCCTGTGTTTTTATCGCACAAAACTTTAGATTGAATTATATTTGCGCTTTCACAGTGATGTGTGTATTATATAAACATAATATTGTTTTTTTGTCAGAGCGATGGAGCTAATGCAGTCTCTGCAGATTTACTCAAGGTTTATGCTGTATCTGCAGCACACGTGCTGTACACAAAGACATTTTCTGCATGTCTGCATAAACTCGTGGATTCGGCAACAAAACGTGGCTGCACAAACTATCCGGAAAAGAAGCAATATATTTCCCAATTCGGCAATATGTTCGACTTCTTTCGCGGTTTACACACGGAAAAGAATCCGGCCGACGGTTTCTGTTTTTATTTGACGATGCCATGCGTGATACTGCAGAGAAGAGAACAGTGCGTCTATCAGCGGAATTTTAGTCATCGATATTATTTGCAAACCATCTGGAGATAATCCGTTCCGGATGACGATAATTTCAGGAGTTATATACGCAAGCTGCTTAGTACAAACACTAAAGTTCTCTCTGGGACACTTAAAATTATCGCAGCGATCCACGAACTCAGTGCTGCAGCGTTGTTTGTTGTGCGTCTTTTCTGGTGTATTTTAACTCGAGCGAGAATTGCAAAGTCCAACCAGAAATCTACGAAAAAGAAATTATACCGCCAAAATAATCAATAAGACTGTTTTTTTCCTCTCTTTATATTTGTTGCTGCTTCTATTCAAATTTTCATTCTATTCACTCGAAGACTATCTTTTATAATTTGCTCTTTAGTAGCTAATAGCTAATAGTTATATATCAAAAAGCTCACCAAAAAAAGCGAAGCAAACTCTAGAATCCTCATTTTCCAGTCTTTTGAACGAAAAGAATATATTCAGATTCAAAAGCCCCCATCAATAATATTCCATTACCTTCAACTGGAAAAAAAAATATTCCATTCTCTTATTAAAGAATACAAATATTAATCGTTGAAAATGAAATTTTCTTTTGTCTCATTACTTTGTTTAATCCCATTAGCTTTAGCTGCTCCAGTTCCAGCGGATGACGATGTCGAAATTGTCACCTTAATTCAAACTGTTTTAACTTCAAATTCCATCTCAAAGACAACTTTTGAGGTTACTTCTACTGAGGCTTTAAATTCTTCTATTTCTTCAATTGCTGGTTATGACGCTAATAGATACACTGTTTTAACTACTTTAAACAATGATGGTGCCACCTCAACCACCACTATTACTACTGGTACTTACAGATATGGTAGATTTGATAATACCCAAGATGCTTCTCAATCCGAAGAAACTGGAACTCATAGATACGGAAGATTTGATAATACTCAAGATGCTTCTCAATCCGAAGAAACTGGAACTCATAGATACGGAAGATTCGATAAAACTGCTGATCCCTCTACTTCTGAAGAAACCGGAACTCATAGATACGGAAGATTCGATAAAACTGCTGATCCCTCTACTTCTGAAGAAACTGGAACTCATAGATACGGAAGATTCGATAAAACTGCTGATCCCTCTACTTCTGAAGAAACTGGAACTCATAGATATGGTAGATTTGACAAAACTAGAAACAACGTAGCCACTGTCGTTCTTACTCAAATTAGTGAAAATTCTGGAATTAAAGTATTTACTCCATCATCTTATTTTATCACCATTTCTTTGACTGCTTTCTTGATCACTTTCTCCATAATGTTTGTTTAATTCTTTTAATTTTAACTCAAAGAAGTTTTTGTTTGAACTGAATATCAAATTATAGATTTACAAATTACAACTTCACTTTTTTTTTTATTAATCTAATAATAGCACTTCTGTTGGTCAAAATTTTCAAATTGTTTTTTTATTATTGTTGTGTTTTCTATTTGCTTTATGCTTTTCACATTAATTTCACATGATTTTGTAATTTTTTTTTTTTTTTGGTTTTATCATACACATTTTGTTAACCAAAGGGTATCTTTTTTTATGCTTTTCTTCTTTTTTTTTGTTTAAGTCTTTCTAGATTACTAATAACCATTAATTGATTCATTTCACCTAAATATGAGAAAAAAAACAAAAGGAAAAATTCTACATTCCACTAATCAGATTTTAATAAATATTATTTCTTTATCTTCTTTCAGTTTTCTTGATTAAAATGGTTTATCCTTTTTCCAAGCAAAGGTTTAGAACGCAAAAATTTGAAAAGTGCTGCAACTAAATGTCAATCCCTTTTTTTTGATCGAAAAAAAAAGATTTTTACCTGAACTAATAATCATTGACCAATGGCAACGAAAGAAAAACCCATTGAAAAATTTACATTCCATTTTACAGTTCTCATAAAGTAAAATATTGCAATTCTTGGTAGCACTAAAAATTGAAAATGAATCAATTTAAGACAATTAGACTCATCAAGTGAAGTGATGAATAAATTTGAAAACAAAAGTATTAAAACCTCAGATCAAAAAAGATTACAAAAGATAGAGGCAGATTCTAATTTTGCTCTTTTGACCCTATGGATTTAAAAACTTGTTTTTCTTTCTGGAATTACAGCAAACTCAACAAGTCGAAGTTATTCAATACAGCTGCTTTTGCAACAAAACAATCGCAATACATTCCAACATACCACTTCTATTCTCAATATCTGTTGGGCAATACTGGAAGATATATCTCTTATCTCATTCGCTTTCTCAACTTTACACAAAAGGCGTTTGTACGCAGACAACTGCATATACAAAAACCACACCGACGGATTGCTTATTTATAAATGAGCCAGGCGAGGTTCGAACAGTAGACCTACTTTTGTGGTTCTCCGAGCCCAAAACAGCCGTGTTGATCTGTTCATCAGATCAAACATTGTTTGGTATTTGCAGCAGTGTTCAACAGGTTGGAGTAATCATTTGATACTGTACTGTTGAGGAGATGTTGTGGTTGACTGAGACTCAGAGTATGTGTATATCAACGCTTTTCAGTTATTGCATCTGTATGAGTAGATACTAACATTTGTCGTGCCTTTTTGTTTTATTTTATCTTTTTGGTTTGGTTCTAATGTATTATTCCTGAAGAGTTTGGAGTTGGATTTACAGCTTTAGGTGTTGTGGTATTTTTCCTTGGAGTTATATCATTTTTTGATTCAGCATTGCTATCATTCGGAAATATACTATTTATAATTGGATTACCATTAATCATTGGGCCATTAAAAACTGTTAATTTTTTTTTAAGACCAAATAAACTATATGCTACAATTTGTTTCATATTAGGAATTGGATCAATACTATTAAAACACCCATTTATTGGATTTTTAATCGAGAGTTATGGAATTTTAAAATTATTTGGAGATTTCTTTTCGGTAATTATATCGTTTTTAAGAAATTTGCCAATCATTGGAAATATTTTATCACATCCAAAGATTGCACCATTTATAGATAGGTTAACGGGACAAACTATATTGCCTGTATGACTAAAGAGTAAATAAAATAAAATAAAAAAACGACAGTGAAGCCAGAGGAAATATAGTAATAGTAATAAAGACTTATCAATTAATTATACAACAATAAATATAAATATATAATATTAACCCATATTTAGAAAATATTTAACTTATCTTACTTGCTTGTTTGTTTTTTTAAGATTATTTATGATTATTTATGATTACTTATGATTAGTTAGCCTTTTTAGCAGCATCAGTTGGTTTAATACGATTATCTTTATTGAATCTTGGTCTTTGTGGAGGAGTTCTAACTTTTCTACCTTCTCTTGATCTAACTCTAACAATCTTTGAATGAATTGCACAAGAAACACAGTAATGTAATTTGTTGTATATTTTTGGTAAAACATATTCATCGTAAACAGAGGCTTCACTTAAATCTCTGGTGGCAACACTTTCAACTATACCTCTTTGAGTAACACGTTTGATGGCTTTATCTTTTGGTACACAACGAGAACAATTTGTGCATCTAACAGGTTTAACATGACCTCTACCTTTTTTGTTACGACCGTTGGAAGCTCTCTTTTTTGGCATTTTGAATAAATTTCTTTAAAATAATAGTTAGTTTAATGTTTTGTAATAATCATAATGTTTTGTAGCTTATTTATATTCATATTTATATTCATAATCTAATAACCAAAACACATTGTATTGCCAATAAATTTTTTCGACTATAAACATTATTTTCATTTTTTTTTTTTCATTTGATAATTATCTTATTAGGTGCTTTAGAATTGATTTTAATTCAATTTAATCAAGAATTATAATCTGAATAGTAATAAAATGCAGGTAATTATTTATATTGAATTTCAATAATAAAATCTTGTATTGTAAATGTTTCTATGCATTGACAGTAATCAAATTCATATTATCTTTGATAAAACTTAACCATATTTTTATCAATGTATTTTATTAACATATTTTTAATATTTCATATTGATAAATCAATTATTTTAAGATCTTAAAATTCTTTAATTAGTTTGATTAAAGACAATAATGGTACTTGGTTTTTCTTAATTTATTGTTCCAAATCAAGATAATACTCTTACAAAATTTGATTTACTTTGTTTCAAAAAAAACAAAAGATGATTGAATTGGTAAAAATTGATTTTCTGACAATACAAGAATGCGGTTGGATCCAAATCAAATAAATTTGAATTGTAAATGGTCAGTTATGAAACAATTTTGTAATTAATAACTGAACTGTTATTGTTATGATTTTTATGAATTTTATGGTTTTTCTTTATTATTTCTTGTGCAAGTGGAGACAGTGATTGATAAGACTATAGAAGACGTAATTGTGGACAGGAACAATGGCGAATATGGAAATGGATATAAAGCCTGGAGATTCTCGTGGATCTAGTGGAAGCAGAGTAACATACCTATTGGTGCAATGATAAGAAGACTGATGGTTCACAGCTAGTGCTAACTAATAAAACTTCAGGAATCTTTTTCAACACTGAATGATAATATAAAGAAGTGCTCCAAAGAAACAATTTCCATCCGATTAACTCTCTGTCCGGTTACTGCGTTGAAACCACTGGCCTGGGGTTGCGAGCCAGAGCATGCCTGCTACATAAAACGCTCAAAGAAAAATTGTAATCAAAGCGCACCAAAACCCTATACACACACACGTGATAACTAAATAGGGCGCTATCACACCTGTGTTGGGTAACTACTTGGTGTGCTGACTGGGGACGTTAGACGGGGTTCTGGTGCCACGGGGGGTAATGCGTACTTTGCGTTTTCCCAATAAAGTGCACCGTGCACCAGCTCCCACTACCTTGGGCCTTCAACGTCACAAAGCAGTCTGTGTCCCGATTGGGCGCAAATTCTCCCAGTCGGCTGGGAATTCAGTAATGTGTGCATTTTCATGCAGCTTTAGACGTGGCTCGACAATTTTCAGGATGTTTATTCTTTAACATGTTGTGGCGACGAGAAGAACAGAAGAGTCGAAGAGGAATTGAAGACAATCGATGGGAATTGGACACTGCTGGAGAGAATTGAAGATAATTCCTACGTTTTGTTGGTGCATTGCCCATCTGCTCATGATGAAAGCCTCTTTTAGCTCTTGAAACACATTGCTAAGAATAAATTGTGGGTAGAATGGAGCAAAATGAGAGAATAGACTGCAAGCAAACTAGCTCTTGAAGAAGAGTTAAGTTTTTAACTTCTTTTTTGGATTATTTTATCTCCAAAACTTGTCTCAACATATCAAGACAAATTTCCAAGTGTATTCCCAATTGTTCACTTTTCTGGTCTTTTCCCTCTTGTATATCTACCCCTTTAATACTGTTTTTCGTTTTATTTCTCTCTTGCTCTCTCTACATAATGTGCTATTGGTATTAGCTGGTATCTAACCCCTAATAATTAATCTCTAATAACTAATAACTAATAATTAATAACCAATAACCAATACTTGATACTCGATAGCCAATAACATCCGTCAACCATTATTCAATAACCGCCAAATTGTATCATCAAAACCAAAGATAAATAAATAAATAAACAATCAAGCAAATAAACAAACAAACAATCCATCAATCATTCAATCAATTTAATAGGTAAACAAACACTCTTGATTCACTATTTACTTCTTTATATAATTGATATTAAATCCTTATATATTCTCACATTAATTATCTTATCTTATCTTATCTCATCTCGCTGTCTCATATTTTTACACTCAACACATTACATCTTATGATTGAGTCTATAGTCTGGGGTATCTTTTTTTTGATTTGGGCTTTCGTTCATAGAGAAAATCAAGTGATTGAAACCCATGAAAACACAATTGAAAATGAAACAATTAAATTAAAGGAAAAACAAATCACTGATAAAGATGATTCAATATTATCATTAACAAATCAAATCAAAAAATTTGAAGAAAACGAAAAAAAATTAAACGATCAAATTACTAATCTAACCAATTTGAATAATGATTTAAATAACATTAAGCAAACTCATTTGGACGATTTAAAAGTTTTGGATTCAAACAAAATTCAAATTGAAAATTTAAATAATGAAATCTCAAATCTAAATCTAATTAAAAACGATCTAAATAACATCAACTCAAGTAATGATAATTTAATTAGAAAAATATCCTCTGAAAATGATTTGCTAAATAAAAAATTGATAGAATTGCATCACGAATTAAAAATATCTCATACAAATAATCCTGAATATCAAAGAATTTTAATTGACAATAACAAGCTTATAGATAAAAACTATAGATTAACTAAGGAATCGACTTCTCAAAGTGCTAAAATCAATATGCTCGTAAATGAAAATTCAAACTTGAGAAGTAGTTTACTCAAGTTTTCAAATGATTTCAGTACTTTAAAATTAAATTATCTCAATGAATCAAATGAATTCTTAACTAATTTATCTTTATTAAAAGAAAAATTATTTAAAAGTGAAAGCGATGTCTATTTTAAAATTTTAAACACCCCCTCCCCAAACACTCAACAAATTACGGATTTTAAAAAAGAAATTGATTCAAAAGATTATGAAATTAATTATTTAAAGGATAAATTTAAATACTCCCTCACTAAAAAAAATGAAGAATTGAAAAATTTGCAAGATCAATTGGATTCTTTGAAGGATAACTTGGTAATCTCCGGCGGTAAAGCTTTAAATTCAAATTCTGAACAAAAAATTCAAGATCAACATTTCAATCAAGATTACGATTACTATCGTAACCAAGATTCAAATCAAGTTCAACCCGAAAATACTCAAGACCTTACTCAAGATCATACCAAAGATCAAACACAAAATCAAACACAAACTCAAACACAAACTCAAACACAAACTCAAACTCAAACTCAATTGCAAGAATCTAAAGAAAACAATATATCTAAAATCGATTCCCCAATTAATCAAACTGATCCTGATGTATCACTTGGTGACTCTCCAGTCAAAGCAAAGGCTGTGCCAGTTCAAATCTCTTCACCTTCCACTCCTAAAATTACTCAAGTAGACAGCTCTTTATCCACATCATCACCTTCCAATTTGACTTCTTCAACAGAAATCTCTTCAAGAGATTCATCTTCAAAAAATTTAGGTAAAGTAGCTTCAAACCCAAACCCAAATTCAAACTCAAACTCATTTTCAGTCCCAAACACTTCGAAAATTAGTGACAAAATCAGTAAACTCAATCTCTCCCACAATAACTCAAGCAGAAAAAGAATCTCAGATACAATCAACAGCTTTGAGCTAAAACGTGTTAGTCCCACAAATGGTGCAACTAAAAAGGATCCCATCAGTTCAATTGACAAAGTCAGAGCCTTCAGTCTATTTTCCAAAAAGGCTGGTAACGTTGCTAATTGATCGTGCTAATGAATTGCTGATTTGTTAATTTGCTAACACCAGTTTTGGTTTTTTATATATTTTACATCTTTTACATCTTTTTTTTTGTTTTCATAAGAACTACTCCATATACTATTAATATGCGTTTTCTTGTTATCAGCTTCTTTTTGTTTTTTTTGTTTTTTGTTTTTTGTTTTTTGTTTTTTTTCTCTTTCAGACTGACACATCATCAAACAGTTCTTGAATTCTCCTGTCCCCTTTCTTCTGATTCCAAATTCCTCTGTTTCTAAATAAAAACCTGTAGTCCCACGTATTTATAGAAAGGACTAGCATATCGTAGTCGTAAAACCACTTGGCCAATCGGGTAACAGCAGCTCTAGCATCCTCCAAGTTGTGATATTAACACATATATCATCGCTCCATCCACAGCACCATCAACACTATCTTGCTCTCTCTGTTCTGCTTCCTTTGGTTGTTTGCACTCAGCGTGGTTCTCAAGGTTAGCTGTTCTTCCTGGGCCCAATGTCGTCCCTCCACAATGCTCCTGTTTCAAACGAGCCAGATCTTGCCAGCTCCACCCCAACCACTGCTCCAACCACTGCTCCAACAACTCCCATGGAACAAAAAATGCCCATTCCAACAATAAGTGTGGTCTCTGATGCTGTTGTAAACGACAGAAACCTAAGAACAAAATACAGTTTGCCTGATTTGCTAAATTCCTATACACATTCTTCTGCTATTGAGGAAAGTCCTACGACTGCCAATTCCGCTGAGATTCAAAATAGCTCCAAGAAAAATTTCACCAAAAACAACAAAAGCATCTCTTCTGTCTCTAATATCAATGATGGTATAGGTTACAAATACCATTCAAGCAATAAGGCAATGAGACCTAAATCCATGTATAATATTCTCGACTTCACTTCTCTTCAAGATTCAGACCCAGCTGTTTCAATAAAAGATTCGAGCAATTTTCAATCACTAAATACATTTTCTGGGTTGTCTCCTGCTGTTGCCTTCAATAGTAGTCCCAAGAATAGACCTTCGCTTTATCCAAAGAATTCCCTAAGCTCATTGAAGTATATCCCTCCTCCTCCTTCTTTGCCAATTAGCTCAAACTCAAAAAATAACTCTCCTGAAAATTCAAGACCAAGCTCTCCGATGAAATCTTCCACTTTCAGTTCTTCTCCCAAAATAAGAAAGAAAAACTCTTTCAATAGTGTTTCCATTAATAATTCTTTGCCAATAGATTATAAACCGTTCAATTATCAATCCAAAAATGTCATGATGAATAATAGTAACTTTTTACAAAAGCCTTCTCATAGAAAGGGTCATAGATATAAACATTCTTCCGTTTCTATGAATTTTTTTCAAGAGCCTAAGTCTAGAAAACCCTTAAATATAGCGATTTCTTTACCAATACCCAATGTTAAAGAATTTATTGAATCAATGACTTTTGATCAAAAGACTCTGGTAATAATGACAATAATTCATGTAGTATTTGCCGGTATTTGTTTCTTAGTTGGTTTTAATTTTGATTTATTAGATCTATCAATATTATCTCATTTAGTTTTTTTTGATTCAATTAACAATTTTGTTGTTTGTTTAGTCAATATCTTTAAAAATTTCGAAGTTTGGAATAAAGCTTCAATAAAATTTCCCTTTGGTTTATCAAGGTTGGAATTAATTGCTGGTTTTGCTCTCAGTATCTCGTTATGTTACACGGGATTTGATTTATTTACCCACATTTTTGAAGAATTTGTAATAAGTATTATAAGTGCTGATATGAATCATAGTCATCATTCTCATGGATTTTCAAGTTCTTCTGTCTCAAATCAAAATATCGAGGATCGATTAAATGACATCAATAATAATGTCATTGATATTAACGATATTACTGATTCTGATAATTCTTTAAATTCTATCGCTAATAATAATATCAATGATAATCAAACTATTGATGATAATGACAATGATAACGTCAATTGGGTATTATACCAATTATTGATAATAATTATAATGGCATTGACTATAATTAATTCCAAATTTTCTCAAGATAAAAATTATGAAAATTCAATAACTGACTCAAATAATTTGACTAATTCATTCGATGAAGAAGAAATTTTCAATATTGATACCAAAATAGAGACAGGTAACCGTAAAAAATCTTTCCTTTTAGAAATTGTTAATAAATATATCATACTAAATTTTAAGAAAATAATGGATTTTTCTTCTAACTTTCATTTTATTAAAAACCCAATTAAAATCTTAATCCTAATTTACTCATTTTATTTACTAATTTATTCAAGTTTAAATAATAGATTTGAAGAATTTTTTAATGCAATTTCAACATTCCAAAAAATTTTAATAACAATTTTAATTTTATATTTTTCAATAGATTTAATTAAAAAATTATCTTTGCCAATTTTATTATCATATCCAATCAATAATGATAAAATATTTAAAAAAGACATAAATGATATTCAGAACTCTATTGTTGATTTAGAAAATTTCAAGAAAAAATTTAAAATTGAAAAAATATTAATTTCTAAAATCAATCTCACATTATGGATAGTATTAATAAAAATAAAAATGAGAGGTGGAAGCGATGATGACGAGATAAGATTAAGATATGGAATTAATGATATTGTTAAAAGCGTTTTGAAAAAAAGAGGAAATTCAGAAAGTAACTTTGAAATTACAATCGATATCGATAGACTTTAGTTTAACAATGTAAGATAACTCGCAAGTAAATAAACAACAATATTAAAGATTAAATTTGTGCTTTTAGTTTTGGTTTCATTAATTGTATTTATGTTTTTCATTGACATTTATTTATCAATTTGTTCTCTTATATTTTATATTTTATATTTTATATTTTATATTTTATGCTTTCTGCAGTTTTATTTTCAGTTCTCTTTTTTGTTGCACAAAAGATAAGCCCTATATATTCTAGGGTTCTGACGCATACTAATGTTTAAATGCATATATATACATAATGATACTTTTAAATGGATTCTAACTTTGTATTTTCATTATAAATTTTCACTTTTCTTGTAGATAAGAATAAAATCCAAACAGAATAACTTACCACTCTGATTACTGCTACGGGTAGTTATAAAAATGTAGTTCATATTTATTTTTTAGATATTTTACTCTTTAATCGAATGCTTTTGAGTTAATGATATTATTCTACTATTTAGTTTTTGGTAAAAGTAATTTTTATTTGATTATATTTAAACATAATTCTTTTATACCCTTTTGCATTTCAATAATGTTAAAAATAAAATTTATTACTTGTTAGATGTAAAATTTCTTTTTTTATAAAACCTTGTTAGGCTATTATTTTTCTTGAATCCAAGCAGGGGTTTTGCAAAAAACAAATTATGTTTTTTTATGTTTGGTGTTGAATATTTCTGTATTGGGATATATCAAGTCAATATCCTGTGTGTCAAGTCTTCAAATTTTATTAAATCTGAGATTTAAATCTGTTAATAAATTCTAATTTTTTTTTTGTTTTAATGATCTCAGGCTATTTTTAAATTTTAAATTTTACAATTTCAATTTTTACAAGTTATCAACCATTTTGATTTTACAATATTTATTAAGCAATCAAAAGATAAATATGAACACTACACAAACTACTGCTTTATACATCTACATCTACATACATTAACATGCATGATGCCAATTCAATTCTTATTGTTAAGAACTTTGCTTGTTATTATCAGAATTCATTTATATTTGACGATTCAAGCAAATCAACTGTTTATTTAATTTCAATTATTTAATTAATTTTAGGTTTTTTGTGGTTTTTCTCATAACAGGTCAAATACAAATCAATAGTGTTGTATACTTTTTTCTAGAAATATCATTTTTGCACAATTTTTCTTGAAAAAGAGAAGTTTAAAGCAACCTATTTCAAACAGCAATCATATCACAAACAATTTAAATTGAAAAATAATTTTTTTCTTTTAATTCTTGATTATAGATAATAAATGATTTTTGATAAAATAAATTGCTAAAGCAAAAAAAAATTTACATTAAATAGTTATTTTTCTTTTCTACTGTTACAAAGTATTTCTAAATGGATATATAATAATTTTATCACAATATAAACTTGAATAACAAGAAAACTGGTCACAGATTTACAATGGATGAATATAACATATACAATAATAGTTCTAATAGTAAATCATTAAACGGAGAAATATCTGAAGTTTCTGATACTCTTAACCTTAAAACTATTTCTTCAAATTGTGAAGAAAAAAAAAATGTACAAAAGTGCGATAAATCAATTCCGAGTGTTGAAACTAGCTCAATTTCCAAAGGAATTTCAATAAATGAAAAAATAGTACAAAATTTTAAAATATGTATTAAGTTTTTATTTAAAAAAAATCTTATTTATTTAATTATTGGATTGTTTTTTACTGCCTGGTGGATTTCAATATTATCACAAGATAAATTTAGGAAAAAAACAAGTTTATGGCTTGTTCCAACAGTTTTATGGGGATGTATTATCTTTAGACTTGCTACCTTTTTCATTCCAATTCCCAAATACATAATGTTTATTCCCAGAAAATGTTTTTTTTATTTAATTCAAATAAGAGATAAAATTATTCTGGAAAATTTGAGGTTGGTATTTGCTGCTATTTTCACAATTGTTGTGATTTGTTTGGGTACATTTATTCCATCGGAAACTGAATATTCATCGAGAACTGATAGGTTGATATCATTTTTTGGCATTTTCATCATTCTATTTTGTTTATGGTTGACAAGTAATAATAGAAGAAAAATTAAATGGCATACAGTTATAACAGGCATTTTATTCCAATATATAATAGCGTTATTTGTACTAAGAACTACAGTTGGATATGATATCTTTAACTTTATTTCAAAATTGGCTGCAAGTTTATTAGAATTTGCAAAAAATGGAGTGGCTTTTGTTACAGACGAAGCAACATCAGAGAAAACCATGTTTTTTTTTACAGTATTACCATCAATTCTATTTTTTGTGGCATTAATTCATATTCTCCTTTATTGGAATATTATTCAATGGGCAGCTAAAAAATTTGGAGTTTTTTTCTTTTGGTCAATGAAGGTTTCAGGAGCTGAAGCAATTGTTGCAACTGCATCCCCATTTATCGGGCAAGGAGAATCAGCAATTTTAGTGAAAGAACTAGTTCCATTTTTAACCAAAGCCGAAATTCATCAAATTATGTGTTCCGGATTTGCAACAATTTCAGGGTCAGTTTTGGTAGCATTTATTGGCTTGGGAATAAATCCACAAGCTTTGGTGTCGTCTTGTGTAATGTCAATTCCAGCTGCATTGGCGGTTTCCAAAATGAGATTTCCTGAAACAGAAGTATCAATCAGTGCTGGAGAAGTCATTTTACCAGAAACCGAATCAAACTTAGATGAAAATTCAAATGAAGCTAAAAATGTTTTGCAAGCCTTCTTAGATAAGGGAGGAAAACTAGGGTTCAATATAGCATGTATAGTAATGACTAATTGTTTTCTCTTGATTGCAACAGTTGCATTGATCAATTCATTGTTAACATGGTTTGGGGCCTATTGGGGAATTCCCAATTTGACATTGGAGTTGATGTTTACATACCTTCTCTATCCATTGGCTTTTTTAATTGGAGCACCAAGAAATGAAATACTCAAAATATCCAAACTACTTTCATTCAAATTCATTCAAAATGAATTCAGTGCTTATTTTTTGCTAACTAATGACGATGAATTCACGACCCTATCAAAAAGAGGATCTGTTATAGCAACCTATGCTCTCTGTGGCTTTGCCAACATTGGATCAGTAGGCACCCAAATTGGAGTTCTAGGAGCCATAGCACCCAACAAAACTGCCATCATTTGTGATACAGTTCTTTCAGCAATGTTATCTGGAGCACTTGCAACACTTCTCACAGCTGCTGTGGCCGGAATGGTGATCCACGATCTTTCGTCGTTCACGAACACGATATAGCGCATCCGTATTTCGACGGTAAATACTTACATAAATGCTTACCTAATCGCACTAGAACCATATTTGTGGGTTGAATGAGCCGATACCGCTCTGCTGCTCCGGTGAGTTCCGAAACCGCAGCTTCGGATCAGATCATCTCCAGGTTTTCGAATCTCTTCAGATTGGATTATTTTTCACTTCTGACTCATTTTGGTCTTGAGTCTGTTTGATATTTATATCTCTTTATTTCACTGTTTTGTTGTCTCTGATTTCTGGTTTCTTTTCATTGTTACTCTTTGTATTATCTTTACTGTGGCTCATTTCAAGATGTTTTTACTACCTGCTTTAGCACAAGTCAATGGTGGGCTTTTGAATGAGTTTTCAGTTGTTGGTCCAACTTTGTTAAAATACTCAAATGAAACTAAAGATTCAATTTATTCTCTTCTTTCAACAACTAATTATAATGACTTAATACTAGATTTTGATCAAACTTTAGATTCTGATGAGAACTTGGTTATTGATTTATTAAATTCTGGAGTCTCAAAAGTTTTTGTCCCCTTTTCAAACTACTTGGTTGATACAGTCAATAACTCAATCCCATCACACAGAATCGGTATAAAATTAACAAACATTAGCGAAATTAGTAAAGAAATTGCTAACAAGTTTTATTCGGTAATTATTCCATATAATTCTCAACTTAATTACAATGAAACATCCAAATCTTTCAAATCGGGTCAAAATATATTTATTGATCTTAATCTTGAGGAAATTTCGTTAACAATTGACCAAATTATTAATTTAACTTCTTCAAATTTAATTCCAATTATTTCAACTAATAAATTATCTTATGATGACTCTAAGATATCAATTTCCAAAATTTTAATCTCAAAATTATCATCTGATAGAGCTGATGGTTTATATCCAACAATTGTTTCAGATATTTACAATAATTCTTTAGGTCTTTGTTACTCTTCAAATGAATCAATTGAAAAGGCCTTAATTGAAAAAGTTGGTGTTTATCAATCAAGAAAACATGGCTTATGGGTTAAAGGTTTAACCTCTGGCTCAACTCAATCTTTGATTTCAATTCAATTGGATTGTGATAATGATGCCTTAAAATTTGTTGTTAACCAATCAGGCACTGGGTTTTGTCATTTGAATACCAATACTTGTTTTGGTGATTTAACTGGTTTATCTCGTTTGGAACAAACGTTGATTCAAAGAAAATTAAATGCTCCTCATGGATCTTATACTTCTAGATTGTTTAATGATGATGATTTATTATCTGCAAAGATTAAGGAAGAAGCCGAAGAATTGGCAGAAGCTAAATCTAAAAATGAAATTGCCTGGGAATGTGCTGACCTATTTTATTTTGCTATTACTAAATTAATTAAAAATGGTGTATCCATTGCCGATGTTGAAAGAAATCTTAATATGAAAAATCTTAAAATAAAGAGAAGAAAAGGTGATGCCAAACCAAAATTTATTGACCAAGATAAATCAAATGAAAAAAATAAATCTAGCGTCAAACCTAAACAAAATCCACAAGACGAAATTTTAACTGGTGAAATTAAATTAAAATCAATTAATGTTTCTGATTTAACTGAACAACAAGTTATTGATGCTATTTCAAGACCTGTCCAATCAACTTCAAATATAATGAAGTTGGTTAACCCAATTGTTGAAAATATAAAAAATAATGGTGATAAAGCCTTGATTGAATTGACTGAAAAATTTGATAGAGTCAAGTTATCTTCCTCAATTATCAAAGCACCTTTCTCTCCAGAATTATATCAATTGCCTAAAAAGATTCAAGATGCTCTTGACCTTTCAATTGAAAACGTTTACAAATTTCACAAAGCACAAATAGATAATATCAAACCTTTAACCATTGAAACCTCAAAGGGTGTTGCATGTTCTCGTTTCTCAAGACCAATTGAAAACGTTGGTTTATATATTCCTGGAGGAACTGCTGTATTACCTTCTACTGCTCTCATGTTGGGTGTTCCTGCTCAAGTCGCTGGTTGTTCCAACATCATTTTTGCTTCTCCACCAAGACCAGATGGTACTTTAACTCCAGAAGTTGTCTACGTTGCTCACAAAGTCGGTGCAAAGGCTATTGTATTAGCTGGTGGTGCTCAAGCTGTTGCTGCAATGGCTTATGGTACAGAAACTATCCCCAAATGTGATAAGATTCTTGGTCCAGGTAATCAATTTGTTACTGCTGCTAAAATGTATGTTCAAAACGATACTTCGGCTTTATGTTCCATTGATATGCCTGCAGGTCCATCAGAAGTTTTAGTTGTAGCTGATAAACAATCGGATCCTGATTTTGTTGCAGCAGATTTATTATCGCAAGCTGAACATGGAATTGACTCTCAAGTTATATTAGTAGCAATTGATTTAAATGATTCTGAAATTGATGCAATTGACAAAGCTGTTTACGAACAAACCATTAAGCTACCAAGAGAACAAATAATAAGAAAATGCATTGACCATTCATTAATAATTAAAGTTAAAACTGCTGAGGAAGCATTTTATTATTCTAATCTTTACGCTCCTGAACATTTAATTTTACACTTGAAGGATGCACCAAGCTATTTGCCGTTAGTTCAACATGCTGGTTCAGTGTTTGTTGGTCAATATACTCCTGAAAGTTGTGGTGACTACTCATCAGGAACTAATCATACATTACCAACATACGGTTATGCTAGAATGTATAGTGGTGTTAATACTAGTACATTTTTGAAATTTATTACAAGTCAAGAGGTTACTGAAGAAGGTCTTAAGAATATTGGACCAAGTGTTATGGAAGTGGCTGATGTTGAAGGATTAGGAGCTCATCGTAATGCAGTCAGGATAAGAATGCAAAAACTTGGTTTATTATAAATTGAGCGGTTAGAGTAAAAATTAATTTTACATTTGAATTTGAGCATTATTTTTTTTTTCTTTATCACTTTTTACTATTTGTTTAATTTAAGTACTTCGATTTTTGTTTTATAAAGAATAATAAAAGCAATTATAAATTATAAATTATAAATTATAAATTATAAGTTATGAATATATATATAGTGATAATACAGCGACTCTTTAGCTTGTTATTTGTTATTCGAAATTTTCAATTTTTACAAAAAAAAAATAGTAAATGATTAATACTTGTAACTAAAATCATTATAATTTTTTGATTCTAAAGATTTTTCGAATATTTCATGTTGTTTAGCTAAAAATTTTGACTTCCAAAATTCACTTTCAGCTTCTAATTTTGAGATTTTCTGTTCATATTCAGTTTTGAGTTTATCAAATTCTTCATTTAATTTCAGAGTTAAATTATCCTTTTCAATTTGGAAATCGTTGGAAATTTTAGTAATCGATTGTTGTAGCTGAAAATTTTTTTCATCAAAGACTTTATTAGCTTCTAAAGTTCCTTCTTCATAGGCTTCATCATAAACGCCAGCGTCATCATCTAGATGTTGGATTTTTAATTGTTCTTTTTTGTAGTTAATATCAGATTTAATCTTTTCCAACTGTAACTGTTTTGAGATTAGTTGATTATTTTGAGATTCCACTTCCTTTTCTAGGGTATCTAAATCAATATCACAAGTTGATAGTTTTAAGTCATTTAGATCATTGAATTTTGTTTGTAAATCGGATAATTGTTTTTGCAAATTTTTAGTTTTGTTTGTTTCTTTAATTAATTTGTAGTTGACGATTGAAGTTGAAAAGGGTGAGTTATTTATTAATTTCAGAATTAGATTGAACAAATTTTTTTGAATTAAATCATGGGCATAAATAATTTTTAATGAGGATAATAAATTTGAAGTTGAAAGCGAATATTTTAAAGCAATTCCAAAATGAGATTGGTATTGAGTTTTTAAGGGGGAATTTTGAAAAGAGTTTAATAATATTTGAAAAATTTGGTTAAAGTAGTCTGGAGAAAAATCTTTGGTTTGGGGATCATAGATTAAAGTGACAAGTGATAGAAAGAGCAAGTCATCAGAATAATCTTGAATCTTTCCATTATTATTTTTATTATTACTATTATCATTACTGTTATCATTACTATTATCATTATTACTATTGTTAAAAAGAAATAGATCCTCAAATGAGGTTAATATTAGAGTAAAAATTGGCAAATAGGTTGATATAAAATTATCAAAATCGATGTTTCTGAAAAATAACAATAAAATAGTTTGATTTATGTTAATTCTTAATAGATTTAATTTACCTATAAACTGATCATCCAAGGGAATAGTTGATAAGATGGAGGAAGGAAGTAATTCGTCAAAGTAAATAAAGCAAGTTGCAGGTTTTAAAATCAAATAAATTCTTAAAAAATTCAATAGATGATGTGTAAAATATGAGTCGACATCAGGGGGTAAATAAATTAAGTCTGATAGCTTGTAATATTTGTTTAGTTTTATTGATTTGAAAAAAAGGTTTTTTTCGTAGAAGTCTCTCAAACTCTGGGGGTCATCAGCAATGTGATTGAGATTGTCCAATTCATCGAATTCATCAATTGGTAGCATCTCATGGTCATTATCATCAGTACTACCGCCAGTAGTTTGATCACTGGTTTGAGTCGATTTTTGGTGACTATCCAGCTCCTCTTTCAGTTTGCGAAAACAAGGAAAACAAACAGTATGCTCAGCACTCTTCAAGAAATCAGTCAACCATTGGGAGGACTCGTAGATCAGCTCCAAGTGCTTGTCGATAAACTCCAAGTAGTCCTCAGTGTTAAAGAACTGCACATACTTCGATCCATTGGAGGGCAAATAGCGAGTGTTTTCCTCAAACAACTGCAGCACATAGTCAGATACAACGTTCATTGAACAACACATCAGTTCCATTCCAGTTCCAGAGCAGCATCCAGGTACCAACACAAGTCCAACACAAGTCCAACACAAGTCCAACACAAGTCCAACACAAGTCCAACACAACTCCAGCACAACTCCAACACAACTCCAGCACAACTCCAGCACTCACCTCTTCGTATCTCAGCTCTGGCTCCAAAACATTTCGGTGGATACTTTCGGTGTTTCCGGCCTACACGTGCATTACGGGCTAACGCGCTTCCAGTATAAAATACTCCTTCTGTGTTGCAATCCTGAAGAAGAAAAGTGCATCACCAACTTTTCTATTATGTCCTCTTTTCTTTTTGCTGCTGTTTTGTTGCTTTCGGGTCTTGTGTGGGCTGCGACCAACGACACCGATGTCTGTGTGCTGACCTTTGAGGAGCAATTGGACTTGACTGTCTGTCGTTTCAACACCACCGACACCACTACTCCTATCTTCAGCAAGGTCTGTGCTTGTTCTGTTGGCGACGACGAGTTCTGGGACACCTACTTTGACTACGTTATTTGCAAGAGCGATACTCAGCTCTTAGAAACCAAAAGTGATATTTGTGGAAACACCACCAACGACAACAACTGCTCTTGGGATATTGTTGGTGCGGTTTATCTTGCGTTGATAGACTACATTGCTGAACTGAACCCTGAATGTATTATTCTTGATGAGGCCAACAATGCTTTTCTCTTCAATTTCGATTGCACTTGTCAATTGAATGCAACTGGTACCTACTGGCAGCTATACTATCAATATTATTACTGTTTGGATGGTACCACCAGTTCTACCAGTTTTAAGGAAGCCTTTTGTAGTGTATATTCCAACGTCACAGATTCATCTATATCTACCACAACCAGTCGTTCTATCGTCGGTTTTTCTTCTGTTCCTTACAACAATTCTTCTGGAATTGGACAGGCAGACGTTGAGGTCACTGATTTCGATGTATCTTCATCTTTATCATTATCATCTTCTGATTTTGCTCCTTATAATTATGTTCATAATTACAATTACTCAATTGTTGGGTTTTTCTTTGCCTTATTTTCTTGTTTATTCATTGTCTAAAGATATCATTGCTTTCCTTGTCTAAAAGTTTTTTTAATCTTCTTATGTCTTTATCTTGTTTGTTTTTGCTTTTAATTTATTGTTTAGTTATTGTTTATTGTTAATTATTTATCATTATATTGTTTTTTTTCCAGTTTTACATTAATATCCTTTTTCCAGTTAACTTTGTTTATGTATTTATTTGTTTTATATTCCTTGACAAAAATACAAATCTATTAATTTAATCAATTGATAAGAAAAATGTAAAAGAAAAAAAAAAAAATTTAAAAATTTATAGATTTAAATTCGAACTCGAATTCAAATTCAAATATAAACGAAAACAAGATTAAAATAACAGTATTGATTACCTTAAATATTCTTTATAATAATACCAGGTTGTCCTGGAACTGTGCTTTCAACAACTTTTCCGCTATATTTAAATGGAACCTCTTCATTTGTAAATATATTAATTCCTTTGTTTTCCCCAGTATTAAATGAAATAACCTCAACCTTCTCAACCTTAATAATAGCTGGACTTCTTTCAACAATATCAATACACTTCTTAATAACCTCAGCTTCATTGAAACTTAACTTTCTATTGAAAACATGCGAAGGTTCTTCTTTAATTAATCGTTGTTTCAAAAGAGAAATAAATGGCATTGCTTTCTTCATTTCCTTTCCTGGAATCTTCTCTTTTATTTTTTTATTATCATTCAAACTTTGCTCCTCAAATAATTCTCGCACAATTTCAACATATTTATCTTGCCATTCAGGAAAATTGTTAGAAATTAATAATGTTACTTCACATCCTTTATTTTTATCAACTAAAATCTTTCCCTTTTTAGCTCTAAGTGAACTAGTCTCGGCCTCTCTAATAGATCTAGATAAATCTCTAAGATAATTCAATGAATCAGAAATCGAATTATCAATTGGCTTATCTGCTCTTGGAAATTTAGCATCATGAACTGATCCTTCTTTCAATAACACTTCTTTCCAAATAAACTCAGCTATATGTGGTGCAACTGGTGTGATAAGAAGAATTTGCGTCTCAATGTACTTGAGAACAAGATCCTTATGTAACCCCTTTGGAGCAGCAACTTCTCTATAATAATCTCTAGCACTTTGATAATCAAATAATCCGCTCTTGAGTGCTGATTTATACTCAGTTATTTCATATTTTTTATATGTCTCCTCAATTAATGAATTCATTTCATTATCAAATGCAACATCAAAAAATTCTTCTCCAATTGGCCCGCTTCTAAGCGAATCAATGTTTGAAACAACTTCTTGACACCATTCTTTTAAATTAAACAATCTTAAAATAGCAGAATTAGCATTTTGCTCAACAAAATTAGCATCTTCAATTCCATCACCAGCATCTGCAAGACAAATTCTTGTAGCATCTGCTCCAAATTTTTCAACCAAATCCTTCAAGGTAAAAAAATTACCTGTGGATTTACTCATTTTTTCATTATTTAACAAAAGATGTCCATTAGCTCTAATACCTGCTGGCCAGAATTTCTTATTCTTAAACAATGCAACATGGGTATAAATGAAGAATGTTAAATGATTTGGAATAAGATCCTTACCAGAAATTGAGGAATCTAATGGATAAAAATATTCAAATTCTCTTCTAAGAATCTTCAATTTATCTAATGGTATGTTAGATTCAATGCTTTCTCTTCTAGTAAATATATAATCCCAAACTTCAAAACTCATATCTTCAGCTTTAATATTTAATAAGCCCGGAGTACTACCATAATAATCTGAATGTAAAAGATGACAAATTGTATAAAATGCTTGGTAAATTGTCGAATCTGACAAAGATTCAATCAAGTATTGTTCATCCCAAGGTAATCTGGTACCTAAACCATAAGTTCTTGTGACAGCCCAATTTTTCAACCAATCAAGAACACCTTCAAATGCATTTTGAGTTTCAGGTGCAAAAGTATTCATTGAGTGTAAACATTCTAAAGCTTGTGATTTCCATTCAGATTCACCATAATCAATAAACCACTGGTCTTCTTTAGATACAATACATTCATCACCAGATCTACTCATGACTACTCCCTCGGGTTCATAGTATACAAATCCTTCACCACTTTCAACAATGTCATTTTTAACCTTTGCTTTTACAAATTCAACCTTTTCACCGGCATATTTACCGATAATCATAGTACCATTGAAGAAACCTTCTTTATAAGCAAGTTCTTTAGCTTTTTGAAGTTGGACAGAATCTTTTGGAGATTGAATTTTAAAAAAATTACAAAGATATTCAGCACATTTATCACCGTATTTTGGGGTATTAATTAAAGGAATTAGTTCGGGTGATGCCCATTCCTTTTTAATGTTATAGTATTCGGGTTTATTTTTTAAATCTTTCATGTTAATATAATCATCAGGAGAATCTGTTGGAACACAAGTAACAATACCAGTACCCTTTTTCTCTAAGATTGTTTCCATTGGTAAAATATAAAGTTGTTTGTTAATTGCTAAAGGAGCAGTAATCTTTGAACCAATAAGAGATTGACCAGAGATGGTGAATATCGGTTTATAATTACCACGTTGAGGCGTTAATTTCTGGTAACACATATTTTTGAAAGCTCTAATTGTTGTTATATAATAGTTGTTATTTCCTGCATCAAAGACACCATAATTAATTTTTGGAGAAACAAAACAACAAGTTTGGCCATACATGGTTTCAGGTCTTAAAGTGGCAGCGACTAAATAAACATTTTTTTGGTTTAAATCTAAAGAATGTTGATTGAAAAGATCTTTAGCATCTTGATTAAAAAGTTCCAAGATTTTAATTTTAATACCGGTATATTCTTGTGGACCAAGACCTTCACCAGATTGTCTATCATGATCTAAACAAGCTTGACCATCTTTTTCAGAGAAAATTGTGTATCTTTCACCGAATTTGATTTTACCACATTCTCTCAATCTTGTGATTTGCCATCTAATAAAAGAATCATAATAAGGATTAACATCAGTGGTTATCATTGAACGTCTCCAATCGACTCTTGCACCAAAAGAGATAACATCATTCTGACATAATTGAGGAAAGTAGTATAACCAATAGGTTGGATCAGCAAATTTTTTGATTTCTCCAATTGGAATTCCTATTTGATTCATGATTTGGAATTGGTATTTACCTTTACCCTTTTTAGCTACAACTTTTGATTTTTGAGCTTTAAATTTGGTTGGATCATTATTTTTAGCGTTGTTATTATTATCAGCAATCCTTTTTGATGCCTCTTGTTGTTCTTCTTCTTCGGTTGGGAGATTTGAAAAATCTGGACCAAATTTTTCAATTTCCCTTGCAATTTTATCAGCAGAAGCTCTAATTGGCATACCTGTACAATGGAAACCTAAAGGAAATAAAGCTCTTTTACCATTCATTCTTTCAAAACCAACAGCATATTCAACTTTACTTAAAGTGAAACAATGACCGGCATGCAAAGAACCATTCATATAAGGGTAAGCCATTGAGGAGAAGTATTTTGGGTAAGCCTTATGAAGATCATCAATGTATTGTTCAATTTGAGATTGGGGAGAATTTAAGGGTAAATCATCAAATTCAGCAAAATCCGGAGCATCGATATTGAATAACTTCTCATCTTGCCAAATTTTTTGGTATTTTTTTTCAATTTCAATTAAAGAATCTCTACGATCAGTTTTTTCAAGAACTAAAGAACCTGTCTTGGGTTTTTCAACGGTTTTGGATTTGAAGCTCATGATAACAATTGATAATAATTGAGAATTGATAGTTGAAAAATCGATTAACAGTTAAACACAATGGAGTTCAAATCAAACTATATCAATAAACTAGGATAGGAAAAAAAAGAAGGAGTGCTGTGAGATTCTTTGCAAAGATGGGTGATAAGGTATTATGAGTAAATCTAAAATAACCACATTGAAGAATGAGCAGATGACTAAATAGAAAAATTTTCAAAACAATGCACGGCGGATTCGTCAACGGAAAAAGCCCGAAAATACGACGATATGTCGATCCGAATAAGCAATCTACTGGGAAATGACAGATTACAGTTTTCTTTACGAGTAAATGATAAAGCATATGAAATTATTCAGTACTGAGAACTTAACTCAAGATATGAACTACAATTTAGAGATTTCTCATGACTATTCAGCAGAAGGAGCTAAACAAAGATTGGAACTGTTTGAAACTGTTCCGTTATGTAATCAATTGATCATCAACGTTTGAAACATGTAGAGAAATTATTTCAGAAGTCTTCGAACTTTCTGGAAGTTTCAGCTAAAACAAAGGCAGTCATTTTGCGAATTCAGAATTGAAAAAACAAGACTGACAAGTTTCAAGAATGCTTTTTTATGTGTCTCCTTGAAAAAGCAAAACAAAAATTTACTAAGGGAAAACAAACAAAAAACAAGCAGCTGAAAGCGCTACATTATAAAAACATTTGGAAACGGTTTGAACATTCAGAAGATGGATTTTGATATTGATCTCTAATTAAAGTAATGCGACTGATTAGGGTTGTCGTTTTAGATCAATGTAACTATATTTACACTGAAAACCGGACCAATCTGTGGCAAGTTAATTACATTAATGTAAGTCTCCAACACTCTATTTTTTCAATACCAATATACAACCAAGATATTTGAATTGAGAATTGGACAAAACATTGAATGGAAAATTCAAGCAAAATGGTCAGGACTAATTTAAGACTTTGCTTTGCAAACGACCAAACAGGCCAATCGGACCAGTAAAAGCCCAAGTAAGCAAAATGGAGTTGCCTCTTTCGGCTTTTGCTAGCGGCTCGTAAAATTCTGGCGGTTAAGATGGCTACTTCAAGGTTGCGTTTTCACAGGGCTCGCTTTTTGTCGTGATAGGACGCTATGCGAGTCTCTGCCCACAGATTTTTACTCGCGAAGGGTGTGGCTTCTGTACTGGTTCTGAGAAGAAAGGGTAAAGAAGCTATGAGAACTCACAGCTGGTGCAACTGGTGGGAAAACACCGGCTGCTGCTTCAGGACCCTCTTTTGGGCTGACTACTTTCTGCTGTTTGATTTCTTGTGTTCCAAGAAAAGAAGAATAGAAACCAAGCGACAATTGCTTCTATATTTAGCAATCTCTTAAACGCGCAGACTTACGTGCATTTGCGCATGATATTATCTTAAGGTTCAAACCTTATGTTTTGACTCAGAGCATTTGATGTTCATTTTTCTTTTTCAAGAAAAAATTAAATTTAGTTTTAAAATAGATTTTGTTTATTGTATAGAGTTATGTGAATAACAAATACAAATGCTGCTTCTATCTGTTTTCTTTATGACCTTTAATTTTATTATTTTGTAATCTATATGCTCAATTTATTCCCACTTATTCCCTCTATTATTTTGTTGGTTTTAGTATAAATTCACATATTTTTCCTATTTTCTTCCTTTTACTTTTACTGTTTTTTTGTTTTTTTCCTTTTCTTTTTTTTTCAAAACCAGTATATCTCATTTTCGATCGCTTTCAACTTTATACATTCGCTTTTGGCTTTAAATTTCTAAATTAATTTCTTATAACTTTTATAATCTTTATATCCTTTATATCCTTTTCACAATGCAATTCTCAAAAGCTTTATTAGTCGCTGCAGCTGCTTCATTAGCTTCTGCCAGCTACTTTAACACCACTGTTACTGAAATCGGTACCACTGTTATCACTGTCACTTCTTGTGAATCAGTTACTGTTTGTACTGAAGTCCCAGTCACCACCGGTGTCACTGTCGTCACTTCAACTGTTAGAGGTACCAAGACTGTTTACACAACTTACTGCCCACTACCAAGTGAATCTGAAGAGCCACCAAAATCCTCTACCAAACCATCTGCTAAACCAACTTCTCCTTCAAACACCACTGTTCCAGATGTCGATGAAATTAACGGTGCTACCAAATTAGGCTTGGGTTTATCTGGTGCTTTAGTTGCTGCCGGTTTAATGTTTTTTTAAATTTTTAATTAAATTTAAATAAATAAAATTAAATAAAATTAAATAAAGATTTTAAAACGTTCTAAAAAATTGCTAAAATACAAGTATCGCATATCATGTTTTTTTTTGGTTTCTCTCTGAGGTTTAAATATTATTCCATTTTTTCTCTCGAATCAATCTTTTTCTTAATTTTCATAAATAAATTATAATTTATCTTTAATATTATATTGTTTTATTTATCAATCAACAAATCAATTGTCATTGACTCATTAGGATTTTCTTCCTTTTTTGATATATTGTATCTGATATAACCAAATTTTAGTAGACATACAATCGAAATGAATATTTAATTGTACTGTGATGTTATGATAGTTTCTCAGCGCTTAAGATTTTATCCTTTATCAAATACTTATTTAACAATAAGATTATCCTAATTTCTTATTTTTGATCCGCAAGGCAACAGCCCTGACTCTGCTTAAACTTTTAGTATTTATTTTCACTTTGTTTGTAAATGAATCAAAAAAGTGCCCAAGGAAATCATACCAAAAAGAAAATTATATGAAATTCCCTTTTTCATGATATTATATAATCAGAATTTAAGTTTCTGTCGTATGCTCAGAAAAAATGCAAAAAACATGCACATGCACAATTTCTGCAAAGTATACGGCTTGGTACATATAACATGAATTTCTTTTGTTTTGTTTTTGATTCCCCAACTCGTATTCGATGAACATTCGGACGCCCGTAATCAAACAACAAACATAACCTTTGATTAAAACAAAAGCTGGAAAACCTACATTTCAATAAAACCTTTATAAAAAACAAACAAAAAAAAAATCAAAAATCATGAATAAATTACAAAGTTATTTTATTTTTTCTTTCAAATTTAATATATAGAAACAATTAATAATTTGTTATAAATTAAATTTAAGCTCTAGCTAAAGCCTTTTTTGAAGCAAAATTTCTTTGTTTCTTATAAATTAAAACCTGGAATCTTTCAAAATCAGTTAATTGAACACGTCTTTCCTTCTTTGCAATATTTTTAGCCCATGAGGTAGCAGCCCATTTTTTGGCAATATCGTCAGCTTTGAATCTTTTAGCAACAGTTGGAGATCTTGAGCCTCTTGTTAATTTGCTAACAGTTAATGGAGTTAAGGTAGTGTGAGCTAATGCTATAGCTTGTCTTGGAACACCTGAAACTGGACCATCGATTAAAACCTATGAAAATTGTTCATGTTAGTATCAAAATAAACAATAATTTTATGATTCTTTTTATCCAAAAAAGAAATAGATAGAATTATAAATTTGAATTGATCCGAACTAAAAACCTTCCAATATCTATTTCAAATAATACAAAAAAAACAATTGAGTAATTAATCTGATAATTTGAAAATAATGAAAAATGGCATTGAAGGATAATCTTATAATATTGATTAAATCCAGTTTATAATAACCTCTTTTGTCATTAGCTTCTTTCTTTTCCCATATTATTAAAAATCCTAAATTCTATTGTATTCACATAAATTATTGGTGAATTTTTTAAAAATTGTATCATTGATGATTCATTACTCTAGTTGATAAGGCTGCCAATTAAAACTGAAATATCGTTTATATTCTTGTTTTCAGTTCTATAATTATTGTTTTTGAATTGCTTTAATAAATTTCAATATTGCTACATTTAATTGTATTATTCTCAAGTATCTGAAAATGTCAAAGTTGTCTCATTGATATCTGAATGCACTTTTAGTCTTTTATTTTGAGATAATTCCATACTTCTAAAGTTCCAATTTGATGATTATTGCAAGTTGGAGGGCTCTTTATAGGATACATACACGTTTTTGATCAATGATTTCAACAATAACAGCAAGTTTTCCTGAGGAGGCACCTTTGGTGATTAAAACAACACGACCAACTTGAACAAATCTCCAGTTGGTAGGTTTAACTGTGGATTCTACAGACATTTTTTTTGTATTATTATTGATGACCTTAAATGTTGTTAGAGTGGAGGAATTTAAGATATATTCAACTGTATGCTCTGTTGCACTACCAATATCGTTTTGATTGCATGCGTTGAAGTTTTTGGTGGAAAATTCCCAGTCACGGGATTGCTGAGCTCCAAAAACACCCACAATTTTTCACACCCAAATCACAAACCATGAATTTACCCGGCGTCATGCCAGTGTTTTTATGAGTGCTGATAGTATATAATAGCCCTGTGTTAAAAAACGTGATTTGATATCAGGGCTCTGCAACGGCTTGTGTTTTAGAGCTCGGCTTTTGGTGTGAAATAGCTTTAGGAAATTTCAATGGATCACAAACATCGTTGAGATACAAAACATAACGTTAACTGTCAACCTGTGTTGAAGAAAACGTTGGGCAAACTGCAAACACAAGATCATCGAGCTCGAATATAGAGCGGTTCTCTTTGCGTGTGCAGTAAATCGCTTCTTTCAGAAGAGCTGTGGATAGTTTCATCTAATATGGCTCCCCATTCATACTCTCCCTTCACTAGCAAAATCACACCTAAATCAAACTCGGCTGATTCACCCGGGTTTATTGCAGGCTCGATATTAAATTGTAAGCATCCATTGTATAATATTTTTCTCTCAATTGATCCTCCAGATACAATTGGGACATGACGCAACATCCCTCTTAATTTCTCACTTGAATTATTTGTAATCTTAGTTTTTATCGTGAAAAATTCCTCTGCTTTAATTTCCCAATAAAAGCCATTGTGAGTTATTGAAGATTGGTATTTATCACTCTTTAGATTATTGATTTCCAATTCTTGCAGCTCGCAATCAATAATTTCTTCATTGTCATTATTATCACCATCTTTTTCATCATCAGAAATAGCTTTGGACGAAATCAACTGCATTTCAATGCTGATTTTTTCAACTTTGAGCACACTTACCATTTTAGGAGATAACCTAATTCCTCTCAACTCTATAAACCCCTTTCTATTTGTTTTGTCTTCAGCCCATAAACCCTTGATATGACGAAGAATTTCTTTTCGATACCAAAATGAATCTTTGATGAATTTCATTTCTTCCTTCGCGAACCTTGTATCCTTTTTAATAAATTGTTTATTTCTTAAACTTGGAATTTCTCTTTCAAGATATTCATCAGGAAATCCAAACCGCCTTATTGGTAATAAATACCTCTGAGTGTGTCCGGGTCCTATTGAATCTTTGATAATATATGTACTTTTTTCATCTGCAAACTTTTGATCCTTATCATAATTTTGAACAATTCCATCATTACAATCAAGATCATCATTGGTATCAAAAAGAAACTCACTACTTTTTAATTCAATTTTAAATTTTTGTGTCCATGAATTTTTTAAATCAAGTACTAATAAACAATAATCTGAAATATTTTCAGTTTTATTTTTAAGATATGACCAAATATTTTCTTGATTTCGAATATCATCATTTAGATTGCTCAATGTAGTAAGATTATTCTTGGAATTTTCCACATTGTAAAATAATGGTATCAAATCGCAACCTGCAAGCTCAATACTTGGTTGAACAGTTACAAACAATGGGATGGTAAGTCTCCTGAAATACTTTTCTGAATCAAGTGTTTGATTACCATAATCTAGAATTATACTAGCATTTCTCATTCCTCTTTTTCCTTTGATATCGATATCTAGAGGTAACGAATCGAATGGTTTTATAGAATTTAGTTTATTGTTCTTTCTCACTTTTAATGGTTTTCTCTTCAATAGGTAATACTCAATTTCATATATTTCACTGGCAGGGGTTTCTTTAGAATCTAATGATGCTCTTAATGGCTCAATTGTTGAATCAATAAAGCTAAATGCAAGATAATTGATCGTCAAATTTGACAAATTTCTTAAACAAATTGTGAATAAGTTTTTTTCTCCTTCAAGTAACATCATCCACGAATTATTGAGAGATAAATCTATCAATGCCAAAATTGGTTGAGGCAAAATCACTTTATATTTCAAGTTCTTAACATCAACTCTATCTTTAGTATTATTAATCTTCAATGTATTTTTTGAAGATTGGACTAATAACGACTGACTATCTTTCTTTTGATTTATTGTTTTACTATCTGTTTCTTCCTGGATAGTTTCAATTAGTTTGTTATTTTCGGCTTTAAAATCGGGCAAGTTATTTAAAAATCCAATCACTTTTGTTTTCTCAATCTTCCTATTCTTTTCTCTCAATGAAATTTTATAAAATTGAGATTCACAATTACAAACTTTCATCGTACAACCTATTATATTTAAAATCCCAGAAGATAATGGTTTAATTCCAACTTGAATATTTTGAAGTGTATTGGCTGAAATGATAAAATGATTGTGATTATTATTCACCAACGTTTCAAGTTCAACTTTTCCATCAGTTTCAATTTTTATTTCATTGATTTCTATATCGAACAAAAAAGGATTTTGAATCGTAACCAATATATTAACTGCTTCATCCTGAATTAATTCAACAGATTGATCAAAAAATTCTTCGGATACAACATCTTCCATTTTATTATTCAAAGAGTATCTACTTTTTGAAAATCGGTTGATATTTTTCTTATTTTCATAGGGATTATACAAGACAGCACTAGGTGGTGAAGTCAAAGTAGATCTTTTAGAAGTGTTTGGTGTTTTAAATTCATTTTTAGGTGATACAGAAACAACACTATCTGTATTATCCAATTTCATTGGCCTTAAAGATTCATCAAAATTATTAATAAGAATAATATCTCTAACAATAAAAGGGTCCCAATAATAAATTTTCAAAAATAAATTCAAGCTTCTTGAAATTTCCATATACTCTTTAAATGAATTAAATAAAAAAGTTTGCTCTTCAAGAGAAAGACAATGCAAATATCTTGTTAATAAAATAGAACTAAAATTTAATACACCACCTATATCATTAAGAGACATGCAAAATTTCATACATAAATTTAAAATCATTTTGTGAAGTTGAGACCAATTGCTTTTTTTTGATTCAATTATTGAAGATTCTGGTGAACAACCAATTCCATAGACCAACAACAAAGAATCTAATAAACTGTATATATTTTCATCAAATGAACCTAAATCTGAATTTTTTTCACTGATCACCAATTGATTTCTGTTAAGATTATTGTTAAGAGAGTCTAAAGTGGGAGAATTTATGAGTTTATTTTTCAATTTCAATGAGTAATTTTCAAATTTCACTGTATTATTTTTAATTAATTCTGGAATTAAAGTATCTAATAATGATTTTAAAATGAAAGATCTTTTTCTAAATAATTCCAAATCTCCATAAATTGACGACAATGCACAATAGACTCGGCATTGTGATAATAAATCCATATTTTTCAATTGCACTGTAAATATTTTATTTGAAAATTTAATGATATCATACTTGTTGAAATAAGTTGAGTCGATCTTTTTGCTTGGGATTCTTTTTCCACGAACTATATGATCAAGAGCCCTAAAATTAAAACCACCTCCAATATGGATTATTGACATAAATTTCATAAATCTCAAAATCGTTTCGCAATAAACCAACTGAGGTACATAATCCTCATGATCATCAAGGGTGAGAGAGTAATACCATAGTGCTCTTTTTGTTAACTTGTAAACTATTTCTGGCACAGGTAGGTTAGCTATATCAAGTGTAGTATTTTTAGTACTCTTTTCATTAATGTTGTTCATGTCATTTGTGTTGCTATTGGTGTAAGAACTTTGGTTGTGATTTGCAATTGAGCCAATGGTATTTGAACGTTTCAATGTAATAGAGTTTCTTGGTGAAGATATAGGAGAAACGTAATTGACTGAAGGATTTGAATCTCTTTTCCCCTTTTCCTTTAAATAAGGGAAATTTAAAGCATTTGCAGAAGAATTAGAAGAATTTGCATCATTTTCTTTTTCTTTTGTATTGAATACAATGGAATTTAGCGTTGCAGGTATTTGGTAAGGTACAGCTAAAAAGGATATTAAAACTAAGCAAATTCCAATTCCTTCTAAAGCAGAACCTAGCCAGAGAAAATCGTTACCTGATTTCAATAGATTAGCAGAGTCAGAGAAAGTTTTCAAAGCATCAGTGATTTTACCAGCTAATAAATAGAAATTACCTAATATTTTCAACTGTCTGCCCTTTTGTTTCAATTCTTTCTTTTCAGAAGAGGTTTTTAGAGATATTTTATTCATTTCCGCTATTAAAGATAGTGAGGTTTCAGATGCTCTTTTTGAGGTTCTGGTTGATGATTTTGAAAATGCAGAAATCGCTGGCAAAGAAATTGAATCATTAATACGATGCTTTGAATTCAACGAGGTTCTTAGCACATCATTTGCACTAATAGTCCCCGGGGACCTTAGAGTGACATGTTGAAATGATTGAGCATATAGGAAAAGAGCATTTAAAAAGCTGTAAGATATATCGCACATGATTGTCTCAATTTTAGAGAATGGGATATTAAATATATATTTATTGTGGAATTGGTTATCAGGAGAACCAAATATCAATAAATTTTGAACAATTGAGGTATTATATTTTTTCTTTAAATTTAACAAATGCTCATTTAATATATCGTGAGTCAAATTTTCGTTATATTTTATTATGCCAGTTGTTATAAATATTTTTCTAAAAGGTTCAAAATCTTGAAAGAAAATTGATTCGTTATCATTTAAACATAATTGAAAATCGTAAATGATTTTTCCCGATGGAAACCCCTGGGGATTAAAAGCAGACGAGCTTATTGGAGTAACGTCTAACAACCGTACTTCATAATCATTCTCAACTTCCTTGTAGTAGTTCAAAAACTCATCTTGAGATAGATCACCAATAGGAACAAATAAGGTCTTCACTCTTGATGGAGCAGTATATGAGTAAGCGTCTAACATGTTTCAGGCTAAGTGTCATGTATCTGGCAATTTGAGAACGTCAAATTGCACTACTGAAAATTGAAAAAGGGCAAATAAAAGCAGAATAGCTACTGCGATTGCAATTGATCTGGATATAATCAGAGTTGCAATGTTGAATCAGTATCTGATGCTCTGAGATTGTTACGTATCAATCCAGAGCTAAATCAGCCACATGCAGATTGATGCCTCTTAACGCATTTTTCATGCAGTGCTGACATAATTTATGCGTAATCCAGGTTTGTTTTTTAGTGTTCTTCTTCTGAGATAGTTTTATCACCTTCTGAAGTTTAATTGATCTGGGTGCTGAGCTGGGTAGATATTAACTATTGTTGCAGTCGTTGATATTTTGAGCAGAAATGGCAGGTTTGAGTTTTGAGAACTATCAGAGAAATCAATTTCTCTCTTCCAAGGGATATGCTGTCCCAAAGGCCACTTCTACCGGTACTACTATTGTTGGATGTAAATTCAACGGTGGCGTTGTGATCGCTGCTGATACTAGAGCTACTGCTGGCCCAATTGTAGCTGATAAGAATTGCGAGAAATTACACAGAATAGCTCCTCACATCTGGTGTGCTGGTGCCGGTACTGCTGCTGATACTGAGATGGTGACTCAATTAATTTCCTCGAATATTGAATTGCACTCTTTATACACCAACCGTGAACCAAGAGTTTGCACTGCATTGACTTTATTAAAACAGCATTTGTTCAAATACAGTGGTCATATTGGTGCTTATTTAATTGTGGCAGGAACTGATCCAACTGGCTCTCATTTATTCTCAATTCACGCTCATGGTTCAACGGATATAGGTTATTATCAAACCTTAGGTTCAGGTTCGTTGGCTGCCATGTCAGTCTTTGAGAGCAGGTGGAAATTGGATTTAACCAAAGAGGAAGCAATGAAATTGTGTTCAGATGCTATCCAAGCAGGTATTTGGAATGATTTAGGTTCGGGATCTAACGTTGATCTTTGTGTAATGGAAGCAGGCAAAGATGCTGTATTGCACAGAAATTATTTGACTCCAAATGTTAGATCACAAAAGGCTAATAACTATATTTTTAATAGGGGTGCTACAGTTGTTTTGAAAGAAAAGACAATATATAGCAAACTTGAACTTGTTTCTGAAGAGGTTATAATTTCAACACCCGAAGAAAGACCTGAGGCAATGGAAGTTGATGCATAATTAGAATTTTTATAAAGCATGATTTTATATATATTTACTATTTGAATATTTATGCGTATGAAAGAGAAAAAAATCGAATTTTAAAATAGGAATAAGGAATATGTATTTAAAGTTATATTGCCCTTTGAATTTTTTGAATTTTTTTCTTGTTATTTATACTAATACCATTTTGGTTTATTTTTTTATGTTTATGAATTCGGTTCGAATCAATCTTTAATTTAGCTTAATTTATGATAATTACCAATGAAAACCAGTCAAGTAATCAATTCAGACATTAGATGAAAACTAATTCTTTCAAAGCTTTGACAGTGCCCTCTACTATAGCAACATGTTCAACTTTATGAACTCTGTCTTCATAGGCATCTAATGGTTCGCCTATGATTAAATTAAGCTCCTTAACTATTAAAGGTTCGCCCCTGTCAACTTCTTGTATAACTTTATGAATCATCACTCCACCTTTGGTAATTAGACCATCTTGACCAGCTTTCCAACATCTATCAATTGCATGGGTACCATCAAATGCACCAGGTAAAGCAGGATGTAAATTGATAATTGGAATATTGAATTTTTCTATTGGTGTCAAAAAACTCGACGACAAAATCAACATCCAGCCTGCACATACAATTAAATTTGGAGCATTATATCCTGGGACTTTGTCTTCAATAGAATCTGAGTTTTTCGATCCAAAAACGATTAAATTAGCTAGATCATCATTGAACTTTTCTCTTGCAATTTTTCTTCCTTCTTTATTTTCCTTTGGAATTCCCTTATAATAATCCTTTAATTGATGAACTTTTGATGGAATGCTAGCCTTCGAAGCTCTTTCTAAACCATAAGCAGTTGGAGAGGATGAAATTACTTGGTCGATTTCAGCTTCAATTTCTCCGGATTTTATAGCATCAATAATCGCTTGAAAATTAGAGCCATTTCCAGATATCAAAATGGTGATTTTGGGAACTGCCATTATGAAAGGTATTTGAAAAAAAAGTAAAGTATTTAATACAAAGAGTAGCTGAGTTGAAGTATGAACAATCAGCTGAAGTACCTCATCGCTCAGCAAATCTGAATTAAAATCTTTTCTCCTTCAAAGTGTCGGCATTGATTCGTAGCTTCGGAAACTGAAAAAAATAATGAATGTTGGATGTCATTGCAAAGCACATGATATAGATAGTGTGCATACAACTGCATGCTGTTGCAACCTTATGGAAAGAACAACAGACTTAAAACCGTTTTAATCATTGTTGCAATTCCACATCTAATGACAAAGTAATAAAGCAGTTTTCATTGGGTCCTTTTTTGCTATATTCCAGTGTTTTCAGAGTATCAACTATTGTGGTTATCCATGCAATAAACAAGAAACCACCTCATTGAAAATATTTTTGTTAACAATCCAATTGCGGTTCTATTTGTAAAAATATATTTCGATGATAATTCTCTACTGGTAATTTCAAAGAATAATAAAATATACTTGAAAAAGTAATAAATCTTATAGATAAGTATACTTGACTGTTGTTGTTTTTTTAAATCATTAATTTGATTCACACAACTCTATATCATCTATTCTAGTTAAATCATCACTAGACATTACTCCTGCTTCCACATCAGGAAAAGCTCCATTAACATAGATGAAAAAATTTGTAACATATCTTCGAATAAATTCAAAAGACATTTCTTTTCAATTATTTCGCTTTCAAAACCTTTTTCGACAATTTCTGAGACATCTATGCTATTAAATACGTATAGATCAAGATCACATTGGCAAATCAAGCCTATTTGCGTCTTCCAATAAAAGACCCCGGTTCGAGTCCTGATTGGCGCGGTTTTACATTTACTAAACATGACAACTGCTGTGCAGTCTGATAATTCGTTGAACTTTTATCAGCGACACCTGAAGAACTTTGACAGAACATATGAAGGTGATATTACCAAAGTGTTTGCTGTGTCAGACCTATTAAAATGAGTCCCAATTCTTCTGTCAAAATAAAGCCAGTAACCAGCCTGCAGCAGGACATGGATTTTCACCAAAGACAACAAGAACGATTGTCTTCTAAATCAGTTTTTTATAATTCTCCATGCTATGAGTTTTTATCTCCATTCAGACCAGTTCAAAATCAGTGGGTGATCAAATATATTATAACGATTTTTGCAATTTTAATACGGTCTGCTGTATCATTAGGAGGATATTCTGGTCATGCCAATCCTCCATTTTTTGGAGATTTTGAAGCTCAAAGACATTGGCTAGATTTAACCATAAATTTACCAATATCAAAATGGTATTATTACAAGCTAGGTTATTGGGGTCTAGATTATCCTCCGTTGACTGCTTATCATTCTTATTTTTTTGGCTTTATTGGAAAATTCATAAGACCCGGGTGGTTTCAATTGGATAATACAAATGGTATAGAAAATGATGATTTGAAAAATTTTATGAGATTAACCGTTTTGATCTCTGATGTTTTAATTTACTTTTCGGCTGTTTACTTTTTTACATTTTGTTTTTTTAAATCCAATAAAAAAATTACAACAAATGGTTCTCAAGGCTGGAAAAAATTCAACTCTTTAAATCAAAGTATAACAATTGTTTTAATTTTGTTTCAACCTTGTTTGATACTAATTGATCATGGTCATTTTCAATATAACTCAGTAATGCTTGGTTTAGTACTATTTTCAATTGTCAGCCTATTATACGATCAGTTATCAATTGCTTCTTTTTTTTTCATTTTAGCCATTTCTTTTAAACAAATGGCTTTGTATTACTCTCCTGTTATTTTTTTTTATATTTTATCTTTATGTTTCAATCCTTTTCAGAAAAGATTTGATTTCCCAAGATTATTTGCAGTTGCTTTCTCTGTCATATTAACTTTAGTAGTAATGTTTGCTCCACTAGTGATTTTTAACAACAATTTTAAAGATGGGCTTTTAAATATCAAACAGGCTTTAATAAGAATTTTTCCATTTGAAAGAGGTTTATTTGAAGATAAAGTTGCAAATTTTTGGTGTGTGACTAACATATTAGTCAAATATAGAACACTATTTGATTTATCAACGTTAAAAACATTATCATTGGGCTTTACTTTATTATCTATACTGCCTAGTTGTCTTGTAATCTATTTTCATCCAAGAAAAAATTTAATTCCTATAGCTTTTGCATCATGTTCTTGGGGCTTTTATTTTTTCTCATTTCAAGTTCATGAAAAATCCATTTTATTACCATTAATGCCAACAACATTATTATTATCAAATGTGAATGATGATGAAATTTTTAAAATGGTTTGTTGGGTTAATAATATTGGCTTATTTAGTTTATACCCACTATTGAAAAAAGATGAATTAGTGCTACAATATTTTGTTATAGGCTTTTTAATGAATTGGTTGATTGGAAATTTAAATATTAATTGTGTCGTAAATAATTTTAAAAATTTGTTCAAAGTTAAAGAAAATTCAATTAAAAATTGGTCAATCAATTTTGTTATAATTTCTTCAACAGTTTTGGCATTAATTTTACATGGAATGGAAGTTTTTTTAAATCCACCATCAAGATATCCTGATTTATGGGTAGTCTTGAACATTTCATTTTCATTTGCATGTTTTTCCACATTTTGGTTTTGGTTAAATATTAGAATGTTTCAAATAAGAAATAATTAATCGAGAAAAAAAACATTGATTCTGATTTTGATTTTGATTATGGTAATTTATAGTGTATAATAGAAAAATTATAAATTATAAAACATAAAACATAAATCATAAATCATAAAATATAATATTCAAAATATAACACATAGGGTATAAAATAAAAAGTATACAACAAACAGTTAAAAATTGAAAGATTGAAAAATTGAAAAATTGAAAATCGAAAATTAAATATTAAGTATTGAGTATTAAAGTACAGACTAATTAGATTGAATAAATTGCTAAAAAAATTAAATTTTTTAACAATCAAACTGGTCAAGCTAATAAAAAAGTTTTTGAAGTAATATGTTAAAATTTTGAGGTTTTAATATCATGGATCAATATCAGATTGGTCTGATTCATATTCTTTAACCCTTTGTAAAATGACCCTGAACATTTCATTGCCGATTTTATTAGCTTCGTCTTGATTATCCTTGAAAAAATCTTGAGTTTTTTCAAATTCTTTTTGATAAAGTTCGAAACTTTTGTGTCTGACAATTCTGCTCCAATTTCTTGCAGCAATAACGAATTCTAAATCATCACTTCTAAAAGAAGTTTCAGTAATTGCATCTTCAATACATTCATCTAGTAGGTTGGGAGTGCAAAATAAATATTCAGTTACACCTAAAAAGATTCTAAATAAAGGAGTTGAGCAAATAATATGATCGTAGGGAAAAAGGTCTAATTTGTACCATGAATAAACGATTGCCAATAAGGATAGATGAGAATTGGACTTTTTTGGACCAGGAGGAACTTTTGATAAAGAGTATTGAGCCAAAAGCTTATCATCCAATAATAATTCTTGCTTGGTTTTAATAATATGGCCAAATATTTTATCTCTAGCAATGTATAAGTTTTGTCTTAATTTTTCTTTATCTCCTTGAATCATCAAAGTAAATAATTCAGTGACTGAATTTGCATATTGTAAAATTTGATCGTGGGCTGAGGGATTTGTTATAGCCAAACCAGCATAAACATGCCATTTATTTCCATAAATTCTCATTGAGATATTGATTTTAACATTTTCAATACCACCAACCCATCTTTGATGATACCAAGGATATACTTGAATCTTTCTCCAAGCGACACCCATGCTTAGAAAAGCAGCATGAGTTACAGCTTGAGTATCAGCAGTAATTTTATCATGTTCAACTGCAGATAGATAAACTACTTTTGAATTGAGACAAGACATTAGTAAATTGACAAATCTGAAATTTTCAGGATTAGATCTATGATTGATTATAACTAAAGGCTGGCCAGTAGTTGTTACCCCAGGACCGTGTAAGGAATGCACAGATATGATGTTGATATCATCAGGCAAATATTTCTCAAATGCCTCAATTTCGGGTGCTTTACATGAGGTTTGACCACCAACAATGCTGTCAAATTTCGAGGAAGGACCGTAAAGTGAAACTATTTTGTCAATGTTTTCAGCCTCAACACTGTAAATAATATAATCACTTACTCTTGAAACAAAATGGCCATTTCTAAGAACTTTGAACCTCTCATTTTTATGAGTTTCAACAAATCGATCAAAGTTTTCTTCTCTGTCACAACCCACTACTTTCCAACCAGCATTTGAGAACTTTTTAGCATATAATAGACCCATGTCACCCAACCCAATGATACCAATGGTCTTGGACTCCTGGAGCTTCTTAATTTCCTCTAATTGAGCTGCATTTGCCATTTTTCTAGCTAATTTTACTTAATTTCTGATGATAACCAACACAACTCCAACTGACTCATCTGCTTTGTGTTTATCATCCAGCCAAATCTGAAAAATTCAAGACCATCACTGCGGATCCCCGAACTCCGCCTGAAATCCGCATATTTTACTCCACCGTGCCATTCCAGTGGTACACACGGAGATGTACCGCTCCTATTATTCCGGTAATCCGTTCAGAACCGTGGTGCCGGACCGGTTTTTTCTGTGGCGAAAAGGATTTTGGGAGCAGAGTTGAGATAAGATCCAATACAATTTAGTCAATTTGCAATTCGAACTGTTTATCTTCACCAAGTAGGGCATATCTGCATTTCCAGTGGTTTTTGTTGGTATCTCGTTGTTGTTTTAGCGTATTCTGATTGTTTCGGTTTGGTTTTGATCTTGTGGTCCTTCTGGTCGTTTTCGTTACTGTCTTAGTTTTATTCACCAAAAATGGGCACTTGCTTAAAGGTTACTAAAGTTATTGGGACAACCACTCTTGGGATCTTAGCTGGTTCATTAACTCTTCAAACATTTTCCATTTTCCCTTATTTATCTGACATTTTGCCATTTACTAAGAAAAATGACTTCCAAGATAACTTGAATACTCTAACTTCGAATATTCATAAATTAATCTATTCATTGGGTTCGATTTCTTCTTCATTGTTTTTGTTAACTTTTTTCAAGTCTCCAAAACGTTTACGTCATCCTTACTTATTATATGCTTCAATTCCTGTTCAATTTGCTTTAGGTTATTTATTTTTTAAAACTAATTTGTTAGAATCAAAGTTATTGAGTTCAATTGAAACAGATTTAGGTTCAAAAACCCCAGATCCAAATGAATTGATTAAACCTCAAAACGTTGAAAAACCAAAATCAAGTGATGCAGTTAAATCCAATCCTCAAGTTTCTCAATTGAAAAGAGAATTGAGAGAAGAACCCTCTCATTTAGATAAATCCGGGTTTTTAAAACCTGACATTAATGATTCCGCAGCTGAAAAAGTTGAAGAAGAATCAAATGAGCATGAGCATGAAAATGAAAATGAAAATAATGATGATTCTCCAACCATTGAAAAAGAAGTTGAAAACTCAATTTATAAAGCAGATGCTGAAACTACTTTGAAAAAAATTAAAGCCGATTATACTTTAATCACTTCTTTAGTTTCTCTTTCTTTTATTCTTTCTGCTATTGGTATTCATGGTGACATTCGTGGTTAAATTATCAACAATTAAGAAAAATTTTTAAGATCAATTCGAATCCATATTCATTTTTAACTAATTTTTCAATTCATTATATTCGTACAACTGAAAAATACCAATTTCTTCCATTCAAAATTTTCAAAGTTAAAAAATTTCTCAAAAAAAAAATAATAGTAAAAATAAAGCCAATAAAAAATTGTTTGTTTCTATTCTTACAATCTTGATTTTTATTTTTTTTTATTTTATTTTTTTTTGGGCTTGTTTTGTTATATTCCCTTTTATTTACTCCTTATTGTAAATATATTATACATATAACTATTTTACTTATACATTTTCTATTTTATTTTTAAAGAGATACTTTTTATTTTTTTTATTTTTTACATTTAGGTTGTTTATCTTATTTATTCTATTATTTTTTTTAGATTACATATATCAAAAGAAGGAAGGAAGGAAGAAGGTTATTTGATTTTGTTTTAATCTATAGGTCTTTTTATTTTATGATAATTTTAAGTATAATAATGTCAATAATATTAATATTAATATATATATAAATATATATATATATTTATATATATACTATCTTGTAAATACATACCAAACATCGGACTCTACTAGCCAGAAATATTAGTTTGAACATTAAACGTAACTGAAGGAAATTTTGTAATCTCAAAATTAACTGTTGAATCAATATCAAGACTTGATAAAATTCCTCTAATTATACCACAGGGAAACCAAACATAAGGCTTGCATTTAATTATTGTATCATTAATACCTTTTGAGCTGGACATTCTAGTTAAATCTTTAAAATTGCTGTCAATTAAAACAAATGTGCCTCTGTGATTTGTTCTCAAATTGTCCATTTGTTTATCATATAATTTTTTCCAAACGTCTCTACAAATAAATTTCATTATATTTAAAATATCCAAATTATTATTTTCTTTTGAAATTAAATTTAAACTGTTACTATTGATTTGAAAACTTAACAATTCGCCTAATCTTAAACCAATTGAATAGCCATAATTTTCAACTTTAAAATTAACTAAATCATTATTAATATAATTTGATTCCAAAGTCTCAATTCCTCCATGATGATTAAAGCTTTCATCCAGAGATATTATTGAGTCGTTTGATTTATTATTATTATTATTATTATTACTGATTTTATTATTGGTTTTATTATCAGATAAATTTGATGTTGTTAGTGATGACGAATCATTTTCTTGTTGCAACTTGTGTGTTATCCTTATAGATAATGGAACAATTTCAAGCAATAATAAGTCCAAACAGGTTGAATTTATTAATTTTTGTTTATTCGGAGTAGATGATAATGAATTTGACATATTTAAAATTATAATTATGGTTACTGTTAAAAGAATTTAAATCATTATTATTTTGATCTTAAGATTTGAATCTTCAGATAAGAAATTAATGACGGCATTCGAAATCCGGCGTCATCGTAATGTTACGTAGTATCGTAATTCGGTTCATGTTTATTAAGAATTCTACTTAGAGCTAAGTTGGTAGATAAATTAAATAAAGATAAGATAGACATGTGAGATAAGTGTGTAAATAGATAAATAGATAAAATAAATAGGTTAAAGAGGTAAAAGGTTGAAAAAAGAAAAACCGAAAATTGAGTAATAAAATTGCAAAGATTTTGTTGAAAAACCAAGAAAAAGAAAGATTAATAGGAAGAAAGTGAGAAGAAAATGAAAGATGAAGGAAAATATAAATAGTAAATATAAATTGGGTATATCTGGTAAAATAGATTAACAGAGAAATTGAGTGGGTGAGAAATAAACTAAAAGAAATGAAAGATAAAAATCAGTAAATGATTTATAACAAATTGAATTAACAAACTAATATTTTAATCAAATATGATGATTTTAGTATTTTGATGTTTAAATATTTTGATAGATAAATATTTAGATTAGTCGACGATGAAGTTGAAAAAGAAATAGTATAATGTGGTATGATAAAATATCATTAGATGAGACAAGATGAGTGAGATGAGATGAGATGTGATGAGATAAGATGAGATGATATGAGATGTGATGTAAGGTGATATAATTTATGGAAATGATAAAGGGTAAATTGAAAAATATGGGGAGATAAAACTGGGTTTGGTTTGTTTGTGGTTAATTTTTTTTTTTCGTTTCTTTTTCTCAATTTTATTAATAAATAATTAATAAAATTAAGATCAAAAACTAAAAAAATTAAAAAAGATAAGCAATTAAACATGCCACTAGGATTAAAGTTGAATCCAAATTAGTTTCAAAATAATTAAACGATTGTTTAATTATTTTGACTAGGAGTCATATGAAATCTAACTGAGCAGCTATATCGTCGAGCTCATTTCTATTTCTATTGTAGTGATCTTGGTAATAGTTAATTTGTTTTGATAGATTTAATTTATCGTTATTTAACGAATATAATTTTCTTTGAAATTGTTCAATCTTCAAATCATTTTCCTTTATTTTGGTGTTATTGATTTTAATTAGTTGATTGATATCCTCTAATTTTGATTCTAAATCCAAGTTTTTTGCAGAGTAATCATCATTTTCTAGTTTGAGTGTTAGAGATTCAATAGAAATCTTTGTAGTTTTATTTGCTCTAAATTTTAATCTTTTGTAGTCTTCTTGCAAAGTTTTGTTCTTAAAAATAATTGAATTAATTATATTGTCCTTATTACTGGATTCTAATTCCAACTCTTTTCTTCTTTTTTCCAATTGTTGGACTTTTTCGTGCCAATTTTCAGCTTCATTTCTAAGATGTTGAATTGTCTATGATAAAGAGTTAGCAAGTGTTCTGGACAGCTAGGCAGCGGATCAAATGGGTATACATACTCTCAAGAACTTGTTCATAATAGGGAAAAATATGGACTGAATAAAGAAAAAGAGACTATGGAGTGTGTTTCAATTGCAACAAGAGCAGCAGCAGTAGAAGCAGAGGCAGCAGAAGAAGTATATCAGCTGCAATTAGATGCTTTTTCTTTACTGTTGACAATTTCATGTTTGAGACGGAATCCTGCGGACCCTTTGCGGAAAATCTTGCAAGCAGAGGATCCAGAAACGGTGCAGTATCGTACTCGCGGATATTGTGGATGGAACGGAGAGCACCAAACCCGCGGATATTTGCGGAAAACATACCCATTAAACTGGACCCGATTGGGGGTGGTGTTCGGGTGGAATATATTCTTTGTTCTGTCCCTTCCTGTCCTGTTTTGTGATCTGTGGTGGAATCACTCCATCATCCATCTGCTTCCTCTTGGATTGATTCTGTTACAGTACCCTTCCTTTTTCTTTTTATTCTCTGTGTTTGGCATGCTCAACTGATTTTTTTTTTTGGTTTCTCCACTACCTCAATCACCTTTGATGCTTTATTCCATCGTAGGGCTGAAATTGCTTGGGCTAGAGTATCACTCTACCCCATCCTCAGTACATTTTGGTTTTATTCGACTAATTGGAAAATATCCACAATATATTTACCAAACTCATTTTAGAACAATGTGTTGGTAATGTCTCTCGCAACCCTTCCACACCAACAGCAATTGTATTTAAGCCATGTTTCTTCGCTTCTTTATATTGATTTTGTTTTCTTTTCATTATCATTGTCTTATTTATTAACTCATTTATTTGCCTACTTATTTTTACAATGTCTTATCAAACTGATTTTACTGAAAAGCCCGACGAGAGTCATAGTGAAAACCTATGCTCAAAGTCAAATACAAATAATTTCTATAACGATTGCATAAAAATCGGCTCAAATCAGATAAATAAAGATGAATTCATAAATTATCTTTTACAAAGAAACCAACTTCAACAACCATTTCAGTTCCAAACTCAAACTCAAACCCAACTTCCCAAACCGGCAAATCCACTTCCCATGGGTTTGGCTGCTTTTGCCGGAACTGCTTTTGTATTATCATGCAGTAACGCAAACTGTCTTGATCTTTCAATTCCAAATATTGCAGCTCCAATGAGTTACTTCTTTGGTGGATTTGTGTTGGGTCTTGCCGGATTATTAGCATTCTTTCAAGGTGATACTTATACAAGTAGTGTTTTTGTTCCTTTTGCTGCGTTTTGGATGTCTTGGGCTGCTATAAACACAGAATCATTCGGCGTATTATCTGCTTATTCTAATGATTCAGAACAACTAGGTAATGCCTTGGGTTTTTATTTGTTATCTTGGGCAATACTATGCCTCTTTTTGTGGATATGCACCTTTAAGGGTAGAGTTGATTTTTTCCTTTTAATTGGAATGGTTTTCCTACTATTCCTAGTCTTATCAATTGCTAATTTTACAGGTTCTGCCAATGTTACAAAAGCTGGTGGTGTAATTGGTATAATAGTAGCTGCTATGGCATGGTATATTATGTATACTGAGCTCGCAACAACTGATAACTCTTATATTAATATCAGTTTCACCAAAACACCTTTGAAACCATTTCCAAAATTGCACAAATCAACCTCAAAAGTTTAAGTTTAAATTGAATCAATTCAATTCAATTCAATTTTACTTAATCTAATTTAATTCAATTCAATTCAATAATATTGCATTTATCTAGTGATATGCTATTTATTTTATGTCTCTTTTCTTTTTAAACTAATGTTTTAATGAACTTCACACAATCTTCTTTATTTTTTTCTGGATTTTCAAGTTGCCAAATTATTATTTCATCTAATACTTTTTTCATCCACGGTCCAGCTTTTTTATTAAAAATATTGGCAAGCTCTTTACCAACGACTAATGACTTCATTTCATAACAATCTACTAACCCGCTTCCAATTATATAATTGTATAGTTTAATTGTATTCTCTCTTTTTTCAATATTATTGTAATTGAATAAATACTCAACTAAAATCATTAAAATCCATTTTTTGTCCAATTTTCGGATAAACAACCCGATTTCAAATCTCTTTAAATTGTCTTCTTTAATCTTATCAAGTATTCCATTAAATTCACTTTGATGACTTATTAATAATGTTACGTTATCAAAATCATTTCTACCATATTTTAACGCCTCTCTAATAATAACTGTGGATAAATACTCTTCTAATTGTTTTTTATTTGGATTGACTTTTATTTTAAATAAATCAAGGTCTTTCAATATAACAAACAACCAAAACCAAACTTTTAATGTTTCATTATCAATTCCATTAAAAATTTCGTCATTAGTTTTATTTTGAGGAGCTAAAATTGAATATAAAATGTTTTCAATTTCATTTAAACCATTTGTATTTTTAATTTCATCGAGATGCTTGATATAATTTGATATAAACACTATTGAATCCTTTAATATGACTGAACATTTATTAATTGAATCATTTACCATATTAGCACTATTTTCATTCAATTTCTGTGCAATTGACTCTATTCCATCTATATTAAATACCGAGTTAAATAAATTGTTTTGCAAGATTAAGCTTAATCCAACTAGGGGACCATTGTTTGAAATTAATATTTTCCTAATCTCTGTACCAATTCTTTCTCTGCTAATTTTTCTTTTCAACATTTCACTAATCTCCCTATTGCTCATTTCATTTAAAGCAGTTTGATCAATTTGAAAATTAAATCTATTTGCAAATCTAATTAGTCTTAATACCCTTAAAGGATCATCTAAAAAGGTTTGTTTAGGATCTAATGGTGTTCTTAATATACCATCTTGTAAATCCTCAATTCCTTGATCTGTAAAATCTTCTACTGATTGAGATTTCAAATTATAAAATAAAGCGTTTAAAGTCGCATCTCTTCGATAAGCATCTTCAGATGGCGTGCCAAATTTTATGATTGGAATTCGTGAATTTTCAGTATATTCTTCAGATCTTAAATTCACAAAATCAATCGATTGACCAAATAGTTTACTTGTAGCAGTCTCTAAATGCTTGGATTTTTCAGGATTTTTTTTAATTTTATGAATGGAAGATGGAGAAATTTCGTACTTGGAATAATTGTCTTGCAAAAAATGACTTAAACTCTCAGCAAATTCTTCACCAGATACACCATTGATGGCAATATCAAGATCGTTTGAATGTCGGCCCAATAGCTTATCTCTAACCCAACCACCAGTGACTCTTGGAACAATATTATCTTGAGATTGGTTAGTTTTAAGATTGTAATTATAATAATCGCAAAAATCAACCAAAACGTTTCTGATTTTTGTCTCAGTTTCGGTTAACTGAATGGGTTTCAATTGAATTCTCTGAAAAACAGAACAAGTGCTGAAAGACATTCCAAGGCGAGGTAATGACTGATTAAAGAGTCTTAACATGGCTATTCATGGTTCATCCCTAATTACGTTCTTCAAAAAATAAAAACTAATAATAATTAAAGATTCTACTTGAAGGTTCCAATTAAAGAATAAATAAAATATATACATTACATAAACTTTAAGAAGGGCATCTTGGCCGAGTGGTTAAGGCGAAAGACTTGAATCTACTTCAAGGCATCTTTTGGGATTTCCCGCGCAGGTTCGAGTCCTGCAGATGTCGTTTTTTTCCTAATTTGTTTTATTCTCTAAACTTTATTTTGAGTAAAAATGAAAAATAAATTTTTTTTGTTTTCTCCAACTCAAATCGCTATTTACAACTGCAAAAAATGGGAAAGGCAAAGAAAGTCAGAAAGTTTGCACTTACAAAACGTACTCTTAGTGCCAAAGACCAGAGGCTGAAAAAAACCACAAAAGAAGGCAACCCCAAACAGCAGAAGGATTCTGAATTGGTTCGTGATGTGCCTCAAGTGTCTTCTGCTTTGTTTTTCCAGTTCAATCAAGCTTTGAAACCACCATACCAAGTGTTAATAGATACAAATTTCATCAATTTCAGCATTCAGAAAAAGATAGACATAGTCAGGGGGATGATGGACTGCTTGTATGCCAAATGCATTCCGATAATAACAGATTGTGTAATGGCCGAGTTGGAGAAGCTAGGGCCCAAGTTCAGAATTGCATTAAGATTGGCAAAGGACTCAAGAATAAAAAGATTGAGCTGCAGCCATAAAGGAACCTATGCTGATGACTGTTTGGTTTCTAGAGTTATTCAGCACAAGTGCTACATAGTGGCCACCAACGATGCTGATCTCAAGCGAAGAATACGAAAGGTTCCTGGTATTCCTCTTATGTCTGTTGCAGCTAAGAAATATGAGATAGAAAGATTGCCTGATGTGTTTTAAAAAAAATAGTTCATTCGCACTGATTGGACAGTGGTTCCCTAGTGGCCCAAAAATAGTTCGGCTACAGCTTACCATCGAACTAGCCCCAGTTTCGTTGCGTTTTTTGGTGGTTTATTCATAATTTCCAAAGAAATTTCAGCATCAAAGCTGCGGTGTTTTCGGTTTCTAGAGCCGGCTTCTGTCCGCGCTTAACTATGCGAGTACCTTATATGATGAGTTTCTAACAACTCAGATCCTCTTTTTATATCATTTCATACCTTTGTAATATACAATTTATACATCCCTCTTCTACTTATTTGTCTTTTCAACATGTCTCAACAAGTTATCAAGAAGATCAACTTATAGTATGTTAATGATTTTGGTTATTTTGATATTGGTCATCCAATTCCATTCATATTTTCCAACTTATTCTAACGATTGATTTTTTTGTTTTTTGTCTCATTTTAGTTCTGCAAATGATTTGAAAAATAATTGTGATGATAATCTTCCATTTATTTTATCAAACCTTGGTTTTAAACAAGATTTCAAGTTAAAAGATATTGAAATTGGCTTATCGACTGCTCTTGCGTTAATTGGTGGTACAACTTATTTGGTTGACAAAAAATTATCATTTAGTGAATCCTATAACTATACCGTAATCTTAATAGTGGTTTATTTCTTAATTCAAACTGTTTTTTTTGTTTTTATGAAATTTTATCAAGCTGATATTAAATATACGGGTATCAATTTAAACAATAATAAAGATACAAAGGATAAAAAAAATAAAAAAAATCAAAAAGATCAAAAAGATCAAAATATTGATGAAGAAATTAACAAAATCATTATAAAAACTACAATAAATAAAAAACAAGTTGTTCCAACTTACAATTTAACAATTGAATTGTTTGATAATGATAGCAATGTAAAAAAATTCGATTCAAATTTAAAATTTTCATCTGTCTTCAATGAATTGGGTTTTTTGCAAATTGAAGAATTTCAAAAAATTATAAAAGATTCTATAATTAAAACATCAAAATAACTGATCGAAAAACTAGCCGAGTAATTAACTAATGAAAAAAAATTTATATCAATTTTTATACTAAATAATTTATTCTAATTTATTCTAATTTATTTTAATTTACCATTTCTTAATCAATTAAAACTTTTTATTGAATTTCTTCACCATGCTTTTTTTTTGTTTCATTATCATTACAGTTTAAACCTCCATCTTGACTCAATTCTTGAATTATACTATCAATGACTTGTAATTTTTCCTTTTTCTTTTTCACTTTTTTATTACTATTACCAATATATTCATTTTCATTCTTGTCCATTGAGTTGAAAACCTCAACACTACTTCTATCCATTTCACTAAATTTTCTTAAAAATTCAACAATGAAAAATGGTATTATCTTTAAAATTGGTAAAAATTTTCCATATAATGGTAATGAAATCTCACCAATTTGATTTCTCTTAATATTTGAATAAATTAATTTTGACATCTTTTCATGACTTAATATTGGTGCTAAAAATGGTTTAGGAGGTTTAACATCGTTAAATAATAATGTATCTAGTTGTCCTAATTTAATTAATAACATTTTAATTTGATTGTTTTTTAAAAGATTAATCTCATGTAATATTGATTCATGCAATGATATTATTGAAGTCTTTGTTAGTGAGTAGATGGATAAGTTTGCTGGACCAATTAATCCCAAGACTGATGAAATATTAATAATGTAAAGTTTTCTTTTTTCATTAATTGATAATTGTAAAAAAAACTTCATTGATAAAATATATGAAATTAAATTTGTATTAATTATATTAATCATCTTCAGATATTTTAATTTTAAAAATGGTTCAGAGTGTTTAATTCCAACATTATTAATCAAAATTGTCACTGAACCGATTTTTGTCTCAATTTTTCTAAATGTATTTAATAAATTATTTTTATTGGAAACATCACAATTAAAGTAAAATACTCTTTTATTTATCAGGTTATTATTATTATTATTATTATTATTATTAGCAGTGGTGTTTGCATTGTTATATTTTAAACAAAATGAATTCAATTCAACTTGATCCAATTCTTGTTTATCAATTATACAAATTTTGCAATTTTCAAATATTAAAAATTTCTTTAAAATTTCATAACCCAAACCTCTTGAACCACCAATTATTAGAACAACATCATTAGAAGTTATTTCAAATCTGTTATTCTTTGAATGGTTATTAAATAAACTAATTTTGTAATAATCATTAAAGTTTGCAATTAAATGAGAAATTAAAAATAAATATAAAAGAAAACCATTGTTATATTTTAGTTTAATATAAATAAGAATTGAAATTACAAGTGTTTGAAATGATTTTGTAAGCACAAGATCAATACTATATTTTGTAGGCTTTAACATTTTTTCTTTTAATAATTAAAAAGAAATGATAAGACAATAAAAACAACAATCTTAACAAGAAAAATTCAATGTTTCCTTTAATACTATACAGATTTCATTATAGCTTTGATGTAACATTTGCTACAAACCAAGTGAAATATTTTGGAGGATTTTGTTCTTTCTTTTTTGATGAATAAACGTGTGAATATTTTCAAATATTGGCAAATATTGGCAAATATCTTTGAATAATTTTTCATCTGATCCAAAGCATTCTGAATATATTCCAATCCTAATCATACACTTCCAATGTTTCAGAACCAATTAAAACGAGCTTTCAATGGTTTTATAGAAGAGCCGAATATAAAACATATTCCCACACAATCCTTGAGGCTGTTTAAATTTCGTATTATATGCAAAATATCAAAATCAATACTACAGGGAGTTTACATGATGATAATAAAAAGGATTATCACGTCTAAAATATTGAAATGGAATTGAGCTCAACTTGAAGAGAGTCTTTCTAATTGATTGGTCTTTGAAAATCAGTTTATTTGAATAGCAAATCTCTGTACTTTAAACATGCCCAAACAAAGCAAACGTATTGAATTCAAAAATACAAAAGCTATTTCTGGCAATTTTTTGAGCTACAATTCAACAAATGTGTTTCCAATCAAAGAGTTGTTGATTATTTGTTAATTGATATCATCTGCTATAGAAATTTCATCGTGCACCAGCCCTAAATATCCTAAGGCGTACGATGTACGGCCTTAAATTACTTAAATAGGAAAGCATTATGTAAGAAATGGCGCATGAAGCGGTTTTTCTTTTCAATTGGACAAAAATTAAATAGAAGGTTGACATAAAGAAATAGTGAAGAATTGGAAGAGTGCAAGAGCAGTGAAAAAAACAGTTCAACTAGTCGAGTTTCAGGAATGTTTATAGGAAGATCTATAATAAGTCCAATTAAGAATTTTTGGGTGGTATGTTTCCGGTTAATCTTGTGCTGTTGTTTATTGGTGAACAATCTCTTCAAGATCATAATCACTAACTCATTTATTTAGAGACAAATTTGTCAATCATCTAGTCTAGCTGCTAGTGTAACCGAATCTGTTGGCCATAATTTGCATCCTTATAGTATGTGCTGTCATTTTTCTTTTTTGATTTTTTTTTCTTGTTTTTATATCGACTATTTTAACAGAGATTCATAAACTAACCAAATGACATCGGTCAATTATAGAGCCCCCAAGATATGTGTTGGCATCATTAAGATCTTTCCCTTCATTGGAACCAAAATCATTTATATCAGTGAACTGGAAACTACTAGCACAACCATTGCGAAGAGATATTCTCTGGAAAGCAGTTGTCATGGAAGCAAACTGTGCAAGAGTAGGTGCATCAAATCCACCAAGTCGTTCTCAAATGGGATATTCAGGTAGAAAATTGCATGCTCAAAAAGGTACGGGTAGAGCAAGAGTGGGTGATAAAGGGTCTCCCATAAGATTGGAAGGTGGTAGAGCACATGCAAGAAATGCTCCAAATGATTACTCAACCAAACTACCTTTCAAAGTTTATACATTGGCCTATAGAGTTGCTTTGAGTCATCAATATAAGACTGGCAATTTATTCATAGTTGGTCTTGATAAAGAGTCAAAAGCTGACAAGAATCTTCAGTCACCTAGTCGAGAAAATGAAGTCGAAGTATGCGAATTCTTAACTAATGACCAACTTGCCGCAGATAATTTTGTCGAGGCTCACGATTTCAAATTAAGAAACGTGTTGTTTATTGTCAATGAGGAAAGACCAAATCTAACCAAAGCATTTGAATCATACAAAAAATTTAAAGTGATTGAGTATGCTAAAGTTGATGTGAGAGATCTCCTAAAAGCCAATCGTGTGATTATTGAATTCAGTGCTTTGACGAATTTGTTGAAGTTGATGAAACATCATGAACAATAAGCCTATGTGACTATAAGTCTATGGTAATAGAGACCTACAAGACAATAAGGCAATCAGATACTAAGGATGCTAGGAAACTGAACAGGAAAATAGATGATAGCTTCCATTCACGTGTAAATAAATATTGTGTTTTATTTATATTCTCCAAACTTTCTTCATTACCAATTCAGTGATCAGCTCCACAAAATAAAGTCGAGCCTCTCTAAAACCAGTGCAGTGGATTTATTTAGGTTCTAGGGCTTTGTATTTGTAGTTTAAGCCCTATTGTAATAAACGTGACCAATCTGAAAATAGACATACAATACTGGTTTTCTCGCAACCGCACCGTTCGCCAATTACCACAAACATCGCAAATGCCTCCAAATATGTCTTTGATTATGTAATATTGGTGTAAGCTACTTTTTATCCAACGTGATTAGCTTCCTTGGTGAATTTTCACAATATCAATTTAATACTGGTGGAGTAATATACATACGTTAAGGTGTAGCAAAGACTAGGAATCAGCAACAAATAATAACTTAATCAAAATGTCTTTAGTTGTTCAAGAACAAGGTAGTTTCCAACACATTTTACGGTACGTTTCATATCAGCTTCAATGCTTCAAATACAAAAGATTTAATGTGCTGGTCAGATACCTATTATTCATGGATCAACCAACTTGAAATAACCATAATATGGCTTCAAACTGCCATTCAGTAAATTTTTAATTCTGCTAAACAAAAAATTAATTCATTATTTTTCATGAATTTGGACAATTCATAAATTTCGGAAAGTTTGAAAAAATTGAAATCATAAAAATAGTACACTAAATACATCTCTGACATGAGGTTTTATTTCAAAAAATTTTAAAATATAAATTTTTAATAATTAAAACTAAAATATATTTATTAAAACAATAATATAACGAAAAGATCAAATTTGTCCGTTTTAGATAATTCATATTTTGCTTTTTGGTTTTTAAACCAAAAAATTTTACAAAAGTTTCAAGCAATATTGTTTTATTTTTTGAGATCAGATCAATCAAATTAAAAAAAAATTGAAACATTCATACTAACTGATTTTTTAATAGTTTACTCAACACCAATGTTGATGGTAGAATTAAAATCATGTACGCCTTAACCACCATTCGTGGTGTTGGTCGTCGTTACTCCAACTTGGTTTGTAAAAAAGCTGATATTGATTTATCCAAAAGAGCTGGTGAATTAACTCAAGAAGAATTAGAAAGAATTATTACTATTATGCAAAACCCAACTCAATATAAAATTCCATCATGGTTCTTAAATAGACAACGTGATTTCACTACCGGCAAAGATTCTCATTCCTTAGCTAATCAATTGGAATCAAAATTACGTGATGATTTAGAAAGATTAAAAAAAATTAGAGCCCACAGAGGTATTCGTCACTACTTTGGATTAAAAGTTAGAGGTCAACATACTAAAACAACTGGTCGTCGTGGTAAAACCGTCGGTGTCTCCGGTAAAAAGAAATAAATTAGTTAGTGTAATTATTAAATTCTATTTCAATCTTTACTATAATTTTTATTGTTTTGCTTTTTAATAAAGTAATTTCATTTAACTAATATTGTATTAAATTTATATTTTTTCAAAAAAAATTGTAGTTGAAATCAAACTATATTCCAAATTTTAGTTTTTATGATTATTCTTTTTTTTTTCGATTGTTCCCCAATTATACTTCTAAAAGTAATTTCAAAAGAAATCCAAGATTATTCTTTTTCGTTTTTGCTCAATCGTTATCTTTGTTTTAAAACCTTCATTATTACTCAATTAGAATGGATTTTCTTGAGGTGATATTTTTTGATTTTAAAACCGGTTTTTAATAATATCAGCCCAAGCTACTTAAAAGAATTGTCTTAAAAACGTATAAAAACTAATTTATTTCAAACACATTTCCATTGGCAAACAAATTGTTTGGAAATGGGCATTTTGAACTGCCGATAATGATCATCTTCTTATCTCAACATCTGAACAACTTTGGCTTAATCACTAAAAGTATGCATTCATCACAGAAAAATTACATGCATCTCCATGTAAATAGTTTATCCAGTATTATTTTGAACTTAGGAGAAACATTTTCAAAAACACTTTTCAATAAATTACATTTGGAAATGTCTAACTGCAATTTATTAGATTTCTGTTTTAATTTCAAGTATACCTTTTATTTTATTGCATTTTTGAGCCCTTAAATTTTTGATAGAACGGTTTTCTTCGTTATCCATTCCCTTTAACAAATTCCGTATGAGTTCATCTTACTGAATGGAATAGCCCAATAAACTAGATTTTTTAAGATTTTTAAACTGCCTTTTTAAAACTTTCGGTTTTTTATTCTATTTGAAAATGGTTGTGCTATTATCGGCCAACTCAACAAAATTGCAAATTATATTATCACTAATATTATATAACAAACCACATTACTGGTTTTATCTTTCAAATGCATGTTAATGCGTTCAAATGCAAAATGATAAATAACAAACTTTGACGTTTTTTCGAAGAAAAGATTCAAAAAAATTTAGAAAGCATTTATCTTTTTTTAAAAATGTCATAATCTTGAAAAAACTAGCAAAAAAAATATTTATTAACCTTTGTAGGCTCAAATTTCTAAAATATGTATCTCTAATAAAAATTTTAAAAAAATATGCAAAAATAAAGTCTAAGAAAAAAAAAAAAATATTATGAATATTTAAGTAAATTAAATGATTATTTATCACTATCATCATTATTAAGATTATCGCCATCATTACCAGCGTTGCTAACATCACCCTGATCATTTGTAGATTCTTCAAGAGCTGAATTTCTTGGTTTAAATTTGAAACTCAAAAATTGGCCTGTTGAAGTAGAGATTTCTCGAGCATATGTTTCATAACGAAATAACTCAGCATCTGATACAGATCTTTTAGCTGTTTTCATGGCTTCTTCAAAATGTAAATGAGTAATATAAGGAACTGGATCGCTATCATCGTTAATTTTTTCAACATTAGTCTCATTTTTACTTTCTGATTTTTTGATTATTTCATTTTTTAAATCTGCTTCAATGCTATCTCTTATAGCAAATTTAGCAGCTCTTTGAACAATAAATAACAAATCTGCACCTGAGAAACCATCGGTGACATTAGCAATTTGAGCTAAATCTAAATCTGGTTCTAATGGAGTTTTTCTTAATTGAGCATTCAAAATAGACAAACGAGCCGGTTCGTCTGGTAATGGAACATAAATCAATTGGTCCAAACGACCAGGTCTTAGTAAAGCTGGATCAATTTGATTGGGCCTGTTTGTTGCACCAATTACAAAAACATTCTTCTTAGCATTCATACCATCGATTTCGGTTAGCAACTGATTTACAACTCTATCAGAAGTGCCGCTTTCATTACCCGTTGAGCCCCCACGAGCTTTTGCAATTGAATCTAACTCATCTAAAAACACAACAGTTGGTGCAGCAGCACGAGCTTTGTCAAAGATATCCCTAATATTAGATTCTGATTCACCAAACCACATGGATAATAACTCAGGGCCTTTAATAGAAATAAAATTAGCAGAAACTTCTGTTGCTATAGCCTTTGCAAGTAAAGTTTTACCTGTGCCTGGTGGCCCATAAAATAATACACCTTTTGTAGTAGACAAACCAAATTTTGTAAATTTTTCTGGGTGTAAAACTGGATACTCAACTGTCTCTTTTAGTTCAGTTTTAATTTTATCTAAACCGCCAATATCTTCCCACTTGACGTTTGTACTTTCGACGACAGCTTCTCTAAGAGCACTTGGGTTAGATTTGGATAAAGCAAATCTGAAATTTTCCATTGTTACACCAAGGGATTCTAATATTTCAACATCAATTTTATCATCATCTAGATCAATAAGATCCATTTTCTCACGGATTTGTTGCATAGCAGCTTCAGAACATAATGAAGCAAGATCAGAACCAACATAACCATGGGTCTCCAAAGCAATGGACTCTAAATCAATATTATCGGCTAGTTTCATATTTTTGGTATGAATATTCAAGATTTCCAAACGACCAGCAGTATCAGGAATACCAACATCAACTTCACGATCAAATCTACCAAATCTTCTTAGGGCAGCGTCAATTGAATTTGGTCTATTAGTAGCAGCAATGACTATGACATTTGATCTTGGTTTCATACCATCCATAAGGGTTAATAATTGAGACACAACTCTTTTCTCAACTTCTCCATTTGTTTTATCTCTTTTGGAAGCAATTGAATCAATTTCGTCAATAAAGATAATGGAAGGAGAGTTTTTTTCTGCTTCTTGAAAGACCTTTCTTAAATTTGACTCAGACTCACCTGCCATTTTAGACATGATTTCTGGACCATTTATTAAAAAAAATAAAGCACCGGATTCATTAGCAATGGCTCTCGCTAAAAGAGTTTTACCGGTACCTGGAGGACCATACATTAAGACCCCCTTTGGAGGCCTTATACCGATAGTTTCAAATAACTGAGGGTGACGTAAAGGCAATTCAATGAGTTCTCTAACTTGAGCCATTTGTTTTCTACAACCACCAATATCATCATAACCGACATCATTTAGATTATTTTCATCATATTCTCTATCAATTGGCTTTTCATCACAATAAACAATCGTGTCAGGGGCTACAATACAATAGTCAAAACCATCGATTTCGACAATTTTAAATTCTACCTACCTCATTGCAGTTCTAATAATGAAATGATCTCCGATTTTAACAGGTTTATAACAATTATCAAAAAACGGTTTGATAAATGTGTGATATAACGAGCCATTTAAACCCTGTATTGTATCAGAAATTGGAGAGATAGAGATTTTAGAGCCATATTGAATATCAGAACAAGGACGAATTGTAACGACATCACCAAGACAAATCCTAAGATTACTTCTGGCAACTCGATTTATTTGACATATACCATCTTCAAGATTTTCGTTTATTGTTGTTAGTAAAATGGTCTCTTTTTTCTTTTTACTTCGAGCAAAAACCATATCTCCTTGAAATATTTGTAATGTTTTCATTGTGTTGGTTGATAAAGCAATTGTGCAATCATTTGAGTTATCAAAATCGGGCAAGAGATCATCGACGACTAATGCATTTTTTTTTCTTTTTCTTCGTAAAATTGCAGTGGAAGTTTCATCTTTGGGAGCATTTTCGGCACCAGAGGAATCAGGAAGGTTATGATTTTGATTCTTGAGCATTTTTGAAGAGCAATCTTTGATTGAAGAGGATAGTTATGAAAAATAATTCAGTTAAATATAAACATGACATGATGATAGATGATAATAGATAATGAAAGCAAAATGTGAAGCAAAATGTGAATTAGATCAAATCAGGAAATATTCCGAAATCATGTTAATCTCGAATACTAGCCAGTAGAATTATGACAAAAGTAGAATCGATGAAATAGACTTTCCATCTTTTGACCTTGTTTTGAGAAAAGCATTGGTATTATTGTTGAAAGCTGAAACAATGCTGTAAAGAGACCCCCTCAGCGAGCGATTTAGATGAATCCAAAGTCACGTGAAGACATATTTATTTTCTGATTGGGAATTGGCTTCCGATTCTCCGAATACGTTGGTTCGGACGGCGGGTCGTTAGCTTCGCCTACGTAGTAACGGTGGCTCCGCGGGTGTTAAACGACCGAACCGTTAAGAATAAAATGGTTCTCCGCTATTGCCAGTTTGCACACGTGAGCGAGTGTCACATTGTGACCCTACAAAATCGGAACACGCCCGGCTTGCACTTTTCTTAAATGGGTCATCACGCCAGAAAAAAGGTGCATATCGAAGATTGGGTCCGGCAGTGGGTCACATGGCCGCCAGCTGGGAATTTGGGAGTTACAAGAAATGGAGGAAAACAACAAGAAAAATGAAGAAAAGAAAGATGCACAAGAGACGATAAGACAAATATCGACACTTGGTTACAGTAGATTAAATGGCAATGGCACAGGTGTGAGAGGAGAAATAACATAACAGCAAAATGATAGTTTTTTCCGAAGTATATATATCAATATTAACGTTTGCTCCGAGTTAGACTGGAAAAGAACAGATTAGGACTTTGAGAGTGAATAAATCCAACTAGATTTTGTTCTAAAAAAAGACGAAAAAAACCCAGAAAATCTCATTTGGTACTATTGATCTTCCTATTTTTACCATTCTAACATGATTTTTCTGTTTAAGATTCAAATACAAAATAGAAATATTTTAAGCAGAGCTATTCTGCTGTATTTCTATATACCGCTGCTGTTGTATAGATTTTCATTAGCTATGATGTGGATTGATGATTTTAGAATTTGAGTCAATTTTCTAAAATTGATTAATTGTCAGATGAGAGAGATTTGTCATTAGGAAGCGAGAGAAAAGGAAAAACATTACATTAAACTTTCCCCAGTTTTTCCATGAAAAGTTTGAGTTAAATTAGATTGCAAGAAAAAAAGAGATTTTGAAAAGTTTGATACTAATTTTGTAAATGCAGTCTCTAAGTAATGGTGAGCCTGCCTTAGATAGAAGACGATACAGAATACAGTATATCTAGCGGGAAAGCTTAAACGGATAAGATTTTGGAGGTATTGAGAATAATTGAATAGTTGTGATAATTGGGATTGTAGTAATTTTGAAAATTGTAGATAGCTTTTGTTTTGACTAAACAAATAGAATTTGGAGTTAGAGTTTGAAATACCAAAAGATAGATGAAATTCCTTCCATTTTCGGACGGATGTTCATGAACCGTTTAGAGAAAAATTTACCCTGATAAATTATTTGCCTAAGAGTTCAATTATTAAGATAAATTCTCCTATTATATATAATAATACTCAAATTCAACGAAGATCAATATGTAAAAAGCACAACTATTTTTTAAGGAATTTTAACAATAGCAGAATTTAAAAGTTGATTGCGCCTCTTGTATTGATGTTGATAAATTTTAAATATTAATATTTTATTATATAAGTTTATTGATTGTGAATTATTATTTATGAATTATTGTTTTATGAGATTATAACTTTGAAAATATTATTTAAATTTATTTGGTTGTTTGTGTGTTGGAAAATCAGTATGAATTGTATGCTATCGATGCAATATCCTGCAGCGCCGTTGTAACGACAACTGTCTAGTGAGTACAATTGTTTTATTTAATTGAATAAATTTACTAAATTATTTTTTGAATTATCTAAAGTGCTTTGTTCTCTATTTTTTGTTCTTTGGTTATCTAGTCTAGCAAGAGATAATAAGTAATCGTTGAGTAATATTCTTTGAAATTCCGAGCCATGTATAAAGGAGAATGATTTGCTATTACTTTTTGTTAATTTTTTTTTATTTTTTCTTTCTTTTTTTATTTTTTTTTATTTTTATGAGTACGCTGTTTATGATTACAATTTGTTAATTGTGATGAATAAATAGTTGTTGATTATTGAATATCCTAATTGAGATAATTGAGAATTCCAGGGACAAATTTAAGATGTAATTTAGTGAAATTTTAAAGTAGGGCTAATATTTTTATTTTTATTTTTATTTTTATTTCATTATTTTGATTATTTTGATTATTTTGTATATTATTTTCTAAATCAGTTTGAAGTTGATAGATTTGTTGCAGTATACTGTTGGATTGTATTATATTTAGTGATTTTGATTCTGATTTTGATTTTGATTTTGATTTTGGCTTTGATTTTGATTTCCAATTAGTGAAAAAAACCACATGATAAAACAGAGATTTACATTCCAAAAGCCATTTAATAAAAAGCCAAAAAATTGGAAAACATGATAATTTTTCAAAATGGGACTTTTTGGGCCCAGTATTGGTACAAAAGGCATATAAAAGAGAAAAGACAGTAACAGTATAAAGTGCGCTGGATAAAAATGCAGCTTATTCTGGATCCTGAAAGTTAAGGTTCGGCACAACACAGGAAGCCGAGAGCAGGTGATACAATAAGATTAACTTTCGTGAGATAATTGACTATGGCGATGTGTGTACAGAATGCACAGTGTCATAACAAAAGAAACGATGATTGTTGGAAGGAACCTATCAGCAAAGAATATAAAGAAATTAAATAAACGCAATGGAAGATAGTAAGCACGAATAAGGAAGAGACACTAAGAGAATAATTGGAAAGTCGTTGGAAAATAATGCGAGAGAGCAGCAAGAGTAGAGAAGGAATCATGGATAAAATAATAAAATAATAGCAAACATAAACTGGGAAACATTTTAAAGCAGGATGGAAATAGAGTTTGAAAAAGAAAATTGTGAAATCTCTAAAAAAGAAGGCCAACCTGAAAAATTCTCCAAATTGTTAAGAATTTGCAAAATAGCCAGAAAAAGATTCAGATACCTGATGAAATTCCAATCAAAATAGAAAAAAGAAAAAAAAAAGAAAGAAATTAGGAGAAATCGTTGAGCAGTGAAAACGATATTCAAAGAGCGAGGAAACAAAGTGAATTAGTGACCCAGTAGTGGAAAGAGAAGTTGTATCGCATGCGAAGAGTGAAGCAGCGTAGCAATGTTATAACCAAGCAGTTTAAGATGTGGAAACTAGAAACAATACAGCATGCACATTCTCAAGATGGTTCGAGTGATACAATCTGCAATCACCATCTTTGTAGCAATACTGGATCAGAGAAAACCAGCGCAGCGAATCAGATTGAAAAAGGAATAAAATAGAAAGACAACAAGTAAACAATCATTCTGCTAACGGTAGACGATTCGTAATGTTTGCAAATCAGATTACTACAGAAGGCAAACTGCTGAGAGCGATTCCCTGGCTATGCACCATTCAGCCCAAATGCCATCCACTATAATTGGGATTGCACCCTCTAACGGTTTACTCAGAGCCAGTTGTGTGCTCATAAGCATGTGGATAGCTGATCACATACTGGATGTTTCTTTTTGGCCCAGAGCTGAGGCAGAGAAACGATTTGCACGGAAGGGCAGCTGGGGGGTATTGCGATGTCGCGTCTTTGGCGCTGCTTCCGCTGCTTCTGCCACCTTTGCTACTTTTGCTTCTGCTGTTGCTTCCACAAAGAATAGGCTATACTTTCACTTGTTGGGTCAGTCTCAGTCCGTGGAGCACCGGGAAAATGAAAAGCAGCCCGATAAGAAGGGTGCCGACGTTAAACCCTAAAGTTGAGAACAGTTGAGATGGGCCAACAAGAGCGAGCGTGACTGCTGCTGTCTGCACTCACACGCAGTGCACGCCGATCCAATCGGCTTGGTTTTTTAGGTTGTGCGTCTGTAAGCCTGCATGCGCACCTAGACGCATTTGTAGGGTTACTCAGAAATTGACCAAGCGAAATTAGAAAAATTGGAATTAGATCTGGATTTGGCTTTGAATTTTCTTTTTCTTCTGTCTGCAGCTTTCTTTACTTCTTATTCTTATTTTTGATTTTATTTCTGTCTGTTTTTTGTTTTCTTCTGTACCTGATAATTATTCTGCTTTGATATCATGGGTTGAACCATTTTTCAATTTGCATTTAGTTTACATTCACCTTGGATCTTGTCTAATTATCTCTTAACATCTCTCAGTAACGCAGCGAATATCAGGACGAGTAACACCCATCACAGTTTTATCTCACCTTACTCTTATCCCACTACATCTCATTATATTCGCTATATTCGCTATATTCGCTATATTCGTTGTATCTCCCAACACTCCTCCAACTTCCATCTTCCATCCTTCATCTTCCATCATTCATCCTCCATCCTCCTACTATATCTCTTTCTATCTTGCTTCTCTTTCTGTCTTGTAGCCTTGTTCATTCTCCATCTTTTCCTTAAGGAAACAGGGGTTTCTTGCAGCTTTTCTGATTAAAAAATCTTTTCGCTTTTTACTCACTAATCCTCATTCTTCAACTTACCACTGTTCATTATCTCAAAACCGTTGTTTCAACTTTAGTGCTTTCATTAACAATAGCTGTATCCTATTTCTAACATTAAGTCCAACAGGAATACTAAAAAATATTAAGGGTATTAAAGATACTACAGGTATTCAAATTATTCAAAATACTAAACATTACATTTACCACAAACATTAAAAAATATTTATTACTTTATCTACCAAATAAAACGATTTCCACACATAACAGAACTTGGGTTCTCATATCTTTCAAATACAATCTACCAACTCTTCTTACCTCTAATTATTCACACTTTTAACCCTAATTGCCTATTTATCCCAATTTGTTTATCATATTCAAAAAACAATAACATCTCTAGTGATTCTTTCCATAAAGTTTCCCTAATAGAAAAAAAAAGAATAAATTAACAATTAAAAATTAAAAATTAACAATTAACAATTAAAAATTAACAATTAAAAATTAACGATTGAAAATAAAAATAAAAATATTAAAAACTTACATCTCAATATTTCATCAATCATCTCATAGCTTTTTAAATCATTTAAGGTTATTCAAATTTATTACAAATAAAAAGTTACAAATTGATTCGTAATTCCTGAAATTTTTAATATTAAACTAAGTTATCCTCCTCTATATGTTAATTTTTACTTTAATTAAATTTTAAAAATAGCAGAACCTCTGGAAAATCCTCTTATTTAACTTTTAATTTCTTCAATTGGTTTTCAAATTTTACATCAAAGAAAAAAAAATTTAAACTTTTCAATAAAGAGAAGAAGAATTTAAAAGAAAAAGAAAAACAATCAACAATTAATCAAAAATTATTCAGAAATTATTATTAATATCACTATCAATTTAAGTTTTAATTATTTATAGGCAGCATATTTAGCTAACCCATACTTTGATTCATATCATTATCTCATTCTTATTATTCTTATTCTTATTCTTATATCTATCACTCCATTTCTCTGTTTTTCTATTTGTTACTTTGTTATCTGTTAATTCATTTATATCCTTCCTCTTTTTTTATCTTTACCTGTTAATTTCCAATTTCTCCTGATTTATTTCCTCCCTTCCTTACCTACTTGCCTATTTTTTACTCCTCGAATATTTATTAAAACTTCACTTTCACTCTTATTCTTCTTTCTTTTTGTATTATATTTCCTTTCTTTTCCAAATCATGTCCAACAATAATATAATATCTAATAATCTTGATAATAATAATAATAACAGTAATAACAACAATAACAATAATAATAACAGAAATCAAACTAAAACTGGTGAAAAGAAAAAAAGTGCCTTTATTTATAAATTGCACTCAATGTTGGCTGACCCACAGCTAAATCATCTCTTATGGTGGACAAGAAATGTCGAAGATGGAACCTTCGCTCTATGCCCCTCTTCTGAATTTGCTGATGCCTTAACCAGTTATTTCAATCACAAAAATGTGGCAAGCTTTGTCAGACAATTGCATATGTATGGCTTCCACAAAGTTTGTGAAAGAACTTCAAATAACCTAAATTCAAAAAAGAAATCTCTCTCGATCACTTCGGCTAATAACAATAACGAAGACAATGATCCTTCTTCCACAAATCACTCAAACATCGCAAGCAATCATAAAAATAGCAATAACCAAATATGGGAATTTCGACATTCAAGTGGAAAATTTAGAAAAGATGATGTTGAAAGTTTGTCTCAAATAAAAAGAAAACAACCCCCTGGCTCAAAAAATTCAAGAGCAAGAAGTAATACTGATCTGATAATTTTATCTGCTTCTTCCATTCAACAAAATACAAATAACCCTTTATTGATCCAGCCAAACCTCCAAAATCAACAATTGTACTATCAATCTCAACCCACATTACAGCAACAACAACAGCAACAACTATACTACCAACAAAGTCAACCTTTGGTTCAATCAAATATCATACCTAACCACTCTCATATATACCAACCACAGTCTCAACATCAACCCCAACACATCCCACAACCTCCTGTGCATCCTCAACAACTACCTCCTCCATTACCACCACCATCTCAAAGCCAAATTCCCTTCAATTACAATGATCTGTTACCTCCACCTCCACTTCATCTTCAATCGTCAACTTATCAACCACAAGAAAAAATGATACCGAAAAGTCAGTCCTTATCTTCAAAACCACCTGTATTTTCTCAACAACCTCAATATCCAATCCAGTACCAACAATTTCAGCAGCAGCAGCAGCCACCACTGCTACTACCACTACCACCACTACCGCAGCAGCAACAACAACAATTACATTACAGACAACCGCTAGAACAGCAGCAATCTCAAATATTAACACCTCAACACCAAAGCCAGCCTGAATATTTTAAATCACACCAACCACCAGAATTTCAGTCCCCGGCTCCAGCTCACCAAGTGAATTCTGTTCAATCACAAAATCAACAAGAATCTGATCCATACCAGTACTATTCTCAAAACAAATCTTTTCAACTGCAAGATCATCAATACAATCAAAGAAATAGTCCAAGCAATCAACTTCGAGAGCAAACTTACTACTCGTCTTTTCCTCCTCCACCACCACTGGCAACCAATCAGCCTATTGTTGATACTTTTCATAAAGTACGTTCATTATCGGATGAAATACACCATGAACAAAGCTTTTTAGCATCAGATATAAGCAAATTTAAAAATGAAGTTCGACATACTTCAACTGATCTTGTGAAATTTGCAAATTCTTTGCCTAATATTGAGCCTGTCGTTCATAAATCTCAAAATGATACTTTTAATGAGATAAATAGTTTAAAACAAAATTTCAATTCAAGAGCAAGCTCATTAGGTTCAAAGCTACCATATGATTCACACTACAGCTCTTCCAAAGTTCTTTTCTCACAGAACCGAGCTCAGAGCTATCCATATCAACACTCAACAACATTAAATGACAATAAAAACGATGGAGCAAAAATTGAAAAACCTTTACTTGAAATTAACGTGCAAGTTCCTCAAAGTAATGAACTTCAAGAAAACGATGCCTTTAAATCAAGCTCAGGCGATGAACCACCTCCTCAACCAATAAGAAGAGCCAGAACTCCTACACCTTCTCCTTTGTTTTTTTCTAAACCTCATTTCAGAACAGCAAAAGCTACAAGCAAAGAAAAATCACCTACTTTCAGCGAAACTTCTTTAACTCGAACGAGGTTTCCTTCTATTTTAGATCCTTTAGCCCCAGCTCCACAAAATCGAGATCTACTTTCAATTCCTCAGAATACTTATCATTCAAATTTATCTTCTTCAAGCAATCTAAGTCTATCCCCCCCTGTTACTTCAACCAGTTCACCTAGAGTATCACCTCCCAAACCTTTTCTTTCGCATAGAAATTTTTCCAGCTCTAATGAAAGTCTTAATACTTTGAAACCACATTCATCTGTGTCGTCTCCTTATTCATCTAGAGCATATCAATCAAGAGATTTTCGTGTTCCAACTTCAGATTCTCACTTTTTGAGGACCTCAAATAGCCTACCACAAATTAAACCCGATAATACATTATCATTTAATTCTAAACCTGATTATCTAAACTACAATAAAAAAACTTTAATGCAACTGAAATCTGATTCTACGCTCAGTCATGAAAAAAATCCTGCTAGTATTATTAATATTCTCAATACCGATAAAGATGAAGGTTTTGGGAATCTTAAAAAAAGAAAATCTTCTGAAGATATAAATGCCAAAGAGCCTGAAAAAGTTTCATACAATAATCCCATGCCTACTGCTTACGATACTAGACAGAAGTTGAGTGAAAGCAACATCAACAAAGTTATATCACTTCCTCCTTACAATCTGCCTTCGCAACAAACTCAATATGGGAGAAAAGTTACTTTGCCTTCTATCAATGAACTAAATCATTCACTAACAAACGATACAGAGGGACAGGTCAGAAGCTCTTTGATAGAAATACATAAGAAAAATGATGGAAAAATATCTTCCTTAGTGTCAAATTTTACATCTAACTCTATATTTTCAAATAATTCATCAATCAGCTCTGTTGGATCATCAATTGGTAGTTTCAGTATGTTTACAGGACAAGATCATAACAAAATACCATTTTCTAACCAGGGAGGCTCACTTACTCGATTACCACCAGTTACAAACTTGATTTTTCAATCAAATCATAACGAGCAACCTGAGAAATACGACAAAGATGCTAATGCTGAAAGTGCTAGAAAAGTCCCAATTTCCTCGATTATTGACTCGAATTCAGAGCAAACTCATGAACAAGACAAAAGAAGAAAAATTAATGAATGATTTATTTTGCTGTATTATTAAACTTTATTTGCAATGAACAAACGTTTTTTTCTTTCTATTACGCTCTCTTTTGATTTTTATTTTATCAAGTTTTGATCAGAATTCTCTGACACTTTTTGCTTTTTTGATTGGTATTGTTTTTTCGAACATTTCATTGTAATTTTCTTTTTATTTTGATCTGATTTTTATAACACTTTGTGAAAATACTGTGAAAATAGTTTTCTTTATTGGTAATCAATTCTTTCTTAAGTTTTAGTATGTTAATTTCGATTTTTTCTTTCTTTAAGGTATCATAATGCTTTTTCTTACTATATAAATATTAATTATAATTTTTTCTTTTTTGAAAAATTGAAAGACTTAAAAGTAAATTCGTTAATTCTCGACTATTTAGTTTAATTTGATCATCTACATCAATCAACATAATAGAAGAGAAGGTATAATATAATATAATATAATATGATAAAAGATGGTATAGTATATATAATATAATGTAAAATAATATAATGTAAACTAATATAGTATAAGAAAAAAGCAGCTAAATGTAAACTAAAAGTGACAAAGACCTTTCTATTCGAAAAACCCATTCTCTACAAACCATTCTTCAAGATCTGCTTTTTCATGATTAGCCAGATCAGTAAACTGTAACATTTTTTCAAAAATGTATTGATTTAATACAAAGTTTTTAACATCTTGCTTATCAATTACGTTGAAGGAAATGTCTTCTAGGCAAAATCTAGATATCTGATTAATAACGTATGGATTAAGAAGAGATTTAATTTGATTATTGTTTTCTTTAAACCAATTCCACAATGCTAATTTTCCCATTTTGTTGTATCTAAAACCGTAGACAAGATTTAAAATTTGATCGTCTTCGACAAACGAAGAATCTAAAATTAAATTTAAAGTGCGATCGATTAAATTTGAAAAAGAAAATCCGCCCAAACAAGAGAGAAGAGCTTTTTTATCCTCAAGCGTTGATGAAATTTCGTAAATTTCTATCATCTTTTCATAATCATTTTCATTTCCTCCAAATGCAACTGATTGATAAAATGAGATTTTTATAGAAAATTTCATTGCTAGTATTTCATTTGGAGACAAATCTCTAAATAGCTTTACGGCTCTTTTTAAGACTTCCAGGTGTCTGGCATAAATAGCTGCATGTATTATTTCTTTTTCTAGATTCAAATAATTGTTTGAAAAATGATTGATTTCGATAAAAAGATTAGATAAATCAATTTTGGAGAGTTTAAAAGAAATTAAAAATGAGATAAACTTGTTTATTCCTTTAAAGACCTTATCAGACTCAAAAGTCCAACGAGTTCGAATTTCATGTAGTTTTGTTAGCATTTGTAACCACACAATAGTTTCTTCTTCATGAGTCCATTTTTTTATGAGATTAAAGAAATTTATAATCGAGCAGTAACCAGAATTTCCCAAAAAAAAGGAATCAGTAATTAAACCAATGCGATCTTCCACTGAAAGAAGGTTTGTTATAACTGCTTGTTTTCCCAAAATCTCCCAGCGATTTTTTTCATAGCAGGTTCGATAAATACCGATATGATCCGAATTTATTTTGAAAAACGAGGCATCGTTAAAATTGATTTTTAATTCTTCTGTATCAAAAATGGTATTTTGAATTTTATTTTGATTGTTTTTGAGTCTAAGAATACAAGGATAAAGAATGTTTTTTTCTTGTTTAAAATTTTCAATATTGCCAAAACATCTTTGTTGATTCAAAGTGATTTGATTTTGATTTTCAGATACCATTATAATTGGGTAGCCAGATTCGAAAGTCCATTTGTACATTAAATTAGTAATGTTCAAATTGGAATGTTTGGAAACGAAATTCCAAAACTCTAAAGACGAGAGGTTTTTAAATTGGTAAGTCTTTAAATATAAGGAAATGATTCTATTAAAGTGATTTTCTCCCAAAAGATGAAAGATCATTAATAAAAGAGAGCAGCCTTTGATATATACTATTGGATCAAAGAAATCATTAGCTTCAAATACATTTTGAATATTTAATTCGACGGGATGGGACTGAGGAGAAGAATCTATTTTGAAGACTAATTCTAAGGATTCAGCAATATATTCAGGCCAAACTTTCCATGAGGGGTAGAATTTGTGAGCAATATACCATTTTAAAAAAGTAGCAAAGCCCTCATTGAGCCATAAAGAATTCCACCAGTGCATTGTTACAAGATTTCCAAACCATTGATGAGACAATTCATGTTGGAGGATTTGAACAGCGGCCATTGAAGAAGGAGAAAGATCTAAGGAAGAAAGAGAAGTGGAATTGTTGTTATTATGGTCATTATCAGGAGAAAAATGTGGCAATAGAATATTTTCATTGATTAAAGATTCTGTTGCAACTATTAGACCCCAGTTTTCCATTGCACCATTATAACCTGGAATTAGAGCATAATTTAGATGAGGTAGATTGTAGTCGTAGTGAAAAGTTTTACTGAGGAATTCTAGAGTCTTTGCAGTCAATTGACAAATCGAATTGAAAGATTTTTTGTAATTTGAATTGAAAGTGGATAGTGTGTAGACTCTAATAGGAAATGTGTTATCTAGGTATTCATAGCATTTTAGATCAGCGACTAGAAACGCTAGAATATAGGTTGACATTAATGGGGATGGGTTAAAAGATACAATTTTCTTTTTATTATTATTTCTAAGAGGGAGTTGTGATTTTATATCCATGTTCGATAGGCAGGTTAGATTCATGTCAGCGATTAAAGAGACGTTAAAAATTGCTTTTGAATTTGGTTGATCAAAGCAAGGAAATATCGAACGACAGCCTGAAGGTTCTAAGTCAGAGATGGCGAATTTTTTGAATTGGCCAGAGCAAAAACCAGAGAATAAAGCATTATTTAATTTTCCAGAAAAGTGGATAGAGAGAGATAAGTAATTTGAGGAATTGAATAGGTTTATGATTTTTGTATTTTTTGCGAAGTTGAAGGTTATTGTTTGGTTTTTGGGGTCAGATTGCAAGCAGTTCAAGTCAATGGAAATTGGAATTTGAGAGTCATTATTCAAAGCATCATTTGGATTTGTGGTTGAATGGGCGTTTATATTTTTTTGCAAAGGGCTGTTGTTATTATTATTTTGAAATTGGTCAGATTGGAAAGAAGGTTTAGAAGGTTTAGAAGATATGATAGCAGAATGGATAGATAAATTGCAGGAGTTTAGAGTGATATAATGCTCTGAGTTGCGAACTAACTTTAGGTCGATTGAGACGTTGCCTGTGAATGAGTTCAGCTCGAAAATGGGCTCAACTGTAATGTTGTAGACGAGTGGTTTGAGATGGGATGGTAAGACGATGGGAGCTGAGTATGTGCTCAACCAGGAGTGAGTATCTGGAAGATCAAAATCAGTGGAGAAGGTTTGATTTTGCATGGTGGAAGAGCAGATTTTGAGAGCTAGAACTGTTGAGAAGAAAGAGGTTGGTGGAAACAGGATACTGGAGAAGATATATAACAAGCTGGGAGAGGTTGGGCTGCAAATGCTCTGCAAGTTAATGGAGACACAGAGGAGCCATTGCTGCTGAAGTGATCTAGTGGAACTGAACTGTGAGACGAGAGGCAAATGGCAGCAGAGGAGGTTCTTCAAGCAGTTGGAATCCAGCTGGTGTTAATGGTTGGTTAATGGTGGGTTGGTGGATGAATTTCATCTAATATTAATGTTACAATGGTTGGATTTCAATGTGCATTTAAGTTACTAAATTTCCAGCTTAAACGTACTATATAAATCTGTATAACGAGACCAAGTCAGACCAAGTCAAACCAAACCAAATCAAATTAAATACAGTTTGGTTGAATGCAATTAATCCAAATGCAACTTCCACAAACCATCACCAAGATAATGAAGCACCTCGATTCCAATGCCCTTGTTGATGCTCTTAATCTCCTCTGTGCTCATGGCCAACTTTCCAATCGCCAAAGCATTTTCCTTTCCCTCAGCATTGACGACAACAATGCTGTCTCTGAGGAGATTGCTCTCTCTTGAGGGAAGATTTGCTCCCTTCGACGTCAAGCCTGGACACATAATGTTGGCACCACTGAGTACAAATTTGATGGCGCCTCTGTCGACTTGCACTGTGCTGAACAACTCTGGGTATTTGTGGACCACTTTCAACGAGGGAATGAGCTCGTTGAAGTACTCGTAGAACACAACTTGGCTGTTGATGGAGTAGAGAATGATGTTGTCCTCGCACTTGGTCTGGATTAGCTGGGACTTCTTGGGCACAAGATCATCGATAACTGCTTGCAACCTTGGATAGGTAGAGACTAGTTTTGACTTTAAACCTCTTTGCACAGAAGACTTTATATTGGACTTTGTGTGAACATCTGCCTTGGTGAATCTGAAATCAAGATGGTACAGATAAAGAAGAAGCAACAACCAATTCAATTAGTATTTGCAATCACAACCTCTAGATCATTTCTCAATAACGTAAACATACTTTTTAAACATAATTGGGGACTGTTGAATAGTTCTGTTGTGGGAAAGGCTCCAGTTATCAGCTAATTGTGTTGATCGGTTCAATTTTGCTCCAAAAAAAGGAAAACTGTATCAGAAAATGCAACGATGGAATTGCTGAGCTTGTCAATTGCTAATGTTATATACTATCTGATACCCAGTGCAAATTAACCAACTTCATTATATTCATCGCAAAATTTTCCCTTTTCCTGATTCGGCACGGAGAGAGGAAACTGCATATAATCCCAGCGTGCACAGGGGTTTGTGTATGCACACCCCGTGCTGTTTGAACGTAAAAGTCACGCTGTATATGCTACCCTGTTCCACTAGAAAAGGGTGCACTTTTGAGAGAAGAGTTTATTAATGGTGATGTTTTTAATTTAAGAAAGATACAAAAAATAATCAAGAATAAAATGAAATAAGGAAGAAAATGAAGTGAACTGAATAAAGGTACCATAGCATAGATCATTCAATGCTCACGAACGCTCACAACAGATAGAAACGTTGCTTCTTTTCAGCAAGTCTTCTGGGAGGTTGAACTTTGGCTCCAAACCAGTTATAGCGAAATCCAATTTCGTGCGCCAATATCTCTCCAAACCCAAGCATCATCCCATTGATAAAAGGAAGAAACAAGTTCACAGAAGACGAGGTGATGTACTTCCAGAGATTGAACCCACTTTCTGGGCCCAGCGACACCAATGACCTGGTGGAATAGTTGTCTTCGTGCCCATCCTCAATGCTTTCGCTGTTTCCACCACTGTTGGGAGAGCTGCTGCCGTTTTCCACAAGGGAAATGTAGTTTTGGAGAACGTCTGTGGGTGTGCTGCCTGTGCTGTCTGCCATTTTGTGGATCTCTGCAATTACTGTCGTGTCTGTGTTGGGCTTTGTTTCTCTTTATTTGCTGGGCTCAAAAACGCTGGAATTGAAACAGCACTGATTTGCTTCTCTTTGGGGTTTTCAGACCCGTCGCACTGGTTTTTCACTTTTTCATCAATTTTTTTTTTTTTTAACATTGTTATCTCGGATCAGAAAGAAAGACCTGTTATCGCTCCATACTCACTACACTGCACTGATATACCACATCCACAATGGGAAAGGAACCCAGAAAGAAGTTTGTCAAGCCTGCTAATCCAGTCGACCAGATATCGGCTCAGAAACATATAAACTCTGTCTTCAAATTCAACACAAAACTTGGTCAGCACATTCTCAAAAACCCCTTGGTAGCCCAGGGAATTGTGGATAAAGCCCAAATAAAACCCTCAGATATAGTGCTTGAAGTTGGCCCAGGTACTGGTAACTTAACAATGAAGATTCTCGAAAAAGCAAGAAGAGTTATCGCAATTGAAATGGATCCCAGAATGGCTGCTGAGCTAACTAAAAGAGTAGCAAATACTCCATTTGAAAAAAAACTAGAGATCATTTTAGGCGACTGTATTAAAGTCGATCTACCCTATTTTGATGTCTGTATCTCAAACACCCCCTACCAAATCTCCTCTCCTCTAGTATTTAAATTACTAAATCTACAACGTCCTCCAAGACACTCAGTACTAATGTTTCAAAGAGAATTCGCTTTGAGATTATGTGCCAAACCTGGTGACGATCTTTATGGCAGACTAAGTGCAAACGTTGCAATGTTTGCTAATGTCACTCATATAATGAAAGTTGGTAAAAACAACTTCAGACCTCCACCAAAAGTTGAATCATCCGTTGTAAGAATCGAGATCAAAAACCCAAGACCAAATATCAATTTCACCGAATGGGATAACTACTTGAAAGTCATCTTTCTAAAGACAAACAAAACTATAAGAGCCAATTTCAAAAGTAAAGCTGCAATCGATACTCTAGAGAAAAATTATAAAAGTTGGTTATCCATCAACAACGATGGCGATTTAATAATGGATAAAGATGCTCTTAAAAATCTAAAATCAACAGTTGAAGACAAGATAACAAATGTGCTAAATCAAACAGAGCTAGGTTCTGAAAGACCTTCAAAATGCGATCAATTAACCTTCTTAAAACTATTATACCAGTTTCACCAAGAAGGGATATATTTTTCTACTTGATTTATTATTGTTATTGTTGTTATTATTATTGTTATTATCATTATTATTATTATTGTTATTATTATTATATATACAAATTATAGATATATATTAGCTAAATGATAAAAAACAAAAAACAATATGATAAAAATAATATGATGAAAATTCTCTTGTAATCAATAAAAAATAAAATAAATAAAAACAAAACTTAAAAAATTTCAAATTTTACATCAAAAAAAAAAACGACAACACACCCGAATTTAAAAATTATAAAGAAATGATAAAGTAATAAGGAAAGTAACGCGAAAGCAATAAAAAAATTACAAATGAAACAATAAAAAGATTTGATTGTCAATTATAATTTAGTTATAATTTAATAACGATTTAGTAATAATTTAGTAATAATTTAATATTTTTTTTTCTCTTCTCTTTAATTGGTTAATAGTAATTAATAACAATTAATAATTATTTATTAAAATTAGTTCTTCTTTGAAGGAACAGAAGGACTAGAAAGTAATGGTTTACCTAAAGTTTTTCTTGCAATTGTTTTAAACTCAGTATAATAGTTTTTGATTTGAGGAGGAACCCTTGGATCAGCAACCAATGAATCAACTCTAACAACCCATTCAGATAATGTTTCTCTGCTGAAAACAGATTTTTCGTATCTCACTTTAATAAAGAAAAAATAAAGAATAAAATCTAACCAAGCAGACGATTTAAAAGTGAGTAATTTAAAAAACAACCAAACAAATAATATCAATTCAAAATTAGCAGCTAATCTTATTGATTTGTCATTATTAGTTCTAATGAAATTGGCAATGGTCTTAGAGATAGCAGAATCAGATTGAATATTCAATGCAGGGAATAAACAGGCTCTTGAATAGGTTAAAGTATGGAAAATTGAGAAAAAAATAAATGGAAACAATGCCAACGTGGTAATTGGTGAGAATAACCATAACAAAGCAGCATAAAGATATTGAACGTTATCATCATTTAAAATTTTTTTGACATTAAATGGCCCTGATTTGTAAGCTTGGAATATGATAACGCCAAAGGATTCAATCACTCCTAAAAAGAATAATCTATACCAAAATTTAGTCAAGGAATTGGACTTGAAGGACAGTAAATACCAAAAGGCACTAGTTAAAGTAATTATGTGACCTGATTAAAAGACCAAAAAAAAACAACAAAAAAACACAGAAAAAAAGAAAAGGTTAGTAAACAATGCACCAATCAAAACAAGGAATTTTATGTCAAACAGTAATTTTAATTAAAACATACCAGAAAACCATGCAAATTGAGCAGTCTTTGATGAAAAGCAAAAAAAAAAGGGATTTCAAGTTAGTAGCCAGTTCTGAAGCAGCAATTACTCATCGTGAAGAAGACACATACTTTTGCCAATGCAATTAAATTATCTTTGATAGTGGGTAAAGGTTGAGCTTGAGACGCCATAATGCAACAGATGGGATACAATCAGAAGGATGAACTGGTAGGAAGCAGAAAGAACAATTGCAAAAGAAGAAACAAAAGCTGATTGTATTGTTGGGGCTAAAGCAGTTTGCTTTCTTTCGTTGTTTTCTTTTCGTTGGCTTCGTTTTGCCTTGCCCTTTTCTACCGTTTTGGGTAGGGCCCTACAGTTACCGATTGAGAAAACTCAACACAAAAGGGCCCTCTATATGGGGCGCCTGCCGCATTCGGCGATTGTGCTGATTGTGCTGCTTGTGGTATTTCCACTCGTTGTATTACTCAGTGGCATTTGGTGCTTAGGTATTGAATAATTGTAAACTACCAGCTACTCGTCACCAGCACTGCCCAAGAGCGACAACGTCTCGCCATTGTTCAAAACCTGCCAAACATTGAGGCTCTTGTAGGTGAAAATACAGTCGTCGAACTGGCCCTTGGTGAATCCTCTTGAGACTATTCGGTTCTCAATTTCTTTGATTGGGATCTCAATTCTGCCCTCCTCTGATTCCACCATGCTCAATGCATACTCTCTGATGTAGTTGAATATCTTTGTGGTGGGAGAATTGTCTCCCTTGTCCATCTCTTCATCATCGTCGTCGTCTTGTTGTTGTAGAGAATTCTTTGACACTTTGATCAATCTTAAGGCTTCCTCAACATCTTCAATTGTTACCTCATTGTCAAATCTCAATCTTGCCAATGCTTGCGACAATCTTAATATAGCCAACAATGTCCTTGGTGTTGAATGCCCAAAATACCTTACACTTCCCTCATTTCTCTTACTTTCTTCCCTCATCCTAACATAATGGTTATTAACATAATTGGCTACTTCTCTAGATATAACCGGCCTAAATATTCTTGCTCTGCTGATAAACTGTCTCATCGTTTTTGAATCCAATGGCTCGAAATTCATTTCGGGATGACGATTGTGCATATGGACAAACGTAACATGGGCAGCTAATCTCTCATCATTTTCTCGGGAAGGGGTATCCAACATTAGAAATAATACATCAAATCTTGACAATAACGCTGCTGGCAAATTAATATTCTCAACTGGTGATAGTTTTCTATTATATCTTCCGTAAATTGGATTAGCTGCTGCTAAAATTGACGATCTAGCATTCAACGTAGTAGTTATTCCAGCTTTTGATATCGATATAGTTTGTTGTTCCATCACTTCATGAATTGCTGTTCGATCTTTTTCATCCATTTTATCAAACTCATCAATACAACAAACACCATTATCTGCTAGGACTAGTGCACCACCTTCAAGAATCATCTCATCTGTAACTGGATCCCTCATAACTGCCGCTGTTAAACCAACTCCAGACGAACCTCTACCCGTTGTATAAACACCTCTTGGTGCAATTTTACTTATAGACTTTAATAATTGCGATTTGGCTACACCAGGGTCTCCCATAAGACAAATATTAATATCACCTCTAATTTTCATACCATCTCCCATTTGTTTAGTAACACCGCCGACTAACAACAACAATAAGGCCTTTTTAACATCACTATGTCCATAAATTTCAGGTGCAATAGATTGAGCTAATCTATCGTAAAAGTTGCTCTCATGTCTAATTTTATTCAATTTGTTTTCAATATCTTCGGATAATTCGATATTGTCATAGCTTTTTTTATGTTGCTTGACATATTGTGCTTCCAAATATGTATCTGTTAATAATCCTGCTTTTAATGCTCTAAATCCTGTATACGGAGAAGGTAAATAAATCCCGGTGATATCAACACTATCACCTGGATTCAATGTACGAACTAAATCCCCATTAATATGAACAGATAGTGTTCTGGGAATATTACCAATAGGAACCTGGTTGGCTAGTTCTTGAATCTTAGCATCTTGAAATGCTGAAAATTTTGAAGCTCTTGTTGACATAAATAATTGTCCCTTTGATTGGTTTTTCCTACATTCATCAGAATTGCATTCTAAAAGTGGTTGAAATGTCCTTGAATTGACCTCTTGAAATATCTCAAATCCACATTTATCACAAGTATACGCATTCACTTTGATTGAAGGCTTCACGTCAGAAACTCTTGTTATAATACCCCGAACAGTTATCAATTTACCGATACAATTACCTTTGACTTCTCTCACAGCCAAAGCCTTTCCCTTACCATAATAAATATCGGTTAAAGGTTTAAAATAAAGAAAATAACGTCTTGTCAAAGAAGATGGAAACATATTATTCTCATTCTCTTGTGTACCATTAGCGTTATTAGTTCCAGGTATATTATTATTATTATTATTATTAGCAGTATTATTATTATTATTATTATTACCATTACCATCAGCCCCCAATAAACCATTAGCAATTAAATCGTCATCATTTTCTGCCTGTAATCTTTGATTTCTCAATTTTCTCTGATGTAATATAACATCTAAAACATCATCTTTATAACCAATATCAATTGTAGGTTCAGGCAATAGTTCATCAATTACTTGGGAAAATAACTCAATATAATGATAGGCATTTGAAACAACTTGATCCACTAAAGAATCTTTTCCAACTTGTGAACCAATTTTAAACGCATTAATCTTTTCGTAAGTCTTGATGTCGTCTAGTTCAATGTAAAAAGTTGACAATTCTCGATTTGAGATCTTCTGTAATAAACTCATGTATTTAGGACCATTCCCAACCTCTTGATCAAGCTCCATTGCATCTAGGAGTATATCATCGTCGTTCTTGAAATGTTCAATAAAATCTTTAATCTTTTCGCGAATGTCTTTGTAGTTTACATGGACCTGGATAGAAGGTAGAATTGAAGAACTTGTGGTGGCTGTTGCTGCTGTGGCCATTGTTTCAGTTGTTTTCGCTGAAAGCTGATTACTGACTTTGTTCCAACAACAATAAACAACATTTTCAATGCCCCAATCGGTTTGAGGTTGAAAAATAAACAAAACAAATCCGCCCAATCGAGTAATTCCCAAAATGGTAATCTGATGCCTTTTGACCCGATTTGGTTTCCGAGCTACTGAAGCTGAACTTTCGGAAATTTTTATAAATTGTATTGAAATAGAGCACCATAAACTATCATAAAAGAGTTTTTGAAACAAAACCAAAAGAATTAAAAAAAAATATGCAGAAACAAAAATGTAAAAATAATTTGAAAGCTTTTATGGTAAAAGAAAAAAGATAAAAGATAAAAGATAAAAGATAAAAAAATACAAAAACAACTATCTTTGTAAATCACAGATTGCTGCTTTATCAGTCTTAGAGTTATAAATAATGGCCCATTTTCCATGTCTATTGGCTTCTCTAGAAAGTGCAGTGTATATGTTACTTAAGTGGCCCCTGTAAGTCGCATTGGAAGCACCTCCTACCTTTCTCATCCATTCCTCTGACAGATCCAACGAGGTGATGCAGATCATATCAACAACAGAATCTCTGACATCCACAATGAAGACTGATGCCTTCGATAGCTCATCAAAAAGTGTTTTCACTTCACTAGTGGCCTTGAACAAATCTTTGTCAACTTTCCCTCGATTTTTTCGACCTTTCAATGCATCATTGACAATTGTTTCAAATTTATTCAGTAGAGTAGTCATTTGAGGCTCATCAAGTTCATGAAGCGAGTTGGAGAGTTCTGACAATGATAAGTCGTCTTGGACAACATTTTTCTTTTCATCCCTCACAGGAATAATTTTGGATTTCAAAACAGAGATCAATGTTTTTATATCATAATCATTTTCATTTCCATTTTCCAAGTCTTTAAGCCTATAAGGCTTGTATGTTGATTTTTGAGCAGTGCTAGATCCTTGTTGATGTCTAATGGAAACAACATTATTTGTTCCGTCAATTTTTGCTGCAGAAATTATATCATCAATAGTAGTGCAACCTCTCAATAAATCTGCTGAAATACCATTTTCCCATAATCCTGTTAACACTTCAGGCGCAATACTCAATGAGAATTCATCAGTTAAAACCAACACATCACATCTTTTTGGAACTAATTGGCTGCCGTTGTTACTTTTTTGGTTTAGATTAAAATTTCTCATGTTTGACTTGTAATAATTCTTCATTACATTGAATATTACTTCCCAAGAAAGATTAAACCCAACAGCATGAGAAGAAATTATTCTCGAATTTCTTGATTTAGCTAGGTTTGAAATCAACCTATCATATCGCCCTCCAGCTGCTAAAACTTTTTTAGTCATTAATTTGGATCGCTTTTCTTTTGTCTGATATATAATTTGAAACATTATTCCACCTTTATAGAACTTTGCACCATAGTTACTCAACGGGGAAATATAAACAGGCATACCAATTTTAAATAACTTTAAATACGATAATAATTTTGAAATGTATTGAAACGCATTATCAATTTTGTTCAAACTAGGACTATCAACCATAATCTTATGCAACCGTTTTTTAGCATTAAAAACATCAATTGAAAAATCATAAAGTTTGAGATCATTTAACACAGAAGTCGAAATGTTGAGTTGTGAATGTAGCTCATTAATAATAGCATCAATGTTTTTGGATATACCGAGAATTGATAACCGTTGTAATACAGCTGATCTTTTTGCTGGGTTGATAGACAAATGGTCAAAAATTGAATCAATGATATCAGAGTGGTTCAATATAATAGATACATTTTGCATTTTAAACGCCGGTAGTTTACTTATTATTTCATCTATCACCTTTAAGCATTCTGCATCATTGAATGGCAACCCACTTGAATCAATAGTAATAATATCAAAATCAATTTCCTTATATGTGAATGGTCGACCGCCAGCTTTATTCAGTCTAAACACTGATTCACATCTGAATAACTTTTGAATGGGTAATGTTTTTTTGGATAATAATTTGGCTAATGGCAATGTCAAATCATACCTCAATTGAAGTAATGATCCTGATTTATCTAAAACTTCATATATTTTTTGATTATCATATAAAGGGGACCTTGGAAACACTGTAGTATCGATCAAACTTTCCAAAGCACCATGTAGTCTGAATATTTTGGTAATCTCCTCAATTATTTGAGATTTTAATATAAAGTCAAACCCAGATAAATGAGTATCTTTAATGCTGTCAAATCTCAAGTCCCTTTCAATGTCGTAGGGCTGAGTGAAAAATGCTTCTCTTACTCTTTGTTGCCATGGAGCTTTGGGGTCAGTTAATTTTGATAGAATATCACGCATAGTATCATGTTGAAGACTTTTAGAAATAGGAATCTTATTCGATTTTAACAAAGTTGTTGCATCAGGTCTTTCATCAGGATTATGGCTTAATAACGACAAAATAATCTCCTTTTCAACTAATAATTTCTTTGAATTGAAAGATTTAGGAAAAACTACTTTTTCAGTTCTTAAATCTCTTAAAATTCTAACACGTTCCATTGCAGTACTGAATTTATAAACCATTTCAAAAAAAATAATTCCTAATGAATACATATCGACTTTTCTATTATAGGTGCTGCCATCTGCCACTTCATTTGCACTGTACATTACGGTTCCAACATCAGAAGTCATATCTTCAAGATTCAATGATTGTTTAAAGCCCCCACTGTTTGAGCCAGAATGCACCACATTTTTTGCTAAACCAAAATCACCAATTTTGACATTTTCATTTTCATCTATAAAGATATTCATCGGTTTTAAATCCCGATGTATAATGTTTTGTGAGTGTATATGTTCCAAACCTTCCAAGATTTGAGTAAATAGTTTCCAATATTTTTCACTATTTCGGGGCAAGTCTTCATTTTCAATCAAATCCTTCAATGTTTTCTTTTCACAATATTCCATTTGTATATACAAAATAACTCCTTTCACTCTTTTATTTTTCTTTTTTGAAGAAATGCTTTTAAGGCTATCTTCTTCTGATCCATGATCGCTCCCAAAAACAATATTAGACATGCTGCTATTAACATCTTCTTCAAAAGTGATATGATCATATTTACTATCATTGTCATCAAATTCAACTGAATTTTCATCATCGCTGTTAAAATCTTGATCAGAATCATCAGTAAAACTTTGATCACCAATGGAATAAGCATGAGAAGGTGGCTTTTGCACAGAATTGGAAACAAAATCCAATGTAAAACTATTGTCTCTACTATTAAAAGCAGAGGGCTTTTTAAGCTTTTGTTTATAGCTGGAATCAGAGTCTTCATCAGATTCAGACCCAGTCTCAATAGCACTTTCGTCCAAATAAAGGGGAATTTCTTCCATCCAAGCTGTATAATATCTAACAACATATTGATGATTTAATCTAGAAATCAATAAAACTTCTGTTAAAAATGAATCTTCAAGAGACTGTTCTCTAATCTTTTTTATTGCGTAGAACATACCATCAAGATGATTTCTTGCTTTTACAACTTCACCATATGCACCACGACCCAATAGGGCGACTTCTTCAAAATCATTTTGATAGCGGGAATATCGTGGCATAGAAGATATTGATGATGAAGATAGATAATAACCACTTCCTCTTCTAGAATTTTGTCGAGAAGATGTTCCTGACAATAAGTTTTTATTATTGTGGCTAAACAGAGCATTAAAACTATTCTCATTTTCCATACTAAAGTCATTTCTCAAAAAAGTGCAAGTGAAACATTCTATAGGAAGTAGTCTTTTCCTTGGATTTTTGTGAAAGACTTTGTTTAAAAATTCATCAACAGTTGAATCCAAGTTTTCTGCTGCTAAATATTGAACAGGATTTGAATAATTTAAATAAACATTGATGCCACTAATCATTTGAACAAATGTACAACCTAAATACCATACGTCTGTTTTTCTTTGAGGTTGAGCTTTAGGTCTATTTTGAAGTTCTGGAGCTTTCCAAACAGAGTTGATATCATTTTTTAGAACAATTTCAACTTTATTTTCTGAATCAATTAAATCATTGGGATGTTGATTTAACATTTGGATTAATCGATAACCATAACATCCATGAGCTAATTTAATGGTTGGTAAAAAATTTCCCTCATTAGAACCTAGATAGACTGAATTCAAACAAAGAGCTTTATGATTGTGACCACTTTTTTGTAAAAAATCTACGACTTCAATCAACTGGATTAACCAAGATCTTGCCAATTTAAGATTGATAGTGTTGGTGGTTAATAATAAGTCATATAGGGTTCCTCTAGGAATGTAATCAGTTAAGATTTTGACCTTTAGATAATAGTTATTGATAGAGTTTTGATTAGGATTTGTGGAGTAATCTATTCTTTCGATTTGAACAGCATGAGTAGATAAGAGACCATTATTTTTCAATTTTGCTACGCTCTCCAATTCGACTTCTAGTATTTCAATTTCTTTTTTACCTGAGCTTGTAGTCCAGTATTTATTTATTAAATTGATTTCGGTTAGCATGAAGATTAATTCTTCGTCTTTGACAACAAATGTAGAAGATGTAGCATTTTTAATGTATTTATAAGGTTTCACAATATACTGTTTGCCAAAGGATAATAGATCTGAAGACTTTATCAGTATAAGGTTATTGACAGCTTGAAATTTTATATATTTGTTTTTAATTTCAATTTGTTTGTTGAAAACTTTTACTGAACCATTTTGAATTAAATCTTTTGGTGGTAATAAAATTGAGTCATTTGATTTTAATTGATCCAAAAGTTTCAAATCATCCTTTGAGTTATTTAGAGAAGATAAGTTTGAAATTTTTAATTCGTCTTCTCTCATTTTTTTCAAGTATTGTTTCTCCAATTCTTTATTTTTTTGAGACTGGATTTCAATTTTTTCCAATTCTTTTTGTCTTTGTAGTTCCTTGTTTTTTAAACGACTGATTCTTTCTTCTTCTAGTGAAGATGTTTTAGCTATATCTTGATATTGATCCAATAATTCTTTTATTTCTTCTGCAATATCAAAAATCATCTGTTGACCCTTTAGTTGGGTTGCTTTTTTGTGGATGGTTTTTTCAATTGATTTGATTTGGGAGGCTAGGACATTTTTGGGAGTTATTATTTTGAAAATTGGAATGGTTAGTGGATAGGTTGATGTCATTTGAACCTCCAAGATCAAAGATAAGGTTGGATCTCTATCGCCATGAGATTTCAAAAAGATTTGAAATCTTGGAGGAGGTAGTTTATTCCAAGCAGTTGATTTAACGGGGTTGTTTTTGAAGTCTTCCATATATATTGATTTTAAAGTCCCAAATTCTTCATCTTGAATTTGTTTATACTGTTTTTCCATTGTGAAAGATTATGTAGAGTGCGTCGAGTCGTTGATGGTGGTGCTCGCTAAATTTGTTCATGAATATGAGTTAGGAAAGAATGCTTTCATTGAAATAAGGAATATGGTGTTAAATTAGTACGGGATATTCTTTTGGAGAGATAAAGCTAATTGTTGGATAATCTTTTGTCTTGGAAAGTGTGAATTAAGGTAAATTTGCACAATGGAGAAATGACACTTTGAGGACATTTTTTGACTTTTGATTTTGGCGAGGCAAAAAGAAAAATGAGGGAAAGAACCAGCGGTGGGGGACGGATTCCCCTTTTTGGATTTCTGAGCAGATTTAGCATCTGATTAAGACTGTTGAGGTGAGTTGTTTGAGAAGTGATAGGAGTTGTGTTTATTGGAGAAAGAGATCTATTGGAAGCAAAAGAGCTATAGGAGAAGTGTTTGTGAAAAGAAAAAGGGGCAAAATATGTATATAGGCACAAGAAATCGATATTAATTTGCATGACATGATGTGAAGTAACCAAGGAAAAAAAGAGACAGTGATAAAGAAATAAAAAGATAAAATATATGTATGTATGGATCTAGCAAGACAGAGACAGAAACAGAATAAGAAAAAACAATAAAAATATAGAGGAATAGAAAAAAGAAAAAAAAAAGAAAAAAAATAAGTTTTCATTAGTGAATATTAAGCTAAGTAGAATATTAAGATAGAGATGTTATTGAGGTGATTTTGATTACCAAAACCTCCATTCAGGGTTATTTTCAATACCAATGAATTTTTCAATATTTATTTTTGATTCGATTGAAATGAAACCATTTGGAGTGAAGTGACTTAAATCAACAGTTGGATCATTTAGATTCGTGGATGGATTAACACTTGGATACATTAGACCAACACCTTTACCGCCTAAAGTTGTTTCGAAAGCTTCAAAACCTTCGTTTTGATATTGGTTTAAAAGGGAATCAATTTTGGAGGTATCAATATCATCTTTCAAGAGCGTTATAGCACAACCACCACCTCCAGCGCCTGTTAATTTGGTTTCGCCAAGATCTAATTTATCAGCTAATAGTTTCACTTTTTCTAAAGAAGGATGAGATACACCGAGGGAGACTAATAAACCATGGTTAATTCTGAATAAATCTCTTAAACGATTTTTGGAATCGTTATCGAAAAAAGGTCTGATTATTAGATTATAAGCTTCTTTGGTTAGGCTTTCGATTGCATCTAAGATTGAGCCAGATACTAAAGGAAATTGGTTAGTTAGGGAGGCTACTTTTGATACTAAATCAGATGTCTTTCTTGGATGAGCAGTATTAGTTAATAATAATTTCAAGGTTGGGAAGTTTTTAATTAGGGTTTTGACAGAGGGAATTGAGGATTTCATTCTTTGAAACATAATGGCACCGCCGTGACAAGCAACAGTGTTATCAATACCTGATGGATTACCGTGGATACATTTTTCAGCCATAAAAGACCAGGAATCAATAAAGGAGGAATCAGTTGAGTTAGTTATGGAGAAATCGTCATACTGCAAAGTGGGAGGACTGACATGAGTACCTAAGATTGATAACGAAGCGGCTAAACAGACAGCCATTGAAGCAGAAGAGCCCAAACCGGCGCCAATGGGCAAAGTTGATCTGATAGTGAAAGTACAGGCAGGAGTGGATTTGTTTAATAAAAAAAGATAGAGGTAAAGAAAGGCATAAGCCGAATTATAGTGAATTGGGTTAGTGATATCATAGATAAATTCGGATAATTTTGATACAACTTCGGGAATTAAAGATTCTGTTGGTTTTGGTCTAAAGACTGGTGTATTATCGACGTTATTAGATGGAATTATTGACCAAGGCAAATCAGAGATTTTCCAAGAATGAGAAAAGTCGATATCGGGCAAGTCTAGTTTGATGAAGTCTTTATCTTTATCTCCATTGGGAGAAACTAATAGATAAGTTCTTAGGGATACAGCGGCAGCAATAGCAGGCTTTTGCAAGGCAGAGAAAGAAAATGGGGGGGAGGGAAAAAAAGTTAGTACAAAGTGAAAAATTATGATTAAGTTTCGATTAAAAACAAGTGGAAGAATATACAAGGAACGAATATGAATAATTAGCAAGGAGTAACAAGACAAAAAAACAGAGCTAATAATTGAGTAGTTTCGAAACGCTGGGAATGAGAGAGAAATACATACTTTTCCATATACAGCAGCATGTTCACCAAAGATGATGACCTTTCCAGGTGCAGAAACAACGAAGGACTTTTCCATTTACAACAAGAGCAGGGACATTAAAGGGGCAAGAGGACAAAGCACAGCGTGAAGTGGAGCGGGAAGCAGAGGAGGAAAAAGAAGAAAAAGAAAAGAAACAGAAGTCGAGCGAAACGCCTATATATAAGAGATGCGATGATCTGGAGGAAGTTCTTCACAAGAAGCACAGCTGAGCGTAAACGACACAGCGCGCTGAAGCCTTCCGCGGCAAAAGCGCAGTCGTATAGCAACAGCAGCGTGAACCCGCGGGAGTGGTCCATTGTGCTGCCTGAAAGTGGAAACCACAAAAACAGCAAAAAATCTCCCAGGGGTGAGTCGAACACCCGATCTCAAGATTACTTTTGTTCAAAGTGAAACATTACAGTCTCGCGCCTTAGCCAGCTTGGCCACTGGGAGGATTTCTACTATTTCGTATTTTTAATATATTTATCTAAAGTATTATATAGTAATATAGCAATATAGCAAGATCCTAAAATCCTAAAATCCTTTTTATTTGATTTGTGTAGGTTTTCTTCCTGTAAATTCAGGTTTTCCTCCACCTTGCTTAGAATTAAGGAATTGGTTTGGTTATATATTAAACAATAGTCTATAGCTACTATATAGGTCTACGAGTCCCATATGGCTGGCCCGCGGTCACAGAATATTAATAATGTTAATAATAATAGTAATATAGCTATGTTTTATTTATTGTATAAAAGACGTTAAATTATATAGAAAAACAAATTTTAGGTCAGTGGCACACTCATTCTACCCATCATATGGCAAAATGTTGACTTTTGGGCCCAAGGGAGTGATTCCATAGGGGTTGATAGCAGGATGGGACTTGGTGTAGTGGAACTTGATGTGGTCGAAGTTGGTGGTTTCTTTGAACCCGGGAATCTTCCAGTAGAGATATCTGACCCATTTATGGAGATATGAAAAATCATATCTGATCATACCCAAGTTACATTTGAAATGTTGAACGTAGATAGCATCAAATCTGATAATGGTAGTGTACAATCTAATATCTGCTTCTGTTAATCGATTACCAACCAAGTAGAACCCGTTTTTCTCACTATTTTCCTCACCATTCTTGGTATAATTCTCCTTTAAGATTTCTTCAACTTTACCTAGATACTTGAATAAGTTTTTGACATGAGTTTCATAGACTTCTTGTTTTGTTGCAAAACCACTCTTGTAAACGCCGTTATTAATATTATCGTAAATCCATTCATTTAGCTCATCAATCTCATCCTTCAATTCATCCGGATAGAAATTCAATTTCTTTTGAGCATCACTCAATTCACTGAATGAATTGAAATCGGTATTGAACATTCTAATAATCTCGCTGCTTTCATTATTAACTATAGTTTCGTTTTTTTTATCCCACAAAACAGGAACAGTAAATCTGCCATCATAGTTTGAATTGGCCTTTAAGTATAATTCTCGAATTCTTCTAAACCCATAAATCTCATCGGGTGTTGCTCCCTCGCATTGATCATCCTTTGAGGGAAATCTCCATCCTTTGTTGTCCATATGCCAATGAACCACCGACACTCCAATCAATGGGACTAGGCCCTTCAATGCTCGTACAATCAACGTTCTGTGTGCCCATGGACACGCATAGGAGACGTACAAATGATACCTGTTCTTCTCTGGCAAAAACTTGGAGCCTGCACTACTGGAAATGAAATCTCTGAACACACTCGCCTTTCTCTTGTATTCCCCAGATTGGTCTGCGAATGCTTGAATGTTCAACTTGGGATTGTTTGGGTTGCTGCTCATCTTCGATAACTTCTGGTCCGTCAATTGCAATTGAGCTCTCTCTTGTTAATGGTAAATTCGTGTATAACAGCAATTCAACAAAATCCTCAACCACAATCTCCAGTTCTCTCCCTACCACTATTTATACTCCCTTCTCCAAAGCAAACCATCCTCATTTTGTGCTCTGATTTGTCAGCCCAAAAGAGCCTTCTTCCACATCGCTGGTCTTGCTTTCAAACCTAATCCTAATTTTTATTACTAACATATCACCAGTGCAGGTACAACGGCTTGTGCACTTTTCCTTACGTTTTCACAACAGATATCATCTATTGTGAGTTTTAACAAATGCAACATATTTTGAATTTCTAACTTCTCACTGGCCAGAGCATTAAAAACAAACGTGGGTTACCTGAAAAGCTAAGATAGGACAACCATGGCTACTCCACGCAGTGCACAAACTGTTGTACCTGCACTGGTATCAAGATCTGGTCAAGATATAAAGAAATTATAGAATTATAAAGATATTATAAAGATATTATAAAGATATTATAAAGACGCTTTCTATCTTTTAAAGCACAATTATCTAAGAAATAATAATAAATTACTAATGGTATGATCATTCACCTCTGTCCTCTTTGCTTTGCAATGCTTTACTAACCCATTTCAGTCTGACAAACTAAGAGATCAACAACTATTCGACCATCTCAAGAGTCGTTATATTGGTGTTGGTGATGCCGATACAACTCAAGATGAGTGGATATCAAACATCAAAAGAGACACTTATTCCTCGTTTGCCTCCCATCCAAACCTACTATACTACTACTCAATTTCTACAAATCAACCAAAGGCCTTAACTCAGTTTCATTTCATTAATAAAATGATCGATCCAATAAATAAGAAAAGTGAAAATGAAAATTCATAAATAAATAAACAAATATATATTTATCGTACCTTTAATTTAGGCGGTTGGTTCTGAAATCCCCATACTTTTCAAAAACTCTATCGATTTAATTCTCATTTCTTCTTTGGTTTGCTTGTTCCATTTCAATTCTTTCCCCATTATTTCGATCGTGCCATCGATCGCATTTAATGATTCCTTTGCATTTAAAAATGCTAATCTAGTTCTTCTGGCTAGGAAATCAATTGGCGTCCTTGCATATTCATATTTAATTGAATATTTCAACTCGGCGACTGTAAATGGTAAATCAAATTTTTCATATGAGGCCTCTTTATTAATATCTTTACCCACTAATGTAATCGGCAACTGATTTTCTTTATTCTCTTTATAAATCTCCAAAATTATTGGCGCTCGTGATCCATAGTTTGTAGATAAATGCTCTGCAATATCATTTGGAATCGAATATTTGTGAATCAATTTAACTGGTAGTTTACTATCGAAATTTTCTCCTCCTGACAACACAATTTTCTTGGTTTGGCATTCTTTAATCAATCCTATATTATTAAATTTAAAATTCTTAACAACATTATCAACTGTTACTTCGGCCATTTCACGATATGTTGTCCATTTTCCTCCAGAAATTGTAATCAATCCTGTCTCAGACTTGTAAATTAAATGATTTCGAACTATACCTTGAGTAGAATTCTCTTCTCCCTTTTTAATCTTTGATGGATCACGAACTAGTGGTCGAACTCCACTCCAAGCCGATAAAACGTCTTCTCTTTTCACTGGGAAATTGATGTAATGTTGCAACTCATTTAAAATATCTTGAATCTCTTCTTCTTTTGGTATTGGGTCATCTGGAATCTCTTTTATAGGTGTATCTGTTGTTCCTGCTAATACTTTTCCTTGCCAAGGTAAGAAAAACATCACTCTACCATCTGATGTTGAAGCATCTAGTAATCCCATTTTTTTAGGACAATAAAATTCAGGCAAAATTAAATGAACTCCAGATGATGGAACAACCATTTTGGGCAATTGTTTAATTAATGGTGGTAGTCCATTGATATCGTTATCCATTTCCAAGATCTTATCACTAAATGGACCTGTTGCATTGACAATTGCAGTTGAATTGATATTATATTCCTTACCGGTCTCAGCATCTACAACTTTCACTCCAATGACCTTATTTTCTTCGTTTTTAATCAATTGTTTAACCTCCATATAATTCAAAACAGTAGCACCCTTTTCAATAGCAGTTAAAGCTAAAGTCGAATTCATTCTGGAATCGTTGAATAGCCCATCATGGTAAACTAAACCAGCTTTTAAAATCGAGCCATCTAGCATTGGTGCAACTTCTTGCGCAGCATTTGATGATAAAAGATAACTGCTTTTCAAATTTTGTGATCCTGCAAAGAAATCGTACATTTTAGTTCCAATATAAAAATATGGAATTTGCCAATAATTGTAAACTGGAATCATGATGGGTAAAATTGTAGCTAAATGTGGGGCAGTCCTTAAAATATTCGATCTTTCATTCAATGCTTCGATAACCAAATCCAATTGGTCCTTGGATAATTGCCAAAATGCCTTTTCCAAGTATCTCACACCACCATGAGCCATTTTTGTTGATTTCGATGAAGTACCACTAGCAAAATCATTTTTCTCGAATAATGCAACATTAAGACCTCTAGTTTGAGCATCTAGTGCAGTACCGGTGCCTGTTGCACCACCACCTATAACTATTAAATCATAATACGGAGTCGAGCTCAACTTGCTCAATAGATCTGATCTTGATAATGGAGGAGGTCTTGATGTGGTTAAAGAATCTAAAGTTGAAGGTTTATGGATCTCGTCATTTAATATTTTATTGTCATTAATTAAAGAATTAACCAAATAACCAGAACTAACAAGTGAAGCTGTTAAAATTCCTGTTTTAACAAAACGTTTTGATAAAATTGAAGCCATTTTGCTCTTATTTTCTTTATGTGTATATATAAAAAAAGAAAAGAACTAATGAAACAGACAAAAAAATTGCTTAATTTCTAAATGTAATAAAAAATAAGCAATTTTAACAATTTATAAAACCAAATTGATAGAAAATAAGCCTTTGAACTATATCCTGCTGTATTTCAACTGTTGATAAACCTGAGAAACTTTTAAAGATAATATATATATATACTATTATATCTTTATCTTTGCCCAAAATAGGTCTATTATTTCCTTGTGATTAAAAACCAAGCAATAGTTGAAAAGTTAAAAAAAATAGCTAAGGAGGAGGTGAGGATTTTGGAAAGCTGTGAGGAATACTGTTTTACAATAGAACCAAGGAAAACACCAGGGAAGAGACTAAAAAAGCATTTATATATTCACTACAGGTATTATTTCAGATTTTCTCATCGATTTTATCGAGATTGTGAGTGAAAAAAATTGAAAAGCGAGTCCTATTAGAGAAGGTTAGGAAAAGGCTCTGTAAATGGAATTTTCGCTCCATTGAACTCTTCATAAATGGATACATGTGGTTTTTTTTTCCTTTTTTGATAGAGAAATCAGAAATTGGACAGTGTTTTTTGTTTCAATTTGGCAAGAAAAAGAATGAAATAAGAGTGAGACATTTATTGGGTTCATAGTCGTTAAATATAAGCTACAAGAAGAGGGTGATGTATGAACAAAAGAATACACAAAGAGAAGAAGGAGAGAAAGATAGTACAGACAAAGGGAGGGCAGGTTATTTTACACCACTGGAGGATTTGATCAAGCTGTAGTAGAACTTGATCAACATGATATCGATGAGTCCACTTTCTTTCAACACACTCACTTTGTAGAGCGAGCCAAGGGGATACTTGAGGGAGATTGATACTATGGGAAGCTCGTGGCTGATGAGTTTATTGATATTGACATCCTTTTTATTTATTAGCTGGTTATTGCTGTGGTTTTCATTAGAGTCGCTAAGTAGTTTGTTGTTGTGATTGTTGGTGTTGATTATCAGATTATTCGAGTTTGAGTCGTATTTTGAAATATTGTTCAAGTTGTTTTGGATTTGTCTTTTTTGGTTGATGTATGCCACAATGGGTTTCAATTCTTTTAAAGTGACAAATGGTTCACCTAGTGAGGTCATAGGTACGTTTGAAGGTAGAATTGCCTTTGGGTTGTTTAGCTGGATATTTAGATCAATGTTGATTTCAGTGTCATATATCAAATTATTGTTGATGTTGTTGATAGCGGTTTGGTTATTAATGGTGGCATTATTATCATTTAATATTTTATTAAAGAATTGATTTTTAAATAGTGATATGATTAAATTTTCATTATTTGTCTTTTTGAAATTAGATATCTTTTCATTGTAGTTGAAGGGGAAAGAGATGTCACATATTATGTCAGCTTTGCCATCTATTAACCAGTTTAATTTGTTCTCTAGTAAACCCTTTGTTTTCAAATCAATTGAGTCTAGTCTTAATCTGATTGTTTTATCATAGTTATTTTTAGAGATATTAGAGTTGATATTGATATTGATATTGTTATTGTTATTGTTACTGGTATTGGTATTGGTATTTTTATTGATATTATTGATATTGCTATTGACATTGCTATTGCTATTGTTACTAATATTACTATTATTGTTATTACTATTTAAATTATTTAAATTATTTAAGTTATTTAAGTTGTTTTGATTTTTATTATTTTTATTGGTGTTGAATTGTTTTTCATGGATAGTGAATAAAGAGTCATTGATCGAGCCTGAACATGATTTGCAATTTAAGAAATCAGTTAGTATCCAGTTTAGTCTTAATCTGTCTAATTGTAAATTGAAAAAGGATATCTTGGTTGGGTTTCCGAGGTTTTTGAAAGTATCTTCATTTTTATTCTCTTTATTCTGTTTATTTTTGTTATCCCCATTATTCTCGTTATTCTCATTAGTATTGTTTTTAATGTTGTTATTATTTGAACTATTACTTGAGTCATATACATTGATATAGGAGTCTATTATACTAATTTTTTCAAATTCATAATTTGAGTCTTTGAATAAGTAGTCAACCAAATAAGCATCATTATTTGGAGGATGATTATGATTATGAGTATAATTATATTTATAGTTATAGTTGTAATGATTTTGAATTAAAGAGTTTGGTAATTCGAAATTACCAGACATCCCGGATATTTGAATATCGTTGATTAAGCCCTTTCCATGATACCATTTTGAAAAAGATAAGGAAATGTTTAGTTCTTTTATATTGAAATTGACATTAAAATACTTTGTGTTTTTGGAGATGATGAAGACATTTTTAAAGGATAAATTGTTTTTCTGCCAGTTTGGCGTAATGACCTGTTCGTCGAATTTGAATATCAAGTTGTTTGAATTATGGTAACCATTAATTAGTAAATTTCCAATAAATTTCATGATTTTGGAATTTACAGATATAGGTAAATTCAAGTAGTTGATTAGATATAGGATCAAGGAAAAGAAAGTGGTGGTACCTAGAATTATCCATAGAATGTTTGATAGCAAAAACCATGAAAAAAATGCTGATATATCGTCAACGTTAAAGGGTCTGTTTTGTTTAATTAGATACCATTTCAAATTCAATATGAACCGATTATTGTAGTTTTCCCATTTTTTCAAAAATTCCTTTCTGTTTTTGGGCTGAACATTGTATAAGGTGTGGGATATCTTGGTATGAGTGTTGTTATTGATGGACAGATTTATGTTTGATGGAAGCGAGTTGGGAACAGTCTTTTGTTTGATCTTGTGGATTGGATTGCTATCAACAGTTTTCTTTGAAGCGAGATCTAAATGGTAAAAACGATGAGCATTAGGTCGTGTGAGCCTCCTATCAAATAAAAAGCTGGTGCTCCTTGCGAGGAATCTGGACATGGTGCTTAGCAGGTAGATAAAACGCCCTCTTTGCTGTAATTTTGTAGCTGTGTTCTGGTCAATTGTCTCGAACAAAGCAATTCATTTTAGAACTGATTCTATTTCACAGCTTCACCTCCAGCTCGATGCCTTCTGAAATGATAAACGATTAATTTTCACCCACTGAGAGAAAGTGTTTTGAACCATACTTCCGGAAGACGCACGTGCATGTCCAAAACATGTAATGTACATTGATGCAATCATCCAGCAACCCCGCGTTTGGGAACAGTGGGTTTCATGCAGCACGTGTCGAATCTCCCGCAAAGCTGGCGGAGCTGAAATTGGAGCCTGAGGTTGTAGGCGAAAGAACTGGAGGTTGTGGTGTCTATTGCTGTTTTCCATTGCTCTTCCTCTGCTTCCTCTGCTTCCTCTGTTTTCTCTGCCCACTTCAATTCCCCTGTTTACTTTTGCAAAGTGTCTGACTCCCAATCCCACTCTTACCAGCTGCTCTCCAGAGAAAAGATGAACCGATTGAACTTTGGCTTGGACAGCTTTCCCAAGGCTAAGATACTATTGCGATGGAGAGTAACCGATGCTTTGTTCATAATTCTTATAATGCTCCTCTACGGGCTATTTTACAATCTACCCCCCTTTGAAAGACAGTTTTTCATCAACGACCTAACCATATCTCATCCTTTCAAAGAACATGAGATCGTCCCCAACAAAGAACTCTTCTTCTACGCTGCGTTTACGCCTTTTTTCTTGTTGATAATATCCAGCTTGATCATAACTCCCAAACATCGTTTCTATGTCACATACCTAACGCTTTTGGGCTTTGTTTCTTCCATTTTGTTCACCAGCTTCTTGACCGACATCTTGAAGAACTGGATTGGCAGGCCCAGACCTGACTTTATATCCAGATGCGATGTCACTTCAACTGCTCTTGAAAACGTCCTATACACTGCCTCCCAGGTTTGCCAAACAGAAGATTTAGAGAAATTGAAAGATGGTTTCAGATCTTGTCCCTCTGGCCATTCCAGCATAAGTTGGGCAGGCCTAGGTTATCTATCTCTTTGGCTCTTGGGCCAAACCTGTTCAGCTCACCATGGCACAGGTCTTTGGAGAACCTTGATCTCTATCATTCCAACCATTATCGCTACCTTGATCGCTTTATCAAGAACTCAGGACTATAGACATCGTTTCTCAGATGTCACCATCGGTAGCTTAGTCGGCGCTCTTATAGGCTACTGGTCCTACAGAAGATACTTTCCATCCATCAAATCAAGATTCTGCTACATGCCAACCCAATTGATCGTGGAAAACAACCTTTCTTCCAATAATTATCTTCTACACGAAAACGAAGATTTCGAAGATGGTTACCATTTAATCTCGACCCAAATTCCTGCAGAACCTGATCTAGAAAATCAACTGCCTCACAATTACAATCAATAATCAGTCACCAATAATCAATCCAAATCCAACTCACTTCCACAAGTGATCCTGTGTCTCGTAGTTTCTTTTCAATTTTGTTGCTTGTTTTTTATCCAATCCAATCCAATCCACTCAGTTCTCTTCACTTCTGCTTATCCTCCGGCTTTCCCTCTTCCTTTGTCTATTTTATAATTCTTATATACTTTTAAAAACAATCTCTTTAATCGATTCTTCCTCTTATTTTCGCCCTTTAACTCTTTTCCGCACGTGCAATGTAAACAATAAGTTTTTTTTGTTCCGTTTCTAAAATTATTATTGAAATTTTTCACACATAAAAGCAAAAAAAAAAAAAAGTATAAAATAAAAAATCCTTTATAGCTTTGTTTTTTTTTTGTCTTCTTTTCAAATTGATTAATTCATAAATTGATTCAATTCATTTAATCTAATTTACAACCATTTTTTTCCCCATTCCTAGTATATATTCACATCATGTCCAATTTATTGCCTCTTGCTACTTTCAACCTAGCTATAAAGCCATTCACACCAGTTCTTGCTCTCCAAGAAAATGAACCAGTCACTGTTCACTTAACTTTAGCTGCAATTGATCCTGAAGCTGTTGATGACAAAAACGATCCTTCTACTTTACGTCTATTAAAAAGATCTACATACGGAGACGAAAGTGATGATGAACATGATCATGATCATCACCACCACCACCACCATGATGATGATGATTCCGAAGATGAATTAGATAATATCTCAAAAGACGGCTCCAAATCTGAATCTGAATCTGAATCTGAATCTAATTCTAATTCTGAATCTAGTTCTGGTTCTGGTTCAGACTCTGAATCAGATCTTGATGACGACGAATATGAAGAATTTGTGGTTTGCACTTTATCCCCAAAACATCAATACCAACAAACTCTTGATTTCACAATCAACCCAGATGAAGACATCACCTTTGTCGTCACCGGCTCTTATTCAATTCATTTAACGGGTAATTATATTGAACATCCAGCTAATGAAGAAGAGTCCGATTCTGATGATTCTGATGATTCAGATTATGGAACAAGTGATGAAGATGAATACGATTTAACTCCAGATGAAGACGAACTTTATGCTAATGATTTCCTTGAAAAATTAGAAAACTCTTCTGATGTTGAAGGCAAAATTGAAGAATTGGTTGACGAGGAAGCAGAACAAGAAGCTCAAAAATCAATTGAACCAAAAGAAAAGAATAATAAAAAATCTAAAAAAGAAAAGAAAAAAGAGAAAAAATTAGCCAGAGCTGATCAAAAAGCTGATCAAAAAGCCGAAAAGGAAACCGAAAAGGAAACCGAAAAGAAAGCCGAAAAGAAACTAGACTCTCTAGTTGAATCTCCTAAAGAATCTCCTAAAGAATCTCCAAAGAAATCTAAAAAAGAAAAAAAACAACAAAAACGTGCTGCTGAAGAAGAAGCTAAAGAAGAAGCCCAACCAGCTAAAAAGGCTCAAAAAACCAAAGAAGAAGAAAAAAGCGTAAAATTTAATAAAGAATTAGAAAAGGGTCCATCTGAAAAAAAAGAGAAAAACATCCCCACCAAAAAATTGACAGGAGGTGTTGTCATTGAAGATCGTACCGTAGGAAAAGGCAAAACTGCTAGACTTGGAAACAGAGTCAGTGTTCGTTACATTGGAAAATTAGATGATGGTAAAGTCTTTGATAAAAATACTTCTGGTAAACCATTTTCTTTTCGTTTAGCTAAAGGCGAAGTTATCAAAGGATGGGATATCGGTATTGCTGGCATGGCTGTTGGTGGTGAAAGAAGAGTTATCTGTCCTCCAGCAATGGCATATGGAAACCAAAAGATTCCAGGCATCCCAGCCAATTCCAGATTGACATTTGATGTCAAACTTATCTCCATTAAATAAATGCTGCAGAATATTTTTCGTAATTTTAATTGATTATTTACTTATCCATCCTTTTCTTCGATGTTTGTAGTGGTGATTATCTTCAATGCTAATAAAAATGAATAAAAACAAATAAAAAAAACTATTTCTATTCTATATATAACGTAGTTATACCTCTGATCTGCTTGATTTCGACATTCTTTTGTGAAATTCTTTCACTTTTTTGAGATTCTTTCACTTTGGTTTTTTTAAAACCAACACAGTGGAAACAGCGATTTTGAAAAATGAACATTTACTGGCGTTTTTAAACAATAACAACAATAATAACAATAAAAAGTGTTATCGGTTAAACAGGTATAATCAAAGCACTTACAATGTCGAATACACTACCTTCTGCTAGTCAATTGTTTTTGGACTCCAACAGTGTACCTAATTTAAACAAGAATAGTAATGCACCAACCAATTTCAGCACTCCAAGTAAAAATATCTTACTAATAAAGAATCAAAAGACCCCAAGGCTTTCACCAGTTATTTCAACACCCAGATCGATTTTAAAGAAGTCAAGACCATTAAACATTTTGAATACCAAGGGTTCTTTCAAAATAATTGGAAATGACAATGCAAATGGGAATGCAACTTCAACTCCTCATCCGTTATCGAATCAAACTAACTTATCGGAATTGAGTATTTATTCCTCAAAAGAGCAAGATCAAGATCAAGATCAAGATCAAAATGAGAATGAGAGTAAGAATGAGGATAGAAACCTAGATAATAATATAGATAAAAGCCTGAATAACAAAATTGATGTCAAGATTTCAAATTCATTATTCAAAGAACTCCCAGAGCTAAATACAGCGATTGAAAATGATGGAACTTTCAATGCAGTTAAAGCAGGAAAGGTTTTGTTTTCTGCTAAAAAGCAGGTTTATAATATACATAATGATTACAGTTACATTGAGGATGTGGTTAGTGATGATTCAAGATCACAGAGTTACGATGATAGTAAGGTGAGAAATTCAAGTGGAAAAAAGAAAATAGCCAATCCCAATATATTTAGACAGAAAAAGAGTAATGAAAATAAGAAGAATACATATCAATCAAAGGATAAAGATAAGTATGATGATCACCGAAAGAATGATGAGCTTCACAAGAATAAAAGTAGCAGTAATAAAAATAATGACTATGAGTATAATGAGTATGATGATACCGATAATGATACTGATAATGATAATGATAATGATAATGATAATGATATGAAGGAGACAAAAGTTCAATATGTGTATACAAATGAATTTTCAAGATTGCCAATTGGGAAGAGAATTATTTATGATCCTCACATTCCATATTTGATATCGTTATACATTCAGTTAATTTTCAATTCATTAATATTGGGAGTATTATTATATTTTGTTTTACAAATAATTCGAACGATCAAAGCTGATGTCGACGGAAAAATTGAGTCGTATACTACAGATATTTTGCAGGAGATTTCGCAATGTTCTAGGGAATATTCCAGGAATAATTGTTTCCCAGAGATGCGAGCACCAGCATTGGAAAAATCGTGTTCAGTTTGGGAAAAGTGTATGAACAGAGATCCCAATACAGTTGGTAGGGCTAAGGTTAGTGCAGAGACATTTAGCGAGATTATCAATGGATTTATCAAGCCAATTAGTTGGAAAAGCATAATTTTTTTGGTTGTGATATTGTTTGGTAGTGTGTTTTTGACCAATGCTACATTTGGCACGTATAGGATATACTCTGGGCAGAATTGTATTCCAGCCAATGCGAGCAGTAGCAATCAAACAGAATCCAATGGGAATCAAAGTGGAAATACAAATGGAAATACAAATGGAAATACAAATGGAAATTCAAGTGGAAATCCAAATGGGAATCCAAATATGAGTCAAATGAATCAATTGACACAGTTTCTTCCTATGCAACAACTATCTGCGCCAGCATCACCATCACCGGTGAATAATCATAAGAGGTATAACCATAGTCGTAATGATCAGTATGACAGTGAGATTGAGATTCAAGAAGTTACAGATGATTTTTATGAGGAAAATAATTTAACCCCATTGCCTGGGTCGATGAAAATGAAGTCGCCATTTAAGTCGCCATATAGTAGTAAAATGAGAAGGAGAGAAGATGGAAGTAGGAAAGTGATTAAGAAGTTAAATTTGCATAATTAGAATTGGAATTAAAAAGGAAAATTCTAATTTTAATTATGATTATGGTTATAATTAAAATTGGACAGTAACAATGTAACCGTTTGCGTGTGCTATTCATTTTCTGGTTATTGTATAAATTGAGTTTTTATTCCTTTAGAGAGAATTTTAGAATAGAATTCATGTTCAAGTAATAAAGAATCCAATATCAGGAAGTAAGTAAATAGTTTATTAAATAATGAATTTCCTTTACATAGCAGCAGTATGGGAAATAGTAGGAAAATAGTAGGTTGTAACTTGTTAACGTAGAACGTCATACGGTGGGAAAATAAAGTATGGGGTTTGTGAGTCTGTAAAAAATAAATGTAGAGTGTTCAAGATGTTGAGAATACAAGTTATATGGTGATCATAAACAGATACTGAATAATAAATATTAACCAAGAAATATTTAAATATCGAGGTATCGCTCATTTGTTGGAATTTACCACGAAAGCAGGAAATATTAATTAGTTTTGTTTACTTTAATTCACATTACTACATTTACAACAATTTGATTTGTTGAATTTTCCATACCACTTTGCACTTCAATTCAATTTCAATTTACTATTAGCTGAAAATGACATATTTCCTAATAATTCTTATAATTTTCACGATATACTTTTTGAAAAAGCTATTTTTCTCAGCTGGGGATAACCAAACAATCGAGATCGATCCATACAAAGGTGACAAAAAGGACAGCAAGATGGGAGAAGAGGAGACTATCGTCATCACAGACTACACCCCAAGAACGTTGTACAAGTACAATGGGCACGATGACGAGAAGGTGTATTTGAGCATCAAGGGCAAGATATTCGACGTGTCCAAGGGCAGAGCCTTCTATGGGCCTGGAGGCCCCTACGAGAACTTTGCTGGCAGAGATGCCTCCAGAGGATTAGCCAAAAACTCGTTCAAGGAGGACATGGTGAGGGACTGGGACCAGCCCATCGACAAGCTAGAGGACTTGACTGAGCGTGAGAAGAAGGCTCTCGACGAGTGGGAGGCGTTCTTTGAGAAAAAGTACAACTACATTGGCAACTTGATCGAGGACACTTCTTTGTCGCACTAGTTTTTATGATATATAGCACCAATAAAAGTGTACTTTGCTGTTTTTGAAGTTCTTTTTTTCCCTTTTCCTTTTCTTTCCTTTCTTTTTGTTGATTTCGCTCCAACACCAAAACCGCCTTTGTTCGGCTTGCGGCGGTCGGATATTCCAACCACGTGATTAATTATAAAAGAGAAAAAAATCTCAGTTGGAATAGAAAAAGAAAATAAAGGGTCTGTCCGGGAATCGAACCCGGGACCACCTCCACCCTAAGAAGGTATCATACCTCTAGACCAACAGACCTTTTGTTGTGACTTCGAATCAATATGCTATAATATAATGTGTGATTCTTTCAGCAATTAGCAGGCAATTGTTATATTAACGATTATATACTGAGACTATCTCTATGTATTTATACTAAATAGCTAATTGACTAAACACAAATATTCTAAATCCCCATTTTCCTCTCCATTTCTGAGTGGAAGTTGGTGCTGAACTCGTTGTTATCAATTCCACTTTGATAAATATCCTCCCAATCAATCGAGCAATCTTTGTTCAACAAGATATCTCTATGCAAATTGCTTGTTCCACCCAATATCTCTGGTCTGAAATCTATTCTATTGACGATTTCCAACTCCATTGTTCTCTTTAGTGGTTCAGCTAACCCAAACAATCTTCTGTATTGTTCCATTTTAAGATCAAGTTGCGTACTTTCCCAGTTTTTAATTTGATTCTCTAATGGATGTCTATCGTTGATTTTGTCACTTAATGAACTGGGTCCTCCATTTTTAAATAAATCGTTTAACCCAGGAGCAGAATATGAACTTTCTCCACCTTCTTGGTTATTTATCGAGCTTAATTGAGAATTTTCTGGAATGATTCTAAGACTCTACATCACTCATCACTTGTTAGTATTTGTATCATCCCACATCAACAGTTTATATACATGCTTCAGTCAGCAACGTATTCCTTCTCCCAAATCACATCTAAATAACATGATCAAATCTACATACACCCATTGCAATATTAATATCCTTTTTAATAACTAATTGTATCTAATAACCAGTTTATGATAAAGATATCCAGCGTATTGTTATTAGTGGCAACACTTAGCTAACGAAAAACAATCTTCAATTCAATTCCATCACCGTGAATTTCTTGCTGATTGGAAATTTGAAGGTTTCAAAAATTTGAAATTTCCACTTTTCACTTATCTCAATATTAAATCTCCCACTTTATCACTACAAATACCACTATTTTTTTTTTTTTTTTGGTTTTTTTACTACTAACAATAACAATAATAAAAAATGTCGTATAATGATTCAATTTTAACAAATTACTCAAATTACTCAACTCACTCTTTAGACTCGCACCATCTAGAAGAAATTTACAAACTTCGGTATGAACTATCCAAAATACATCGAAACAACTTGACTTGTTTTAAAATCTCTCCCAATGGCAAACTATTCGCTTGTTCTTCTTCTGACAAATCAATCAAAATCTTCAATCTACAATCAAAGTCCTTAATCCTAGAGTTTGCTGGTCATTTTAGTGGAGTCTCCGATATAGACTTTTCTCCTTGTTCAAACTATATAGCCTCAGCTTCTGATGATTACACTGTAAGAATCTGGTCCTTGAAATATGCAAGAGTAATAAGAATTCTACTAGGCCACACTTATCATGTAACTTGTGTCAAATTCAATTACAAAGGAAACCTATTGATTTCTGGATCCGATGATGAAGCCATTCGAATCTGGGACTGTATCTCTGGTAAATGTTTAAAGACTTTATCTGCCCACTCTGATCCAATATCCTCTCTAGATTTTGTTTGGGATGGCACTATCATTGCAAGCAGCAGTTATGATGGTTTAATCAGACTATATGACACTGAATCTGGCCAATGTTTAAAAACTTTGATGAACGATAGACTAGGCATAAGCACCTGTCCTGTAAGCTTTGTCACTTTTAGTCCAAATGGCAAATACATTCTATCAAGCACTTTGGATGGCAAAATCAGATTATGGGACTACATGAATAACAAAATAGTTAAAACTTATCAAGCCTACATCCCAACTATTCAACCAAACAACATCTTACCAAACGAATCTCAATCAAACGATCCCCAATTAGATAACATTCCACCAAACGACGCTCCATCAAACAACAATTCAAAAAAGAAAAAGTATATCTCAATTGCAAGAAAATACACTTGCTCAACTCAGTTCATAACTGCAACAAACGAACCTCTCATCGTGTCTGGCTCAGAATGTGGCAAGATCTTCATATGGGACCTTCAATCTAGACAGGTCAAATCAATCTTAGACACACATCAGGACTCTCCTGTTCTCCAGGTCCATCTCTTTGACAATGGCACAATCATGGGCTCCATCACATTGAATGGCCACGTCCAAATATGGGACTTGAATGAGACGTATGAATTCAACGACAACATTGAGGTGGATGATGCATATGATACAGAAGAAGCAAAGTAACCACATATAAATACCTAACACTGTCAGCGCTTAATTCTTTCTTTTCCTCCTCATCTTTTTATCACCTTGTTATCAGTCCCAACCACTCTTCACACCAACACCAACAGATCAATCCAATAGCATAACACATAATAAACTGCTCCGGTTTTACTTCCTCTCTCTCTCAAAAAGATGTCGTTTTTTCGAGATGTTCATCATAACAACACCCTCAAACAGAGACAAAACATCTTTTCCTTGAAATCAACTGTAAACTCAAGCAATTCTCTAGACTCAAACGAATCAATTCAACATCAAGATCTTACTGATGATACCTCATTAAATGACTTTTTTGATGATTTCAAAAAAAACAAGTCTTCTTCAAGCTTAGGCTTAAACAATAAAATTCCCTCCAAGTTTCAATTAAATAAAGAGAAAAAAGATTCACTAATTACAACCAAATTCAAACCCTCCAAATCTCCATTTTACCAAAAATCAAATCTACACTCCATCTCCAATTCTAATTCCAATTCTAATTCCAATCCGAACTCAAATCCAAACCCCAATTCAAATACAAATCATAACATAACCTCAAATTCATCTGCAAATTCTATAAAAACACAATACGTTGAATCAATTTCAAATTACAACTCGGAAATCAATTCTACTCCAAACAATTCCCTCTCTGAAGAGCTAATTCAATCTGATGATCTCTCCGTCATCTCCATAGATGAAGTTGACAATGCTTCAAACATTATAAAAAATAACAAGGATTCTCCTAATAATCCTCAAGAAATTGTAACAACCAATTCTCAAACCGTTGATAAAAAAACCCCAAATGAAAATAAAAATAGCTCGAGCTATAAATGTGAACAAATTGACTCATCTAATAATTCTGATATTCAAACAGATATTGCAGTTGCCAACGATAGTCTAATAATTAATTTTCCTCAAAACACTTCTACTCCAATTAAACATACAAGGAAAAAGAATACCTTGTTTCAAAATAATAATAATAATAAACCAAACCGTTTCAAATCATCAACTGATCTCAATATCTTTAATAAGAAAAATGTCATGGAAAATGAAAATCACTCACAAGAGGCAAAATCAAAGTTTTCTGAACTCAGTAATTCGACTTATGACCCAGAACTAGATTCCACATTGAGACCTTTATTAGTGTCAATTAATAGACTACAAAACACAAAGACAAAACTAGAAGATGAAATCAATTCATTGAAAAATCAAATTTCTACCAAGAATAAAAATTTGCAAACTTATGATGAAAAACTAAAGAATTTATCATTAAAATTTGAGAATTTTAAGGATCTTTATTCTAATTTACAAAAATCAAATTCCCTGTTTGTTGAAGAAAAAAAAGTATATTCATCCATGTTAGATCAATATTCTGGATCCCAGAAATCAATAAAGTGTGAAATTGAATCATTGAAATCTGAAATTTGCGAGACAAAAAATAAATTGCAAACATCAACTCAGAAATTTCATATGATTAAACAAGAGTTAGACTTTAGTATGTTTTATCTTTTTTTTATTAATAACTATTTTAATTTATTTTAATTTATTTCAATTTATTTTGATTAATTTTATTTTTCAAGCTTACTAATAATTTTAAAGGAGATCTTACAATAAATTCGCTAAGAGATCAAATAGACGACATTTCAGGTCGTTTATCAGAAGAAAAAATGAACTCATATAGAATAAGACAAGAACTCGATGATACTCGTAATAACCATAATTCTTTTGTTGAAAAAGAATTAAAAAATAAGACCGAATTTATTGAACAACATTCTAAGGATATTAATTTAATAAAGGAATTGTTTTCTAAAGAGTCACAGTATGTTTCAATTTTTATTTCTTTTGCTTTAATTTTTAAAATCATATATTAACTTTTTAATTTTCACTAGGAAATTATTTGAGCAAATAAAGTTAGAATTTCCTTTAATATCGGAAGAAATAAATAAGATTTTTATAAAAATTTCTGAAAAGTATAAAAACCGAATTATTTATTATTTTTATTTTTTTTTAATTGAATTTTTATTAACTCTTTAAAAGTTTTAAATTATCCGAAAAAACAGCGCTTGTTCAATATGAATCATCAAGCAAAACTTTATCCGAAGTATTAAATCAATTAGATAGTAAAATTGATCAGGAGTTCTTAAAATCTGTTTTAAGTCTAGATACTCTAAGTGAATCATCTTTAAAAATCCAAAAAGAAATAGAAATGATTAATAAATTGTTTAAAGAGAAAAATCAAACCGATTTGGAGGTTGCAAAACAAAATAAAATTGGCAATATTGAAATATTAAACAACGAATTCTTTCAAATTAAAGATCTTATTTCCAAATTGACGATAGATGAAAAAACTAGTCAACAAAAGATTAAAAGTTTTGAAGAAAACATTAATAAAATTCAAGAAGAAAAAAATCAAATTAATCAGAAATATGTCTCTACAAAAGCTCAAGAATCTATTCTCAATGATATTATTACTAAGATGAACTTCGATAAAGAAAAGCTTATAGCTGATAACAAAATTCTAAAAGAGCAGTTAGCTGAATCAAAAAAAATTGTTAATGATCACAAATTGAAAATTTCTTTGTTTAATCTGAGTTTTGAATTGGAAAAACAATCTCTTAATAAAGATTTTGAAACTAAAATGCAGCTTCAGAATAATCTACTTGAAAAATCTGAAACTTTAAGCAAAGAAACTAAAATTGAGTGCCAAAATTTGGTAAGGTTTGACTGTTTTAATAATAATTTATATCTTGGTTTTAATATTCGTCTTTCTAACTTTTAATATTTTTTTTAGCAAAATCAACTTTCCAAAAAAGATATAATTATTTCTAAATTACAAATTAACACAAGTACAATGACCGAAAAATTGAAAATTGAAACTGAAAAAATTATGAAAATATTTGAAAAGAAATTGGATAGTTCTAATCTATTATTAAAAGATTTGAAAAATGAGTGTTTAAAGTTAAAAGCTGAAATGGAAGATAAAATTAATTTTTATGAAAACAAGATTGAAATGAAAGAAAAAGCCATAGAAACCTTAAAAGAAACAATAGACAACGAAAAATTAGGCGCATTTGAAAGTTTTGAATCTCATTTAAAAACTCAAAACGAGTTAGTAAAGCTATCTAAAGAGGAATACAATAGATTCAAAAGCGAAGCTGATAATAAGGTATTACTTACTTTTCTATTTTTACCTCTACATATTAGAGTTTTATATATTTGATCTTAGTAACATTAATACTAACGTCTAAATAGATCAAAAGTTTGGAAGAAATTATTAGTTCCAGAAACTCAGAAATTAATCAAGTTAAACTTCAATTGAATGAAGAGACACAAAAGTTGAAAAAACTTGAGGAAAGCTTGTACTCAAAAATTAATCTTATTAACAATATTAAGAAAGAAAATTCTGACTTGAATTCTAAAATTAGTCATTTAAAAACTGACATGCTTGAACAAGAAAGGATTGTAAATAAGTTAAAAAATGAAAATAAAAATAAAAACCGAAATGAGAATGTTTTTATAGAAGAAGCAAAGTCTGCTATTAGAAAGTTACTAGAGGAGTTTAAAAAAGAAAACATTATCGTAGAAAGCAAATCTAAAAAAACAATTGTTGAATTGGAAGATAAAATAAAAATGAGCAATTTAAAGCTGATTAAATTTGAGAGTGTATATTTTTTAGAGAGAGAAAAATGTCAAACTTTGCAAAATAAAGTGGAAGAAACAAAAAAAATATTAATAAATGAAAGGGAAATTTGGAAAAAACTATCTCAGGAAAATAATTTGCTAAATAAAATTAAAGTTAAATTGAGTAATGACATTGAAGATTTAAATAAAAAAAATAAAAACTATGAACATACTATTAAGAACCTTCAGGAAAAAGTTAAAGATCTTGGAATCTTTCAAGAATCTTCTATAATATGTGACGATAGTGAGACCCCAAAACCAAAATTGGTCATAGCAAATACCCAGAGGGTATTTTCTCCAAAAAAAACAACTGGAAATAAAAGAAGATTTTTAATTGAACCAGAAGAGTTTTGCGAAGAAATTGTGTCCTTTGAATCCAAAAAAAGACAGACCACAATTCAGAAGCTTCTTATTGAGGATGAGAAATATTCTGTTGACAATTTGGATGATTCTTGCATTGATTCAAAAGCACTCATAATAAAACCATCTACAAAAAGATATATTAAAAAAAGAAATAGAACTTTGAAGTGAAAAAAACAAAAAACATGTTAAAAGTTTTAAATTATTTTGCCGATAAAAATTTTTGAAAACAATTGAAATCCAAAATAATCTGTTACTGGTACTAGGCTTTTTCTTGTTAGTTTTTTTATAGAAATTAAATGGCTAATGTCATATATATTTAAAATCACATAAAGGAAACCAAGTAAATTTTTTATTTGACGGATATTATAAATTAATTTATGTTTTGCAAATAGACGTATCTCAACTTTACAACAATTTTTGTTTGAAGAAAGTGTTTTAAAAACTTTTTTTGATTCATCGTTATAAGCAATTATTGTGTCAATATAAACAATTAATTCTGTTGAAATATTCATGAATTTGATAAATAGAGACATTATTAAAAAAACATAGAAAAATAAGAGTTGCTTTTCTTTATAACACTAAGCCCACCATCACCAACAATGACTTTCAAGAAGCTAGATTGAATAATCAGAATAGTTTTTGATTGCAAGGAATTAAACCAAAACTCCAGCCATTACAACCTAATAGACTCCCATTGAAATACTTGCAACTGGTAGGTATTATACTATTAGTTGTCTTAATAACTTTGACGAGGTCAGCAAAAACAGTTTGGGGTAGATCAATTGTATCAATATTTTGATTAAATTTATTGTCTTTATTTAACAAAATTCTTTCTATATTATTATTATCTTCGGTGAAAAAAACCTTTATAGTATTGCTGATACATTCCTTGGAATAATTTGTTAATGTGATTTCTGAGCCAATGGCAGATACAAAAAGTAGAATTTGCTTATTATTGCTGCTCAAACAAAAGCATCTAGTTGACTGGTTAACAGTGGAGTCTAGTAGGATATTAAAAGCATGAGAATAAGGATAAAATAAATCAATCTTGATTTTATTCAGGGTGTTATTCAAAGTTCCATCAGCATTAGGGATTGTATTGATGTGCGTAACTTTTAAAGACCACTTATATAACGACACCATATCCAAGTCTTCCTTTGGATTTTGAAATCCAATTTTAGTTTTGCAATTTGAACAAAGCACAGAATTGTTAGAACCATTATCAATCTTACCAATATTGCTGTCTGATAAAATTGATTTCCCAAAATCCGATTTGTTCAATTGAAAATAGTAGGAACCGATTAAAAGTGAATCTTTGGGAGGTTTCAAAACTGATTGATTCAATTTTGGGTTTAGGTTTGAACTTATATCAGGTCTATGACAGTACCAAAAATCTAACAATTCATACCACAACTCTTTTGGTTTATCAAGTACTTTATCAATATCTTCACTGTCAATTATAATTGAGTCACAGTTTAAACAAAAAATTTTAAATTTTTTAAAATTTTTGGCATTTTGAACTTGTATTTTAGAAAGTTCAAGTAACGGATTGCCCATTGACTTCTTCTGAAAATTTTTGTTTGACCTCAATTTCACAGTAAAGCAATCATTTTTGGTATCATAAATTAACAAGTCCAAGGGAACTTTGTCTGGTGCGACATAGTCAACTTGGTGAGGTAAAGGTATTTTGTAAACTTTGGAGCTGGACAAATGAATTTCAAGTGTCGTTTTTGTAGCCAAGTACAATTCTGTGATAAATACTTTGGGATCTAGATCTATCTGGAACGATATTGTGACAAACTGAATAAACTGGAAGTATTCAGCATAGTAGAGAAACTTCAATCCATTTCCACTCACCATCTTTGAGAGAAAACAAAAACTGGTCAAAGAATGTTTTTCCTCCAAATCGAAAAAAGTACAAAAAAACACAGACCCATCACAGCGGTTTTACAATAGCAGGCCCTGATTACTAGACCCCAATTGTTAGACCTCGATTATCAGACCCCAAGCCCGTGTTCACCACTTGTTGCCACAAATGACTTTTCCGGGGGTGTGGCCAGAAAAGCTTTTTTTATCTGCTTCTCGCTGCATAAGCTGTACAGTCCATGCAATAACATGCACAAATCACATGACTTTGTATGATTAAATTGATAATATTTCTTATTCAATTTGGGTTTTTTATTGGTGGAAAGTAAAACTCTACATCAGCATTAATAATAATAATCTCTGAGCAAACTCTTTTTTCTTTTATACCATGAAATCCAAATAAAGAATACTTGGTTTTGTTTTTATCTGTTTTGGTCATATATTTCGTTTCTGTCCTAATATCTTATAAGATGATTTCCACACTATTGAGACCTAATAATAGTGAAATTTTGCTTAAATCTTTAATCAAGACCTGTGTTACTGCTAACAAATATCAAATAAGATCTTTTAGGACTTCAATAAATTTATATACCAATATTAATTCAAATAATGAGTTGAAAAACTCTGCCTTAAACTCACATTCCCACAATACTATTTCAGCTTCTCATTCACACTCTCACTCTCAGTCCCCTTCATATTCGCATTCCCACACAAACCAAAATAGCTCTGAGCTTGGTTATAATGATAATGAACATGTTCATTTGAAGCAGTCTGAAACTGATGCAAATGATTCTGCTATATTTGGGGTAAAAGGTGGTTATAAGTATCTTAATGACGCAAATAATCTAAGCGAGTCCGAGTTTATACCTCATGTAAATTCACTTTCGCATTCACATTCCCACTCACATTCTCATTCTCATGGTCCTTCATTGTTGCTAACATCAAATAAATCACAAATTTTAACTAATCCCAGTGTTAGGATAACATGGTTAGGTCTACTATCAAACGTTGGTATGATTATTGGTAAAGGTATAGGTGGTATAGTTTATAATTCTCCCTCCCTAATAGCTGATTCCATTCACTCAGTCTCAGATCTAATTTCAGATTTTTTAACTCTATTGACTGTTAACTTTGGTTTAAGATCCCCCAGCACTAAATATCCTAATGGTTATGGTAAAATTGAAACTTTGGGCTCTTTAGCTGTATCTGCACTTTTATTAAGTGCCGGTCTTAAAATTGGTTGGTCTTCCACTGTTGCAATTCTAGGCCCAGTTTTACCAACTTTAATGTTTGAACTAAATTCAACTTTTCAATCTTTGCTTTCCTTAATTTCTACCTCTCCATCACATCAAATTACTCCTGTTGCTCATCCTACAACATCAATAATTCATGAGATTCCAAATATAAATGCTGCGTGGATAGCTGGTGGCTCTATTTTAGTCAAAGAATGGCTATTTCGTGCCACTAAAAAAATAGCTATAGAGACAAAATCAAACGTCTTATTAGCAAATGCCTGGCACCATAGAGTAGACTCTTTAACTTCGGTTGTTGCTTTAGTGACTATAACATCTAGTTATTTTTTGAATATCACTTGGTTGGATAACGTTGGAAGTTTAATTGTCTCATTTATGATTATCAGACCCGGTTACGATGGTATTAAAAGCTCTCTTTTAGAATTAGTTGACACTGCACTTCCTGCCACTCATCCAGATTACATCCAAGTTGAAAATGATATTAATGAAATTTTACTTAAACTTGTTAGTAACAATAATGGGGAATCTTACAGAATTGGGGAGCTCAGTATGATTGGCAGTGGTCCAAATACTATCATTACAAATTTAAAATTGGTTGTTCCTCACCAAAAATGGGATAATAAACTTGATATTAAAGAATTTGAAAATGTTTCCAAAATTCTTAGAACAAGGCTTGTTGAAAAAAATAAGTCTATTAAAAGATGCTCAATAGAATTTATTGAAGAAGAAGAATTTGTACTTGAAAAGGCTTCAAATAAAAAATAATAAAAATAATTGATTAAAAGACTAAAGAAATATTGAGTCTCATTACAAAAGTAGTAAAATTATTTACTACAAGCTTTTCCGTATTTTATTTTAATTTTTTTTTTTTTTTTGATCTTATGAAAATATTTAAGTAATATTAATCATTTATTAAAGAGGATTCCAAAAATTAACCAAAAAAAAAATTTCAATAGATAAATAAAAAGATAAGTAACACATATTTATAATCAAAGCAAAATTATCAAAAAAGAAAACAATTCAAAAAATAAAAAAAAAAAATAAAAAAGAACAAAAATATTATTGACACAAATACAAATAACCTATACCCATACAAGTAATAATAATAAATTTGAACATTTTTCATTATGTAAGACATTGAAAGCAAGTCATAGAGCAATAAATATGGATTCATTAAGCATTAAAAATTATAGGATCCCGGAAGGGATTTCTTTTTTTGAGGTTCATCTTTAGGAATTTTCCGTCTATTATCAATTGGATATTTTTTTTGATTAGGCATTAATTTATTGATATAGGAGTAATTTTGAGGAATTAAAGAAATAGCAAGAGATGTTCCAGTATTTGGAGTTAAATTCATAAAATTTTTTTTTTGTAAATTTAAATTTTGAATACTGAAATTGTTTGAATTATTATTTTCATTATAATTATAATAATTTAAATTATTTAAATCATTTTGGTTTATATTATTTAAATTATTTGCTTTAATTGTTGGTGATGTTGTAACAAAAATTCTCCCGCCATCGATTTCTTTCCACCAAGTCATTGTTTGAGGATATTTTGAAATAATTGTCATATGAATATTTTGAGCAATTTTACGAACTTCGGAATCATTTTTAATCCAAAAACCATGTTGAACGAGTCTTTTGACCTCAGCATTTTTATCACAAAGATAGTCATTCATACAACAGTTTGAATGTCTTTTAACTAAAATGTGGAGTAAAGTATAAAATAAACGATGAGAATAGGGTCTTTCAGTATATTCAACAGCTTGAGCTAAAATTGGAATAAAGCTGATGTAATCGTTGCAAAAGGAGTTATAAGCCAAATGAGTTATTAGGGTAATAATTTTAAATTCTGAGAATTGTAAAGAATCATAAGACATTCTACCAACGGCAAAGATACCCAATTCTAAATTGCACAAGTAGCGGAATAAAACATGATGAGGTTGAATAGCTGGAGTAGCGATTCTCCAATCTTTGAATTTATTTAAGACGGAGATACGATTTTTTGGAGAGAAAGTCCAATGAGCCCAGATGTATTGTAAAGTGATTTCAATTAAAGCTTGAGAAACAATTGGGATTGACTCATTTAACAAGTCGAAAATGGTACCTGTATCGATGATATGTTCCATTAGTTCGTTAAAGGCAGGCAAATAAACGTTAGGGTTATCGAAAGTAGAATTATTAGCACCAATGGCTAATAATCTGATGACAGCAATTTTTTTTGTTACATGATCGTGGATTGAAGGTCTTGGGATGAATTCATTTAATAATAATAAACAGACTTCAGTGATCGTTCTTTCAGCTTTCCAGGCTGTGATGAAATTGGTTGGGTTGATTTTTAGGGATAAATCAGTAGCGGTTGATAAATTTACTTTTGAGATTAAATTTGAGGATTTATCGTCATTTTTAATAATTTTAACATTCTTAACATTTTTAGTATTTTTAGTATTTTTAGTATTTTTAATATTTTTAATATTTTTATCAGGATTAATGTGATTGTTGAGGATATTTTTGTTTTGATTTAATAAGGTTGGGGAAATTGAATAGTTGATATTTTGTTTTGGTTTAAAATCAATTAATTGTTGATATGAGTAAGATATTTTCTTTTTTTGAAAAAAGGATAGATTTGAGAAGGTATTTAAAGAATTTGAGGAGTAATTGAAAGGTAGGTTATCACTAATTTTTGATTTGATTTTACCATCATCGAAATTGAAATTAAAATTAAAATTTGAGTTAAATTTATTGATTTCAATTTCATTTAAATTAGAATCCAAATTTGAGTTTGAGTTTGAATTTGTATTGACTATTTTCAAAGGGTCTAATCTTTGAAAATTGTTTGAAGAGAAATAACTTGTTGTTGGTTGATTGTATTCGTTTAAAACAGTGTTGGCGGCATAAGTATCACCTGTGTTGGTAAATATAAAATCATCATTAAGATCTATATTATTTGATAAAGGATTTAAAGGGTTAATATTTTGATTATCAGAAATATTATTGTTATTATTATTGTTATTATTATTGTTATTATTATTGCTATTATTATTGCTATTATTATTGTCGCTGTTGCTGTTGTTTTTGTTTTTGGTATTATAATTGAATAGATGATGTTTATGATGTTGATGATTAAAAGTTGGATAACCTTGAGAAGTTCTGCCCAAATCCATTGTTTGTGGTAAGACACCAGCGTTTTGTTTATCGAAATTATTAGTTAAAACAGTTGTTGAAGAGGAGCTCCATTGACTACCTAATTTTTGATCATTTGAATCTTCAAGCAATTTTTTTTCATTTAGTGAGCAAATGTATTCTCTTATGGTGAAAACAATTGCAGAAAATAACACAAGAAAGAAAACCAATAGACCAAAAATATAAAGAGACTCGAATAAAGGTTGATATTGGCTATTTGAATTATTTGAGTCTAAATCATTTAAAGCGCTGAAAGTACTGAAAGAATTAAAAGAATTTAGATTTTGTAGGGTGTTTATTCTTGTCATGTCTTCAAAATAACCTTGATGATACAATTCAGTGTTAACGCCGGGGATTTGTCTTTTGGAATTTGAATTTGAATTGAATTTTGGCTTTGATTTGTTCAATTCTGTGGGTTTGATAGGCGACTCAAGGCTGTCATCATTGAAGAAATAAGAGCTATCTAGTAATTGGCGCTTTAGTAAAGAGGAAGAATACTGGTACATTAATGGTGGAAAAGTTGAGAAAAAAGGTGGCAAAAAAGAAAATAGTGAACTGAATTAAATTGGATTAAAGTGACTTGAATTGAACTGGATTGGATAGGATGGAATAAAATTGAATTGAGTTAGTGGAGTGGAAGTGAGTGGGAATTGTTGCACACTCTGAAATGAATGGATGAATACAATCAATATCTGGTGTATTTGAGAGAAATGAAGGCAATTGGTGATGGTGCTTGTGCTATCTGTGCTGTAGGGCAAGAGGAGCTGGAAAACACAACATCGAGGAAAGAACTGCTTTATCTCTCTGCTTCTCCAGCTGCTTCTCCAGCTTTTGTGGCATTTGATGCAGCAGAGCCGGAAATGTTAGATTAACACGTGCTATTAGGTATATCCGGGGGAGCCTTTAGGTTTCCGGACGCAATTTGAATCTGAACCAAACATCTCTAAGGTGAAATATATTCATTTGAGTCTGTTTGATTTATTTGCCTTGATTTTTTTCCACTGATTGAGTTCAACTGTTGTAGTAAATTAAAGATGATGTCCTTATTAGCATCGTTACCACCTACTGTTTTCAAGCTTGGAGTTTCTCTTTTAAACGTCACATCATCCTTTTACACTGTATCTTTAGATTTCATCCATCTTCTTAATCAGAGGTGTTTTTTGAGTCCTGATAATATTTGTATCATCATCCTCACTGTCAATTGCATTATCAGGCTTCTCATTATTCTGGTGATCATCACTTACTGTAGTATGAGTATTTTCAATATTAATCCGGTCTTCATTATTTGATATATCAGCTGTGGTGGCAAATATTAAATTAGCTGCCTTTTTTCCATTTACATGCTGATAAATGTTTCTTATCAATTCTTTTGGTGCTCCATGGTATAATTTTGTGAATGAGTTTACCGCATCATTTTGGCTTTTGAATTGATTCTGTTCCATAAATTGTATGCATTTAGCTTTCCAGTTCGAAACACTCAACTGGATCTTGCTTTTTTTATTATATAAAATGTTATTTTTAACCACATATTGATACCTTTTTGCTTTCTTGAAGCCATTTGGGGCTTTTGGGTTTTGCCCATTACCAAGAAGATATTGATACTCAGTATCAGAAAGTAATGAGCGATATTTCACTTTCAAGCAAGGAACCACTTTACCATTATCAAACCATGCATTTGTCCAATGGCAGTTTGCCAGACAATTGAGTTTGTCTTCTTTATCAAAAGACGTCTTCTGAGCTAACAGCAGCAGCATCACAGGTTGTTGACCCCTATCAGCATCATGGATTTTATTGGCTTTGTCATTAACGTTGAGCACCAATTGAGTAGTATTGGAGTTGCTTGCAATTTCGGCAGGCGAAGTATTTGCAATTGATTTTTTATTTGGCATTTCCCATAGCTCAGAACTAGTGTCATTGAAACTCAGCTCATCTAGCCAATCCTTCAAAGACTTGATTTTTTCAACGTTATTTGGTTGGTTTTGAAAAATGGCCTTTTGGCTATTTTGAACATGGTTTTCCATTGTCTAATAGTAAACTTTGATCAGTAATTGACGATAGCTGTGTTGATATAAATTCAAGTATAGAATTCACTTTGAAAAATAAATCTGTAATAAATGTGTAATAAATTTGAAACAAATTATTTTTTTCACCTTTTGTTTTACCTTTTGTCTCATTGTCCAGGAGGGTAGACAAACCCAAGTTACTGAGATGTACGAGCTTGTTGATGAAAAAGGAAGTAAATATTTCAGCCATCCCGCCCAAATGAATTTTGGAGCAGTGAAGGTTTGTTCTGGCGCTGAAACAGAAGATTGTGTTAGTGAAAGTAAGGGTGGATTCCAAATTCATTGGAAACATTAGGGAATCTGCCACTTGGGGTTTTGAGTATAGCAATTGATGATGATGGCGTTTCCATTGCTTAATTATGGATCTTTTTGATTTCAATGAAACAACTACCTTCAGTTTTGCAGACACCACTTTCATTTCAGCGACAGCCCTAAATGGCTCCTCCAATGTTTGCAATAGACAGAAAGAAGTGACGGAAATGTTTGTGAAATGTTCCTATATAGAGTCCTAATAATTTTGATTTCTTTAGATGCAACGATTGATATACCTGGAATCATTTTTCAATACAAGGAATACATAATATTAAACTTTCAATCCACTGAAGGTAAAACCACGAAAACTGCCCTTTTTACAGGTTCATTTAATAAAATAATTGATAATAATAGCTTTTCTTGGAATATGACAGATGGTTTTATTGTAAGTGAAAATGCAGATTGACCTGAACAAGACACAAATCCAAAATAATCAATTTTAGAATAATATTAAAAATTAGTTCATAAATTTGATTGAGTATTAACGTGCATAACATTTACCAGATAATAGAACCAATCTCCCGATTCAAGGTGTTAAAGAAAAAAGATACGTTTTTGGAATTCTGCAATTTATACCTATTATGCAAATGGCGTTAGTGTTATGGTAGCATTGTTCAAGTAGCAGATGTAAGAACACAGCTTTATGATAGAGGTCAATATGGAATTGGACTTCGATTTGTAGATGTTTTTCACTGAGTAGAATTGAGCCTCCCGAAAAATAATCTTTGTGTAAGGTTCTTCGTTCAGAATCTTACCAACTGGGTAATTCCATTGGAAATTGTTAGAACTGATTGAGCTCCAATAACACACCATCTTGATCAAATACACCAGCCCTTAATTATCTCTTAAATTTTTTTATAACTACTTCCCAACAACCGCCAGTCTTGAGAATGCAATTAATTCAAAGGCTATTCCAACTCCCAATATATTCTTGATGAAATAGAGATACTTGATTTAATTGAACCAAAAAATGAAAGCAAGATGAACCAATTCTGCACAATCGCTGGTGTTTGTATGCTTTTCTTCCTGAATTGGAATCTCTATTCCAATAGCACTTCATTTTACTGTCAGTTTTGAGATAACACATCACTTGCATAATAACCAGCACTACCAATCTCTTCTGAATCTGTTGAATCGCCAACAAACTGTGTCTTCGAATTACCTTTAAATCCAACATCCATAAAACCATCACATTTCTGGTTGGTTCTGATTGTCCTTGTATATATGGCCTGTGAAATGTGTTAACACCTATTTTGCGATTGTGAGTAACCCACAATAATTGCACTGCTTTTGTTTATAGCAACATTTCTGTGACTGAATTTCTGTGACTGAGATAGCTATAAACTTGTATTAATTTATTAAAATAAAATAATGTACAAAAAACAACCTCCTAATTCAAATTCTTTGATTTATAAATCAATAATGCTAAAAATCTTCAAAAAAAAGTGCAAGATTTATACTTTTATAAACATTACCCAAATTGTGATTAATGTGTTAATTTAAAGATAAATCTATTCATCAACCCAATATTCTGATATTTTTTTTTCATAATGCATATATTCTTTATGAAATTTTTTATAATACTCAGTAAATCTTTTAATATAATCGCTGTTTTTCAATTTTTCAGCAGTCATATAATCTATATTGTTCAAAGCGTCCTGGGTATTGGCGTCAATTATCAGTATAATCTTCTTGTGAAATTTAGCAAAGCTGAAAATTATTTTAAAAAAACGTTTTATCAATTTCAAATAATTTGGGTTGGTTAATGATAAATATAGCAATATATTGTCAATAAAATCCTGAATCAACTTTTTAGAGCCTTCAAATGTCAACAGATCCGCAAAATTATAATCAACATCAACGTCAATATTGCTGGTTTCTTTAAAATTGTTTTCCAAATTATTGACCCCATTATTATCATTAGTTGAATTAGTATTAAACATACTAGTACTATTGAAGCCATGTTTTGACAAGTATGTATAGTAAAATTTATAAAGTTTCCCAATTTTTGATTCAAAGTTATACTTGATGATAAATGTGTAATTAAAATACAAATTTTTCAAATAGTTGATCACATTGAAATTCATTATTTGTAATTTTGAAATTTTTTTCAATAATGAAAGAGAAATTGAGCTTTTTTTCAAGTAATTTTTGGACAATTTATAGTTATCTTCAAGTAGATTGATTGCGAATCTGTTTAAAAGCAAAAATCGGAATATTAGTTGATATTTGGTAATATTTATCTGATCTATCATTAGATTTATTGGAAATGGCAAAGTTAGTTGAAAATTTATAAAATTTATCAGAAAGTTTTCAAACATATTTTCCAATGGTTTTTCATCCAAGCTCCGTTTATCGTGTTCGAGAGATTCAACAACCAAATTTTTTAAAGCTTGAATTGAATTTGTATTCATATTATTCGGATCAAGAGGTTTAACATTTAAAATGTCTTGTAATTCGTCAAAGATGTTTTTTGATTCAATTGTTAATTCAACCAGATTTAAAACCAAGTTTTTTGTTTCATGCAAATTTTCATTTTCATTTTCATTTGCGTTTGCATTTGCATTTGCATTTGCATTTTGATTATCCTTATTATAATTGGTATTGTTATTTTTGAATGCTCTATCAAAAAAACAAAGACGGAAACTATTTTCGAGCTCATTTAGGTTGACGAGATTTTTATTTTTCTTTAAAAGAGATAAATTAGAATTGATAAAAGTGTTAAAATCAAATGAGTTTGCCATTAAAAAGAAATCAACCAAGCTGACTAATAAATTTAGTAAATCGTACCCATCAAACATCAAACTTAATATTAGATCATTTGCTCTTCTGAACCAGTAATTGATTTTTAAATTCAAAGAATTTTTATTGTGTAAGTTGCAAATTATATTCGGATTGATTGACAGGCTCAATTTTTTCAAAAAGTCCTGATTGTTAGCTTCTGTATCTAAATTATGTCCATAGTTGTTAAAGTAGTTGTGTCCAAAATCCAAAGATTGATTTTCATAATTATAAAAGGAAAAATCTATTGCGGTGAATTGCAAATCACAGTCCTTGAGAGCGTTTAAGTAAGTCCCGGTTAATAGTATTCTTCTTTTGATTAATGGATCAGCCAATTCATTAGGTATTCCATCGTTTTTAATTGAAAATTTTGAATTCCAATATCTTTCCACATCAAACAAATTCAAGTTTGAAATGTTGTTATCAGATTCGGTATTTTCTTGTTCATTGTCATTATAAGTATTTGTTTTATAATTTTTTATAAAAAATTCTGCAAAGGGATCATCAATTTCGCCATTGATTAACCAATTATTCAATATCAATAGATAAGGAAATGATAAATAGTCGAATAAATTATTTAGAAATATTAGGCACTCATGATTTCCAAAATATGAATCAATTTTTTTTGAAATAATGTTTAATACTATTCCTCCTTTACAACGATGAAATTTTGAATTGTCAAAATTGATATCAATATTCAAGGTATCAAGATTCAACGCACTGTGTCCATTATTTATTGTGTTGTTATTTAACACATCTAGAGTTTGCAAGGTTTCAATCATATGTTGTCTTTTTAAATTGTCATTGTGTATCAAATGAATAATTTCGTATAATAAGTTTAATTTGAAATCTAGTTTGGATAGCTGGATTTCCTTTAGTAATTGAATCAAGTTGAAGTTTGAGTTACTTGTGAAGTTGTTTTCAATACTGTTGATTAAAAAATCTAGATAGTCTATCTTTAAGAAATGTCTCAAAAAATGAATAAAAACCTGAATTATTTTGCCGTTGTTCTTAGTATTGTAAAGAACTTGAAAGTTTAGTAAAGAATTGTAAAACTTTCCAAAATTGTATATCTTTTTGATGAAATCTTTTAATGATGGATTTAGATTTTTTGCAAACTTATAATCAGGCCCATTGATCAAACTATCAATATCTTGTGAGTTGAATTTATTGGAGTATCTGATATAATTTCCTTCAAGACCAATTAAGACAAACAACAAATCGTATACTATCAAAGATTCTTGGGACTTTAAGCTATTAGATAAGTCGACTAGTGGATAGGGCAATACTTTCATATAATCTTTAATCAAAGGCTGATCGTTTACAGCTTTTGATAGCATATAAGGTCTTTGATCAGTGTTCAAGAGATAAACAGTGTCAGCTTCATTACCAGAAAAACTGGAGTTGGCGATAGAATTACGATTTGAATTACCAATTGGTCTATTAATATTCATCTCAAAAGTAGTATCTATAAATTAACAAACAAACGTAATATCCACTTGATGATGATATTATGATCTGGTTCTGTTTGTAATTCGCTTGAGTACTCGGAAATCCGAATGTGATGAAATAGTACCCTCGGTTCTTACAGTCAATACATATGCACGTGCTCACCGGCGCCGTGGAGAAACTCATAATGAATCAGTAAAAAGGTGGTTTTGTTTCTTTGATCCTGCGCTTGAATCTTTATTGATTGGTAATTGATTAGCTGATCCCATCTAGGATGATCAGCACCAGTTCAATGGAAGTATCTCATTATCCAGCATCCACCAAGACAAACCGAACACCGTCTACAGCCAACCCGCGCCGCTGGCGACACACCGCAAAGGCTTTTTGACGAAGTGAGGAATCGTCTATTTTTTGCAAAAGATCGCCAACAGTCAAAGGTCGAGAAGGCAATTGACACTGCTGTGATCGAATAGATTGCTGTGTTAGTTCCAGGAACTGCTGTGTATTTCATTGTGTTTCAGAGGGCAGAAACATATATAAACATGTTGGTTTTGCTTTGCTGTGTTTTTTTGTCTTCATTTTCCACCACCAATTCACTTTTTTGCTTTGTTTTTGGAAGAAGTTAACTCTTGATATCTATTTATAAGTCCAAGGATTCAGTTTTTTTTAAGCCGAAATTATTGATATATTCATATTCCTCCTATATTTTATATATATACGTTTCTCTACCTTTACTTTCATATTGTTTTCTACATCAGAATTAATTAAAATTAGTCATAACTGTTAAGGTGAAAAAAACAAAACAATTAACAATGAAATCACTAGCCATCTATTCAATTTTGGCCTTGTTGGCTCCATCATATGCTGCGATTATTCCTACCTTTTTACCTGAAAGCTATTTGGTCCCCATTGAAGTCGTTAAGAGAGACTATGCTCTCACAACATTGGGTTCTGAAGATTTAAATAGTAACTTTGTCACTCAGATTATTGATGGGCAAGTCCAAGTTGTTTCTCAGATTGATGATGGCCAAATCCAGGCTCCTACTAGTACATCGGCATTAATACCTATTTCTCAAATTGACGATGGCCAAATCCAAGCTCCAACTTTAACTACCAGTGAAGTAATTTCAACTTTAACTCCAGTCAGTCAAATCAGCGATGGTCAGATCCAAGGCACATTAACTGTTACTGAAACAACTTTTCAAACTTCTTTAACCGTCACAACAATCACCTCAGATGGTTCATTAATTTTATCAACCATTACTCCAACTGCTTCTGATTTTGAAATTATTGAAACTGGAAGCTCTTTCTATTTTGAACCGATTGGTTCTAATACTGACGTTATTGTAATTGCGACAACAGATGTTATTGATCAAAATACTTATACTGTATTGACTGTCACTTCAACCAATTCATTAGGTATTGAAATCACTACCGCAACTGACGTTATTGTTTCAACAAATGAAGCAGGTCAAACAGTTTTATTACCAATCACTACAACTGTGACCACTGATTCAGCTTCATCAGAAACTGGTCTTTCTTCATTTCAAAGTCAATTTTTGAATTCAGCTGACAGTATGAAACTAAATTTAATTTTGCTTTCAATCTCTTTTATATTGGTCAATCTTACTGTTTTATTCTGATTTAATTATCTATTGATTCTGTTTTTTGTACAAAAAATTAAAAATTAAAAACAATTGGGTAATTGGGTATTTCAAGTAATCAAATTCAGAACAAATAATAAATTTTTGTATTTTAATTGGTGATTTAAAATTGTTTTCAAGGGTTTTATGTTCAAATTGTGAACTTAATTTAATTTTTTTATAGCATTTTTTCAATATTTTCATAAAATTTTTATTGTTTTTTTATTAGTTTTAATATTTTTATAGCATTTCTCTTAAACTCTATTTTTTACTTTTTATTTTAAGAAATAAACATTTTTGAATTTTTCCTTTATGATAATCATTAAAAATCTGTTAATGCATGTTCATGCATTTTTCCGTTGAAAAATTCACAGTCTGAAACTATATTACCTAAACCAATTTATTTTAAAAAATATAAAAGAAACACTAAAGAAGTTGAAGCTGAAGCTGAAGCTGAGTTAGAATAAATCATTTATTGATTATCAATAAATAGAACTTTATTGATAAATTTGAAATTAAAAGTGGCTCAACAACAAATGACAGTTATTTATTATAGTTACAAAACTATTTATTTCAATTAATTGTTTTTTTGCTTTTATATAAATCAAACAATTACACTTTAATCTGAGTTTCTTCAGGAATATAATTGACTTTATAATTAAATGAAATAATTGATTCCTTGTAAATATCTTGAGTATCAGTTTGAATCACAAAATTCAACGTAAAACCAAAGGGAAGACTCCAAAATGGTCTTTCTTTTATAACGCCATTATAATTGTTATTTGGAGGCAACAAATCAGCAGTTTCACCCAATTTGTTTCTTGGATATTCATCAATTTTGACTTTTCCAACAATTATACAACTAATCAAATTTAACGAAGGAATGAAATGGTAATCATATGACTGATACGTATGTTCAGTTAGTGGTAATTTAAGAAAAAAATCAGTTAAAAAGGTTTTAGCCGCAAGAGGATTGGAATTTATAATAATTTTACAATTATTGTTAATACAACTAAATAAACTGGATTTGAAATTTATTAAACTGCTTTCATTTGATAAATCTGATACTAATGGCCTTTTATCCATTGAATCAACCAATGATTCAGCTAATGTTTTGACAGCTATAGTCTGTTGATCTGACATTGTAGAAATTTAGTGTTTGATTATGAAAACTGTTATAATTGTAATTGTAATTATGATTATGATTATGATTATGATGGCGATTGTAATTGTAAATGCAATCTGATGGCTACTGTTTGAAACCTTTTAAAATTGGACTTATTCATTTGTTTTTTCTACTAATAGAAAATTCAACTTACCCTCTTTGGCGACTGTTCTAATTTGTGATCCAACACTTTTCATAGAGAATAAATTGCAGAATACGAATTGTTTGCACATCTTTATTGTGCAATCTTTACCATTCTTTCAATCCCATATCCTTTATTCTAATCATCCAATAGTCAGATCTTGCTTTTTGGATAGACAAAACGAAGGCCTTGCTGATAGTCAGTGTTTCCCAATCTGGCGAGAGCACCCACACATGTGGTCCTGAAAATTTTTCTTCCCCAAAAAGCTGAAAGGACGAATCGAGATTTGACGAGGAAAGACACAATCAAAAGACTACTTTGAAAGAGCACTTTGAAAGAGTCTACAGCCACAACAAAACAGCTTTCGATGTCGCAGCCTACAGAAATCAACTTGGGAGTTACTGCTGATTTACATGTCCATTTGCGTGATGGCGAGATGATGGAGTTGATTACTCCCACTGTCAGAGAAGGTGGAGTCTCCATTGCCTATGTGATGCCCAATTTAGTTCCCCCAATCACAAAGATCGATCAGGTTATCCGATATAAGAAAAATCTAGAATTATTAGCACCAAAGACTACTTTTTTAATGACCTTTTATCTATCAAGAGATTTGACCCCTGAACTAGTTGAAAAAGCTGCAATTTTAAAAGTCATTAAAGGTATAAAATGTTATCCTGCTGGTGTTACAACGAATTCAAGTGCTGGTGTAGATCCAAATGATTTTTCTGACTTTTACCCAATTTTTAAAATCATGGAAAAGTACAATCTAATCTTGAATTTGCATGGCGAAAAGCCCTCAACTAATCATGATGACATTCACCATAATAATAGCCATGATGATAATGAGCATATTCATATTTTAAATGCCGAAGAATCTTTCTTACCTGCTTTATTCAAATTACATCAGGATTTTCCAAATTTAAAAATTGTCCTTGAACACTGTACTACAAAGGCTGCAATCAATGCAATTGAAAAAATCAATTCCAAAAATGTTGCCGCAACAATTACTGCCCACCATTTATACTTGACAATTGATAATTGGTCAGGAAATCCTGTTAATTTTTGCAAACCTGTTGCAAAATTGCCTTCTGATAAATCAGCCCTAATCAATGCTGCCATTTCAGGTAAACCTTTTTTCTTTTTCGGTTCTGATTCTGCTCCTCATCCATTATCAAAAAAATCTACTCATGTCAACGTTTGTGCTGGTGTTTATACTCAAAATAATGCTATAAGTTATTTGGCTGAAATTTTTCAAAATTTTGATGCTTTAGATAAATTGAAAAACTTTGTTAATGATTTTGGCAAAAACTTCTATAATATTAATGACAGTGACGAAATTATTAAATCTAAGGATACCGTTATCTTATATCAAGAAAAGAATCAAGTTCCACAGCTAATTAAAAATGATTTAATTGGCGATGAAAGTTTGGTCGTCGCACCATTTAAAGCCGGTGAAGAATTGAACTGGAACGTTAAATGGAGAGCAAGCTAATCAATTATCTATTCATATTCATATTCATGTCCATTTCCATATTCACATTAGCTCTTTTTCTTGTTTTATTATAATCTTTTTTTTCCTTATATATTCTCAATATTACAAAACTTCATCTAGAAAATACTTTTCTCTTTCCAAAAATCATCCTTAATTAAATCAATATGCTCAATTAGAATCTTAGCCCTTTTTATTTTTTTATTTTCTCTTTGTTTTTGTCTTTCAGTTAAATTCACTTCAAAAATTTTTCCTGTATTTTTATTTTTATTTTCATTTTCATTTTCATTTTCAATCTCTTTATTGCTTTTATTATAATTATAATCTCTGGTAATTATTGTTCCCTTTTTATATATTTCTTTCTCATTATTATAATTAATACCAAACTGGCTAAACAATATCTCATTTTTATCCGAAGAGAGGGTACCAATTAATTTATTTTCAGCTTCTTTTGGTGATAATTTCCCCTTTTCTATTAATGTCCAAAATGTCGTGTTATACAAATTATTAATATGACAATCTACTTGTCTCCATTTAAAGTAATCCTTAACGTTCTCAGCCGATGGATATAATATGCATCTGGAATCAAATGTTGGCAATCTATTAACATCAAGAGGATTATCAGGAAAAAACTCATTCCAATAATGGTTATAATAAGCAGTGAAAAAACTCACAAAGATCGAATTCAATTTGGATTCCCTTCTTTCATATAAAACAGTATTTTTTCTTAATAAAAACGAATATTCGTCTGAATCTCCATAAGCCATAATAACATCGTTAAATTTACTAAATAAAGACAATGAGGCCTTATTCATTAAATTTAAAGCTCTTGAATCATTCGGTTTTTCAAACTGATACTCTTTAGAAAATTTGTGAAAATTTTTACCATCAATTCTAATAATTATATAGCAGTTTTGCAACAAATAATTTTCTTTCTCAAATTCTTTAACATATTCAAATCTAATCTTATTTTTTTTTTCAGTTTAAAGTTAGTTACACGATATTGCCACAAGAAACAGCGATAAAATCCACAATGCATACCTGGACTTGGCCATGTCTCAAAGAAAACAATAGCTCAATTATTTATTAGATAATAGTTTGAAAATAAAACGAAAATAATACTTAGATGAAAAAATTGCAAATGATGTTTCTCACATGAAACTACAAAAAGTATGGAGTGAAAACAGAAAATAGCCCACGTGATCACAGTTCTCCTTCCAAAAAGAAGAAAGAGTTGTTTCTACCAAAAGAACCACCAGCAGCAGAATCAGCAACCACCACGTAAAGTCAAGACGAGATGGAGACAGGCACCCTCTCTAACATTGCACTCCTCTAGGGACTTGTTATCATCACTGCACATATCACAAAACAACAGAAGGGGAAAAAATAAAGGATGAATAGGAAAGATAATTGGTGAGCAAGCCAGTTAGTAAATCGGATCGAGATAGTAGCCATCATATAGATTGACTGTCGAGGCACACAATAACATACAGTTTTCTGCCTTCGTAAATCAAACGTTGTTGGGATGGAGAAATACCTTCTTTTTCTTCGATATACTCCTTAACAGTAACCACCGACTCAGTTGGTTCAACTCTAATTTTGATCTGGTTGAAGGAGACGAGAAATGGAAAGCAAATAGAATTAGTTTGAATGTTCACTATACTGCAATCAGAAGAATCTTAATCAGTCGATAAACTTACTTCTTTTCCGGTCAATGTCTACACAGATACCAAAGACGATGCAAATCGAGATACCAGGCAAAATGTTAGTTGTGAGATCAAAAGAAAATAGGAAAAAGCACACACCAACTCACCTTAACGGTTATCAACATCGTTCAAGCACACTATTCTGTATCTTTGATTCTTGCTATAAGCACTCTTTCTCGACTTTGCTCTTAACTTCCTCAACAATCTGTTGGAAATGCTTCTGGTGACCCAAAACCAAAGAAGGAAGGAAACAAAAAGACGTCCCTGTTTTGTCTTAGGGCTTTTAGAGCCCTATCAACAGAGCCCTATCGTCAAAGCCCTGCTATCATCCCTTAGAGCCCTACTGATATAACCACAAAAAGCACTGGAATTTGGAGGGTCTTTTTTGTTTCCAGGCGACTTCGAAGTTTGCAAGATTTTGAATTCTTTTTCAAGATGCTACGTTTTCGATAAATCAACTTAGATTGGGCTCAAACAATCTGGATCTACTCAAACTATTTCAGTTTTTCATTATCTTTAGTGGCTGTCAGACATCCTTTTGACTTTGTTATTTTTGCTAACTCTAACCATTGCTTTTCCTTCAACTATTTTATTTCGAACTTCTAAAAATTATTACAAGTGCACTCACTTTTTCCCTCATAGTCTTGCTCAAATAGACTTTCAATAAGTAATAGCTTAAAATAAACTCAATTCTCTCATAAAAAACCTAAATACAGAAGGTATATGAGATACCAGAGATAGAAAAGAAATTTAAGATCTGAATAAAGCATTTCAAAAAAAAAAATAAAGAAGAAACCGAGAACCGAGAACCGAAAACCGAAAACCGAAAACCCAAAAATAAAATAAAACTGAAAAAACTAAACAAAATAGGAAAACAAATTAATTATAGACGAAGTAATGTCATCAGTTTTAAAGAGTGTTGTATTTGGTTCTCAAAAACCCTTTTATGATAAAGAATTAGATCTTAATATTGACTTGACCTACATTACTTCCAAAATACTTGTTTGCTCGGGTCCTGTTAATAATTATCCAAATTTGCTTTACAGAAATTCAATCAATGATATAGTCAAGTTCCTAAAATGCCACTATCAAAATAATTGGTTGATTATCAACTTAAGAGGTGAAAATCCTGGTTATAATGACACTGATGTTAATAATAAAATTTTACATTTTCCCTTTGCTGATCACCAACCACCCCCTTTTCATTTATTACCAAAAATAGTTCAATCGGTTAAAAATTTTTTAAACAAAAGTGATAAAAATATCATATTAATTCATTGTAAAGCAGGTAAAGGCAGAACCGGCACAATAGTATCTTGTATTTTAATATCAAATCATAATTTTTCTTATTCAAATTCCTTAAATCTATTTACTCAAAAGAGAATGAGATCTGGTTTTGGTGATGGTGTATCAATTTTATCTCAAAGGAGATATATAAAATATTATTATAATTATGTAAAATCATCTTCTTTGCCTGATTATATACCATTTTATAATCCAATCTATTTCAAATGTAATATTGAATATATCAGAATAATAAAACCTTATTATGAAATTGATATATCAATTTATGATTATGATCTCAAAAATACAAATGATTATAAAAAGTTATATACTTTTAATAATGGAGAGGATATTATACATAAATCAAATGATTTTGTAACTTATTCGTTACTATTTAAGAAAAATAAAAATATTAAAAACGCAAATTCAAAATTTATCAGAAAAATTGGTCCTGATATTAGATTATCTCTTGAGCAAAAATTTAGTTTTAATAAAAAGAAATTACTAACAAGTTCAACTTTCTTTTGGTTCAATACTTTTTTTGAATCATTTTATGATGCAAGTAAAAATTTATGGAAGTTTGATGAGGATTTAATCAAATCAAATAAAATTAAGGGCTCTATAAAATTAAATTGGAATCAATTGGATGGATATAAAGGCACTACAACAAAGGGCTTGAAATTATTTGAATCAATTGAAATCTATTGGAATTTCAATGACCTAAACTCATTTTATAAAGAATTAATTAAAAAAAGTAAAGAGCGCAAACCACTAATTTCATCCAATAATTAACTTCAAGAACATTAAACAAAATGACAGCCGACTATTCGGGTTCCAAAGAGATTTTTAAGTTGTTTTTTATAATATTTTTTATAATATTTTTCAAATGACTTTTCAAATGGTTTTTTGAATTGAGTTTCTAATTAGAGTTCAAATTTCTTTTCAATTAGCCTCTCAAACCATCTTTTTATAAATTATTCATACAACTTTATATAAATTCAATATTATTAATCTACTCATAGCAATATTTTACTTTTTTAAACTTTTCAGTAATCTCTTGTTATCTATTTGGGTTTCTTTGATATCACCTTTACTGCTGTGTATTTCTTTTAGACTGCACTGCAATAAGATAGAACACTAAGCAAGTAGTTTCCAAAATTCACGTACATATCTATGAGTATCAAATAGCTATTGTCATTGGTTGCTACAAGAATAAGCTTACAACGTTATTTCTTTTACTGGGTTTCGAATATCATCCACTTCTGAATTAATCTCCAAGATTGTACATTTTCTAGCATCGAAGCTTTTCCATATCACAACATTTCTTATTAAAAGTTACTGAAAGCCATTAGCACATTTTATGCCATAACTATTGAATGAATATTAGAAATACGAATCAAATCAAAAAAAAAATTGAAAAATGACATATCGACTTTTAACCATAAACTTTAACATACATTAAAGTATGATCTAGATGGGCTATAAATGTAATTGAACAAATTTGCAGCAATTTTCTATCATATTCTTTTTTAATGACTTAAAAAGTAATAAGAAAAAAAATTTTATTTTGCCCATGAACCAAATATATTTAAGAAGTAAAAAATATTAAAAATCAGTATATATTAATTTTGATCTTTGAACAATATTTAGCTTGCTTTGTAAAAAAAACAACATAAATTTAAGTCAAATCACACAAAAATTCACCATTACAATTTGAGTTCCAAAAAAAAAAAAAATTGTATTAAAAATCTATTTTAATTCACACCATCTTTATTTATTTGTTCATTTATCTATTCGTATCTATTCATATTTATTTATATTTATTAATTTCATTTTTTACTTTTTTTTAAAATAAGTAAAATTGTACTCTCTTTATTAAGAAATTAATAATTTTGATAACATAAAAACAAACTCCCCAGCATAAAAATAAAATATAGAAAGGATGAATTCTTTATCTCAAGCTGATTTAACTGCCAATCAAGAACATTTTCATAAACACAGCTCAATAGAAGCCGGTATTAGTAATAATTGCAATAGTAATAATAACTCAGGAACCCAAATCCCAAGAAGTGCTCAAAATTCTTTAAATCATCCCTTTAAAACTCAAGAAAATTCCACTGTTTTTCACAGAAATGATAATGGAAATAAAAATGCTGAAACTAAAAATTTTTGTTTGAATAGTAATTATAACATATGTCATCCTGATTTTAATGATAGATATAATAACAATGATGCTAATTTATATTTTAATAATAATTTAAATTTGAATGAGAATCATAGTAATACTGAAAGCCATAATAATTATTTTGAATATTCTAATAATAATGATTTGGGGTATAATATCTCTGAAAATAAATACTGTATTAATCATATGGGCTATGATCTGTACTACCATAGACATTTTTTAATTTCAAATTGTCCAAAAGACAGTTTTAAAAACCAGCATATGAATTATTTATATTGGAGTATTAGTAAAAAATATCCTATTCCTTTGGAAGATTATAGATTGGAAAATTTTGTTATTTCTAAAAATGATTCATCTTTGTTAACAAACAATATAAATGTAAATTCAACATCAAGTATACCAATAACTGTCCCATTTCCCGGAAATAGATCAAATAACACAATTCGAACATATTACCCTTCAAATGAGTCATTAAAATATTCAGATATAGACTTGATATCAAACATATCGATAGCTGCTTCACTTAAAAATAATGAATTGGCAGAAGTAATTCCACCATACAATCCTTCAAATTACAGAATTAACAGAGGAAAAAAACAGAGAAATATTCGAACCCATCGAGCCACTAGATCATTGCTGATTTGTGGACAAATATCGGATATATATAAAGGATTATATTGTGTTCAATGTGATATAAAATCAACCCCAGAATGGAGAAGTGGCCCAGATGGTCAACGAAAATTATGCAATGCTTGTGGAGTGTTTCACGATAAACTTCAAAATCTAATAGGACATATTAATGCTGCTAAAATATTGAAATTGAGAAAATATAATAAAGATTTTCATAATAGAAGTATTCCAACAACAAGTGAACAGAATAAATTAATAGATGAATTTGACAAAATCTATTATCATGGAACCGAGAAGGAAAGAGAAAAGTTAATTGATTACATCGAGGATAACAGAACTATATTTGATTGAAAGATGCATTTTTTTTATGAGTTTTCAACATTTATATTTGCAATTATTTATAGTTGTATATTATTATTTATGAACAGGGGAGGTCTCAAAATTGAATATATTTATTGGTTTCAAATTTCTATTTCAAATTTCATTAATTGATTTTATTACTTCATTATAGTCTAACTGATGCATAAATTTTGTAGACTTGGTTTTAAAAGAATTATCTACATGTAATACTGGAATATCAAAACACTAGAAAAAATTAAATCGAGTATTAGTAAAACAGGTCCAACAATTGGTAAAAAAATATTAATACTTACATAGGCGTCAAACCATTTTTTGTTTTCTTCTTTTGTGATGTCGATATAATTGATTTCAATATTTTTGTCACCGAGTATTTTATCTTTCATATTGTCAGCTTCAATGGTTTTCAAAACAAACTTTGCTTTTTCACATAGACTACAGTCGTTTTTGGTGAATAAGTTCAAACTAACAAGCCTGGCACCATCTGTGTTCCCAGCAACAGAAGCTGAGGAAAACCTGAGAAAGCTCTTTCTTGAGCTATTCAACAAAGAGCCAAAAGTGTTGCGAGCAAGTAATCGTTGAGCAGCAATCTTTGATATCATCGAGAAATCTGGTGGAGGTATGTGATTGGAAGAAAAGGCTTCTTTCTTTCGGCTCGATTTCTTCTTTTCTTTTTGGGTGCGGCTCGTGGTTGGATGCCGCTTTAAGAAAACGCAACTAAACGTACTCTACTGCACATCTAATTATAATTATATAATTGCATACAGTTGCGTGTATGTGCACTCTGCACGATATACATGATATTGCGTGTTAACGCATTATATAATTAAGACGCACTTTCACACGCACATTTCCTTAACACGTGATTTCACGTGCAACTTGCTGTTTTTGCTGCCTGTGAGTAAAAAATTGATAAAAATGCTGTTGATTGAGCTGGAACCTTTGATAGTTTGTGTTCAATGGCTTTGGGTATTATTTAAACCATAGCCAGTGCTATTTTTTCCTGGAAAATCATTGCTAATTGCAACGTAAAGTGGAGTGAAAGGGAGGTGGTTACTTCCTTTGTTGAAGCTCCACTGTTGATGGATTCCTTCTGATATCATATTTCTTTTTGGAAATTTCTTTCTATATATTATCATAATTTCTGCTTTAACTTCTGTTTTAACTTCTTTCTTTACTCAAGATTAATATCAAGGGGTTACTTTGGTGGATTCTATTAGCAAACTCCTGCTAGTTTAGAGCAAGAAAGTTAACTTTAAATCATTGATATCCAATTTTGAAGGCAACTATTATTAAGTGTGTTTTCTTCTGTTGTTTATCTTGAATTACTCATAATTGATCCATACTTTTATCAAAATTAAGTTATTTGTTACTTTAATCACAATGAATTTATTTAATTTCTTGTCTAATTTTTCAATATTACTTCTATTTTTGTTTAATTTTTCCTTGGGACGCAATACTCAAAATTCAAAACTTTCCTCCACTGAAAACACAAATTTCCATCAAGATTTATTTAATTTAAACTATGAAAATGTTGGTATTAATTCAAAGCACCAAATAAATTCAACAAATCCCTCAATTAATATTGCAATTATTGGTTCAGGTGCTGCTGGTTCATCAACTGCTTATTATTTAAACAAATTCTTATCAGCATTAAACTCAAATGCTACAAATTCCACAAATTCCACAACCCATTTAGATCACTTGTCATATAATATTAAAATTTTTGAAAAAAATGATTATGTTGGAGGCAGAGCCTTCAAAATAAACTACACTTATATCGACAAGGACTTGGACATTATTAATAATATCCCCGTCGATATTGGTGGGGCTATCTTCACTAATGATAATTTGATTTTGTCAAATGCAATTAAAATCTTCAATTTATCAACAGCTGCTTCAATCGATGAGGATAATTCAAAAATTGATCACTCGTTTGGAATTTTCAATTCATCAGATCCTGAAAAGTTTGTCTACTTGGAATATTCTTCAACTAACCAATTTTATAACAGTATAAAGTTTTTAAGAAAATTTGGTTTATTTTCCTATATTCAATTAAAATATTTACTCAGTGATGTCATTTCAAAATTCATAGAATATTTCTATAAATCAGGATTTCCCTTTGATAGTTTGAATCATATTATTGATAAGAATTCAACAAATTTTATTGAATTAACTAATTTAACAACTTTGGATTATTTGAAAAATTATAAAAAAATCGATAATTCAAATTTTTTACTCCAATTCTGTCAATCAGTAATTAGAAGCAATTATGCTCAAAATATCAATCAAATTCATTCATTTGTTGGATTGGTCAGCTTATCTCCCTTAACTGCCAACAAAATCTATCATGTAACCAATGGCAATAACCTAATCTTTGAAAAGTTTATTCAAAATTCTACTTCTGATTTATTTCTAGATACTAAGGTCTTAAATATTGAAAACTTTTATCAAAACATTTCTTTGCCAAATAATAAGTTGAAATTGACTTATTTAAATAATTCTATCAATAAAATTCAAAATGAAGTTTTTGATAAAGTTATTATTGCTTCTCCTTTAGAATACTTGGAATTTGAAAATGATAAAACATCTAATTCCAATTTTATTCAAAATTTTTATCCAGATCATCAATACGTTGAATTTAAAGATTTATTTGTTACTATTTTCAGTTCAAAGAAGTCAGCTCCAAATAATCCAAGATTTTTTGGTTTGATTAACAGAAGGGATTTTCAAATACCTACAACTATTTTATCAATTCCAAGTTTTTCAACCGATGAAGATTACTATCAAAATAAGGAAGATTTCGATGATGAAGCAATTGGGTTTGAATTTTATTCAATTCAAATTCTCAAATATATTCCAGCAACTGAAGAATATATTTACAAAGTATTTTCACCAAACTACATTTCAAAATTCCAACTTTTACCTTTGTTTTTCCCAAGAAACATTAATAACATTAATTTTTATTACTCAAAACATTGGAAGGCTTTTCCAATTCTAACTCCAATTCAAAAACTCGATGATTTCCAAAATAAATTTAATAAAAATTTATACTATTTAAATTCTATGGAAAGTCTTGTTAGCACTCTTGAAACTTCTGCTTTAAGTGGTGCAAACATTGCAGCTTTGATTGCAAAAGAGTACTTTAAGGATGCAGAGTTTTCTTTGCCCTGATTATTTTAATTTTTTATTAAATATATAAATTCCAAAACATCGTAACAAGTAAGAAATGAAAAGGAAAAGATTAAAAACAAAAACTTATAAATGAAGCTGTATACTTCTAATAATTCACTTGCTCTAATATACTATATCATAGTTGGTGAGTACATATTTTTCTTTAAATATCTATATATATATAGGTATATTTCTGACATTATCAAATACACATTCACAAATCAGTATCTTATTTTCGCTTCCACAATCTCAACACACTGAGCTCTTCCCACCCACATTTTCGGAATATCACTTTTTCCACTTGCAATTTTCTCTCTTTCATCTGTTTGTACACATCATCTGGCTTGTTTCGAGCACAGAACAATATATAGGCAACCCCATTGTCGGCGAGAATATCATGCAAATTGTCCAACAACTTTGCTGTCACTATCATTCCATCGTCACCTCCATTCAACGCCATATCTAGCCATGCACCACTGTCTTGGTCAATGTTGCTTTGTCCATTAATTGTGGGAATCTCGCTGTTGGCTGATGGCACATATGGTGGATTGAAAACCAACAAATCCACTGAATTGTTCACCACACACGATGTCAAACTGCATTGCACTGAATCCATCACACAATTCAGTCTTGAGATACCGCTCTTTTCTAAATTCAATAACTACAGTAGAACAAGTAAGTTTAGATTTTTTTCTTCTTCTCCAAGTTTAATCAAACAATTTTGTGCAATGTTCACTATTTCATCAGATAATTCGGGCAATGGTTCAAATTGAGAGTATATTTCAATATAGGGTAATTTTGTTATTGACTGAGTTTTTTTATTATTGTCAAAATTTTCATTAATGTTGTTATTTAATCTGTATGTCAAACTATTACTGACGTTATTATTGGAGTAACCTGGTTGCTCATTGTTAACATAACCATAGTAGTATAAATTACTTGGGATAAACTGACCATTCTTATCTAAAAAATCGTTTTTAAAAGTGGAATCTTCTTTTTCAATTAAATTAATGTTGTCGATAAATTGATCAATTAAATCTTGTAAACTTTTGTTCAAGTCAATTCTTCTTCTAATTTCCAATATAAGTAAATAATACGATTTTTTAAAATTGAATAAAAAGGAAATCAAAGATAAATGAGTTGAAATTAATTCCTTTAAATTATAAATATTATTATTATCGTTAGTATTATTATCATTGTTAGTATTGCTGTTTTCGTTATTTAACAATTTATTCAAAATAAGGGTAAAATCCTGAGAATCTAAATTATTGATCAAAACTAAAAAATTATTATTCAAGTCTTTGTCGTTAAATTCAATTAGATTTTTAGATAATGAGTTAATCTCTGTAGTTAAAAGGATTTTCAATTTTGAATTTAAATCATTTAAAGAGATTCTATCTGTTTGAATATTCCCAGTAGGAATATTGTTATTGTTATTGCTTGTATCATATATGCTGTTGATCAAGTTGTCGAGATAATCGATATTTGATGGTTCTTCAATTTTTTGGTCTTTTTTGATATTTTCTACTAATTTATTTTCATTTTTAATTTTGATTGATAATTCATTTAGATCTTGTAAAACGTTTGGAACCTCTAAAGAATCTGCTCTGATAATCTCAATTAGTTCAAGTAATTCATATTCGTTTAATGACATGTTAAATATATCGTTTTTTTGAAATAATTCTAAATTTCTATAACATTCTTGACATTGATCATAATGATGGGTCATTGATTGTAACAAATTGACCATTTCGTTTTCGTAAGTGCGATTTATATCGTTATTTACTATGATATTATTTTGATTTTGTGTTTCAATTTTGTTGTTGTTCTTGTTGTTGTTGCTATTATTATTACTGTTATTGGGATTGATAGTAATGAAATCGGTGGAATTATTGTCAAGATCGTTTAATTTGATTAATATTATTTGATAAATAATATTAAATTTGTTTTCAATATTCTTGAAAACATTATTAAATTCATTAAATTTTGTATTGATTTTATTGAAAATCAATTCTTCCAATAAATTTTTTATTTTTTTTTTGTTTTCTTTAAGTTGATTATATCTAAAGTTCATATTGTTAAGATTTTCATCAATTGATAAAAAGTCATATAAAGTGTCAAATTTTTTGCTATTATCACCAGTATTGTTGATGTCGTTTTCATACCTCTTATCAATTTGATCCATCGACACATTAGAATCTACAATTAGATTCTTCTCTATTGTAATATTCTTTAAATTGTCTATAATATGATTCATATTTTTGTTTAAAATGGTTAATTTACTATAGTTTGCATTGAAATTTTTAATAATTCGATCTTTGATTTTAAAACTGATCATATTAATAACATTTTCTAATAGTTTGAGTTGGTTTTTAATGAAATCTAGATAGTAGTTGATATTTGAAATGAGAAGATTATTGTTAAAGCTTATTGCCTGGAGTTTTCTGATTGTATCATTGGCATCATAACAAATTGTTTTCGCGATTGCCAAGTTTGTTCTGGAGTCGATAAGACAGTTCAATATCACAGTGCGTAGCTTCTCATCTAGCAAATGAGTTTGATCAGCAATAACATTATTGCTGAACTGATTCATCTTTAGAAGAAGCTTGGTTAAATACAACACACATCAGGCTGTAAGGCTATAAGGGAGCGAATCGATCGATATATTGATTTCCCGTTTATTTACCCGCATTTATATCAACGTACGATCGGAAATATGCGGTCAGGTGGTTATATAATCTATTTACTTTTGAATAGTTCTTGTGTATACAAAGTTATTCCTACAGTTAGTCTCCTTTTCATTTTATCAGATCAAAAAATTGGACTACTTTGGGGAGGTTTTCTCTGTCAATTTTGTGATATATATTGATTAAGCTACATAAAAAACTATGCAGAGAACCACCGGCAGGGTAGCAGAGAGATAGGCAGCACCTACAAAACAAAAACAAGATGGAGATGTATGTAAAAATCTATATTTTCAACCAGTTTTTATTTTCAAAGCTCTTGAAGCATTATATTAGTGTTTTCTCCACCGCAAACACACTGAAACCACCATCTCTCTCCAATGCAGCTCACATTGTTTGCTGGTTTCAAGTACTGGCTTTACAGCGATCGCTGTTCAGCTGATTCTGCTGCTGATGGCCGAGTGGTCTAATACAGCCCGTGTAGAGCCCTACGTCTCCAGTTCTATTTCAGCTCTGTGTCACTACTTGTGTTTAACATCCTACATCCCACATATCATTTTCTGCTCTTGCGTCATTCACATGTACACATCCCATGACACCTGCAGCTTCTATTTAGCCCCTTCTTGAACTGTTCACTGCCCTTCACACTCGCACGACCCATTCCACACGAACATCGAAGGTATCTTCTGTAGTGCAAAAAGATATGATTTTTACCACTGATGGAAGCCATATCAGTTTTCTAAGTTAAGAAATTACTCTCTTTTAATAAATATAGTTGCTGTCAAATAAAAATGAAACAAAATGTATTTTATTTAAAAATTCTTCTCAGGTAGCATGGTACCAATCTAACTAAGCTTCACATTTAGTTGAAATTGAAGATAACTATCTAAACATCCTGACTGGTGGTTGACAGTTGTGAATCATTTTATTTGGGGACTGATCAGGATTACTCAATTTATCATAAATCGATTGTAGGAATTTTTTAACATTTTTCATTTTTTGAATGGTCCTATAATCTTCCAAAATAATAGCTTCCAAATTTTTTAGTTTTGACATATTTGGAATTTCAGAAACTTTGTTATTCAGTAAGTTTAATTTATTTAAATGAACCAAAGTGAGCAAATTTTCGATTTTAACAATCAAATTCTGATTAAGATCTAATTCATTCAATTTAGTTAATTTCGACAATCCTTCAATTTAGTTAATTTCGACAATCCTCCAATTTTGGTGATACGATTGTTAGACAAGTTAAGAGTTTTGAGATTAACCAAAGCATCTAAATTTTGAATCTTCCTAATACTGCGCCTAAATGATAAACCAGAATAATACGGATTTAACATATTGTTCAGATTCTCAAAATTGTCTAGATTTTCAAAATCTGAGATATCGTTATATAATAATTTTTTTAAATTTGTTAGCATATCTAAGTTTTCAAACCTCTCAATTGGCCAATTATTTGATAAATCCAAATATTCTAGATTGACCAAATTGTCTAGATATTGAGTTATTTTTCTGTGTTTATAGAATACTGTTAACCTCTTTAGATTAAATAGTTTATCAGCATTTCCAATTACATCTGGGTAGTCCTGAATAAGTTTGAATATATCTGTAAAAAAAGATGCCATAGTTTTTAAAGCAAATTCATGAATGATGCTATTAGTAAATGTAAAAAAATAGAAACAATCATTTGAATTTATTTCAATGAAGCTTTCATAAAGACAACGAATTGAATTATTAAAATGATGATAGTCGGTTGTATGTGAATCATGAAGTTTAGTATGAGATGATTTCAAGACTCCTGGCAAACGAGACCAGTCTGGACATCCAAGGTAAATGGTGGTATTCTTTAAATATTTTGAGTTATTTAATATCAGCTCTGCAATGTTACTAATACAAGTCAATTTTGTGTTTTTAAGCGACTTGAAAGCATTAACAAAGACCTGAAAATGTTCTATTTTGTTTGCACTCTTTGTTAGTTGGTAGAGAATATCAAAGCTTCTTGTTTCATCTAGTTGTTCAAAATACATTCTCCAAACTGTGCAAAAGCTAAATATATTGGACTCAAATAGATGCGGGATGATCGAAGCGAATCTTAAAAAATTGTTGTTCATTGATAATAGGCAGATTGGTTAGTAATACATCTCTGAATAGTAATGATGATGCTGCAAATGTAATCACATTTCTGTTTGATAAGCTGAACAACCACAATATATCCATTGACAATTGATTGAATATCATATTGACAAACTCAATAGGAAGCTTGTTATGGGATATTTTCGTGATGGTATTACTTCAGCTTTATTTGAATTATTGTTGTGATACTGTCTCCAAAACAGTTGATTAATATCCATTGTGTAAAGTGAGTCAAAGTAGCTATTATTTTGCCAATGCAGATTCAGATGAATGGAAAGGATAGAAGACAATTCTTGACGTATTTATATATCTTCTAAAACCAAAGAGCATATTGGAAGACATATTGATGGATGTAATCTGTTATTCAGTTAAGTATTTTTTTGACTAAAGATTGGGTCAAAAACAACCAATAATTAGGTGTATTTTGGATCTTGTCAAGTTTGTAAGAGGTATTAAGTCCAATATTTCCAATAGTTAGGTATATTATAATATAAAGGAGAAAAGAAGAAACATAAATAGAAAGTGAGAAGGAAATGGTCGCGTGACCAGATGTTGAAAGTATATCTGGTTCGGGTGTTGACGGGAACCTAAACACAGACTCAAAAGCCGGTTAAAGTTTGCGTGCACACCATGGTACTGACACATATCAAATATAGTGCATATATAATGTATAGTTTTACTATTTAGCAAATCAATAAATCACCATTGGTATGATTCAAAACAATATAATTGCTGGACATATATTTGGTTTCTTATAAATAATCTTACCTTTTTCCACTTCAATGATAATTGCCAAAAATCTTATTTTAACACAATTATAAATATACATGTTCTAATATTGCTGTGCTGAGCATATACCTATCTCTTGTATCTCTAGTACTATGCGATGCATCTAGCCCAGTTGGAAATTTTGTTGATCTGCACTATATTAAACTACCGATTGACTGAGCTAAATACTGGAATATTACCTGAGTTTGTGCTAGTGAAACAAATTTATTTTTCTTAGGGAGTTCTGACTGGGTCCTGTCGACCTATTTTCGCTACGCAGGGTCTGGGCTTTTGTTATAAACGCCACAGTATCAACACCAATAATAGCGTGCTACAAAGTTTCCATGGCTAGTGTGCACGCTGTGGTTTGTTTGTGTGTCAGAGGAAGTGACTGTGATTGTTATTGTTATTGTGATTGGTTTAACGATCACTTCTCTGTTTGATGTAGTGAGTTGCAGCAAAAGCATTCTCCTACGAATTTTTCACAATATATTAAACTGCAAATATCGCTATGAACAGTGTTAGTAATATACTATTATCTTATAACCAATAGATCTACAAATATACATAAAAAAAAAATATTTATTAGAAAGTGTTGGGAAGTAATAGAATAGATAAAGTGGTTGGAAAAAGCAATGATAAAAATAAAATGTTAAAATAGGTAAAATCACAAGATAGATAAGGTAGTGACAAAGAAAAAAAATTAAAATAAAGATAATATTAAAATGACATGATAAGATAGAGAAACTGGTTAGGTCTTTTATTACTTGTTATAAAATCTCCAATTGCTGAGATTTTGATCTTGTTGACATTGTTGACCTTGATCTTGATTTTGTTGATTCTGATATATTTCATATTGATCTTTTTGATTTTGGTTTAGATCTTGATCTTGTTGACCTTGATTTTCTTGAGATAATTGATCATTTTGATATTTTTCGAATCCAGCCTGAATCTGTTGAAGATATTCATGTTCTTTTTGAGTTTGATTTTGGAATTGTTGTTGTTGATTTGCATGTTCCTCTTGTTGGCTTGATGTACTTGTTGAGTTTTTTGTGCCTTGTGCACACATTTTGAAAATGGTATTGTTATTTTTGAACATCTTGTTCAAATGTTGTGCTAGTGATTGATGATACATCTTGCCGATTGTACGATAACTCTCTAGCTTCATTTGCTCAAATATGTGTATGTCACGAATGCAATCAACCACAAAACGATGCTTTTGTTGAATTATTGGGTTGTTAGAGAGCTCCTGAACATACTCACTCAACATATTTGACAATTCTTGAGCACAATAATAGATCTTGTGATTGAGATGGATTTGAATGTCTTTTCTGCAATAAACGAATGCTGCTGGATCATTAAACGATTTGAACTGGGCTAATGAGTAGATATATTTTAAGATGATTTCAAGATAATGGTCATTCTGTTTGTCTAGCTTGCACAGACATAACTGATGTGATTTATTAAATGGTCCAAAACATCCTGGATTGTGAGTTACAACAATGCTATCAGCATTGACACCAGCATTGACACCAGCATTGACACCAGCATTGACACCAGCATTGACACCAGCATTGACACCAGCATTGACACCAGCATTGAAACTACCACTGAACTGATTGTTGTTGATGGTCAAATTCATATTCCTGATATTATTATAAATAATTCGATTGTCGCCATTGCCAATATTGTTGCCATTATTATCTGTGTTTGTGTTGTTGTTGACATCGACATAATTATAATTATTGTTATTATTATTATTGTTATCATCATCACTATCAACAAGATAATGATATATGCTATTACTATATTTGACAAGATTGTCATCAACAACATCACTAGCAGTATCAGCAGCTTCATTATTAGAAATCAAATTAAAATGATCATTACCAATACCAATGTTATTAGAAAGACCATTATAAAGACTATTATAAATACCATTACCAAAACGATTACCATTAGAACGGGTATTAAAAATACTACTATATTTGTTACTGTCAACTTTGCCACTATTGAAATTGATATTGCCAGTATCTATACTGGAACCACCAAAATTACCGACACCATAACCATCTGTGCTAGCCAAGCAATTACTATTAATGTTAGTGCTATCATGAATTGTATTGATGGAGCTGTTGTTGGTTGTTGTTGGGACTGGTGAGAGTAGTAAGAATGGTGAGATTGGTGAGAATGGTGAGAGTGGTGAGGGTGGTGAGGGTGGTGAGGGCGATGAATATTTCCTAATACTATTGTTGGAAAACATTACAAATATTACAATCAATGCAACTAATGCAACTAATATAAAAGATATGAAGTTTCTGAAGTTTATAAAGCTTAGGAATGTGATAAAGATTATGAAGATTACCAAAGTTATGAAAATTAGAAGTACTATAGCTACTGGAAGTACTATAGCTACTGGAAGTACTATAGCTACTAGAAGTACTATAGCTACTAGAAGTACCAGAGGTGGTAAAACTATGCTGATTATATATTATCAGAAATCAATCAATCAAAGCAGAATCAGTGATATTTATATCAATTTAATTGCACAAAAATCGGAGGCAAAAGTGACCATGCTATGTTTACATCTCACCTGAATGCCAAATTGGGCAGATAACCTGAACCAATGATTTGGACAAGTGTTTTGATTTGATGGTTCAATCTGAATAAAAATCGATACATCGTTCAATCTTTATAAAAATCGATACATTGTTCAATCTGATGATTTCGAGGGAAAAACAAACATAATTTCGAGGGTGGAATCTGAAAAAATAGCTGATATCTCCAGATTTGATTTCAATATCTCACTCGTAAGTTGGCTATTGGCATAACATGATAAACAAACAAATAACATACTATTTATTGCTGTTGGCGTCGGATGCCAGACCTGCTACTGCAGACAGTGAGCAGAAAGTAACAGTTGTTCAGCACAGGTCTAATCAACAAAATCACTGTAAAATGCCATCAGACACATGGTACCAGATACATCCATTGATTGCACACAAACTTCCTTTTAGCAAGGCTATCGAGCTATCCTGCGATTGGTGTACAGACATTAGAGAGTAACAACCTTCCGGTCAAACATTTGCACTAGGTATAAAGATGTATATGTGTAGAGCGTATAGAGCAAGGGATTTTAAGAAAATTGGAGAGAGTGCAAAATATCCAAACAAAACAGCAAATAAGGATGAGAGTGTGTGTAGATGTTACAAACACAGATGGTGGTAAGTATGGTTTCGGCATCAGGCGAGACGCAAAATGCACAATAACGCACTGTATACATACGCAGCATGGTGCACTGGTGTGCCTGTGGTGTGATGACGTTTAGTAAGCATAGAATTACATAGAGTTGCACACATTGAAATGTTCTTTTCCGAATCTGGCACAACTACAACCGGATCTGGTTGTACCCTCGTTTCTCAATTTATTCAGTTCTTGAATCTTCGTCACCATCAATTTCAGCACAATGAATTTAATGGTTCTTATTTTTTTAGATGATTCTCTTATTATTCAACATATTTAAATTTATTTTCTCAGTTAGGTATGTTGAGCCATTTTCCATTGTTTGGCCTTTGCCAATATTCCATTAAGAGAAATGCTCTTTTTGGCGTCATCAGGGAAAATATAATCAATATACTCTTTAGAATATTTTTTATTTTCAACCTTGTTAATTTTCCTTACTATCATAGGCATTCTTTTCTTTAGTGTTTCAAATGATTCTTTTGTTCCGTTTTCCTCTTCAAAGTCTTTAAAGGCTTCCATTACAATTGATCTTTTCTCCTTCATTTCGTTGTCTCGATAGTATTTTAAAGCTTCTTCAAAAATTCTTCTTGCATTGTTTAACTGGATTTCTGTAATCTCAATTTCAATCTCATCCTGATCATCTTCACCATTTTGATACTGCAATAATTGTTCTTCGGTAGGAATGGTTAACTCAAAATTTGCATATTCAATCCACACCTTGACATCATACCCTGAGTTTGCAAGAAATTTTTCAAAAAGTTCAATACTTTTTGTAAATTGATTCTGTTCATACTCGAAATCAATATACTTTTTCCAGAACTGTTTAATCTCAATTAATTGGGCATTGTTGCTTGTATTTGATGAAGACAATGAGAATCTTGGCAAGTTTATGGCAATTTCATAAATCTTTCTTGACCTCTCAATATCATCTAAATTGCTTTCGAATTCAGCGTACTCATTCCATATATTAATTAATCCAGGATAACTTTCTAAGAATTTTTCATAAATTTTTCTCACTCTATCAAATTCTTTTAGTTTTATTTCAATTGATATATATTCTTTAAATAATTTGGGTTTGGAACACATTCCAATTGCCATACCAAATAATTTTCGTGCTTTGCCAATATCGTTTTGCCTTATTTCAAATTTAGCATTTAGTATCCAGATTTTAGCAAAAGTAAACTTTTTATGAGGTATAATCTTCAAAATCCTTTTGAAAAGCTCCCGCACTTTACTAATATTTGCAAAGTTCAATTCCTCCCAAAAAATGTATTTGATCCATATGAATATATATCTTCTCCAGTAATCTTTCTGCACAACTTTTGGAGTGCACTTAACACAATCATCAAACACTTTTCTAATTTTTTCTACATTCTCAGAAATTGAAAGATTAGAATATAACTCTTCAATTATTTTTATATATAGCCACCAAGTATCATAATCAGTTTTATCCTTTTCTAAAATTAACTCGTATTTTTTTTTTCTTTTTAAAATAATGGACTTTTCTATTTGTTCTTTATTCCCAAACTTTTTCTCAAATTTTGTAAAATTATCAAATAAGAGTCTGTTTTTATTTTCACTCAAATATAATAACCCAAATTCATAGATTGCTCTTGACCTTTTAATTTCATTTTGTGAGGCTTCCCATTCTGCAAAATCTATTAGTAAATTTTCATCAATTGAATTAAAGTCGTTGTTATTTAATTTCAATATTGAGTCAATAGATATTTCAAAAATTTTTCGAATTGATTCGATTGTTCCAAAGCTTTTTTCAAACTCTATCCATTTTAACCAGGTTTGGGTGTCAGAAAATTTCAATAGATATCGACTAAAAATCTGTCTAATCTTATAATAATTAGTATTATTTTCATTTTCATTTTTATTTTTATTTTTATTTTTAGAATCATTGATATTGCCATTCCTTTTTAATAGATCAATATAGGCATCCCATGCGTAATAGCTTGGGTTATATGTTAACCACTTTTCAAAAATCTTAATGCAATTAGAAATCTCTTTTAAATTCTCTTCAATTTTCAAATAATTAAACCATAATTTATCTTCCATTGGTAAAATATAAACCGATCGATCCATTAAATTTCTGGCATGGTTTATATTCTTAAATTTTAGCTCAAAATTAATATAACGAATCCAGATTTTTACCTGATTCTTTTGATTATATACTAAAGCTCTTTCAAAAATCGACCTGGCTCTTTCAAATTGATTCTGCTGAATTTCAAATTCAGCATATCGTAACCATTGGTTGATATTTTGATAATTTCTTCTTAAGGCCTCTTCATACTCCTTTCTCTTTCTTCCTTGATGCTCCAATAGTTCTTCCTCATCAATGATTTTAATGTTTGGTTTTCTCAAAGAGTTATCTTGGATTTGATATGATTCCAAGACAATCTTCTCGGCTGATATTTGAATAGGAGCAGGAGCTTTATTTTGAATTTTAGGTCTTGATTCAGTTTCCATTTTGATAGAAATTAGTTAGACAATAGTTTTGGCTAGAACAAATTATAGATTTATTGTTTAATTGTTTTCTCAAAAACTTCCGGTGAATGATTAAAGTTTCCGCGGATCACGGAATGGTTGAAAAAGAATTTTTTTTTTTTTCTTTCAACAAATTTTCAATTATTCTGCAACAGTACTTGAATAAAATGTCTTTGGCAGTATCCAGAATTAGTAAAAAAGATAGAAATGTCAAGAAAACTAAAAAAATAAGAAGAAATAATGAGTCTGTTTTGGAATTAGCTGAGAAAATCAAAAAGAATTATAGGAAAAAACAAGAAAAAAAACAAAGTGAACCGCATTTAGGAACTATCAGTAATGAGAATAATGATACGAATAAAGACAAAATAAAGCAAAAGCAAAAGCAAAAGCACAAGGGAGTAGTAGAGAAAGTGGAAAAAGAAGAAAAGGAAGAAAAGGAAGAAAAGGAAGAAAAGGAAGAAAAGGAAGAAAAGGAAGAGAAAGAAAATAATAGTAAACCAAATATTGAATCGTTTTCTGATTTAAATTTAATACCAGAATTGTTGGAAGCGTGTGAAAAGTTAAATTTCAAGAAACCAACACCAATTCAAATTGAATCTATTCCTCCTGCTTTAGAAGGCAACGATATAATTGGGTTGGCTCAAACTGGGTCAGGAAAAACAGCAGCATTTGCTATTCCCATTTTGCAAGCACTATGGCATGCCAGAACCTCATATTTTGCATGTGTATTAGCACCAACAAGAGAATTAGCGTTTCAAATAAAGGAAACGTTTGATGCCTTGGGTAGTGATATGGGCTTGAGATCATGTTGTATAGTGGGAGGAATGCCTATGGTTGATCAATCGATCCAGTTGATGAAAAAACCTCATGTAATCATAGCTACTCCCGGTAGATTGGTTGATCATTTAGAAAACACAAAAGGATTTTCTTTAAAATCGTTGCAGTATTTAATAATGGATGAAGCTGATAGATTGCTAGAGTTAGAGTTTGGGCCTGCCATTGATACTATATTGAGAGTGATACCAAATAAAAGAAGAACATTTTTATTTTCTGCTACAATGACAACAAAATTAGAAAAATTACAAAGAGCGTCGTTACACAATCCAGTTAAAGTTATGATTTCCGATAAATACTCTACAGTTGACACGTTGATTCAAAGGTTAATTATTTGTCCATCTTCACAAAAAAACACATATTTAATATACTTATTGAATGAGAACATTGGAAAGTCAATAATAGTGTTTACAAGAACCTGTGCACACGCTCAGCGTTCTTCCCTTTTGTGTAGAAGTTTGGGATTTTCTGCCATACCATTACATGGTCAATTGACACAAACTCAAAGAATTGGGGCCTTGAACAAATTCAAAAGTGGTGCTAAACTCATTTTATTTGCAACGGATGTTGCAGCAAGAGGTTTGGATATTCCGCTGGTTGATCTAGTGATAAATTATGATATTCCTACAGATTCAAAGGCATACATTCACAGAGTGGGCAGAACTGCGAGAGCTGGAAAAAGTGGCAAATCAATATCGCTTGTAACTCAATATGATATTGAATTGTTGCATCGTATTGAAAGTGTGATTGATATGAAGATACCTAAAGAAGACGTTGATAGAGATGCTATTTTAACTCTTCACGATTCTACTGAAAGAGCCTACGGTGATGCTATCAGAAAAACCAGAGAGTTTCAGGAAAACAGAAGGTTCAAGAGCAAGGGAAGAAGAACGAATAACGAAGAAGATAAAGGTTAGGCTATGACGAATATGTATTTCGCTAAACACCATTGATAGTTATCAAAGTAATTGCTTATTATGCAATAAGCCAGCTGTATATTTTATAATACAAGTATTTCAAACCGTAATCCTCCTTTTTTCCATGCAAACGCAGCGATGGTATTGTTCACAGGAGTTACACTGGCTCCATCCAGCAAAAGCAGCAAAAGCACCACGGAAATGCCCGGTGCTCAACCGTGGCGCGGATGCGGATAGATAACTGCTGAAAGTTCTTTTTTTTTTCAAAAGAAGCAGTGGAATTTTTGTGTTAAAGTGCTGCTTTTGGTGTTTGTGCTGGATGGCGGTGGTAGCAACAGATGCTTAAAGGGAAAGTGTAGGTCAGACCATGTTGCCAACTCCAGAGGTGATAGCCGATTTCAACAGGATATACGAGCCTGCCGAAGATACGTTTTTGCTTCTTGACTGCTTGGAGGAACAAAAGCTGTTTTTGAATCACATATTGTTTGATTGCAAGAAAAAAGCCAGTCCTCCCCTAGTTATGGAAATTGGAACAGGATCTGGTGTGATAACATCCTTTATACAAAATTCAATTTTTCCTAATCAATTTGCAATATACTTGACAACAGACTTGAATTCTTATGCCTGTGAAACATCGCTTAAGACCAGTGAGTTGAATTTAGAAAAGAGCGGTATCTCAAGACTGAATTGTGTGATGGATTCAGTGCAATGCAGTTTGACATCGTGTGTGGTGAACAATTCAGTGGATTTGTTGGTTTTCAATCCACCATATGTGCCATCAGCCAACAGCGAGATTCCCACAATTAATGGACAAAGCAACATTGACCAAGACAGTGGTGCATGGCTAGATATGGCGTTGAATGGAGGTGACGATGGAATGATAGTGACAGCAAAGTTGTTGGACAATTTGCATGATATTCTCGCCGACAATGGGGTTGCCTATATATTGTTCTGTGCTCGAAACAAGCCAGATGATGTGTACAAACAGATGAAAGAGAGAAAATTGCAAGTGGAAAAAGTGATATTCCGAAAATGTGGGTGGGAAGAGCTCAGTGTGTTGAGATTGTGGAAGCGAAAATAAGATACAGAACGTCATTTATAAGTTTTTGTTTGCAATTTTTTATTCCTTTGCTTTATTGTTGTTTTTATCTGCGAGGTGGGATCTAAAACGATTAATAGTTATATATAAACAAAGAGTTTTTATTCAAATACTTATAGATACACTAAATATTTTTATATAAAACAAAATAACACAAGTCAATATTTCTGTTCAATTATCAATAGATATTCTTTTATTTTAAAAAAAAATCGACTAAATGTCTGCTAATGCCAATTGTTCTTCTTTTGTCAATCCCTCATCTGGTAATAACTCAAGTTCATCCATATTAAAATCTCCATCTGAATCAATTCCCGCTTCTCTTCTCTGTAACTTTTGGTAATCAAGCAATTGATCATAATTCCAAACAGAGATACCTTCTTGGTCTTTTGGATCCATAGGTTGGGCTTGTTCTCTGAAAAACTGTTTAGCATGAGATATAGCCATATCTGTAGATAAGTTTGTTTCAGCATCGGATAGTCTTTGCAAAATCCAAGTGGGAAGTTGATTTCGCTTTCTAGAAAATCTACGGTCTGCTAATACCATTACTCCATAGTCATCCTTTCCTCTTAATACTCTACCAAGGCATTGGGCGCCATGTCTCATCGCATCAAAAGAAAGAAAATCATTTTCTCTAATTTGAAAATTGTCTCTTAGAAATTCTAATCTAGCTTTTAAAATTCTAGATTCAGTATACTGAAATGGAATTCCAATTAATAAAACGGTTCTTCCGTAATGATGATCGAAATCAATTCCCTCGGACACTTTTCCTCGAGCAACAGAAAACAAGACTGCACCTCTACCATTTGAGCAAGCGGTTCTATAAGTTTGTAGGGCTAGAGCAGTTTCCTGTGCATCTGGAGTCTCGACTAGTATTAATTTGTATTTCCAAACTTCATCAAGAATACCCATGCTTTGCCACATTGATATGATACTTTCCATGTAAAGATATGAAGGAAAAAAGACTACCAAGCCATCTGGTGTGATTTGGGAAAATTCAACTAGTAATGAGCCATAGTTTCTAATGATACTTAGATCATTTCTGATTTCAAATCTTGAAGATATGGCTACTTGGTCTGAGCCTTTTGTTACAATTAGGGGTAAGAAAGTTTTTTTTGCCAAAGTCATTGAGTAAGATTTTTGTAGAACAGTTTCAAAATCAAGCATTCTTGGGTACATGTCGAGAGGGGATATTGTTCCAGATGTTATTATAACAGAAGAGAATTTTTGAAAAACCGGTTTCATAGCAATTGAGGCATCAAGACAAGCAAAGTGTAGAACAGGATTGGGGACTTTTGCTTCATCAGTTTCAAAGGGTTCTATGATTAGTTGGAAGCCCTTTTCATAGGTAGAAACCAAGGTGGCAAAAGTAGCAATATCTTTAAGGGCGGTGTAGTCTTCGATATTGTTTAATTCCAAGTTTCTTACAAGTAGGGATAGTCTTTCTGAGCAGTATTTCAAGGGTTTTCTATCAATAAAGGTTAGTTGTTTCAAGTGGATTAAAAAGGATTCTGTTGATTCACAGATGGTGTTTAGAATTTTCATTCTAACTTTGATATAGGCCAAAAATCTTTTCATAAATGAAAGGAAGTATTTTCCCTTCATGATTGTTCCTGGAAACTCTTTTCGTATCAAGTCAGTTGACAAGGGAACAGTGTTATTTTTTTCGTTATTTGATTGAGTTAGGCCGGCTAGTAGTTGATCATATTCATCTTGCAATTTTTTTGAGTCATTTTTCTCAATTTCTATAACTGCTTTACTAAGACCATTAGCGGCTCTTGTAGCTCTCTTTAGAGTGTCATTTGTTATGTCTAGCGATAGGGCTTCAATGCAGACGTTGTCAATGTTGTGACCCTCATCGAATATGACGATGCTATCCTTTGATAGTTCTTTTGAGACTCTTTCAGAAATTTTTGGATCTAGTAGGTAGTGGTATGAATAGATGATTATGTTACAAAAGGGGATCATACGACGAACAGTAAAGTAAGGGCATGTTTTTCTTTCTTGACAGTAGTTCAATAGAGAATCAAATGAGTAAATGCCTGAGGGGATGTAGTTTCCTGGATCAATGCTGTTCATATTTTCATGGAAAGAACAGAGAGAGACATCTAGATCTCCATTTTCAATTTTTTTCTTGTTTTGGCCATTTGTTAGTCTTCTGCATTTCTCATCGACAACTGTGCCCTTTCTTTCGTTCTTGATTGTTGGATGCAAACATAGATTTTTTCTTGATGTTAGGCCTAGACCTAGGAATTGCTCGGCGTAGCCTAGCTCGCTTTCTCTGTACTTCATCAAGTTGTGCAATTCGACTAGAGCCTTTTCAATTTCCGACATGGTACGTGAGCAATAGACGATTTTTCGATGTTCAGAGTAGTGCATCTGGTGAGCGACAGTGACTGCTAATAGGGAAATTGTCTTTCCAGTGCCCGAAGGCATCTCAAGCACAGCATGGCCACCAACATCAAGGACTTTTTTCAAATCACAGATATATTTGTACTGTTCAGGGTATATTTTGGGATAGGGAAAATAGACAGGAAGATCATCGATGTAGAAGCTGGGAACGGTTAATCAAAGGAAGATTAGTAATGTGTGCATTGGTCGGCAAGAAGAATTGTGTGTGACGAGCAGAAGAGATACATACAGCATTATCTATCTAGGAGAGCTTTGACGTGAAGCACAGAACAGTGAGTATGGAACAAGATCTGTTACACCTCCTAAGGACTGAGAGATACCATTGACGATAGCTGGAACAGAAAAGTGGTGGAGAGTTGAGAGTGAAAATTGAACGTCAAATGGACCGAATTTCGCTCTGCGGTTTGATGCATAAGCCGGAAATCCCGGATATCAGGTGGACTGCCGGAATGGGCGGCAGAAAACGCAGGAGAAGAAGCTGAAGAGGAGCTGGAAAAGACGACAGAGCAGGAGATGTTTCTGAATGTGACCAAAGAACAGGATGAGAACCATAGGCTAAGATTCGAGTGCCTCTTAACTTTCATCAACGTCGACAGGAGGGTGGTGTCCCTGGGCCAGAACACCGGCGCTGGTTCTGGACGTGGGCCCTCAGACAGCAGCAGCACCAATGGCAGCTCTCTTCCATACAGCAACCGTCGTGGCAACAGCCTGCGATCTTCAGACAGCATTCGTCCTGGAGAATTTGGTGGTGGTTTCAGCGACGACAACGCCAGCGACTCTGGTGGGTCTGGTGGTCGCAACAACCCAGAGCATGGCTACGTTCACAGTCTCAGATTACTAGGGGCTCAGAGTTTCACTGCCAGCCCAGGCGCAAATACAGAGAGGACTACCCAGCTAACCAATTTCAATGGCGATGAAGACGAAAGTCCCACTTCTAACAACCCCAATGGTCCTGACAGCGATCTTCAAAATAACTTTTTCGGCGACTTTTTCTCCAACCAAGACGACAACAACAGCACTGATCCCAATGCTAACCAAAACAATCAACCTCGTCGCACTGAATCAGACAACAGTCAATTGGGCATTTTCCCTTATTTATTAAATTCCATGCTGGCCTCAAATCTGCTTCCACAAAGCAACGTCTCCGAGGATTTTGATGGTCTTTTTAGAGACTTGAACCACTTGAATTCCGATAATCATGACAATCACAACTACTCGAATGTAGACGCTGATGTTGCTTCATCTCAAAACAATATTATTGGAAATGACGATAGATTTTTCAAGTACGTTTTTGCTGATAAGAATATCAATATCCAGAAAAAAAAAGATTATTTATTGAAAAAGTTGGCTCGTTTACGATCCTATAATCATCATAATAATTATAATGACAATGACAATGACAATGACAATGACAATGACAATGACAATGATAATGACAATGATAATGATAATGATCATGACAATAACAATAACAATAACAATAATAATATTAATAATTACTACTCAAAGGACCCAAATGATGCTTATATAAAATTCAACTACAGAAACGATTGTTTTTTCAACCATTTAAATAACGAAGAGTTCATGAATGGCATAAATATCTCAAATCTAAATAAAGTGCATGAAGTATCTTTTTCTCCTCACTTTGCTGTAAAATCACAGCCAGGCTCAAAATTCAACTTTGACAATAAATTTTCCTCTTTAAACATTAAATTTTTGGGAAAAAGAAAAATAGACTTTTCAACTGACAACTACATGCTCTATAGTTCTTTTGATCCACATAATACCAGAAATACAAATACCAATAACAATACTACTAGCGTTTTAAATGATGATAATAATAACAACAATAACAATAATAATAACAATAATAATCCACCTATCAATTTAAACATGACAGACAATACAAACATTAATCTAAATCGTGAAAATAATCCACCAATCACTCAACGGTTCAATGATAACTTAAATAATAATATTAATAATGAAACCTTTTTAAGATCACAGCCCAATATCAATAATGACATCTTTGAAGAAACAAACAATCTATTGCACAATACAACACCCTCTAATGATTCAAATTTTGTCTCGGAGGACAATTACACAAATTTTAAATATAAAGGGAATTTATTATCTGCTTCCAAAAAATATTCAAATGTCATGTTTTATGCCATCAAATCTGAAATATTTATTTTGGGCATAAATGAAGTAACAGGTTTACCCTTGAAACATCCACTATTGAGATTCAATACAATTCCATACGATCGAAACAACCGGGAACAGTTCATGAGAGACCGCCTTGCTGCAATCAATTACTCATTTCCTTACTCAATTAATTGCTTGAAAGTTTCAACGTTTTTAGATAGAGAAGTATTAGCCGTCACCACTGATGATGGAAGAATACTAATCTGGTTTACAGATATACTACTCGAAAGATCAAACTGTTTTATCCGTGACTATATCGATAAAAAAGCTAATGATCGTTTGAAAAATTTAAATAGTTTCTCAAATTCCCCAAGAATAAATTTGGAATTTACTGATCAATTTAATCACTCAAATACTTCCAATAAAGAGGACTTGTTTCACAACCATCCCAATTTTCAACTTAGAGTTGGCTTATCGGCTTGGTCAATTGATTTTCATAATAAATATAACATGATTGCTGTTGGAGATAATAGTAAAACAATCACCTTGTTTTATTTAGCTACCGAACACAGTGAAGCAACTTTTTATGCAGTAACAACAAATGAATTGATGCATAACATACCTGATATTTCTTTTATAAACAATGATGAAGAAGATGATGACGATGAATATTATGATGATGATGATGATGATGATGATAACGAATATTGGGACAATGATAATCAAGATAGTAATTCGGATGAGAAAAATTCTGGCTCTTTTACAAATTATGAAAATGGAAAAAAGAAAAACATACATTCACGCTTGAAAAGTAGTCCTGTATCGTCGATGTTAAATATAACTGTGCATATCGCTGCTACTGCTATATTTGGTGAACTAGTTATTTTTGAATTTAAAATGGAAAAAGTTTTTGGTCCAAGAGGACCCAGTTATTTGGATTTGCTGAATTTTTGCTTAACACACGATATAGATTTTGATGAAAATATTGGCGTTGCTGATTTAACTAGTGATTCTATTGAAATAAATACAGACAACCAAAATGAAATCTATGAAACAGCAGAAGAAACACAAACCGAACTATCAAGTGTTTCAAGTATTTCAAGTGATGAAAGACATAATATTGATGAGAAACAAAAATTATTTCAAAAAATGAAAAAATTATCTAAATTAAAATTCTCCAGAGTTAAATTTTCAACTCCCATCATAATTTCGCGTCAGGTTTTAGACGAAGATGGATGGACAGTCAATACAATAAATAAAAAATATTTCAAAAAAGTTTCTTCATTGAATTTATTGCTTGGAGATACATACATTGATCAAAGTGAATTGATTCAATCATTTTTAAAAAAAAGTGAAATTTTAGATGGAGAAAGTGATCCAATGGTATCTGACGATTTAGGTATATCAAAAAATTTGCATTTTTTTAATGTTCCAGTAATAGATCGTTCACTAATATCTTTGATGAGCGAATTCCGAATTACTACATCTTCTGATTTGAATGCTTTGCTTCGATTCATAGGCGGAATTCATTACATTCTTCCCTCTCTTGATGATACAGATCTGGAGGATGATCCTAATGATTCACCGATTGGGAATAATAATCGTAATCATCTCATTAATCGTTCAAGACCCAACTTTATATCCAACAATAGTAGTTTCTCGAATAGAGAACATAGAAACAATTCAAACGGCAGAAGTGATAGTGCAAAATCATTGGATTCTCGCAGCATAAAAAACTTTTCAACATTGGATGATACAATTAAGAGATACAGAAAATTCTATGACGCATATTATTTGAAAGTTCAGCGGAAACGAAAAAAAACGTATAAAAGTATAAACGGAAAAAAATACTGGCAACCAATAGCAGAATTAAATAATGAATTTCAAAAACATGTGCTATTGGTTACCACCAAAACAAGATTAGGAATATTCAATCCAAACAAATTAATTTGCAATGCTGGTACAAATTCTATATTTTCCTTTAATATAGATGAAAATAATTCATTATTAGAAATACTAGATGTAGACCATGGTGGTCGAATGGAAGAGCTTACCGCAGCAAATCGAATATCAATTTCAATCTTGATACCGGATTTATCTGCTATTGTCATTGCAACTCAATCAGGTGTAATTTCAGTTTTCAGATTAACTACATTCAGAGGATTGTATGGGTTTCGGCAAGAGTTAATTTTTCCAAACGTTTATAAAACATCAATCAAAGGACATGGAATGCTCAAATCAATAAGTGGGCTAGCTGTAAGAAAGGTGGGATTCAGTGATAGCTATGTTGATTTGAATGATAATGCGCAGCGAAAAAATGGAATCTATTCGCAAGACAAATATTTCATCTATGTTACTTATATCAATGGGGAAACACTATGTTATGAAATATACGCAGAAGAAGATAAGCTGATTCTTAATTCATTAATTATATAAAGTAAAAAAATCAATGGTTTATAGCAATAACATTGGATGTTTTTCTTGTTTTTTTTTCTTGTTTTTTTCTTGTTTTTATGGAACAAAATTGTGTATTTTCGGTATTGCAAAAAATTTCGATGCATGCTTTGTTGAAATTCTTGCTTTTAAAAAGTGAACATCTATTGGAAAACAAAACCTAGAATATTAAAATAAAAAAATACATATGAATACTTGATAAGACAAGAAGAGAATTAGAATCATTCGAATCAATTCCTAAACTAAATATAAATTTTGATATGCATGCACAAATTTTATTAACCGCAATTTGATAATTCATTACTGTATTTTCTAAACGTTTTGTGCTCTTGATTGGACTAAATATCAAATAACACAACGTTGATAATCTAAACATCAGATGGGTAAGGAGTGTCCAACTTGGGAGGAACAACCCTTTCGTATTTGGTACCTCCTGGTCTTCCGGGAGGAATAATTGGATCAGGATGTCTAAGCTCATAGAGTAAGCCTTGAGTTTCCCTTATGATTTTGTTTAGTTCTTTTGGATCAGAAACATCTTTGTTAATGTCAAACTTTCTTCGGAGCTCCATGCATTGTTTTCTGTATAAATCTCTTCTGAAAATCCAGTTTCTAGCTAGCCTCAAAGATTGGAGATAATAGCTGCAGACCAACTTTCTGTTGGCAGCAGTAAATGGCAATGGTAATGGAGCAGAGGACATTGTTACTATCGCTTTTGAAGGGAAGATGAATAACAGCTGCAAGTGTTGGTATCAGCTCCAACTTCTCCAAATGCCAAATTATTAAAGACGAAAACCTCATTGGTTTAGTGGATAAATCCGCGCAGTGGGAGAACCGGAAAGAAAACCGGCTATCCATGGCATTCCGTAAAGCAGGATAACTCCACCCGTGTCTAATATCCGGTGCTGGATCACACACCCATGCACGGATTCTAATGTCCGCTCCGGCTGTGTTTTTATTGACATTTTGCTTAATTGGGAAAAAGCATTTGATTACTGCACTTTCAAACACAATTCATGTTTATTTATAATGTTTCTACATTTATTAATGCTGTGGTTTCCTTTATTTTCTGTTTGATCTGACATTCTTGATCTGTTGTGATCCATTTTGATCTGGGTTTTTATTTATCTTTATTTTTGATTTTTTTGATTTTTTTGATTGTTTTTGATTTGCATTTGGCTTTTTCACTTTTTGTTTTCTATCTGGGCTCAGCGAGTGATAGTGATTTATCATAATCTTTGTAGCAAAAGTTTATTTTTTTCTCTTCATGAGAATATCATTGAAATAATGGATCTTGATATTTCAAACTATCTTCAAAGTTTAAGAGAATTAAATGATAAAAGGGTCAGAGAAGACGAACAATTAGCAAGAACATTAGAGGAAGATATCAGAAAAAGGAAGTCTCACAGTGCAAATTTTTACTCGCATTATAACAGCCAGTATGGCGAAGAAGATCAAGATCATGGTAAGTATGGTTGACTTTTGGGGTTTTTTTTATGTCAATTCTATCTGTTTATTCTAACAAAGTATTCTTTTTTTTCTTTGCCTACAGATTCTGACAACTCAATTACTATGTCAGTAAAGTCTCTTGATCTAGATTTTAATGCTTACAAAAAGTCAATTTTGAAAGATGATACCAATAGCACTAATGACAGTTCAATTATTAAAAGACAACTGACGATCAAAAGATCAAGGGAAGTATACACCAAAAATCGCCGGAAACCGTCTTCAAATCTGTCTTTTAACAATACCTTTGATCCAAATATCAACAATATTAACAATAATAAGGATATTACAAATGTTAATTTGCAAAACTATGATGATGCCTATGATGAACAAATGTTGAATTTGTTGTCTCCAATTGCTAGACAATTATCACCTTCAAAAGCTACTCAATTAAATATTGCAAATGACGGTTATACAAATAATAATGTTAACATAAACAAACCAAAAATTAATAAAAACAAACCTCTACCTGATATATTTGAACATAGCAATCCCATTGACAAAGACTTGTCTTATGAATCTGATAAAGAAAATATTAATTATAAAAATAATTACAATAATAATTATAACAATGATAATAATAATAATAGTAATAATAACAAAAATAATTATAACAACTTTAATAGCAATTACAACAATGATTCAATCGATTTTTCAAATAGCCCTCTAAAATACCAGTCCGCTTATAATTTTGATAAAATTGAAAACCTCCAAAAAAAATTTGATGAAAGTTTATCTTTATTGAAAAATTCTCAAAATTCTCAAAATTCTTTTTCTAAACAAAATAATTCAAACAAAAATTCTTCTAATAAACTACAGTACACCATTGATGATTTGGACAATTTAGATAACCTAGACGACTTGGATGAAATCAGGAAAAAAATTGACAATACCTCTTTTCGTTCCAACTATAATGAAACAACGGTTTTGGCTGATATCACAAGCAGTGTTTTGAGAAATTCTGAAAGAAGAGAAAACCGCATTAAAAGTCTTGATCTAAACTTGAATGACAATTTATATCCTGAAAATGACTTGAACTCTAATTTTAACAAACCTTTGACCACTCAAACAAGAAATGAGCCACCAAATGTTTTTTTTAATAACTCGATTATGAAAAGATTGCAAAACTTTTCAACTAAAACTAATTTTGATGAAAGAAATTTTGATTATCAGGAATTTTTAGAATTTAAAAGGAAAAATTCCATTAAAATTGTCCCTGAACCTTCTTTTCCTTTAAGCTTATCCAAAGAAAATCGAAAATCAACCTCTTTTACAATCCATAGTGAGCCTGCTGCCAATTATTATGATCAAAATACAAATAATGAATATATCAACGAAAAACCACTCATCCTGCCCTCTCGAATTATTAATTTGTCTGATGTGGAATCTGATTCCGAATCTGACCTAGAAAATAATTTTAATAAAAATAATGAGCTAAATCAAACAGCTTTAAAAAGCTCTTCTGAAGCTAAAACCAATGGTGATATTGAAATCTTATCTATCGATAGCAGTGAGGAAAGTTCAGATGAAAAATATAAGATCAACCCTGATTCGATGGATCTTTTAAGAAAGTTATCTCAAAGATCTGCTAAAATCACATCCAAAAGAAAATTACCTTCACCTCCTCCTACAAGCAATTCTCCAAGCAAAATTGAACTGCCTACCAAAATAATTTCAAATGCAACACTGAATTCTAGCTTGTCAATCTCAGAATCTCATTTAAACTTGATTTCCAAATTATCTAAGAAATCAGAAGAGTTATTGGGAAAAAACAACACTCGATCTACTTTAGGTCCAACACCAAAAACATCAAATAGAAACTTGAAAAGTGTTAACAACTCCAAGAAAAACAAACCTGAAAGTGAATCAAGCAAGCTTCTAACTTTATTGAAAAAACATGATGAAAAAATTAAAATGCAAAAAAAGAGTTCTTTTAAAAATATCAACACTAAAATTTTCACGCCTAATGCTCCAGATTTTAAGGAAGACGTCCTTTCAAATCCCAAACCAAAAACAGCTCCAAAAAAGCATTTTATTGATTACAATTCTACACCAGCTACCAAGGCTATAAAAGAACCGGTTTCACAACTGAAAAGTGGTTCCAATGATTTCAATGAAAGAAGGAATAGATTTGAAAAAATTGGTGAGCCTGTAGATCTTCCAAAAACTCCTCAAACAAATTGTAAAGTTTTTGTCAATTTAAAGGAATTGCCTAAAGCCAATTCTGACTTCAAGTCAAAAATCACTTCTATGAGTGCATCCCCAGTAAGAAATAATGGTTTTATTGCTCCTAAGATGATGTATAGAAGTGTTTCTCCTGTTAAAACTGATTCTACTTTTAATAAACAAAATTCAAAATTTACGTCCAATTTGATGAATTTTCAGTCTTCTTCACTGAACGAATTTGAAAAATCTTTATCATCAAAGCATCAATCAAATAAGTTAGTTTCTCCAAAATCAAGAGTTAAACAAGCAATGGAGTTTTATATGAATTCAACAGGAAATGCTAATAGCATATCTCCTACCATGCAAAACAAAGATGATTTAAGTAATCTTGAAGACAAAGGCTATTTGAATGATGACACACCAGATTTTGTTGCTCGGAAAATCATTAACACTCAAAAATTAAATAACAATAAATTAAAGAATAATTTCAATTCAAATGAGGACTCACCTTTTTTGAAAAAAACTGAAAATCAAAGTTTAGATTTACTTCAAAAGAATAATTTTTCAAATGAAACTGGAATTAGCGGTTTTACTAGTAACAATACAAAACCTTTGAATATAGTTAATCCAAAAATAATTAACTACAAATATGTTGCTCATGTTCAAAAAACCAATGAAGACAATGATAAAAGAAATCTTAATCAATATTCGCCTGGCCGATCACCCCAGGCTGTCAATTCTTTTAACACTCCAACTAAACCACATTCTAATCAAATTGAGGTAATAAATTTAGACGATGAAGATGATGACTGGAGCATCCAAGAGATCTCACCACCTAAACCTACAAAGTATAAAGGTGGTTTTATTTCAAGTGCTATACAAAAAAACAATTCTAGATCTGCATCTCCATTCAAAAGCAATAGTTTTAACAAATTGGCTGACATAAGTTACCACGATAATTCAATTATCGATACTACTGATACATTAGAAGTTTCGCCACTAAAACCAAAAGACAAGGGTTTTTTTATTGCAAGTGCAATAAAAAGAACTCATTCATCAAGACCTTCTCGTAACAACTCCACCGTCGACAGATATATTCCAATGCCCACTGCCGAACATGCTTTATTTGCTGTTGCTGCTGCAAAAGCACCGGCAATGAAAAAATCAACGGCCAATAAGCTGGATTTTTCACCAGTTGATAGAAGAACGTACTGGGGTTCTCCATCACCACCTAAGAAAAACTTGGAATCAATCGCTGAAAAAAACGAGTCTACTAAACCAATGAAAAAAAATGTGAATAGAGCAGACTCAGACGAAAAAAATGATTGGATAAATAGTGCCATGCATGCTTTTCCTAATCATACTCAACCATCACCTAATAGAGTTGACTCGAAAATACCAAGTAGAGAAGCTAGTCCAACTAGAAGCCATATTGCAAAATTCAACAGAATGATTGATCAAGAGAATCAAGAAAAGGATTGGCTAGCCAGTGCTTTGCAAAAATCTCCTGGGAAACACATTACTTCTCTAGATGAATTAAAAAACTTGCAAGACACATCAATCACTCAAAGTGCTTCAAAGCGTTTTGGATCAATTAAAAATCGAATTAATAATTTCAATGAAATAAACAAATTAAATGAGCAGAATGAAGAAAATCAAGAAAATGAAGCCGAAGAGGAAGTTGTTGCCATACAAGATCAGATTGTTGATCTTAAAGCTATATCGTTAAAAAAAACTAACCGAGAGCAAAACAAAGTTTTGAATCAAAATTTTGCAATTGAAATGCCTAAAGTTTCTTTAAAAAAAGTCGATAAAGATGTCAAGAAAACCACAAAAGATTTTAACTCAGATTTTCCGCCAATATTTGCTCAATTAAAAAAAGCACCTCCTTCACCAAAAAAAGTTGATTCGATTCCAGAAGCTTTAAACCAAATTAATGTTCTTAGAAAAACCTCCATAAAAAAGTTAAGGGAAAATAGTATCCCTGAAGCTATTACTAAAATTAAGAGCTTAAAATCTCCAAAAGAAGTTGAAAAAGACTATGAAGAATTGCCTGAAGCATTAGAGAAAATTGAAAAATTAAAACCAGCTGCTGTTGTTGAGAAACCTAAAGAAGATGATCCCGAAGCTTTAAAACAATTGAGTAAAATTGGGGTGAATTTGTTTTCCAACCATATTAAGTCCAAGGTTGAGAAAAGAAAATCAAAAGGATCAGATGATGGATTGGAAACAATTTTGAAAACATCAGCTCATAAACTAAACAAAATTGAAGGCAAGCAAAAGACCAATGAAACAAATCTTGATGAAGAGGTGGACTGGGTTCAAACCGCTAGAAGAAGAAAATCAGTTATTGATATTGATGGAATGGTCCGAAAAGATGAGAGCCTTGAAAAGGGTCCAGAATGGGTTAATGCTGCATTATCAAAAAGAAAATCATATTCTTCAATTAAAGATTTTGGGAATAAATCAAAAGAAGATGATAATAGTCAATCGATTAAATGGGTAGCAGCTGCTAGAACAAGAAAAACCCTTCCACTAGCAACTAAAAATGATTCGCCTAGCAAAAATTTTGCCTTTGAAGATGAAGAAAACCAAGTTGAATGGATTTCAAAAGCAAAGTCTAAAAAATCTTCTAACGATTTGAATCATTTAATGCAAGTGGAAAATAAATCAAACAATTATAAAAAAAATAACGAAAAAGTGGATTGGGTTGATGATGTCAAATCTGGCAAACCAATTGCTAACTTTGCTAAAGTGAATGATACTGGTCTTGATTCTTTTTCCAATAATTTGCGCTCTCCATCAAGCAATAACTCAGAATCATTGATAAGTTCAATTACGTCTAGCATCTTTGACATGGACCATGCCATGCCTCATAACTATTCCATGAACTCTTTCAATACTTCCATTGCTTCAAACATAGATTTTTCAACTTCAACAGTTGATCAGTTGCTGGTAAGTCCAAGCAGAATTGACTCAATCAAAAAAAATTTAGCCGATTTTTCTAACAGAAAAATATCAAAATCTTCTCTTCCTGCTTCCACCCAAAGAATTCTATCTTTTAGAGTAAGCGGTAAAGCAGGAAATCCTTACAGATCTGATTTTTCAAATATCAGTACTATTGAAGACGATCCTAGTAATGAAACCCTTGACTTACATGATTTTGTTCGATAAGCTGCCAAAAGACTTATTGTATTTTGGTTAAAAATTTTAATTTTTTGAGTTTTTGATAATATTATTTTATGAATTACAATTTTTTTTAACCGTTTCTGTATCTTTTACTTTTAGACAATTTTTTATATTTTGTTTCACCTATTTATTTTGTTAATACCCTTTATTTTTACCTGAATTTTATCGTTTTATATACCTTCTCTTATTTCGTTGAAGCTAAGACTTCACTTGAGCTTTATAATTAATAAAACGTTTTTATTTATTATACCTTTATTGCAAAAAAAAACAAAAAAACTGCTTAATAATTAATAGAAGAAGTAAAAATCTTTAAAATTTTATAAATAAAAAAAATAATTTAAAAAAAGAAATAAAAAACGCTATTTATATATATCTATAATATATATATTGATGTTTATGTTTGAATGTATGTATTAATGTGATAGAAACAATTAATAGTCTAAATTTTCATAATTAGAACTTATAAAACTGTGCTTTAAATAACTTTGCCACAATTTTTGCAATTGAATTTCTTTTTCTTTTTTACTTTTATTGCCTTTTTTATCTTTTTTGCCTTTGTTTTGATTTGCTTCAAATACTTTATCACCCTTTGCTTTGACTGGTTTACCTAAATTCTTTGCAAAATCGAGCCAATCTTGTACTAATAAAGAGTCCATATTATACTCTTCATCGGTTGAATATTCAAATTCATAACCAAAGTCTTTTTTGCCTTTATTTATAGATTCTAAATCCAAATAATACTGGGCATATTTAAGAGGTGTAAATAATTGAGGATTGTAAGCAGGACCAGCTTCGATATCATCGGGTTTCTTTGGAGGAACACTTGGATCTTTTAATACATCAGATGTTATATAATTATCAGTGTTATCATAATTCTCGTTGTCATCATCATCATTATCGTCATAAAGGTTGCGATTGATAAAGTGATCAAAATATTCTGAATCATTATCAGGAAAGATATCAGGGTATTCATTTTTCAAATTAATTTCAGCATTTTTAAAGAAAACGGGCCATGGATCATAATTGGGAGAGCTTAATGCTGAGAATTCATTGTCTAAACCAGAAATGTTGTATTCCCAAATTCTAATACCTGGATTAAAAGTTGGAATGACACTTGCAGTTATGTGAACAATTGAATATCTTTCCGAGCTATTAAATGAGTCAGCTTTCTTTGATTTGATTTTTGAATAAAAGGATTTTCTAACGGTGTCCATATAGTCCACTTTTCCAACAGGGGTGCCTCCCATGATATCGAAATCATTTGATGAATGAGGAAAGTGTTCATAATTGTTGATAAAGTCGTGGTAAGAATCTAAGTGAAACAGTTGGGTGTTGGTGATTTCGTTGATTTCGTCAATAAAATCTGGAAATAAAGCTTTTAGATCGTGAATTTGTGAGTTATTTTTTGAGATTGAAAGTTGGTTGTAATAGTTGTAGGTTTCCAAAGCATCTAAAGGAACGAAATGGTCGATATTCATATGGCCGTATAAACCACCAATGATGATGTCTCTGTATTCATAAGTCCAGGATACGTATTTATTGTAGCAGGTGTAATCATAGTTTTTTGGAATTGGGGGAACATGGCCAGTCATCCAAACTTTCATATTTCTTCTTCTTAGTTCTTTCAAGGTTACACCCAACCAAGTGAATAGTTTATAGCCGGGTTGTTTCCTATTGTCACAGTTGTCAACGAGGGGATTGCTTTTAAATAAAAATAAGGTATTTATAGATAAAACGGCTAGATGATTTGGAATGATTTCAGAAAAAAAGTAAACGCCATTTTCAAAAACATGGTATTGGTCATTTGATACAAATCTTTCCCAAATTTTCCAGAGTTGTCTGCTTTGTAAGGTTGGGCCAGGGGAAAATAAGTTGTGTGGATAGACATCATTATTGCCCAAGGAGGGAATCAATTTAACCAACAAGTCTCTTGGGTCAATGGAGTCTTTGTTTTTGAAAGAATTGTAAAAGAGATTTGAGATGTTTTGGTTTAATTCAAAGATGTCATGTTCATATCTGGGTATAGCTCTATCATTGTCATGTCTAACGTTATCACCGGTCCAGACAATAAAGTCTATTTTGTCCTTGAGATTTTTTTCAACCCAGTCAATTGTGTCTTCAACTAAGATCAAGGGAGAATCACAACCAAGAATGGCATCACCATATTTGGAGGACTGGCCTTCACCTCTATGGCAAGCAGATTTAAAGGATGAGTTGGGAACGTAATGTGGATCGGGGTGTAAGTCAGTAATGTGCAAAAATCTCCCATGGATAACTTGAGTGGAGCCATCAGACTTTTCAATCAAAACCGGATTGTTGTTTGTTGATAATTTCAAGGATTCTAGTTCTTTTAGCTGTTCATCGGTATAATAATATTTTGAGATTTTGCTGACCTTGACATTGTCATTGTTAATATTGTGAGGTCTATCGACTTGGTCGCCAGAAAGAATATTGGCATTTAACGGGAGGTGACCCAATTTGTTTAATGATACAATGGAGACCAAAAAGAGGGTTGATATAGAAACAAAAAAAGCGATGAGTTTTTTCAACTTGCAAGTACCAGAGTGTTTTGTTTGGCAAACTGACGTTGAATCTATCGAAACAGCCTTTTCGTTCTCTGGTAACAAATCCATGATCAGTTTGTATGTTGTTGAGCAAATTTCAAAAGCAGGTATTTACCATGAAACTGGGTAGAAGGTAGTTGAAGTTATTGAATCTCAGAAAGTGAAAGAGGTAGAAGGAAACGAAAAAATCTATCAATCGCAATATAAACAGGAATATAATTAGCAATTTATAGCAAGCCTTGGGTGCAGACTCGAGATAAGGAATAAAGACAGTGGCTGTTACATAAACAGCAGAGAAAGAGAATATATCTGGGCTCAAGGCCTGGCTCTGATTGATCAATGCGCTTTTCGCTGAGAGAACAAAAAAATAAGGTTCACACGAAATTCGAATGGGGTTATTGCGGCACGTGCACAGCAGCCAAAGAACGTCATTGAGACAAAGAAGCCACAGCGCTGGACACAAGCAGCCAGCAGGAGTGTGCAGTAGTGTGCAGCACGGGCTGGCGGTGGCAGTGCTCGGGCCGTGCTGGTGCTGGTGGCCGAGTGGTACGCGCTGTTGGCGAGAGCAGACACGCAGCGGTTCGGTTCTTTGAAGAGGCATTGAGAGAGCTGTTTATGAGTGAGTTGCTTCTATTGTTTGGGATGTTCAGATTGACAGACGTGTTTAGTTGCTGGACGATGTTCTGTAGTCTTTTGTACTCCAGTTGAAATGAAAAGGGTTGCTTGAATTAAACTTTTCTTGTCTGAACACAATTCTGAAGTTTCAATTTGAAATATTGTTCTCGACTTGAGTCTACTCTTCATCAGCTGTGATATAAACACACTCAAGATTTGACGTACAAACTCATTGATTATATTTAAACTATCATTTCAACGGTTTATTTCAGTGGTTCATTTTAACGGCTTGATTAGAAATTGTTAGAGATATATCTAAACCAACTTAGTGTACATCAGATCAAAACTAAGGTTTCTGCAAGCTCTGCTTCAGTATAATCATTATATTTTATTGTTTTTTTGTTTTTGGTTGTATAATTAGCTATTTAACCCGTTAACCCGTAATATAGTTGATTTATGATATTATTGATCGAAAAAACCTTTAAATAAAGTGCTGCGATATACTGCAATGCTCCACTCTTATTTAAATTTAAGTTGACACATTGTAGATCTTCAGATGCATTTCAAAAAGCATATATTTATGAACAGAATCTGGTATCTGGTTCGATCAATGTAGAATAAATGTTGATGATTTTTATTCAAATGGAGTATAAAATCTACACTCTTATATTTTTTTAAACCTTACAAATGTTGGATTTAGTAAGATTTACCCACAACATAAGCTGGAATACTAAATAATGTGGTCATCACAACTAGAAATGACAAATTGTGGAAAAGCAATTTTTGTCATGACCGCAAAAGTATTATATTGTATTTTGTTTATTGCTTAGTCTAACGCTCTATAAAAAAATGCATGTAAATTTTTGAATGAATATGAAATACAATTTATATGTAAATATAAATATAAATGTAAATTAAAAGTGAAAATTAGTATTGACACAGATATCAAAATAATCTTTTAGTTATTGTTTTGACAACACCTTTCAAAAGCCCTAAACCAGTGTCTGTTCTTGAAGTTAAGGAATCACCGTTTTCCTCTAATCTTCGTTTTAAATACTCTTTGGTTTCAAAAGGAGGACCCCAAGGCACATACTTAATAATGTTTTTAGCATTCATTTCATTGATCAATTTAAACCCAATATCATCCGCCATGCCTAATAATTGGCCCAAAACAATATTATTTGAATTCAATGAAGAGTTCTTCTTTAAAAGATTAGTGGTCTTAACCAAAGATTGGTCGTTGTGAGAGGCAACCACTAAATGTGAACAAGTGGAGTTGTTGCCCTTTTTGATAATTTCATTAATAATAAATGAAATCCCCTTGTTATAGTTGCTATCAGTATCTTCTTTAGTATCGTGAATAACTTGCGCTCTATTAGGCTCAGTGTGAAGATATGCACCTCTAACTAATTTCAAACCGATTTTGTAATTGTTTTTCGAAGCCAATTCCAATTCTTTCAAAATCATGTCATACGATTGCTTTAGATACATTTGAATAGTTCCAACAACTGATATAAATTCATGTTCATCTTTATTAAATCGTTCCGACAAAATTCTTTGCAAAATGTAGACATTTTGCTGCAACTCAAATGATTCTGCGTCAATCACCACAATTATAAATGGCGATTTTCGATCTGGAAACTGTTTGGATAACTCAATGTTTTTATTACAAGCATGCTCAATGATTTTTGAACAATTTTCAATCAATTCATTTCTTTGTTTTTCATAATCTGGATGATTGAAATTTTTCAAAACATTTTTGGGATCCGAAACTAATGCTGTAGGTTTTAAAGCGATATATCCCGGTGGGATTTGATTAATGTTCTTAGATTGATTGATTAAATTCGGAACCAAAATATGATCAATTGACTTGATGGACTCATCAACAATATAATCAATATCAATGTTTTTCTCTCCATTACAATCTTCAATCGTTAAGGATATCATCATATTATCAATACCTCTTTCAGACAATCTTTTTCCAGTTTCAACAACATCGTTAAAGGTTTCACCACCACAGTAATACTGGTAAACTAATCCTTTAATCACTTTCATGGGTATGTATGGGAATAATTTTATGACACTGTTCAAAACAAATTTGTTTAAAGTGGCTATTCCAATGCATGACAACTGAAATAATTCTTGTTTGTTTAATGTGTCCAAAAATTCAATATTAGTTGACAATTTGTTGTTGTCATTGTTCAAGTTAGGGCTTGATGAGCCTGGATTGGAATTTGACAGAAGAGTTGTAGTCGTCAAGTTCGAGTTCTTTTGAGTAGTAGAAATAAACCTTATCTTATTATTTTTCATGACAAGTGATTTGAGAATATTACCATCAGCTTTCAATCCGTTTTTCCTAATTAATGCCGTTGACCTATACATATTGAAGAGTAAATCTGGCAAAATACAATTAAAAGAGCCGAATTAAATTAAATTTGATTAAACTGGAAGAGAAAAGTAGACAATTAATAAAATTCTTCTTGCTCTCTAAATAGAAATCAATAAGGAAAAGGAAAAGGAAAAGGAAAAAGAAAAGAAAAGGAAAAAGAAAAGAAAAGGAAATAAAAAAAAAGTAAGACCTCAAGAAAAAAAAAAGAATTGATCATGTTTATATATATCGAAAAAAATAGCACAACCAGCTCGAAGATAACACATAAAACAAAATGGATAACTGATAGCTGCAATATCTACAATATTCGCAATCGGCTAAGACTATCAGTGATGAAAAATGAAATCAGCAATTGAATGAGCATAGAATCATCTTTTCCCATTTTCGTGATGCTCCAGTTTTTCCAATGATAGGAAAATGGGACTCAAAGCTCGATCCGCTTTTATCTCCAACCACAGCGCCCGCAGCGGGATCTCGCGCCCGTCAACGCGTGTGTCTGCAGAGCCACTACACTGGAAGCTGGCTACGGCAAACGAGCTCCGATGCTTTTTTCGGCTGAAGTTTTGTTGCTTGTGAGGTGAAGGTTATTATATCGTGGACTGAAAAGGGAAGAAGTGGGTTCTTGTTGGCTTTCGCAAAGATGCATGAGATATTGACGCTATCGTTGTCCAATAAAGCCAACCACTTGGCCACCCATTTTTTCAACTCCCAGGAATCGTATTTGGATTACACTAAGGGAGCTTCTCATTCAATTACCAATCCCAATGTCTTTTTGAGCTCAAATTTAAACAGAATAACAAACACTCTTGATTTCAATCCAAGAGCAATTTTATGGGATTTCAAAAATGCCTTTGGCTCATTGAATCAGTACCAGTATTTTGAATCGTTTAATGATGATAACAACAACAACAACAACAACAACAGCTACAATTGGGATGGCGAAATTATTAAAATCCAACAATCAAGAATTGAAAAAAATGATTATCAAAAGTATTTAGATGGAGAATTGGAGAGCACAAAATTGCAAGAGATTAAACTAAAGAAAAATAATTTATTGGGTCTTGATAATACATTATATTGGTCAGATTATTCTAGAGTCATATATGATCGAAATTCATTCAATAATTTAAACGATTGGGAATATCACCCAATTCATTATCCCAATGGCAAATTAAAATTTCACAATAATAGTAATGAAAATAGGAACAAAGTACCATTTAATGATTTTGATCAAGGTGTATTAGAATATGATAAAGTTAAATTGAATTATAATGAAGATTATATTGAGAATAATATCCGATATTTTATTGAAAAGTGCGATAACTTATCTGGACTAAATTTGATTATTGATATTGATTCAGGTTGGCCTGGTTTATTGAATCAGTTTTTAGAGTTTATAAAAGATGATTATTTAAACAAGAAGAATCTATTTACTTATGGATTATTTAATAATAATGTTGAGAAAAATAAAGTTTCAGCCGGATTAATAAGTCGGATTAAAAGTTTAGTTACAATATTAGATTCATCAACAATGTTTTTCCCAATTGATTCGTTACCTAAGATTTCAAAGAATTATTATTTAAACAATAGCAATTATAATAATAAAAGCTCATGGCATAATGCAGCTATTCAATTTTTGAATTATGAAAATTTGAATATACTATTTTGCGATAAAAAGTTGAATATTAGCATGAGTCATATTGAGAATTCATTAAATATTGGATCGAATAGAAATATAGTTGGTGATATTAATTCCATAATCGTTGATAATAGTAATAATAGTAATAGCAATTACACTATTGATTACTCATCAAGCTTTTTTGAGCTTGAATTAGGGAACAAAAGATTTCAAGATAAATTTAATAAATTTAAAAATAAAAATAGGCAAAATAAGACATTTAATAAAATATATGTATCTCGTACAGTACTTAAGAATAAGAATAACGAGAAGAATATCAATGAAGAAGAAGAAAAAGAAAATTCAAAAAGGATTGATGATATCATTGAAAAGGATCAAAATAAATTAATTTCTAATGGAACCAATTCAAATAATTTAAGTAAACTTCATTCAAATATTGGATTTTTGGATAACGATAATGATTCATTTCCTATGGACGATTTAAAATTGGTTAAGGAAAATGATAACTTGATATCGAGCTATAGCATTAATGATTTTAATACGAGAACTTATTTAAATAAATTGAATTTTATTGTTCAAAACACTGGGAACAGGTTTTTTAAGATGGATGATAAGGAGGAAAAAATTGATCAATTGGGCACATTTGCTCAAGAGTATGAGTTTGGATATAATTCTGATGATGATTATGATGATTTTGATAGCGATTACTATTAAATGTTATTTAACAATAAAACACATCCAATTGATTAAATTGATTAAATTGATGAATTTTAATGCTAATAAAGTTTCATAGATTTATTACAGAATTATGATCAGTGTTTATTTTGTTTTTTTGTACCAGTATTAGGGATCATCGCTCATCACTTGAATTTTATACTTCAATTAAGTTCAATAGTTGCAAATTTTATAATAATTTTAATGATATGTAAATCGCAAATAGATAAGATTTTGAAACAAGGAATTGGACAGAAGAAAACAAAAAAAAATGTTTCCTTACTTATTACAATCTGAGCAGAACAAATACGATATGATAATAACAAGAAATATAAAATGTAACCATTTCTAAGGAACCTAAGAAGTTTATGAAAGAAAGCTTTGATGAAATTGATTGGACGGTTTTCCATTTCAACACAAATTCAATAACACATAAAAATTAAAGTGTAGAGGCACAGGAAAATGAGATTGGAACCCTGAGTTTTGATGAGAAGCGATGCTTGACGTGTCGCTGAGACAATGTTGTTTATTACTTGACGTTGGTGAAAAAATTACAATATAAAAAGATATGAAGATGGGAAAATGAAAACCTTTTAGTTATTCGCGATCAATTTTTCACTCTAGTAAATCTAAAATATATCAGCAGTTTGCATTGCTTCATCAAATCGCTACTATTCAAGATGCTTAGAAAATCAATGACTGTTATTCCCTACCACATTGCTGCTGCTAGATTCTTATTTTTCTCAACTCCAAAGGCCATTCCAAGCTTAAGGAACAATCTCTTTACCCAAAAAGGGTTTTCTGCTCAAAGATACTACTCATCTACTGTTGGTGGTGAATTCAAAACCTTCATCGCTGAATATCTTGAAGTAAGACGAGGAAAAGTACAGAATAGCAGCAGATTTGTCGAAGATTTGGGTGCTGATTCATTGAAGATGCAGAAATAATAACATTGTCGGAGGATGCGTATGGTATGAAAATTCCAGACGAAGAAGCCAAAAAGCTCACCACTGTTGGTGCCATGTTTGGCTATATTAAGAGGAAGCAACCATAGGTAGACTGCCTATCCCCTGAAGCTGCAAGCGACACACCAACTCTTAAGCAGACTGGAGCTGATGGAAAGCTCTTCTATAGCTAGCAGATACAGGCGCGTTTATCTCCATCGCCGGCACGCCAAATTAGGCAGCCTTCAAATGCCGCCGGGGTTGCGAGCCCATATCACGTGTATTGCTATTTTGGAGAGTGGATTGGTTGAGCGAAAAAAGTGCGAGAGGCAGCTCATTTCTAATCACAAATCTACAATTTGTTGTTTATCAGTCTGTTTGGTCGTGGTTTAGTCCTTTAGATATTTGTCTTGCTCTTCGTCTTTATTGTTTTCTTTGTTTTCTTCTTCAACAATGTTCAAATTCGCTGTTCGTTCTTTGCCTCGTTCTGCTACTATTGTCAAATCTTTGGTGCCATCTGCTTCACGCTCAATCACAACTTCTTCTGCTCAAAACACTTCGAAGATTATTCCAAATGCCTTCACAAACAAAAATTTGAATTTCATTAATAACCCAAATAACCAATTAAGCTTTCTTAGAAGAAACTATTCCTCCTTGACTAAAGATGATGTATCCAAAAGAGTTTACGATGTTATTAAAAGTTTTGAAAAGACCAAAGATATTGAGATCTCCAACGAATTAAATTTTGCTACCGATTTAGGTCTTGACTCCTTGGATGTTGTTGAAGTCTTAGTAGCAATTGAAGAAGAGTTTGATTTTGAAATTCCAGATAATGACGCTGATGAAATCAAGTCTGTTGGTCAAGTCATTGAGTATATCGTTAACCACCCCGAGGCTAATTGATAGATTAATTTCTTAATTAAGTATTTAATGTTCTCCGTATTTAAGTAATTTATGCAATTCAATTAATCAAACGATTTATATTAGTTATTGTACATAGATATAAAATGGCATAATTTATCATTTGCAATTCAGTTTTTTATTATGTAATCCGCCTTTTTTTTCGTTTTTTTTTACCTGGAATCATTATACAAAGTTAAGTCAATATAATTAAAGTTAAACTGCTATTAGTCTAGAAACAAACGAAAAAGGAGTTGGTGTTAAATTATCATCATTATTAACGCAATAGACATTAGAAATAGAAATTAAATAGAAATTAAATAGACAAAAAACAATCAAACCTTTGCAACAATAATTTTTACTTGAAACCATCTTTATTTAGTATAGTTGTTTTTATTGTTCTTTGTTCAAATTTTAAAATGGCAATTGAGAGAACTGATAATCAAGATATGAATCTATCTGAGATTAAAGACTTATTACCAACTCTTCAAAATTCAAACAGTGGTACTACAAACACTCACCATTCCAATGACGAAATCTTTTCTGGAACTGATAATGATAATGATAATAACAACGATTCTGACGATGAAGATAATGAGAAAAATAAGTCAACCAAATTGGAAAACCAATTGAAAAACAATTATCCAGGTCAAGTAATCCCTGATAATCATCCAGACTTAATCAATGCTGATGCTGATCTAACTAACGATATACCAATTGATACTGATTATATTGAATTGATTCATCTCAAAATCACTTCATTAAAGGATTTGAATTTAAATAGATTCAACAATTTGAAATACTTGTGCTTGAGACAAAATTTAATTGAAAATTTAAACGCAATTAAATATTTTAATAACAAATCTGATTTTGAGGAATTGGACTTGTACGATAACAGAATTAAACATATTTCAAGTGAATTGAATTTATTTACAAATTTAATCAATTTAGATTTATCCTTTAATAAAATCAAACATATCAAAAATATTGAAAATTTAACCAAGTTGAAAAATCTTTATTTTGTTCAAAACAAAATTGAAGAGATATCAAATTTGAAAAACTTGGTTAATTTAGTCAACTTGGAATTAGGTGGCAATAAAATTCATGAAATTAATCTGGAAATTCTATCTTTGATCAATTTAGAACAATTGTGGTTAGGTAAAAACAAAATCAATAATTTACAAAATTTACAAAACTTGAAAAACTTGAAAATTTTATCGATTCAATCAAACAGAATCATTAAAATTGAAAATTTAGAAAATTTAACCAATCTCGAAGAATTATATCTATCGCATAATGGCATCACCAAAATTGAAAACTTGGACAAAAACTTGAAACTAAACACGCTAGATATAACAAGTAACAGAATCGAGAGGCTAGAAAACTTGAATCACTTGAAAAACCTTCAAGATCTATGGTTAAGCAACAACTATATAAGCGACTTCAAAAACATCGAAACTGAGTTGAAAGGGTGCACCAGCTTGGAGACAGTTTACTTTGAAGGCAATCCGGTGCAAAAGAGCAACTTGACCTCCTACAGAAGGAAGATCAGGATGATCTTAGGCCCATCGTTAAAGAAGATAGACGCCACCTACATCAGATCATAGACATGCACATCTCTCTCTCTGCTTCTTCTGCTTCTGCTTTTTCCTCCCTACACATCTCCTTCCAATACACGTGCCCCGCAAACAGGGCTCTAACAAACAGGGCTCTAACAAACAGGGCTCTAACAAACAGTGACTCTCGATCACTTGCTCAGAGCTTGCAACGAATATGCTCTTGGTGATGCTGATATAAGGAGAGCCCACCCCAGATCTTGCAAGCTCTGCTTTTTCAGTGTAACCCAAGTGCTCTACTGTGATCCCAGCCCACCTCCAACATGCTTAACAGTAACATTGCTGCCGGCCCTGAGCTATACGGCAACACCCACATCAATACTGGTGCCAACAACGACAACTCCAGCAATCAGCCCAGCTATGACAACCAACCTGATACCCCACTACATCCCAAGGGTAATGAAGAACTACCATCGACGTTTTTCAGAAAGAACTCTGATTTGGCCAAGGAGAGTTTAGAATTGCATTTAAATATGGACTTAAATCCCGACTTATCTGATGATGATGAGGACAATGAGGAAGATAACAATATCAGCAAGACTATCAATGAGAATATTGGCCGCGGATCTTACCACCACAATCATAACGACCATATAATACCTGCAAAGAATAAATTTTACAATAACTGTTCTAGAGTGCAATTCAGCATAGGAAACGATAATGATGACGAAAACGAAATCGACATTGATCTCGATACAGACAGCGCCAATATTGTTTCTAATGGTTTTTCAAATTACATTTCAAGTGATGTTGATATGGATTTAGATTATCAAACCTCTGAATCTGAACTATCTGATTTCAAACCTTCGAAATCATTTGTCAATAATAACCATACACTCCACAATACGCATCAAAACAAAAAAAATTATTTAGATATTTCAGTACATCAAACAATAAACAAAAAAAAATTGACTAATAAACAACATTCAAAATTAATAATGTATATTGATACTGAATTAATCAATGTTCAAAAAAAATACGTTCAATCTTTCAATGACGATGAAGACAATACTACTACTAGTAACAATAATAGGCCCCCTGCTTATAAAGAATTAATTGAATTATTAGACGATTTAATTAAATTGGTGAGATTTATTGAATATTCAATTAAAGAAACTACATTTAATTACGGCTATCAAACTCAATATTTGATTAAAATTTCTGGTGATTTATTAGACTATCTACATTTTAATAATAAGTTTAAATTCAATAAAAAAACTCTTCTAAAACTAATTCAATTGATTCAACTAATTGATTTAAATTTTGTTTTACTAATCGACAGTCACAATTCTTTAAGTAATACAGATAAAGTTAGATTATGTACCATAACTGAAAGAAGTAGACTATCTGTTATAAGTTTAACTGGAAAATTTAATGTCAATGACTACAAGTATGAAGTTAGCAAATTATATGAAAATGTTCTAGAAAGAATAACTTAATTGTTTTTATGAGCACCTTATATTTCATTTTTGTTTTTTGCTGTTCTTTAAGTGTTTGCCTCTTTATCTTTACTCATCATTGCTCATTATTTTCATTTTGATTTTCTTAAAAGATTGTTCAATGTATAATATTTGTTACGGTTTATTATTTCATTCAACTTAAAATAGAACACGAAATTTTAAATATATTAAAAAAAAAATTCATGGTATTAGATATTAATTACATTAATTATTTAATTTTTCTTGAGAAAAATTTGCAGATAGTTATTTTCAAATATGATAATGTTGTTATCTACATCAATTAACTTATTATTCTTAAAACTACTTTTTTGAAGATGACTTGAATGTTTTACTTCAGTTATCTTGGGTATTATTTATATCTCAATTATCTGAAATAATAAAAGTACAAAGTAAACGACAAGGAGGTTGATGGTGACGAAGATTCAAGAACTGAATAAATTGAGAAACGAGGGTACAACCAGATCCGGTTGTAGTTGTGCCAGATTCGGAAAAGAACATTTCAATGTGTGCAACTCTATGTAATTCTATGCTTACTAAACGTCATCACACCACAGGCACACCAGTGCACCATGCTGCGTATGTATACAGTGCGTTATTGTGCATTTTGCGTCTCGCCTGATGCCGAAACCATACTTACCACCATCTGTGTTTGTAACATCTACACACACTCTCATCCTTATTTGCTGTTTTGTTTGGATATTTTGCACTCTCTCCAATTTTCTTAAAATCCCTTGCTCTATACGCTCTACACATATACATCTTTATACCTAGTGCAAATGTTTGACCGGAAGGTTGTTACTCTCTAATGTCTGTACACCAATCGCAGGATAGCTCGATAGCCTTGCTAAAAGGAAGTTTGTGTGCAATCAATGGATGTATCTGGTACCATGTGTCTGATGGCATTTTACAGTGATTTTGTTGATTAGACCTGTGCTGAACAACTGTTACTTTCTGCTCACTGTCTGCAGTAGCAGGTCTGGCATCCGACGCCAACAGCAATAAATAGTATGTTATTTGTTTGTTTATCATGTTATGCCAATAGCCAACTTACGAGTGAGATATTGAAATCAAATCTGGAGATATCAGCTATTTTTTCAGATTCCACCCTCGAAATTATGTTTGTTTTTCCCTCGAAATCATCAGATTGAACAATGTATCGATTTTTATAAAGATTGAACGATGTATCGATTTTTATTCAGATTGAACCATCAAATCAAAACACTTGTCCAAATCATTGGTTCAGGTTATCTGCCCAATTTGGCATTCAGGTGAGATGTAAACATAGCATGGTCACTTTTGCCTCCGATTTTTGTGCAATTAAATTGATATAAATATCACTGATTCTGCTTTGATTGATTGATTTCTGATAATATATAATCAGCATAGTTTTACCACCTCTGGTACTTCTAGTAGCTATAGTACTTCTAGTAGCTATAGTACTTCCAGTAGCTATAGTACTTCCAGTAGCTATAGTACTTCTAATTTTCATAACTTTGGTAATCTTCATAATCTTTATCACATTCCTAAGCTTTATAAACTTCAGAAACTTCATATCTTTTATATTAGTTGCATTAGTTGCATTGATTGTAATATTTGTAATGTTTTCCAACAATAGTATTAGGAAATATTCATCGCCCTCACCACCCTCACCACCCTCACCACTCTCACCATTCTCACCAATCTCACCATTCTTACTACTCTCACCAGTCCCAACAACAACCAACAACAGCTCCATCAATACAATTCATGATAGCACTAACATTAATAGTAATTGCTTGGCTAGCACAGATGGTTATGGTGTCGGTAATTTTGGTGGTTCCAGTATAGATACTGGCAATATCAATTTCAATAGTGGCAAAGTTGACAGTAACAAATATAGTAGTATTTTTAATACCCGTTCTAATGGTAATCGTTTTGGTAATGGTATTTATAATAGTCTTTATAATGGTCTTTCTAATAACATTGGTATTGGTAATGATCATTTTAATTTGATTTCTAATAATGAAGCTGCTGATACTGCTAGTGATGTTGTTGATGACAATCTTGTCAAATATAGTAATAGCATATATCATTATCTTGTTGATAGTGATGATGATAACAATAATAATAATAACAATAATTATAATTATGTCGATGTCAACAACAACACAAACACAGATAATAATGGCAACAATATTGGCAATGGCGACAATCGAATTATTTATAATAATATCAGGAATATGAATTTGACCATCAACAACAATCAGTTCAGTGGTAGTTTCAATGCTGGTGTCAATGCTGGTGTCAATGCTGGTGTCAATGCTGGTGTCAATGCTGGTGTCAATGCTGGTGTCAATGCTGGTGTCAATGCTGATAGCATTGTTGTAACTCACAATCCAGGATGTTTTGGACCATTTAATAAATCACATCAGTTATGTCTGTGCAAGCTAGACAAACAGAATGACCATTATCTTGAAATCATCTTAAAATATATCTACTCATTAGCCCAGTTCAAATCGTTTAATGATCCAGCAGCATTCGTTTATTGCAGAAAAGACATTCAAATCCATCTCAATCACAAGATCTATTATTGTGCTCAAGAATTGTCAAATATGTTGAGTGAGTATGTTCAGGAGCTCTCTAACAACCCAATAATTCAACAAAAGCATCGTTTTGTGGTTGATTGCATTCGTGACATACACATATTTGAGCAAATGAAGCTAGAGAGTTATCGTACAATCGGCAAGATGTATCATCAATCACTAGCACAACATTTGAACAAGATGTTCAAAAATAACAATACCATTTTCAAAATGTGTGCACAAGGCACAAAAAACTCAACAAGTACATCAAGCCAACAAGAGGAACATGCAAATCAACAACAACAATTCCAAAATCAAACTCAAAAAGAACATGAATATCTTCAACAGATTCAGGCTGGATTCGAAAAATATCAAAATGATCAATTATCTCAAGAAAATCAAGGTCAACAAGATCAAGATCTAAACCAAAATCAAAAAGATCAATATGAAATATATCAGAATCAACAAAATCAAGATCAAGGTCAACAATGTCAAGATCTAAACCGAAATCGCATCCGTAATTGCAACCGAAATCGACGTTTCCAAAGACCTGTTATAATGAAATCAAGGCCTCACAATTTCTTGTACAAAACAGAACTATGTGTTTCTTACCTTGAAGGATATCCATGCCAATACATGAACACCTGCCATTTCGCTCATAGTCTTAACGAGCTACGTGAAGCAAGAGCAGTACCATTAAATTACAAAACAAAGATATGTGAGTTTGGAGCTGGATGCCGTCATAGACTCAATGGACATTGTTTTTACTTACATTAATTCTGTATCTGCTCAACAGTAGCCATCTCAGCAATTAACATTTGAGCTGCAGAATTATTCAAGTTGCAGCAAAAATGGATATGATGGTTGCCAACATGGGTGTCTAATTATTGTGAATGAGGATTGATTTTGATCATCAGTTTATCAATATATCATTTGAACAGTAATTGAGTATTTTATAATAAATGATAAAATATCTGAACAGTTTATCTTATCATTTCATTTTAATATTATCTTTATTTTAATGTTCTTTTATTTTTTTTCTCTTTGTCACCACCTTATCTATCTCATCACCTTATCTATCTTATGATTTTATCTATCTTATGATTTTATCTATCTCAACATTTTATTCTTATCATCACTTTTCTATCTTAACATTTTATCTATCCTATTACTTCCCAACACTTTCAAATAAATATATATATATATTTTATGTATATTTGTAGGTCCATTGTTGGTTATATTATATGGGATATTACTAACGCTGTTCATAGCGATATTTGCATTTTAATATATCATAAACAATTCCTGGAATGCATTTGCCGCAAATCATCACATCAATCAAAGAAGTGACCGTTGAACCAATCACAATCACAAAAACCAGCCACAGCATGCACACTAGCCACGGAAATTGTGTCAAAACCGTTTGAGCTGGGTTTGGAAAAACTTTTTCTGGCCAAACTTCAAATGGGTTTGGGCTGGGTTGGAGCAGTGACTGGTTTTGACCATTGAGCTCTATAATTATTTATTGATATCAACAGGTCACAATTGTAAACTAAATGACTATTTCTACCACTACGCTTAGCTATTAATTGGATTATATATAAAATCTCTGTGAGACATATATTTCACCGAATTCCATGTGACATCCAACCAACAATTGCATCTTAAAAAAATGTGGCGCGTGACTAGGCCACAATAATTCGAGCGCGATGGTCGAAGAAAAAGAAAAAGAATATATCTGATGTATTTTTCGTTCAAGCGAACGGACGTGTATCGGACTATTTATTGCTAGAGTTATTCGTATCCGAGATACGGATAAATAATGTACGGATAGAATAAGCGATCTGCACAACAACTTTCAACAAAACCTGGCCCATTGGAAAATTGAGTTGGAAATAATTTTGGATTGGGTTTTGGGCACACCAGTTTTGAGCAAAAAATTTGATTTAATGAATATTATGTTTTCTTAACTGTTCAATACTTTATTTATGTTTGAAATAGTACTAATTATTGTCATGCTTATCACTTTGATATAACTAAAGATGACAGGATAAAAATCCGTCCACTTCGAAGGAACCTTAATAATTAGCCGTATTGGTTTTGTAAGGAAAAAATGCGGATAAAAATGTTAACATTTTACTGACCACTGCTATCTTTTCACGAACCTCAGAACTATCAGATATACTAAAGAGAGCTGAAGTAATTCATTCTTTCCATCGTTAAAATGGCTGGGTCTAAGTATGATAAATTAATTGATGCAGATGATGATGTTTTTGACAATTCTGTAACACAAAAAAGGAATACCAACAGTAACTTTACACTGAGTCGAATCAAGGAGGATGCTCTATTAAATGATTTTGATTCATCTTTTGTAGAGTCTGATGTTACAAATGTCCCCAAAACTAATAGGAAAAAAGTTACTCTTACCGACGTCGATATTGATGACGATGATATATTTTTCAATGACCCGTTGTTGATGAATCATAACCAATCTCAATCTCAATCTCATTCTCAATCTCAATCTCAATCAACATATCAAGTCAGCGATGATGTTAGAGATAGTAATACCAATGAATTAGAATCATCAAGTAATTATTTTTCGATAAATTATTATAGAAAGTATTTTAATTTGACCTCATCGTTTTTCTTCAAAAAAGTATTGAATTATTTAAATATTTATTCAAACTATAAAATTTCAACATCGAAAAATTTAAATCCTCTTTACATCAATTCGAATTTTAATAATATTGAAGATGATATTGGAGAACTTTATGGACCAATTTGGATCATTGCAACGATTTCATTTATATTATTTTTTTCAAAATCATCTTCAGATTTGTTATACAACTTTATCAAAAACGGGATAAATTATCAGAATCCTGATAATGATAATAATAATGATAATGATAATAATAATTTGATTAGTAACTCCAATTTTAATAATTTAACAAATTCACTAATTTATTTATATTCTTATACTATTATTATACCAGTTATAATATATTTAATAGCCAAATGGTTGAATTTTAAAAGATTTTTAAAACTAATTAAAATTATTGAAATTTTTGGATATTCAAATTTAGTTTGGATACCACTTTCATTGTTAAATTTTTTCAAGATATTTTTGATTAATTTTAAGTTTTTGGAAAATTTATTAATTTGGATTTTTATTTTTATTGGCTATTTATTTAGCTTTGGAAATTTATTTTTCATTCTATTACCAATTTTTAAAAAAAATATTGATTTAAATGACAATAATTCAATTGAAGGTATCAGTGATTATAGGAAAGCCTATTTAATTTTGACAGGCTTAGGGATAATCCAAGCGATTTTTGCGATGACAATTAAATTTACTTTTTTCCATAATTTTTCCTAAATATTTTATAATTGAACAAATGGTTTATAATTAAATGACCTTGATTAATTAGTGAGTAAAAAAATGTATAAAAAGAATTTATAAGAAAATTGGTAGGTAATGAAAAATGAATGGGATAAGAATTAAGTGGTAAAAATGAAAATGAAGATAAAATTAAAAGAACATGAAAAGGTTATGAAAAGGATATGAAATTAAGATGAAAAAAATAAAAAAAAAAACAAAAAAAAACACAAACAAACCAAATATAACGAATATAGAATATTGAATGATATAGCTATTGAACTAAATTAATGAGTAAATCAAGTATCTCTTGGATTTAAATCTCTACCAAAGAGACCGACTTTAAACCAATCAAGACAAACCAATACTTTATTTCTCATGCTTAAACACATTGATACATAAGCAGTTCTCCAAAATACAAAAGTCATTATACCACCAGTTGAAATAGTTTGCCAATCTTTCCAAGATAAGTCAGCAATTGCCTTATCAGAACCGATATAAGCTAAGGACCCCATATGATGATAAGTAAAACCATGTAAGCTGTTTTGATAGTTGATTAATTTTTTGGATAGAGTTTTAATTTCTTTGTTATAGTTAATGTTAGTTTCGGGGAGATTTTTTTGTTTTAAAATATTCAAATCTGATAATTTTTCATTTAGAATATCGATTTTAGCTAAGCTTTTCAAATGATCAGCTAAATAGATACCTTGTTGGTAGGCAACTTGAGCAGTTGGAGCATAATTCGTAAAAGTACAGTCACCAAAAGCAAAGATATCGTTAGCACCAATAACATTTAAACAATCGTCAACCAACAAACCACGTTTTGAATTATTTTGAGAAGGAATAGCTTGGATTAAATTATTTGTGATTTCTCTTTGACCATTACCAGTAGCCCATACTAGTACACCATAAGGTATTTTGATTATTTGATTTTGGTTTTGGTTTTCGTTAATATTGTTTTTGTCAGTGACCAATTTTGCGTAAACGTTTGATTGATCGACATTTTGGACTAAAGTTTTAGTTTGCAAATTAATTGAAGTTTCATCAATCAAGATATGTTCAGCATAATCAATTAGTTTTTTATCAAACATATTTAAGATGTTTGGTAAAGCTTCGATTACGGTTACTTTGATTTCATCAGCAATTTGAGGCATCCATTTTTTCAAGTCATCATGAATATAGTCGTGTAATTCACCAGCGAATTCCACACCAGTTGGACCACCACCTACTATAACCATTGATAATAGTCTTTCTCTTTCTGGGTCATCCTTTGGCAATATTGAGGCGGCTTCAATTGTTTTGAGTATGTTTTTACGGATCTTTGAGGAGTCGGAGGCTTCTTTTAAATAGCAGGCGTATTTTTGAACACCAGGAATACCAAAGGTGTTAACCTTAGCGCCAACACCTACAACCAAGACGTCGTAGTTTAAATCGTAGTTTTTAATAATTGTTTCAGATTCATTTTCATTTTCGTCCTTTTCGGATGTGTTATTTGAGCTGTTGACAGAAACCGATTTAAGAGAAATCTTTTTTAAAACAGGATCAATATTAGTTGCTTCAGCTTCAATGTAGTTGACTTGGCCCTTGGTTCTTTTGATGATTTGTTGCAAAGGTTCGGTGATTGAATTCAAGTCTAAAGTTCCAGTGGGAACAGAAGGCAATAAAGGAGTGAAGAGAAAGAAATCTCTGGGAGAAACTATTGTGACATTGTATAAAGTAGTATCTAAATTTTTCAACAAGGATATAGAAGACCAACCGGAACCTAGGATGATCAAGTTCTTTTTGTTCTTATCATGGGGAACCTGCTTTAAATTAGGATTGTTTTCGTCGTAGATGAGGTAGACCAAGTAGGAAAGGGTGAACAACGAAGATATCCAGGTGAATTTCCAGGAGTATTTCATAAATTTCCTGAAGGAAGAAGGAGATTTGGATGGAGGGATGTCGTTTGAAACAGCTGAATAGTGACGGGAGATAACATTTAAGGCTGGAAATGTGCTGTTGACGTCTCTGAGAGCGGTGGGATTTCTAAGAGCATTAAAACAGCGAAAGGTGCTAGGCTTTGTGGATCTCGAAAGAGCACTGTTAAGGTTGAGTTTGACACTCAAACCGATATTCTGGCGGTACATGGTGGTCTGTTAGCGAGTATCAAGAGAAGCCCAGAAGAAAGCAAGCGACTTGCGGGTATTTATACAATCTGCCCATGGCGCCAGAGCTGCGAGAGATAAAGGGAAAAGCATCCCCAGCGTTGCTCTTTCTTGTGGTTGCCTTTTGTGTCGGCGCTAGTGTGGAAAATTTTTCTTCGGCTGTTTCTTTTCGTGAGCGATTTTCCGCCCCGCGCACCGTCACCTGAGCACCTGCGGGATTCCGGTGCAAACTGCCGCTTTGGGCACCCGCGGAAAGACTGCCGGCGCACATTGCTTAGGTAAGCATTCGAGTGGGCTTAGGTAAGACATAATGTTTTCCACAGAAATGGTACTACCTTCATAATAATAGATGCATTTGAAATGCGCATCAGCAGGGCGTGTGGCGCAGTTGGTAGCGCGTCTGCTTAGCGTGCAGAAGGTCTTGGGTTCAATTCCCAACTCGTCCACTTATTTTTATTGTACGCTTTTTTCTTTTTTTCCACCCTGTTTGGTGACTCTTTTTGGTTTGAAGCTGAATTCCTCATATAATCTGTATTCACTTCCCTTTTCGCTCTGAACTCTTTCGCTATTGTGGTTTGGGGCAATCTGTTTCACAATAATAAGTTTTCATCAATTCTGTTCGATACATAATAGCTATTGTTGTCTTCTTTTTATTACTTTTTTATTACTTTTTTATTATTATCTCTCACATCTCATTTCTATTTTAAGTTTCTGAACTTTAATCTTAAGATATATCTATTACATTTTATTTGTATTTAAAACTTTTAATTATATACACCAAACATTACTTACCACGATTTGATCATTTTACTTTCTTTGGTTCAACTCAACCTGTAGGTTTTTTATTCTAGATTCTTTTATCATCAATTTTTAATTTACATTACTCGGTTCTTCTAACTGTAATACTCACTCACTCATTTACTACAATACATGTAAAATTTAAATCTTTTTTTGCTTCTTAGTCAAGCATCACACTGTGATTCCATTTTTTAAAATCAATTGAACAATTGATCTGAAAATGATATAAATACAATTCTCTATTCATTTTATTTTATTAAAATTGCAATCCTAGTTTATTTTTCATCTTTTATTCATTCTTATTCATTCTTTTACCTTGTTTATCCTTTGTTTCTTTACTCTTTTTTTTTGATATTTTTTAACCTTTATTTCTTCTCATTTCAAAATTTCAAAATTATTCTTTTCCAATTCAACTCTCATAACTCCCAATAATAATAATAATAATAATAATAACAATGTCAATTATCGATAAATCAAATATACACAAAAAGATTTACAATCTACAAAATCAAATCAACTATCTAGATCATGAACAAATCCTACTAGAAAATCAAATCAATAAAAAGTTATTGCATTTAAGAGATACAAATCTATTCAATTTCATCTTAAATAATCCCAAAATCAATAATTTAATTAACAACTCAAATTCAAATAACGCTAATCTACACTTGAAAAAATACTACGAATTAAAGGGCCATTTGAATAACATCCAATGCATAAAATGGACCAACGATTCAGACTACTTGATTACTGCTGATGATAACCATAACTTACTCTTCTGGAATGCTCAACTAGGTCTTAAAATTGGTATCCTAAAGCTAAACCAAACTGATTACACAACTTCTGTAGCAATATCTCCAAATAACCAAATTGTTTGTTCTGGTAATCTCGATAACAAATGCATCTTATTCAAATTACCAAACTACAAAGCATACATATCCTCAATTAATAACAACTTTATTAACAATAATACCAATTTTACCAGCTATCCTACTCATAGTCATAAAAATAGTACTCAATCAACAAATTCAAATAACTCAAATAATTCAAATAACTCAAATAACTCAAATAATTTAAATAACTCAAATAACTCAAATAACTCAAATAACTCAAATAATTCTTACGATTACAACTCCTTTGAAATGACTTCTAAACTATTAAATCCCTCGATAATAACAACTTTGGAATCTCCCTCAAAGAGTTATATATCTGAATCTGAGTTCATCGATAGTAATTCACTATTAACCACCTCAGGAAAATTAGCTTCATTATGGGATATCAATAAAAAGAAAATCACTCTCAATTACGAAAATCACATCTCTGATATTTCTTCTCTTTCCATTCAATCAAATAACATCATTGTTAGCAGCAGCTCTATTAAAAATAACTTGTTTTTAACTAGTAGTGGAAACAATTCAGTTAAACTACATGACTTGAGACAACCCGCCTCGATTCTTAAATTCAATGTAAATAATCAAAATCTAATAACTAGCTTTAATAATGAAATCACTGCTGTCAAATTCTTACCAAACAACCATAATTTTGTTGCCGGTACTGCAAATAAGGATATCTCACTTTATGATATAAGAGTCGGTTCCGTTCAAATTCAAAATTATTCTTTCAATGATCAAATGAATAACTCAAATTATGTTTATGCCAATAATAATACTAAAAACACATATACAATTAACTCTAATAACGACTTTAATTGCAACTTAAATGTTCAATCCAATCTTAACAAAAAGAATAAAAATAAAAGTTCAAATTTTGATAAATACTCTTCACTTTTTTCATCCCTAGATAATAACGAGGACGATGAAGGAATCCTTGATATAAACTTTTCAAGATCAGGTAGATTAATGTTTACATCCGTCGATAACTACGGTGGTGTAGTATGGGATCTTTTAAAAGGCAATATAATTCAGAGATTGGACAAAAATAATGGAAAAAATATTCGTCGTATGGCAATAAGTCCTGATGGTTTAGCTTTAGCTACTGATTCAATAACTAAAAACACAATTAGCATTTGGTCTATTTAATTAATTTCACTCACTCATATTTTTATATAAACTTACCTTTCTTTGTGCTTATACTTTGGTATTTTGTTGTTCTTTTACAATGTTCTTGAATTTCTTTCTTATATTTTATGTTTATATTATAATGTCACTGGTTAATCCATCATTTCTTTGTAATCTTCTGCGTTCAAATGCAGATCTCAATAATATCTATTATAATTATAGTTTTACACTATCAAATTTTAACCTTATTACAGTTTTTAATATTCTTTGATATTTCAATCTTTTAAATATAGTACAATGTAGCAATCATTATCTTTAATTGGTTCAAATTCATCAAGAAAATATTAATATTAATATTAAACAAAACTTTTCAACTCCATGATAATAAAGATTGCAAATAGACTTGAAATATTTTGTATTATTATTTTAAAATAGAAAGTCTTAAAAGAAGACATAAACACTGTTATTAACATCACTCAATTAATGAAACAAAATTACCTGAAAAATCTTAATAAAAATCTTTATTGGATTTATCAATTACAATAGCTGTATTGGTAAAAGCAAGGTTTTATTTTTTTAAATCAATTTTGAACTTTACTATCAGCCGATTTCCATGGAATAATAAAGCTGGCCCAGATATCTTGGGTAAAAATGGTAAAAACAAAAGATAAAAGGCAAGTCAAAACGCAATTCTGAGAATACAAAGCAAAGAATAAAGAATCGTATTATATTCCAAATCTTCTGCTTGTTTGATACATGTTGGGCTTATCTCGTTAGATAGAAAAACCTTGAAATAGCTTTTCTATTTTTTCGCATCAACATGCATGAAAGCAAACATACCCTAATTCAACAAACAACTCGCATTTAATGCTAACACAAAAAAAAATGTTGCATAACCTAATTTGGCTTCAAATAATTTTAACTTTTGTCAGAACCATTAAAAAGATGTTTCAAAGTTGAATTGAGCACTAAGCTGGTTGCTAAAAAAGCCAGAAAACTGTTTTGAGAGGTGTTTGATCATGTCAAACTATTAAAGAGCTCTAGAGTTGGAAAACAGGGCTATCAAAACACAGATTGGGCACAATAGGGCACAATAGGGCATAATAAGACTGTCCTGAATGTTGATTATCAGATTGAAAAAGCACTATCAAGAAAATATCTTAATGGATATGGTTCAGTTCTTGTTTGCAAAGCTCCCGACAAAAGCTTGTACTTACACAAATTATTCGAGACCATTGAGGTATTCAACAGACTAATTGACTATAATTTGTTATATTAGTAAAAATATATAGATAAAGACCTCTTCTGGTGAAAAAATTATTCAACTTTCTTCTTTCTTTCCTTTATTCCTACTTTCGACACGTCAATATCCATTTATTGAACTTTTATTGATTGTATCAAGATACACTGTTCCAAAAATGGAAGAAATCTCTGAAGTTTTCGATAATCACTATAAGTTCGGTTGAGAATGGAGCATTAGCATTTTTGTTTCTTATAAAAAATGCAGTAATAAAACCAAAATGAAAGATGTTCTGATTATTTGATTATGAGAATAACCAAACGATTTCCAATGGCAAATGCTCAACAGCCAGCAGGAAGAGAACAAAGTGAAACAATGCAAAGCTCATAATAATAAGTTAATGTAAGTAATGACTTTTACTGGATGAAACTGTAGAACAGAAATACAAACGTCTCTTGGTGAGATGAAATAAACATTTTTAGATAAGATGATATATAGACTAGTTTCTTCCCCTTTTATCGCTATTGGAAATGTTTTTCCGTTATATTTTCAGGAGAATTGTAGACATTGAGATTTGGAGCCACAAAAATAGTAACTTTGATTTCTCGACTCCAGAAAAGTGGACATAGTTGCTGTAATGGCGTCGTGCAAGATACAGCGCAAGCTATAGGGCAAAATATAATGCAAGATATGACGCACAATAACAACTATTATCTTGCGCACGTTATTCCGTGTTCCGTGACCAAATTCAAATTATCTCTGATTAAAAATAAATCATTTGCGGTTACTATTAGTTGGTAAGGTTAACTTGTTACTGCTCCTTCAATCAGTTGTAATATAATGTCAAATATCCATTTGTCTGATAATGAAATTTACGATCAAGAGTTAGAGGCTGCTTTCACTGACGGAGAATCCTCCGATACCAGCTTTGAAGATGACAATTTGAACAATGCTAGCAATAAGTTAGTTCCCTTTGGTAACAACACCAATAATAATAGCAACCAACCAAATTCTTCGAATTTGATTCAAAATAATGATAAATTGAATTTAATTTTTAAGGATCATGATTTTTCTTATTTGAAACTAAAACCAGACCATTCTTCAAGACCTTTATGGATCGCAAACAACGTTATTATTTTAGAAAGTTTTTCACCCTTAGCTGAGCAAGCTCAGGACTTCTTAATCACAATCGCTGAACCAATTAGTAGACCTTCTCATATTCATGAGTATAAATTGACCACTCACTCATTATATGCAGCTGTTTCTGTTGGCTTGGAACCAACTGATATTGTATCTGTTTTAGATCGTTTGTCTAAAACTCCATTAACTGTCGCAACAAAAGATTTCATCATCAATTCCACTTTATCATTTGGTAAAATTAGATTGGTTCTTAAGAATAATAAATATTATTTGGAAAGTTCTCAGCCTGACATTATTCAAATGCTATTAAAAGATGCTGTTATTAGCTCATGTAGAATTGAATCTTCTGGAATTATCAATAAAACTTCTGATGGTATCACGCAAACCAAAAATTCTTCCAATGTTGATAGCTTCAATCCCAATAATAACATTAGTAATAATAGCAATACTATTGCTAATTCTACCAACATCAACAATCCTTTAAATAATAAGACTTCTAATAACAATGCCACTAATAGCAAAACAAATGGTGATAGCAATAATGCAAATACTGCCCTGAATAATACTAACAACCTCAATGGTAATGAAATTGATAACCTATTCACTTCCATTATCGATGAAAAAGATGACGACGATCTCGACGCTGTTCATTCAATTGAAATCGTAAAAGATTCAGTTGGAAAAGTTAAAGAACGTTGTATTCAAGTTCAACATCCTCTTTTAGAAGAATATGATTTCAAGTTTGATAACAACAACCCTGATTTAGATATTGATTTAAGACCATCTACTAAAGTCAGACCTTACCAAGAAAAATCCTTGAGTAAAATGTTTGGAAATGGTAGAGCAAGATCTGGCATTATTGTTTTGCCCTGTGGTGCTGGTAAAACTTTAGTTGGAATCACTGCTGCATGTACAATTAAAAAATCAACAATTGTTTTATGTACTTCATCTGTTTCTGTTATGCAATGGAGAAACGAATTCTTGAAATGGAGTACAATCAATCCCGAATCAGTTGCTGTTTTTACTTCAGATAATAAAGAAATGTTTGCAACTGAGTCTGGTTTAATTGTTTCTACATACTCAATGATTTCCAAAAAAAGCAGTAGATCTCACGATGCTCAAAAAGTTATTGATTTTCTAAAAAATCGCGAATGGGGTTTTTTAATCTTAGATGAAGTTCACGTTGTTCCAGCTGCAATGTTTAGAAACGTTCTTATTACGATTTCTGCTCACGCTAAATTAGGGCTAACTGCTACATTGGTTCGAGAAGATGAAAAAATTGGTGATTTAAATTTTCTTATTGGTCCAAAATTATACGAAGCAAATTGGATGGAATTAGCTCAAAAGGGACATATAGCAAAAGTTCAATGTGCTGAAGTTTGGTGTCCAATGACAGCCGAATTTTATCAAGAATATTTGCATACTTCAACAAGAAAGAGAATGTTATTATATATCATGAATCCAACCAAATTTCAAGCCTGTCAATTTTTAATTCATTATCACGAGCAACGGGGTGATAAAATTATTGTATTTTCTGATAATGTTTATGCATTAATTGAGTATGCATTAAAATTAGGCAAGCCATATATTTGTGGATCAACACCTCAACAAGAAAGAATGACAATTTTGAAAAATTTCCAGCATAATGAAAAAGTTAATACTATTTTTTTATCAAAGGTTGGGGATACATCAATTGATTTACCTGAAGCTACATGTCTTATCCAAGTCTCATCGCACTATGGTTCAAGACGTCAAGAAGCTCAAAGATTGGGTAGAATTTTAAGAGCCAAGAGAAGAAACGATGAAGGGTTTAACGCATTTTTTTATTCGTTGGTGTCAAAGGATACCCAAGAAATGTATTATTCAACTAAAAGACAGGCATTTTTAGTTGACCAAGGGTATGCATTTAAAGTGATTACGCATTTGAAGGGAATTGAAAGTTTACCAAATTTGGCGTATAGAACAGCTCAAGAGAGAAGAGGATTATTACAAAGTGTGTTAACGAAGGAAGGAGAAGCAGGAATTGAGGAAGGAGACGATGCTGATAATTTTGTAGGAAGAGGAACCAAATTGGCTACCGGAGGTAAAAAGCGAAAGTTCAATGGGAAATTTGGAAGCAAATCCAAAGCGCAAAGAGTTGCTGGGTCATTGGCTGGATTTGCTGGTGGAGAAGATATGGCATATGTTGAGTATCGAGGTAATAAAAACAAAGAATTACGTGAACGTAATCCTCTCATAAATAAGTTATATTATCAAAAAAAGAAAAAGTGAAAAGTGAAAGTGAGATTGAGAGCAATTTTTGGAGCGATTTTTGGAGCGATTTTTGGAGCGATTTTTGAAATGAACATTGAAGTATATAAATCTATAAATGATATATGAAAGTATAATATAAGGTAAAATTATGAGTGACGTTTAGTGTAAATGATTAGTGCAAGATATGGGAGTGATATAAGACTGAAGCAAAGCAGATCGGACTGTGAAGAGCGTTGAGGGAATTTCGATTGTAGAGAGCGATTTGAGGAGTATTTTAAAATATAGATTCATTAATGTATAGACAGCTATAGAAAAACAAAAAAGGGTATACATTGAAAAAGAATGGGAGCAAAAAAGAAACAAAAAAACAAAAAAACAAGAAATAACTCATTAATATTATAAGTGATGAAACGAAGAAACTATTTAGTAGAATGAAAACATAAACATACAAGAGAAGAGAAGAGAATATAATCATTAAACAACTCAATTGAAATTGAGGGATAATATACAGGGCAAGTGAAGGTAATAATCATATATTATTTAAACTATTGTTATTAAAACTTGAGGGAGAAAACAATTTGACGTCTTCTAGTATTCCGTTGATAGAATTGAGATCTATATCGATATCCAAAATGTTGCTTTTGTCATTTGTTGACGATAATGGTGATGTTGTTTTGTTTAAATTTTGATTATAGGAAGATAGATTGAGGTTGTTATTGAGGGATATAGATTTCTTTGAAGTGTTTTTTGAGTGAGAAAGAGATCTTTTATGAGATTTTGTTATGTGGCCATTTGATAGGGGTTTTGATAGATTTAGAGAGTTATCTATAGGAGACAAGTTTATGTTTGAGTTTGAGTTTGGTAGGATTAGAGATTTGGAGGAAGGAGAGGTTAGTGGTGATTCGAACAGGTCCCAGTTTGGGGACAAGTTGTTTTGAGTGGGTAAGTTGTTGTTTAAGATGTTCAAGTTGCAGTTTAGATTTAGATTTGATATGGGGAAGGATTCATTTAAGAAATTTGGAATGAGTTTTGTATTGTTATAGGGCAAGTTTGTGTTGTTGAAAAGCAGATTGTTCAAGTTGTTCAAGTTGTTTATAGTGTTAATGTTGTTGAAAGTGTTTATTGTATTTATCGTATTTAGATTATTGAAGTTATTTAGATTATTGAAGTTATTTAGATTATTGAAGTTATTTAGATTATTGAAGTTATTTAGATCATTGAGGTTATTGAGGTCGTTGAGGTTATTGAGGTCGTTGAGATTGAGGCTATTGAAGTTATTTATGTGAGATAAATTGGATAAGTTTGAGGTGGAAGAGGTTGGAGAGCATGTGGAGAGATTGAAGGAAGGAAGATCAAAGACCGATTCAGTTTTGATCATTTTTGAAGAGGAGGGAGAGTTGTAGGCAGAATTTGCCGAAGAATGGGAGGAGTGGGAAGAGTGAGAGGAGTGGGAAGTGTAATCTGTGGACAAGTAGTTCTGAGGGTTTAAAGAGGTGTTGATTGAGAGTTTACTTTTCTTAGACTTTTTGATGTGAGAAGAATCTTCAAAGTCCTCGGGGTTTAGTGAATTGATGCTAATGTTACCATTAGTAATGGTATTAGTAATGTTGTTTGTATTTTTCTTTTTTATTTTAGCGGATTTTGGGCTATTGCTATTGTTATTGTTATTGTTATTGTTATTGTTATTGTTTGCTAAAGATAGTTGGTGCTTTGAAAAGGCATTTGAAGACTGAAGCAAGTTTTTGGACGAGTAGCTGGAGGCTATGAAGATGCCTTGGTCCCACTCAATGGGCAAGCCATCTAGCAATTGTTTATGGGATATAAGAAGATGGATGATTTCGTTAAGAGAGTATTGATAAAACTCTGATTTTGAGTCGTAGTTGGCAATGGTGTCATTATTAGTACTATCATCATTATCATTGATACTTTCAACATCACTTTCGCCATCATTAGTGCAGTTATCTCTGTGATCTATATCATCTTTATCGTTTTTATCATCATTACTATCTTTATCAGTGCCATTGGCAATTGGGCTCCTCGGAGCATTCAACATGGAGGACTTGAGGAAGGATAGATCACCATTGGACAAGTATATGTGGACCAACTTGAGAATTGATCGCGAGAGAAGGTCCAAACGTGTTTCGAGAAGGTTGATGTAGCCCTTGGGATATATCTTGTCGTTCTTGAACTGTTTCTCGGTGAAGGTACAAATCTTGTTGTCGACGAGACACTTGGAACAGGGCTTCTTGCCGTCACACTTGGTCTTTTTGATCCGGCACGAGTCGCAGGCCTTTCCCACTCGCTTCTTCTTTTTGATCTGGTAGCTGTGGCTGGGAGCGGCAGAGGCAGCAGAGGCAGCAGGGCTGGGGTAGGAGGAAGTCATGGTGGTTGGATTGCTCCATGGGAAGATAATGGGAAAACGAGGGTATATATACATATATACAGATTATTAATTCGGGACGACACAACGGAAGCAGATGGGCCGCGTTGAGCCGGCTGGGAGCAGAAGCCGGTTCCGTTTGCCGAGCCTGGACTGAGATGTGCGTGCTGTGGATCGGGCGCGTTCACTGAGAGAACGGGTCCAACCTATGATCGAAGCACGGTTGTTCTGTCTGGCGCTATAGTCCCTGCGCGGTGGGTGTGCGAGCAGAGAGCTGGTATGGCCAGAGTGCGAATGAAAGGTGGTAACCTTTGTTGAGGAAACACAACTGGAGAGAAACCGTCGGCTGTCTCTGCGACTATATATACGGGGCGTGCGCCGGGTAAGCAAGGGCCCGCTTTTTTCTTCTGGGGCTGGGGCTGCAGGTGACACGCAAAAGGCGCGGCACGAGACGAGCTGCGCGAGAAGGAGGAGCAGCACGAGAAGGAGCAGCACGAGAAGGAGCAGCAGCACCACATCCACCTCCACCTCCACCATGAACCTCTCCCTTCTCGACCCCTTTGCTGTCGCCAAAGAGTACCCTGAGTCGCTCACCGACACCATTGAGTTCGGCTTCTCCATTTACATCAGGTTCAACTACAACGGCGATTATCTCGCCAGCGGCCTCAATGACGGCAACATCCTCATCTTCGACTTGCAGACCTTGTCGCCTCTCACCATCTTGCGCAAACACACCAAGCAGATCCAGTCCCTCACCTGGTCCTTCTCCAACAGATACCTCTTGTCCTCTGCAAAGGACAACAATGTCATTCTCTGGGACTTGAAGTTCTCCAAGGTCCTCCGGATTATCATCTTCGAGAGCCTTGTCTGGAACTCCCAGTTTCTCTCAAACAACCCCTACATCATCATTGCCTCCTCTACTGAAAACGACTGTCGCTACATCGACTGCTCGGACGAGTTTGATTACAAATACATCGACCTCCAAAACAACCCCCTATTCAATGTCAACGACAGCCATCTTCCCCCCAAGTCCAACAATCTCGCCTCTCCTGCCAAATACTACACTCTCTCAACGGCTTTTGCTTATGACGGAAATTACATTTTCAACGGAACAACAAACGGTTGGCTCAATGTCTTTGAAATTAAAAACCCTCATTTGATACTAAATACGCATTTCAACGACAACGACGAGGAGTATTACACAGAGTATAATAACCTCTTCAACATTGAAAAGTTCAGTATCAAAAATCTCAGAAAAATCCTACTAAACAAGAAAAAGAAAAGAAAAACAAACCAAAATTATGACTATGATTATGATTATGATTATGAAGAAGAAGATCAAGAAGAAGTAGAAGGAGAGGGAATAGAAGAAGAAGAAGAAGGAGAAGATCATGATGTTCAAGGAAAGATTGAAATTAACATTGTCTACTCCCAAAAGATAACAAACAACAACATCAAATCAATCGTCATCTCCTCAAATAACTCAAAAATGTTCATCAACTCTACTGACAGAATCATAAGACAATTTACCCTACCAAATCTATCCGACTTCAAATCTCTCATATCAAACAACAACTTCCAATTCGAGGTCGACCACAAGTATCAAGACGTGGTCAACAAACTACAATGGAATGCCATCTCCATCAACTACAATGGCGATTATCTTGTCGCTTCAACCTATGGCTCAAACCATGAAATATACATGTGGGAGACCTCAATGGGCTCCCTCATCAAAATCCTCGAGGGCCCCAAAGAAGAACTCCTAGACGTCGACTGGAACTTCAAAAAGAATAAAGTCTCCGCAACTGGCGTCGACAGTGGCACTATCTACATCTGGTCCATCATAATCAACCAAAAATGGTCCTCTCTTGCCCCAGACTTTATTGAAATTGATGAAAACATTGACTACATCGAAAGAGAAAATGAATTCGATATCCTCCCCGACGAAGAAATCAACCTAAAAAGACAAAATGATGAAAACGAATTCATCGACGTTATATCAAAGGACAACGATACAAACATCACCCTAAATCATAACAACAGCAGCAACAGCAACAACAACAGCAGCAACAACAACAACAACAAAGTCATCAGCATTCAAAATAGCTCATCCTCGTTTGACAACTTCTTTATCATTCCTGTAGATCTTGACCAGAAAATTGAATTGCCAGTTTACGACGATGATGATTAGCGTATCTCCATCGCTTACATATATTGTATCTCCATTGCCTACATATATTATATCGTTATCACTCGCTGATTTATACACATATAGATTTATGTTATCGCTATTTAAACTTTCATGCATACCAATGCAAGTCCAATGCAAGTCCAGCCGAACTTGCATGCACTTGATTCCTTCCATTACTAAGAACATCAGTCCATTTTATAATTTTATAATCTCAGTCTTCAATTACTAAAAAAAACTAGTTCCAAAATGCTCACTACTCACTCACTGAACAAGTCTGTATTGCTTACTTCTTCTCTTTATACCACCGCATTCACTTTTCGATCGTAACCATAGCCCCTCGCTATTCCGGATCGACCCTGCTCTAAAATTGCGCCTTCATCGTCCTCCTTATCGTCTTGAACAAAATCACTCCCTAGCCCACTCCATTCTCGGCTCTGTAAATACAACGCTGAAGTAGAAATCGTTCCTTTAATAACCATACTCTTTGAGAATTGCTTAACCAACTGCTTCTCATTATCAATGGGAGCTTCAATCTCAATATGCTGGTATAGTTTGGGTCGCAATGGTCTGGAATTTATTGCATACTGTCCAGTAACTGGATTGAATTCCGGAGCATCTTCATCTTCATCTTCGTCACTGCCATGACTCCCATCCAGACTTTTATCCTCCTCGTCTCTGTTGTCCAACTTCATTATCTCCTTAAAATCAGTAACCCATTTGCCTGTCCATGTCACTTCAGCTGCTAGCGCCAAATACAACTCATAAGGCGTTAAAATTGGTTTATAATACTCATTATATTCGTCAATTATCATTCCGTTTTGACTACACCCCAAAGCAACCCAGCAATCAACAGCATCAAAATTGGCCAATTTCGACACATTGGGCTTTCCAACAACAAACATGTACGATTTCTTTTCGTTTTTATGAATCCACTCTTTCACCATATTCAACATGCTCAATGTGTTTGATAACGACAACGTATTGATTAGTATTCCAATAGTAGACGCATTTCTTGCAACAAACATAGAACGATATCTTCTTTTCAAAGAGGGATATGGTCCATCATTAACGCTTCCGTCCAATGGATTGTATATAGTCAAGGAATCAAATTTAGTAGAGAGATATAATAGTCTCGGAGGGTCTGGTTGGCTGATGTGGAATAATTTATAATCACCAAATGAGATTTCCTCATCATCACCACCATACTCTTTTAGTCGTTTAATCTCGGATTCTGATAATCCTAATATTACTCTATTGTCCAATATTATAGAACTGGACGTGGAATTTTCATAGCTCTTCAATTCATAACCAATTATCCTTATTTTATTATTGTTGTTCAAATATAAATCTGAATAAGCCAAGTTTGTATACTCATTTTTCAAGAGCCGATAAAGATTAAATAAATGACAGTTATAAACCGTGTCTGAAATCAATAAAATCCGGTCTTCTTTATTTGGATATTTCTCTTTAAATAACTCAACTAAAGAGTCATAGTTCAATAAGGGTTTCCCAAAGATTAGAATTGAACTTGAAGTTAAATTGCTAAAGTTTGATAAACAAGAATCGCCAAAATGAACAATTAAATCACTATTTACATGCTGAGCAGCTATTTCATCAATACAACATGGAGAGTACGAAGTGTCAGCTAATATCCATACCTCTCTTGCTGATGGAGTAAAGTTATCAAGATCCTTTTCAAGATTAGTAGCAAGGCTATGATTCTCAATTTCCCCAACTTTCTTATCACATTTACAATTCAAACACTTTTCGTGTTTCCCATGTTCTTTTTTCTTATGTCCATTAACATGAGAATGAGAGTGGGAGGAAGAATCTTTGTGATTATCCTGCGAAGTGAAATTTAGTTCATTTTCGCTGCTCTCAGCAACAATCACGCTCTGCAAATTGTCTTGTAAATACTGTAAAACAATAGAGCTTTGATTGATCAAAGTATCAGGAAACTGCAATGATATTTTCTTGTAAACTATTCCCTTGGGAGAATTTAAAAACCGTAGCAAGTCATCCAATGAATAGTAGTCTTTGATATCATCTAAAACATAGTGAGCACTGTGGTCTTTGTTATTACTTGAGTATTTGAAATACTGGAAATTCGAATCAGACTGGGTGGATAACACTGGTGGTAGTTCAGAGGTGGTCATCATTTACAGCACAGAAGCACAGAAGCACAGAAGCAAAGAAACAAGGAAATAATAAAGGATTAGCTGAAGTATATTAGTTACTACAGTCAAAAAGCGACAGAACGGATAAAATTTTAGTGAATAAATTTTTTGAGTTTTCCATCAAAGGACCGCACAATAAAAACCTTAATGAGATGCCAAAGCTGAAGAAAGACAGTAGAAGAAAAGAGCACTGAAAAAAGCAACCACCTTCTTATTTACGCTCTTTACTACTGTGCTCAAAGTGTTCTTTTCACAAACCACGAGTGCTTGTATTTTACTCCCACGACTGCCCAACCTCGCGTTGAAATTCTGTGGATATTTCCACAGAACCGGCTCCAACGCGTTGCCAGCAGCACGGATCGTCTTCTTCCTAATCCGGACGCTGATATAATTCGCGTTCAAAGGCCAGAGCTGTGCTTTTGAACAGCTCCAATTCTGCTGTAATTCTGCTGCAATGAGCGATTCCCACCTCCACATCCCACTGCAGCCCAATGATCTGCTTGTAGAGGAAAGCAATAGTCACGTCGCTAACGATCCAAGCAGTCCCCGGGATCTTGCTGCCGATGATGCACTTGCAGTTTCCAGCAATGAAACAGCAAATGACAGCACCAACATCAAAAGTGCCAATGACAATAACAATGATGTTGACAATACTGGTCCAGCAGACAAGCCGACAAAAAGACTAACAATGCAAGAAAGATTGTCCATGGCTGTTGCAAGCAAAAATTCGAAATCAAAGAAAAAAAATAAAAAAAAAAGGAAAAATTTAAATAAAAGTCTATTGCTTTCAGACAATTCAATAAACGACCCGCTTTCTCCCAGATCCTCTATATCTTCAATTCCACCTAATTTGCAATCTTTGGTTGATCTTGACGAAAACAACTCGTCTTCAAAGATCTCAATTCACACAGCAAGCGTATCCAAATCTCAACTCCAACTTGATAACCCTAATAATGACGTAATAACCGTTGATAACAATAACGACGGTAACGATATCAATACTTCAAATCATGATCTCAATGAAAACTCCAGCAATAGAGACAGCAATAATAACCAAGAGCTATTGACTATAATAAATTCGTTAAATGTTCAAATTCAGACATTAAATAAATCACATTCAATTGAAATCTCAAAATTGAAAGATAAACTCAACTCAACTTTGGACCAATCCTCATTTGAAAAAAAACTTAAAGAAAAAGATGATCAAATCAATGATCTATTAATTGAAGGTCAAAAATTGTCCATGACTGAATTAAAATTAACAACCTTAGTTAAAAACTTACGCTTAAAAGAACTTGATCAAAATGATTTAATCAACAATTTAAATGACAGAATCTCTGGATATGATTTAAAATTTATTGAACTAAATGAATCAATTAATAACCTAAAATCAAACGAAAAAAAACTAATTCAAGACAATAGTTTTTACAAAAAATTTGAAGAAAACTACAACCAACTACTGTCAAATTATAATGATTTGGACTTAAAATATAAAGATTTAAAATCAAAAAATTTTGAAATTAAATACAAAAGTCAGTTGGATTTATACAAAGATGAAACAATTAAAAACGAAAATTTAAATAAAAAAATCAATGATCTAACTATTGAAAAACAATTGATTCAAAAAAATTTAACTAATCAATTGAATTCTCTCACTCTTGAAAATAACAACCTATCATTTCAATTAAAACAATTAAAAGAAGAAAATTCAAACGAAACATCAAGATTGGAAAATAAATTAGAAGAATTAAGAATTATAAATGAAAATTATGATCAAAATAGAAATAACTTTAATAATCATAATAATAGCAATAGCAATAGCACCGAAACAAATAACAGCGAACCTGATAACCTTAACCAAAATGAAACTAATACCATCACTAATTATAATACCAACACCGAATTTAGTTCTCTTGAAATAAAATATAATAAACTACTAAAACAAAATCAAATATTAAATGATCAATATAAAACTTCAGCAGAAAATTTTTCTAAGATCGAATTATCATTATCAAGCAAAATTAATAAATTGCAAGATGAATTAAATAATAAAAATCTTTTACATTTAAACAACCTTAAAAATATACGAAATTTAACCGAAAACTTAAACTCAATTAAAGAAGAAAATAATAAACTATCAACGGAAAAATTCGAGATTTCTGTCACATTAAATAAAATTGAAGAAAAATTTAAAATCAAGGAAGACGAAGTTAAATCGTTGCAAGATAAGTTTAAAGAACTATCTTCAAAACTTAATAACAACTCATTAATTAAAAATAATAATAGTGATCATTTAAATGAAAAAATTAAAGAATTAGAACAAGAAAACAGTAGATTAAAAGACAAAGTTAATGCATTACAAGCATCATTCGAGCTAATGCCTCCTCCAATAGTTCCTCCAATATTAGGAAGCAGAAATTCATCAGCATCAAGTTGGAGCGCAGATTATTCGGATCAGTTCAATGGAACTAAAAATCCAACTGCAATACACTCAAGAAGATCAAGTTTTTTCTTGAATAATAATAACAATAAGTACAATGAAAACAATGTCGGCGTCATTTTGAGTAATAGTAATGAAGATTTAAATTCGTTAACATCACCTACACGAACCATAACAAATGGATTTGATAGTTCAAGTATAAGCGTATATAATGAAAAGAAAACTCCAATAACCCTTGGTACAGGCTCAATAGGATCATCAAATGTTCAAGTGATAAGCAGAATGACAAACCAAATTCGATCATTAAAGACAGAAATGTTTCAAATCAAAGAAGAATTAAACAAGAACCAAAAGGAGAAAAAAGAGGCAGGCAACGAGATTTTAAGATTATTAAAAGATAATGAAAGGGTTAAGCAGTTAGAAGCTGAAAAGGTAGAACTCCAGGAGGAGATCAAGAAAATAGAAAAACAATATGTTGCAAGTTTAGAAATTCTAGGAGAAAAAAGCGAAAGAGTTGAGGAATTAAAAGCAGATGTAATGGATTTAAAGGAGTTACTCCGGGATCAGGTACAGCAAATTGTTTTGTTACAAGCAGCAATCAAAAACAAATAGTCTTTTTAATTTTTGATTTTCAAACAAAGTTGAGTTTTGTATTCTTTTTCTGTTACAACAGCTGATTACTCTTCACACATCTTGAAATTTTAACGTCTGGAGAGGTTTAAATTTTGTGTTTACTGATCAAGTGTTCTTCATTATTAGATAAAAACAATCTATTTGATATTTATAAAGCAGAAATAAAGAACAAAGAAGAACAAAACAAAGAAGAACAAAAGAATGTTAATAGGCCTTATGGTAGAAAAAAAAATGTAGATGCATCTAAGTATAAAGGTAACAATATTTTATTAAATGTTGCCCTGGGTTTTTGCCATTTCAGTGTGATAATCAATATCAGAGGCATCCCAAGGATAAGCAATCCAAATATCAGGAACAGTTCTAGCAGCCAAATATCTACCAGAATCCATCAACTCCTTGGGCAAGTCTTCCTTTTTGGGCTTGTCTTTATTGTGTAAAACAAACACTGAGAAGATTGTTTTTTCATCTGATCTTCCCAACTTTATAGCCTGGTTCCTGACATCTTTCTTCAACTCAGTTAAGGCGTAATACAACGTAGTTCTGGTGTCATCGACCTCGTCGACAATCAAGATTTTCTTGCCAATCAAAGTATCAAAGTGTTTGTCGATAGCACCAAAATCCAACCACTGGGTTCTCACAACCTCTTTTCCAATGGTGTCGATGGTCGAGTTGTTTCCCATGGACTCATATAGCGACAAACCAATGGCCTGAATGGGGATGTTCTTTTCTCCCTGCTCTCTGATGAAAGATCTGAGGATTCTGGCAGGAATGAAGCCACCACCACCAATAGCTATGATAATATCAGGTTTATTGGATTCTGCTTTGAGTTTCTCGGCAGTTTCCTGACACAACTTGTGGATATTGTTGTAGGAAATGTATAGTTTTTTCACTTCTGGAGCAGCAGCTGTCATTTTAAATAATTATTTGTAAATTGAATCTAAAATTTTTGGTAAAATTTTCTTGATCGAGAGATGAGTGGAAAAAAAATTTAAGAAACGTTAAAATTTTGAAAACCAACTTTCTTTTGGATGCAGCAAAGGCAAAAAAAAGCAAATATCAACCACTTTGACCCTGGCACAACAGCAAAAGAGTAATTTAACTAGATCAGTTGTTTTGAATATTCATGAACCGTATTCTCAATGGCAAAAAAAAACAATAAAGATAGTAGGAGACCCAAGAGTAAAAAAAATGAGCTGAAGGCCAGCACTAACGCTAAAAATAATGGAAATATCAACATCAACACCAATGGCAGCAGTGTCAACAATAGTAGTAATATCAGCGAAATCAATAAAACCAACAGAATCAGAAACACTAAGATTGTGGCAAACAACTCCAGCTGGACAGGAAAGTTGCCATGCTCTTTACTTCATGAATTGGTACAGAAGAATCACTGGAAAACTGTCGCCTACGATATGGTCAAAATTCCAACAAAAGATGGTCAAGAAGGTGGATTTATTGCAAACTCCAAAATCTCATGGGAAAATCCCAAAACAAAACAATTGATTACAATTAATTTTAAAGCAACTGACAAGAAATTTCAGGAAATAATCAAACCCCAATCAACTCCAATTGAAGCCAGACATTTGTGTGCTACTTTTACTTTGCATAAGATTAGTTATGAAAAAAATCTTCAGATGATATTACCAACTAACCATCGGAAAGTCTGGCAAGATTTGGATAAATTAAGGGTTATTTTGTTTAAAGAAAACAAGCAGAAGTACCAATTGGAGTGGAATAGTGATCCTTTCAAGATCTATTTGGAAAATCAAAAGTCTATGCAAAATAAATTGAAACAAAACGATATTAATTTGAATCAACAACTAAAAACACAAAAACCTCAATTAATCAATATTTCAAACTCCACTCAATTATTGAATCAAAGCAAGTCTTCAATGCCTCAAAAAAATCAAAATCAAATTTATTATGCAAACAGAGAACTACTGCAAAATTCTAAAATTAATCAAACAACTCGTTTTCCTAGAAAAATTTGGGAAAAGGCTCCATTTATAGATTTATCTCCAGAATCAACACAATTTCTCCAATCAGTCATCAACAAGAATTTAAACCATATATATACATCAAATAATATACCTACTGACAATATTAATTCGGAAAAGATTTTGCAATACTTTGAGTCAATTGGATTTCGAAAGCCACACATCCAAGAGTCTTTTCAATATATCTCCCATATTTCTCTTACTTCATCCTTAGAATGGTTGCTTTTAAATGTTCCAGAAGACGATTTGCCCACCTTATTTTTGAAAAATGATAATGTGTCAAATGTTTCCTTAAAACTTATATCAAATGATTTGAAAAGTCAATATATGTTTGACAGGTTATTGGATTCAGGATATTTAAAAAATGATATTGTTGTTCAATTTAATAGCATTGGAAAAAAGAAAGTAAATAATCCTCAGTTGGAATCTTTTATAACATATAATTTAACAAAAAAACTTATTGATGATTCCAATATTGAATCTTATAATTCTATTTTAGAGTTAAACGATGGGTTTTTTGAGCTAGAAGATTATAAAAATGAAGTCGAATCATTGGTTTCCATGTATTCTTCAGACAAGTTTAAAATAATAGATAAAGAAAACTATTCTACAATTGAAATCTTTTTAAATCCGGAGAATTTCCCAAAAGATCAAAATATTTTTTCATTAAGAATATTATATAATAAATCAGTATCCAAATATCCATTTGATCTACTTGGTTTACAATTTAATATTATAGATAAAAAAAATTATAAAATGGCTAATTATATAAAATCGTCAATATTAGGACAGTTGGTGAATGATGAAATCATTGGGAACAATATGCTTGGAAATTGTTATTTATTGTCAATAATTGAATGGTTAGAAAGTAACATTTCAAAAATCATTCAAAATCCTGGGCCTTTAATACACGATAACAATTTTGAATTTGAAGTGGATTCATCATCACAAGGTAATAACTCAAATATCAAGAAAAATAAAAATAAAAATACAAATAAAAACAAAAAATCATTTGCTTTAAATACCAAAGTATTTTCAATTGATGAGATTGATAACTTATTAGCTGACTATCAAAAAAAGCATGATTCAATTGAAGTTAAAGCTAGGATATTTGAAAGAAAAAAATTACCTGCTTTTAATAGGAAAGACCAATTGGTTTCCATGATTCAATCAAGTCAAATAACTATTGTAACTGGTGAAACTGGGTCTGGTAAATCGACACAAATTGTTCAATTTATTTTAGATGATATAATATCTAAGAATAAAGATTTTGTATCCAAGATTATTGTTACACAACCTCGTCGTATTTCAACAATAGGTTTAGCTGATAGAATATCAGATGAAAGAGTATTAAAAGTTGGGGAAGAAGTTGGATATATGATTCGAGGTGAAAATAGGACCAAAAATAATACTAGAATAATTTTTGTGACAACAGGTATATTATTGAGAATGATTCAAGGGTTTTTATCAAAAGATCAAAAGAAAAATTCCAAAGATGATGAATTTTTAAAAAACGTTAAATATATATTTGTTGATGAAGTTCATGAAAGATCTATAGATTCTGATTTTTTATTGATTATTTTAAAGCAAATTGTGAAAAGTAGAAAATTAGCTGATATAAAGATTATTTTAATGTCAGCTACAATTGATATTAATCTTTATAAACAATTTTTTAAAGTTAATGAAATCAATCATGTCCATATTGAAGGAAGAACATTTCCAATTAAAGATTACTATTTGGATAGTGTTTTAAATGATTTAAATTTTACGATTGTGAAAAAAGTAGAAAAAAAGAATAAATATCAAAGAAGGCCTCATAGATATAATGGCGATGAAGATGACAAAAATGATCTTGAGAATAGTAATTATTATGACAGTGAGGGTGATGATGAACTAGTTTTAAAACCCAAAGCAGATTCTCGGTTTTTCAATAGTGGGAAGATTAACAATGATTTAATTAGCCAGTTGGTGAATAAGGTTGATTTAGATTTGCTTCGAGAGAATAACACAGGATCGATTTTAATTTTTTTGCCAGGAATAATGGAGATCAATATGTGTATTAAGAATATTAGTAGTAATTTTCACCGAAAATCGAAATGCATTTTATTGCCATTACATTCAGCATTGTCACCTCAGCAACAGAAAAAGGTTTTCAAGACATTTGATAAAACGGTTAGAAAAATAGTTGTTACCACGAATATTGCAGAGACGTCAATTACAATTCCTGATGCAGTTGTAGTGATTGATTGTGGACGAGCTAAGCAGTTGCATTATGATTTTAAATTGAATTGTACAAAATTAGTTGAAGATTGGTGTTCAAAAGCCGAGATAAAACAAAGAAGAGGTAGAGCAGGTCGTATACAGTCGGGTATTTGCTATCATTTATATACAAGGGAGAATTATGAGAATAATTTTTTGGATCAGCCAATACCGGAAATCAAAAGAGTTCGAATTGAAAACATTTATTTGATTATTAAAAGCATGGGGATAAATAATGTTTCTGAATTTCTAAAAGAGGGGATTGATTCACCGGACGATTTGAGTATTATTAAGACCAAGAAATTTTTAAATGAGATTGGTGCAACAAACATTGAAGAAGAAGATGATGATGATGACAAGTTAACAAATTTAGGGAAATATTTATCAATGTTACCAATGGATATCAGAGCAGGAAAATTGTTAATATTTGGAGTTTTATTTGGATGTTTAGAAAATTGTTTGACAATTGGCAGTGTATTAACTAGCGGCAGTCCATTTTTGAATAGTTTTAATGATCGAGATGAGATAAAAAGAATTATTAAAAAATGGGGAAATACCGATGGAGATTTAATTTCAATCGTTAATGTATTTAATGAATATGCCAAGATTGACAATCCGTTTGAAAAAAGAAAGTTTATCAGAGAAAATAAATTATCCAAATTAGTTTTAGATGATATTGTATCTACCAGAATTCAATATTTATCAGTTTTAGGAGACGTCGGTTTTATTGATTTAAATTACAAAAGCAAGATAAATGAGATTGAAAATGAAAATGAAAATGGAAATGGAAATGGAAATCAGAATAAAGATAAAGATAAAGATAAAGAAGAGTTGAATAGAAACAACAACAATTTCAAAATATTGAAGCTGATTATAACTAGTGCCTATTATCCAAATATTGTGAAAGTTGAGTTTCCAGAGAGCAAATATTTAAAGAGTTCGACTGGGACTATTGAAATCAATCAAAACGACAAGCAGATCAAGTATTTTATTCGAAATGAAGAGTTCAGCAATGATGGAAACGAGAATGAAGATGAAGCCAGCAAATATCCTGCCAACAGGGCCTTTTTGCATCCGTCATCAATTTTATTCAATACGTTCAACGAGAACGACGGTGGTAAGGAAGTCAGCAAAAGAACAAAGCTGTCGTTTTTGATCTATGGAGCATCGCAGCAGACTACAAAAGAGAGCAATAATAAGCTCTACTTACGAGACATCACGCCGGTGACACCACTATGTGTGTTGTTGTTTGGAGGAAAAATCAACTACGATCTCGCGTCGCTCTCCAGCGGATTCAACAAGTCGTTACCAGGAATTGTGATCGACAACTGGGTGCCAATTCGAACATGGTGCAAAAACGGAGTCTTGATCAAAAACATCAGGGTGTTACTCGACATGGTAATCCAGGAGAAGCTCCAGGGGGCCAGTGCAAAGAACTCGCGCAACATAGCAAGCATTTTGCAAAGTGTCGAGAGTCTCATCAAGAGCGAGTGATTGTGTAACCGTCATAACCTTCTCAAAATGAAAATAACAGGCCAAAAAGAAGGGCACAAAAAGAAAAGTACTAATAAAATACAGTGGCCAAATTGGGTTGCGTGCATATTTGCGGAGCTTTTGTGCAGATGCCTGATTAGGCAGTTATCCGATGCTGTTGGGGAGTGTCGCCGGGAGCCTGCAGAAAATGTTGCGTTTTCACAGGGCAAGTGTTTGTTTTTGGCTGGATTTGCGGAGTAGTGGAATAGAGTGCGGCTTGTTCTCCCATTAGTGCGGGTCCAAATAGTGGCGGTGTGAGGGTCTGCGCAAAACCCGCGCTGCTCGCGACATTTTCGGTTCAGCACCAATTTCCCATTTCTGCACTGATTCCTTTTTGTTTTTTCGATGAGTTCGCTGAAATAATGGAGTTCTTTCTCTTTTGAATGATGGAAAGTTTTGAATTAGTAAGACAGAATTCAATGACCTGCTATAAATTCAATGGTCTTCCTTGTTGTGTTTGCAAATCCTTCTTCCCTGTTCCTTCTGGATACCCAACAGCAGTTCCAGCACTGATTTGACACCTCTCCCTCCAATGCTTCCTCTAATGCTGACCATCACTTTTGACCCTGAAAAGGACTCGAACCAAGACACAAGCTCAAGCATAGGCAGATATGATGGGCCTGCTGAAACAATTGTCGAGTACGCAGCTGATGGGCTTCAGAGAAATTACGCACTAGATAGCATATATGGGAAAGATGCTGCGCAACAGGAAATTGATCTACAAAGACATCGGACAAGACAAACAATTATATCGGTATTGTCCCAGAGAGCAAATGCTGTAGCCAACGATCGCTCAGATGACGAGGAGTCCTCGATTTCCATTGATACCAAAAGCTTGAAAGACACTTACAAAAACTTGGAAGATGAAAATGTCGAAAACGGTTTACCAACAAAACAAGATGGTACTGAATTTTCCAGTATAGACCCAGAGCTAGTAACTTGGGATGGAGAGAGTGACCCAGATTTTCCTAGAAACTGGTCTCGTTTCAGAAAAATTAGAGCAATTCTATTGGTTTCTTGCTACACCTTTGTTTCTCCTGTTTGTTCATCAATGTTGTCTCCTGCAACCGCAAAGGTTGCTGAAGAGTTTGGGATTGACAACTATGTTGTCAAGTCCTTATTGGTCTCCATTTTTGTTTTAGCATGGGCAATCGCTCCATTATTTGTGGCCCCGTTTTCTGAAATGTTTGGCAGAAGAATTGTTTTAAATCTCTCCATATGGTTTATGTTTATGTTTAATTTAGGTTGTTGTTTGGCTCAAAATACGACTCAAATGCTAGTGTTCAGGTTTCTTGCCGGTATTGGTGGTGCTGCTCCATTATCTATTGGTGCTGGTGTTCTTGGTGATTTATTTAATGATATGGATAGAAATTTTTGGACAAGTATTTACGGTTTAGGTCCAACTTTGGGTCCAACCGTTGGCCCGATTGTTGCAGGTTTTGTCGTTCAAACTATCGATTGGAGATGGGTGTTTTGGATCCAATTAATCATCAATGGCATATTTGCTCTTTTAGGATCACTATTTTTTGAAGAAACTTACTCCCCAATTTTATTAAGAAACAAAGCTAAAGCTCTAAGAAAGGAAACGGCTAATCCCAATTTAAAGACAATTTATGATATAGCTGATGGTGAAACAATCTTGGGTAGATTTTATCTCAACATAACTAGACCTTTAAAATTATTATTATTTCATCCCATGGTTTTCGGTCTTGGTTCATTCATGGCTGTTTTATATGGCCTCATGTATCTTTTAATTTGTACTTTTCCAACTGTTTGGGGTACCATCTATGGTTTTAATATTGGTATTTGTGGCTTAATGTTTTCTGCCCTTGGTATCGGCTACCTTGTTGGTATTCCTTTTTGGAATAATTTTATTCAAATCGGTTATGAAAAACTAATCATTAAAAACAACGGTCAAGCTAAACCAGAGTTCAGATTACAATATCTATATTATTCAGGTATTCTTGCTCCTGGTTCTCTTTTGATTTATGGCTGGACTGCCCAAAATCATGTTTATTGGATTGTTCCTGCTTTCTTTTCAGCATCTTTTTCATTTGCAATCATTTGCATGTTTCAGTGTATTCAGAATTATTTAATTGATATGAACCCAAGATTTGCTGCTTCCACTGTAGCAGCAGCAGCGGTGTTCAGATCTTTATTTGGTTTTGCATTTCCTCTATTTGCACCATACATGTTTGAAGATCTCGGTTATGGATGGGGCAATACTATTTTTGCTTTGATTGGTTTTGCTTTGGGAATTCCATTTCCAATATATGTCTATAAAAATGGTGAAAGATTAAGAAATTGGGCCAATAGGCGTATGGAAAGGGAAAAGGCTAAAAGAGATGCAAAGAATTTAGCAAGATTGCAAAAACAACTAGAAAATGAAAAAAATTAATTGTTTTTTCTTCATTCAATCAAATCCAAAACAAATTAAATATAACTGTATTTTATTTATTTTTTTTTATCATCATAATTATTCATATTCAATTTGTTGCATTTTTGGTTTATCTTTATTGTTTTCCAAAAAAAAATGGTTTTCATTTTCTTTATTATTGTTTTATTCTTTTTTTTCATCAACTATTTTATACATAAACCTTTTTGATCCAATTTTATCGTACGTTTATATAGTCTATATATTTAAATAAATATTCTTGATTCACGAAATTATGAAATTAAAAGTACGACAAAAATATTATAAGCGTGGGAGACAAAATTTATGTCTCACAAAAGTTCGCCGCACCATACAAAATCCCTATCAATTGGAACATTGGAATTGGTCCTTTTTCAAATCTTATCTTCAAAGTTAAAAAATATCAATGAAATTATGAGCTTAATACTTTTAATTTGTCATTTAAATTTGGGTTTTTATTCATTTTAAGTATATATGTTTATTGATTTCACCCCTAAATTTAAAAGAGCTGCTTTTTTCTTTTTCTTTTTCAGCTTAATGACAAAAAACAACTAGAAGAAAAATAACCTACACAATTTATCATGGCTATTCAGAGTTTACTAGACGAACAAAAAAAAAATGATGAAGAAAATTTAAGTGATTTAAAAGAAATTAAAGATATAAAAGATCAAGAAAGTCAACAAAATAGCAAAGATGAAGAAGAATTTGAAATTGAACAAGAAAACAACTCAAATAATAATCATAAAACAATCTTTTCGTGGAATGAAGATAATGATCAAGATAATCCTAGAAACTGGATCCATAAAAGAAAACTAAATACAATTATTATTTCAAGTGCATATACATTTCTTTCACCAGCTTGCTCATCAATGTTATCCCCAGCTATTTCAGATATTTCAGTTGAATTTAATATTCAAGAGGATGTTATTAAATCCTTGTTGGTTTCTATATTTATTTTGCCTTGGGCATTTGTTCCATTGTTTATGTCACCAATTTCAGAGATGTATGGTAGAAAAAAACTTTTAAATTACTCGATTTGGTTTATGTTTTGCTTCAATCTTGGTTGTGCTTTAAGTAAAAATACCACACAATTAATTGTATTTAGATTTTTAGCAGGATGTGGTGGAGCAGCACCATTAGCAGTTGGAGCAGGTGTAATCGGCGATTTATTTTCAGCTAGAGAAAGAAATTTTTGGGGTTGTATCTATGCAATTGGCCCAATTTCAGGTCCCACTATTAGTCCAATTTTATCGGGATTTATTGTTCAATATACAGATTGGAGATGGGTTTTTTGGGTTCAATTAATTATTAATGGTATAGCTGGAATAATTGGAAGCTTTTTCTTGGAGGAAACATATGCACCAGTAATTTTGAAAGAAAAATTATTAAATTTCATAAAAGAAAACAAAGATTTTATTGATGTGACTAAAGAGTTTAAAACAATATATGAGATAAATCAACTGAATGACAAAAAGCACTTGTTTTATTTCAACATTATGAGACCATTTAAACTTTTGTTTTTGCATCCTATTATTATTGGGCTAGGTATTTATATGGCTATAATGTATGGGTTGATGTATTTAATGATTTGCACATTTCCAAACGTTTGGGGTAATATTTATGGTTTCAATAAAAGCATTTCAGGATTAATGTTTTTTGCATTAGCAATAGGATATATTGGTGGATTACCAATTTGGAATTACATTATTAGCAAAGATTATGAAAGAAAAATTAAAGAAAATAATAATCAAATACCAAAACCTGAAGCAAGATTGAAATATCTATACTGGTCAGGTATTATATCGCCAACTTCATTATTAATTTATGGATGGATGATTGAGAAGAAATACCATTGGGTTTTGCCAGCAATATTTTGTTCAACTTTTGCATTCGCAATAATTTGCATGTTTCAAACAATCTCGAGTTATTTAATTGATATGAACCCGAGATTTGCAGCATCATCAATAGCAGCAGCAACTTTTCTAAGATCAGTTTTCGGTTTTACCTTTCCATTATTTGTAAACTATATGTTTAGATCAAAATTGAAATATGGATGGAGCAACACAATATTTAGTTTGATTGGATTTATGTTTGGAATACCATTTCCCATTTTTGTGTATAAAAGAGGCGAAAGACTAAGAGAATGGGCTAATAGGTATATAGAAAGTTGGTAAAGACCTATATTTAATTAAATATATTGGCATTTTTTTTCAGTTATTACTATTTATTTTATATATATGACAATAGAAATTCAGAGGCTTAATAAAGTGGGTTCGTTTCCGTCTATTGTTGTTGTTTATAGCCATGATTACCCTGCATCAATATGCATAATAAACATGTAACTGTGATCAAACCCTTTTTGAAATGCAACTTTTGCTGGAATCCGAATTCAAAAACATAAGCTTTTGCTTTGCATTTATCTGTTTTCTGCTGTGTGTTTATGTGAAACTAGTAACTCAAATTCTTTTTTCAACAAATATTATTGGACTGCTTAGTCAGCAAAATTTTGTTTTTTCGCGATACAAAATTTCCTATTAACGAAAAATTTCACCATCCAGCTTTTTCTACATTCTAATAAAGTACAAGAATATATTACAAAAAATTTAATCTACAAACATTCAAATATAAATCATTAATTATTATGGTTGGAAAAAGAAGCTCCATTATATATTCAAATCCAGTTAAATAATTACTTCAATACAGTTAAAAGTAAAAACAACGATAATGCTTTTTTTTGGCAAATTGTAAGAATTAGGTTTTTATTGTAGGTTTTTAGCTTTCAAAATTTTTAGTAGAAATTTTGGATTAATATTTTCAAACATTTATATATTATTGCTAATAGATAAGAATTGAGAAACCATAATGAGGATATATTTCCAGATTCGGGCAAAATATTAGATATCATAACAAGTACTTTTGAAGACAAATAATCTGCTTTTCATGATAATCTATTGCTGGAAATTTTGTATTTTATACTAAAACACCTAACAATACTTGTTTGTAGTGCTTTTCGAAAGTTATAAACAACTATTTTATATTTATTTTAACCCAAGCTAACATGTTCAATCAAAAAGCCTAGTGATAACTAAGTTTAATAGATTTTAAATTAAAAGCTTTATGCTCAGAGAATAATGTCTACACAAGTAACATAAATTAGAGGTTGTTAAAAAAAGATGTGCCAAATAGTGCTAATTGTTGCTGAATATATAGAAATAGGTGATATATGATGGTAATTTGAGTTTGGGTTTAAGCGTGATCCTGCATATTGATACATTTTTTGTAATTTTGCCGCTGTTACTTGGTGCAGGACATCTTTCTTTGGTGAAATCAGATAATCAAATTGCATGTTTCCCTGCTCATAAAAAATCATTATAAGGAAATTGGTTTGCGGGTCACTTTATTGTTTGTAGAATCCCTCTATATCTGGACAGCTTTGACAGCAACTGTGTGCTTTCGAGGTGCAAATTCATTTAGCCGTTGGGTTATCTCCAGATTAAATTTTTACCATATTCTGATTAGAATGAAAGACATTTACGACTTGCTCATCAACAGTCATGACTGCTGATTTAAAATTTCTCTTAAAGTCAAAAATGATATTTGCAATAACGAGCTCATTATTAATAAAGCAAAACTTGGACAGTCTGCTATATATTTGTCAGATATTACTAATTTGAGAATGATATACCTCTCTTGATTATATTTTATTTTCAACTAATTATATTCTCTTATTCTTTCAATACCCATGCAAGCTTCTTTCTAGAATAATGGCTTCAAAAAATAATGAAACACTAAATAAAAAGTCTAGTGGAACGCTAGAAAGTAAGCCGAGCGTGCTTAATTTGTCATCCATCTCGAACACAGATACTTCTTCTGAACTAAATCATTTAACGGTCAAAAAAGAATTTAGGCCAAACATAAATTCTGATGAAACTGCTTTATCAAGACAGCAGACAAGGCAAACAATAATAGAAGAATTATATCATAGATCCACTTCAATAGCTCAAAAGTATGACGAAGAAAATGAAATTATTCAGAAAGAGACTAATAACCATACCAATAATCCCAACAATAATCAAAATATTTTAGTAGAAAACGGATTGCCAACAAAAAAAGATGGCTTGGAATTTTCAAATATCGACCCTGAATTGGTAACATGGGATGGAGAGAACGATCCAAAATCTCCAAGAAATTGGTCCCATCAACAAAAAATAACAATCGCATTCCTCATAACATGCTTTGCTTTTGTCTCGCCATTAAGTTCGACAGTTATATCCCCTGCAATACCAGCAATAGCAAAAGAATTTCAAGAAAATAGTGATTTAATTAAAGCTTTATATCTCTCAATATTTGTTCTAGCATGGGCCATAATTCCATTATTTGTATCCCCGTTATCTGAAATATATGGTAGAAAAATCGTTCTAAATATTTCAGTATGGGTTATGTTTGCCTTTAATATTGGTTGTGCGTTTTCTCATAATACCACTCAAATAATTATTTTCAGATTTCTTTCTGGTTGTGGCAGTGCTGCTCCCTTATCTGTAGGAGCTGGTGTTCTTGGTGACTTATTTGATTCTCAAGAAAGAAATTTCTGGTTTTCACTTTACTCTTTAGGTCCCACTATCGGTCCTACAATAGGCCCTGTTATTGCGGGTTATGTAGTAGATGCTCTTGGCTGGAGATGGGTTTTCTACATTTTATTAATTGTCAATGGGTTGCTTGGTGTTTTCAGTGTTATTTTTTTCAGAGAAACTTATTCTCCAGTTTTGTTGGAGAGAAAGGCTAGAAAGCTTAGAAACGAAACCGGTAATAAGAATTTTAAAACAATTTATGACATTACCAATACTGAGACTGCTTTTGGTAGGTTTTACGTTGATATGACTAGACCTTTAAAATTATTAACTTTTCATCCAATGGTTATAGGCCTAGGTTCTTTCATGGCTCTTATATTTGGTATGCTTTATATTTTACTATCTGCTTTTCCTTCAATTTGGGCAAATGTTTATAATTTTGAAGTTGGAACAACTGGTTTAATGTTCTTATCTATTGGTGTTGGTTACTTGTTTGGTATTCCATTTTGGAATGCTGTTAACCAAAAATGCTATATGAGATCAATTACTAGCAATAATGGAGTCATTAAACCTGAATATAGAATCGAAAATCTTGTTTGGGCTGGAATAATTGCACCAATTGGTTTAATCGGTTTTGGATGGACTGCTGAAAACCATGTTCATTGGATTGTACCCTCAATTTTTGTTGCATTCTTTGGTTTTGCTGTTGTTTTAATGTTCCAAGCAATTGTAAATTATCTAGTTGACATGAACCCTAGATATGCTGCTTCTGCTGTTGGAGCTGCTGCTGTTTTCAGGTCTGTATTTGGGTTTTCCTTTCCTTTATTTGCACCTTATATGTTCAAATCCAAATTAAGTTATGGATGGTCACTTACTATTTTCGGAATTTTTGGAATGGTATTAGGGATTCCATTTCCAATTTTTGTTTATAGAAATGGCGAAAAATTACGAAACTGGGCCAATCGCAGATTAGAAAAAGATCAAGCCAAAAGAGATGAAAAAAATTTTAAAAGATTACAAAAAACCAAGCTTAAAGAAAATGAAGCCTTAAAATCTGATAACAACTTCTAATAAAAATTCAGGTTCAAGTTATATTGAAAGTCTTAAATTTGGCCTAGAATTTCCAAATATTTTGCATTTTTAAAGCATTTCACATAATACTAGTACTAGGTAAGAGGAATCAAATTGAGGATTCTTTTTATATATTATTTATATATTTACTTTATATTGCTATTATATATTTTATTATACTAATGAATAGATGGTGAGTTGAGTTTTTGATTTCCGATATTGAATTGTCAGGCGATTAACCTTTTGTTTGTTATGTAAAACACTAAGCAATCAAAACTCTGAGATGATGCTAATATATGATCACCCCCAAAGTTTAAAGGGAATCCTCAAAAAAAGATGTGACAGCCTTTTTTTTTTGTTATTAAGATCAAACTTTCAATAGAATATAGCAATTAGTTTAGCTGAGAAATTAAATAATGTTGAAACTCAAAAAGTATTCCTTGTAATTTTAAAATTAAATTAATACAAACCAAAAAGAAAAGAAAAAAAAAAATAAAATAACTTATATTGCTGTTCAATATTTCCTTAGAAATAAATTTTCATTATATATTATAAACAAAACCAAAATGGATAATTCAAGAAGAAATGATAGTTCCTCTATAGAATCTGTTGATTCGATGCCAGTTCCACTAAATGCAGATGATGATATAAGACGTAGCTCTCCTGAACTTTTTAAAAATGTTTCTCGATTATCAAGAAACAGACATAAAGAGTTATCAATAAGCTCAAATGTTGCTGAATCATTATATCGAACAATATCACGATTTAGCGCAAAAAACAAGCAAAATGTTTACAACAACAGCAATAATAATAATAGAATTTTGTCTGATTTGGAATCTGCTGCATCTGTTCCATCTATTCAATCAGTTCTAGATTCAGAAGATCAATTTGATATATATAATATTTATGGAGAAGATAAAGGTCCAAAAGAAATTGATTTGCAACGTCAAAAAGCAAGACAAACTATTCGATCTGTTTTAAGAAAAAGAGTCACTAATTTAAATCCATTAGTTAAAAGTGAGACTATTTATGATGACGAAGATATTGGTGAAAATTGTTTACCTACTAAAAAAGATGGTTTAGAGTTTGCAGATGTTGATCCTGAGTTGGTTACTTGGGATGGTGATAATGATCCTGAATTTCCTAGAAATTGGCCCCAAAAAAAAAAAGTCATTAACACTATATTAGTTTCAACATATTCCTTTGTTTCTCCAGTTTGTTCTTCAATGTTAGCACCAGCTATACTAAAAATTGCTGCCGAGTTTGAAATAACCAATTCAGCTGTAAGATCATTACTCGTTTCTATTTTTGTGTTAGCCTGGGCTATTGCCCCATTGATTGTTGCTCCATTTTCAGAAATTTATGGAAGAAGACCAGTTTTGAATTATTCAATCTGGTTCATGTTTGCGTTCAATTTAGGCTGTTGTTTGGCTCAGAATAAAACCCAAATGATCATATTTCGATTTTTAGCGGGATGTGGTGGAGCTACACCATTGTCTGTTGGTGCAGGTGTAATTGGAGACTTGTTTGAAGATAAAGAGAGAAATGTTTGGGGTGGTCTTTATGCTATTGGGCCAACTTTAGGACCAGCAGTTGGTCCAATAATAGCCGGATTTGTTGTTGAACATCTAAGTTGGAGATGGGTGTTTTGGATCCAATTGATGATCAATGGTGTTATTGCTTTTATTGGATTATTATTTTTCAGAGAGACATATTCTCCAGTTCTTTTAAAAAAAAGGGCTAAAAAGTTGCGAAAAATTACAAAAAATCCTAATTTGAAGACCATTCATGATATTGCAGATGGTGAGACTGTTTTTGGTAGATTTTATCTTAATATCACAAGGCCAATCAAACTATTAATTTTTAATCCAATGGTTATTGGATTGGGGTCCTTTATGGCTTTACTTTATGGGTTGATGTATTTATTAATTGGAGCTTTTCCTCTTGTTTGGAGTGTTAGATATGGTTTTAGAATAGAAATTGCTGGATTGATGTATATTACTTTGGGTATCGGGTATTTGATAGGAATAGCATTTTGGACTCCATTGACTGGTAGTGCTTATCGAAAATTAGTAAAACAGAATAATGGAATTCCAAAACCAGAATTTAGATTAAAATATCTATATTTATCTGGGGTTATTGCCCCATCAGCACTATTAGTCTTTGGTTGGAGCGCAGAAGAAAAAGTGCATTGGATGGTTCCATCAATTTCAGCTGGTGTTTTTGCATTTGCTGTTATTGATATGTTTCAATGCATTCAAAATTACTTGATTGATATGAATCCAAGATTTGCTGCTTCCACTGTAGCAGCAGCAGCGGTGTTCAGATCTTTATTTGGTTTTGCATTTCCATTATTTTCGCCATATATGTTTGAAGATCTTGGCTATGGATGGGGCTGCACTATTTTTGCTTTGATTGGTTTTGCTTTGGGAATTCCATTTCCAATATATGTCTATAAAAACGGTGAAAAATTGAGAAATTGGACTAATAAAAGAATGGAAAAAGAGCAAGCTAAGAGAGATGCTAGAAATTTAGAAAGATTAGACGCAAAAAATAAAGTTGAAGAACAAAAAGTTGCAAATTCGCCTATTCAAAACAATGAAAAAGAACAAAAGGATCTAAAAAACAAAACACTGAAAACTTCTGGCAGTATTAAAGACGAAAAATCTGATAATGATAAATACTAGAACCTGAAAATTAATTCTGGCCAGTTAAAAATTTTTTTATATCACTTTTATTTTACTTTTTTTTATTAAAACAAAAATTAAAAATATCATATAAATTTATCTTACATAAAATCGTATAATTTATTTAATATAGTAAAAAGTTTAGATTTTTGAGACAATTCAATGAACCACATTTTCAGATGCATATATGACTTTTTAGGGTTGCCCAGTCTACTGCTAGAAAAAAAATTCAATGTGTGACTACATTTTATAAAAATCGTTTTATGGGTGATTGAAATATTGAGAATATTTGAATTTGGATTTTGATACAGTCTGCATTTATCAGCGTGAATCTGCAAGATTTTCGTTTTTCAGTCAGGGTAAAGATACTTGCATTAACCCCATTTCACTGGAGTGAAATCGGAGGTTTGTGCTTTGTGTGGTTGTGCTTCTTCTGCTTCCTCTGTTGTTTACCATTTAGTAAGCGCCATAAAGACAAAGAAGCAGAGGCAACTGAGAAACATATAAGCATTTGTGTCTCTACAGAATTGGTTTATCTTGTTCCCATATTTTGATCAAGTATCTATGTTACATGGAGAGGATGGTGCGAGCTGGAACGTTGCAACAAATGTTAAAAGAGAGATGAGCGTTGGTGTGTTAAATCAACATGGTGTGGTATTTGAGCTGGATCAATACTAAAAATATTTAATTGGATGCTGTAAGATATATAATAGTGATGGAATCAAATCAGATAACTCAGCCTATTGTTGAAGATCTTTGACTATTACTATTGCTATCACTGTTACTGCTGAACATGCCACTTTACAGGATAATAATCACGAAGAACCATTCATTTCATATTTATGGATAACTTATTGAATAGTGAAATCAGGTCTATATTTTTTTATTGATTTCATTGGATTTGCAATATCTGCATAAAATATCACTCAGAATATTGTTTTACTGATTAAGAGACTATTCATCAATATGTTTTCCAATATGCTCTTTGGTTTTAGAAGATATATAAATACGTCAAGAATTGTCTTCTATCCTTTCCATTCATCTGAATCTGCATTGGCAAAATAATAGCTACTTTGACTCACTTTACACAATGGATATTAATCAACTGTTTTGGAGACAGTATCACAACAATAATTCAAATAAAGCTGAAGTAATACCATCACGAAAATATCCCATAACAAGCTTCCTATTGAGTTGGTCAATATGATATTCAATCAATTGTCAATGGATATATTGTGGTTGTTCAGCTTATCAAACAGAAATGTGATTACATTTGCAGCATCATCATTACTATTCAGAGATGTATTACTAACCAATCTGCCTATTATCAATGAACAACAATTTTTTAAGATTCGCTTCGATCATCCCGCATCTATTTGAGTCCAATATATTTAGCTTTTGCACAGTTTGGAGAATGTATTTTGAATAACTAGATGAAACAAGAAGCTTTGATATTCTCTACCAACTAACAAAGAGTGCAAACAAAATAGAACATTTTCAGGTCTTTGTTAATGCTTTCAAGTCGCTTAAAAACACAAAATTGACTTGTATTAGTAACATTGCAGAGCTGATATTAAATAACTCAAAATATTTAAAGAATACCACCATTTACCTTGGATGTCCAGACTGGTCTCGTTTGCCAGGAGTCTTGAAATCATCTCATACTAAACTTCATGATTCACATACAACCGACTATCATCATTTTAATAATTCAATTCGTTGTCTTTATGAAAGCTTCATTGAAATAAATTCAAATGATTGTTTCTATTTTTTTACATTTACTAATAGCATCATTCATGAATTTGCTTTAAAAACTATGGCATCTTTTTTTACAGATATATTCAAACTTATTCAGGACTACCCAGATGTAATTGGAAATGCTGATAAACTATTTAATCTAAAGAGGTTAACAGTATTCTATAAACACAGAAAAATAACTCAATATCTAGACAATTTGGTCAATCTAGAATATTTGGATTTATCAAATAATTGGCCAATTGAGAGGTTTGAAAACTTAGATATGCTAACAAATTTAAAAAAATTATTATATAACGATATCTCAGATTTTGAAAATCTAGACAATTTTGAGAATCTGAACAATATGTTAAATCCGTATTATTCTGGTTTATCATTTAGGCGCAGTATTAGGAAGATTCAAAATTTAGATGCTTTGGTTAATCTCAAAACTCTTAACTTGTCTAACAATCGTATCACCAAAATTGGAGGATTGTCGAAATTAACTAAATTGAAGGATTGTCGAAATTAACTAAATTGAATGAATTAGATCTTAATCAGAATTTGATTGTTAAAATCGAAAATTTGCTCACTTTGGTTCATTTAAATAAATTAAACTTACTGAATAACAAAGTTTCTGAAATTCCAAATATGTCAAAACTAAAAAATTTGGAAGCTATTATTTTGGAAGATTATAGGACCATTCAAAAAATGAAAAATGTTAAAAAATTCCTACAATCGATTTATGATAAATTGAGTAATCCTGATCAGTCCCCAAATAAAATGATTCACAACTGTCAACCACCAGTCAGGATGTTTAGATAGTTATCTTCAATTTCAACTAAATGTGAAGCTTAGTTAGATTGGTACCATGCTACCTGAGAAGAATTTTTAAATAAAATACATTTTGTTTCATTTTTATTTGACAGCAACTATATTTATTAAAAGAGAGTAATTTCTTAACTTAGAAAACTGATATGGCTTCCATCAGTGGTAAAAATCATATCTTTTTGCACTACAGAAGATACCTTCGATGTTTGCGTGCAGGTATTTATCAGAATGGTTATTTACTTATAATGTAATTGTGTTTGAACTTCCTTAATGCAAATGATACTTTTCATATCGTGGCGCTTGTCATCGACTGAGCAGAGCCAATATCAGGTATTTGAAATGATACATTTGCTAGATCTATAAAGATCAGAATCACAGCAATTATATCAATAACATCAGCGATAATAATAGTGGTTACAAGGGTATTTGTGATAAAAGCATGGGCAATGGATTTATTATCTATTTCATGATTTCATTGTTCTCACTTTATGGTGAAGTTGAAGGATGGAATGCTAAAATCTCAAACACTGAAACAAATGACATGAAGCTATATTCTTATATCTTCACTTGCACAATGCCAACAAATCGCCACTTTCTGGAGAGATAGAGTTTCAGTATGTCAAAACCTATCTCTAGCTTCTTGCGTTGTGAGACTGGTTACATCTGCTACTCAATGATACACATACACATTGGCAGTCAATTATATGATCTGAGTTACTGTTTGCCATGAATGCATTACTGATAATAATACGTACCACCACCACTAATATTGCTGCTGAACATGCTTTTTTACCAACCACAGCATTGCTTTCCAGTGGGTTTCTTTCCAAATGCCATTCAGAATACAATACAGTTGTTTCTGGTGGCGTTGTTTCTGTTTAGAATTTGTTTGATTTGGTCAATTTTCTCAAAATGCTTTCATCGATTGACTTTTGAAACCAATCTCTGCTCAGAATATTGCTCAATTGAATCACAAATTATTTTGTCAGTATATCCTTAAATTTAGTCTTATGCAATGCTAAAAGATACACATATACGTGAAGTATTCTTCTTCCATTCATGTCTATCTTCATCTTCAAGTTAACAAGCGCATTGATCAATTTTTCACAACGGGTACTCATCAACTACGTAACAGCGAGACTTTTCATGATTCAAATGAAATACAAGCCACACCATCATTACTATTCAAAGTTGTAATATTACAATAAGTGTATCAATGATCAACAACCATTTTTGACCCTTAAGTTCAATGATTTGAATCGATTTGAGTCTGTGACTCAGAAATATTACAATACTGCACAAATCTAAGAATATTATTTAAACTTTCGGGTGGAACGGATAGTTTTGATATTGAAATTAACTATCAGAGAATTCTGAAATGATGTAATGTCTTTATAGTTTGTTTAATGGGATCACTTTATTTCAAAACACAAATTTGGAAAATATTGATACAATTGATATTATGGATGCAAATGAAGGGGCGATATTAAATAATTCAAAATGTTTGAAAGATATTACAATCTGCTTTAGTTATCCAAACAGCGATGACTTAGTAAAAATCTTAAAAACACCTCGTATTGAATTTTCTGATTGATTACCTGGATTATAATGATTCAAGTTTTCAGGTTTTTAAAAACTTTACTGTGATGAATTTGAATGATCGTTGTTTGTTTTTAAATTTAATAAAAACATTTTCTAAGATTTTGTTTTGAGAACTATAGAAACCTCATTTACAGATATATTGAAAATTGATAATGATCTACTATATATAACTGGAAATTTTGCTAAACTATCCAATCTAAAGAAGTTAACAATATCAACCACATGAATTCAAAAAATTGAAAACTTGGACAAATTAGTTAATCTAGAATATTTGGATTTATCGAATAATTATAATATTAACAAGATTGAAAATTTAGATATGCTAACAGATCTAAAAGAATTAATACCATCGCATGCCAGCATTGAAAAAATAGAGAATCTACACCATTTGATCAATCTAGTACATTTGGATTTATCACCTAATGAGAAAATTAAGAAGATTGAGAATTTAAGTATGTTAATAAATTTAAAAGAATTGGAACTATCAGATACCATAATTAAAAAAATAGAGAATCTAGACAAATTAATCAATCTAGAATCTTTGGATTTATCATGTAATGAAAAGATTAAAAAGATTAAAAATTTAGATACTTTAATAAATTTATCATTTTTGAATTTATCGTTCAATGAAATCAGAAAAATTGAAAATTTAGATGCATTGGTTAATCTTAAAACTCTTGTATTGTCTGGGTGTTGTATCACAGAAATTAATGGATTGTCAAAATTAACAGTATTGAATAAATTAAATTTTGCTTATAATTGGATTAATAAAATTCAAAATTTGTCTGCTTTAGCTGATTTAACTGAATTGGATTTACAGGAAAATGAAATGTTGGATATCACAATGATATCAGAACTAAAAAAATTTGCAAGCTCTTGAATCGGGAGGTAATAAAATCTATAAAGAAAAATTAAGATAAATTAAAAGACTACAAATGGAAGTTGATGATATTTCGAATTTTTTTTAGTATAAAAAACCAAAAAAGATGGTTCAAAAAAATCATTAAAACGCTAGACAAGTTGAAAAGCTATTTGAAATCAAAAACGGAGTATAGTTAAATTTATAATTTAGCATGTTGATAATATCAATCTTTAAAAAAAGTAAATCCAGTTTTGTTCTTATTTGACAGTGAGTATATTTATTATTATATCTGAGCAATTGCTAAAGTTACAAAACCAATATAGCTTTTATCAGTGGTGAAAATCAGAATTTTTAGCACTACAGAAAATGCCTTCAATGTTTTTATGCAATTGTTTATTAGAATGATCACTTATTTGTAATGAAATTGTGTTGGCTAAACTTTCTCAATATAAGCCATATTTCATATATATCTTTTCAGCGCTTCATAGCAATAAAATTGATTTTTAGAAGAATATGTAGTTGCTGTAGGATTATAATAATCAAAAGTTTATATTTATTATGTCAATATCTTTCCAATAACAACAGAAGCATCAAAGTCTGTAAGTGCACATTTAACTTGTGTTATCTGCTAACAAATTTAAAGAAGTTAATACTATCACATAACAAAATCTCAAAAATAGAAAATCTAGATAAATTAATCAATTTTGAATATTTGAATTTATCATAGAGAATTTAGATACATTAATAAATTTAAAAGAATTAATACTATCAGATACTAACATTCCAAAAATAGAAAATCTAGAAGAATTGGTCAATTTAGTATATTTAGACTTATAATATAATTGGAAGATTGAGAAGACTAAAAGTTTAGATGCATTGGTAAATTTAAAATCTATAAAATTATCATTTAATAAAATCGGAATCACTGAAAATTCAAATAGATCAATTATTTTTACAAATGTTGCAAGAGATAAGAATTGTATCAATAATTATGATGGATTATAGAAATCAACTACATTGAATAACGCAAATCTTTGTAAGAATTGTTTCAATATAACTCTGAATTTTTCAAACTTGGGTTATTTAACTACATCAGCATTCATGGACAGTAAAATTTACAAAATTATAAATATGTCGAAACTAACAAAACTCAAAAGTTCCATTGATGCAGATTATGCTACAATCATGTCAATTATATTCATCATATCACTGATATTATTAATAACAATAACAATAATAGTAAGGAACAGATTATCACAGTTGAAAGATAATAAACAACATCCTGATAATAGCTGCAAGACTAGTATAATATATTTCTTGTGTCAAAAAATGAGCACAAAAATTACCAAAAATGACAGCGTCTTGGCAAACCTAAAAAAAGAAGTTTTTCCGAAACCGCAAAATTGACCCAGTTGCAAATTCTGCTTTTCTCATAGCAACACAAACCTTCACTGGTGTTGTTTCCTCTTCAACTGCTTTTGATGGTTTTCGATAGATTGATAATAGCATTAGACATTAACTGTAGTTTACTTCAGTCTGACAACATTATTCTGAAAATGAATCCAATTGAATTATCAACGTTATATTGCGAAAAGTATGAGGTACTATTAAATAAAACAAAAGAAAAACTCCAATATAGTGACATAGCAAAATTCTTTAAAGAAAACTTGAGAATGCTTAATATACTTTATTTATTTTTCTTACTTCCACCAATGAACTTTAAAACAAAAGACAATGGTAATCGAATTCAAGAACTGTCGTCCAAATCAGCATCAACATCAGCATCAACATCAAAAATAACAACCAGTATCCCGACAAAAAAATAAGTTTACGTAAACAATTCCTCAAATTATACTGGCAAAAATATCGTCGGAACTAAAAGATGACTATTTCATCAATTGCCTAGACAGGTTTCAACCTCAGTGTGAAATCAATGAAAACATTAGGGAAGATTTAAAATATATTATCGGTACTGTAAATTTGTAAATAAAATCAAAATATATCGAATATAAAGAAATACAAGAAACAGAGTATCAGGAAGCGTTCCAGAATCATGTACTTAACCCGATTTGCTTAATCCTTCAACTAATTTTTAAATTAGACGTATACACGTCAAGCCAAAAATCAATTCAAATGACATTAAAAATTAATAATGAAGAACAAAAACTCTATGTCATCTCTGATTTATCGGTCTTCAAAAATAAAAAATTATTCATACCAATAGAAATCAAAAAATTTAATATAGAATCAATGGTTAAAGAATTTATTGAAACACATACCCGAAAAGTTCATTCAGCTATCAAATTTCTGAAATATGATAAGGTGGCAACCAACAACAAGTTTGGTGTTTTTTTAATCAAATTTTATCTTCCATGATCATTTGGCGCTGCCCAAAAGGGATAATTACTGATTTTTTCACAACCTTATTAATACAAATAAATTCAAAGCATTTGAACAGCATTAAGCATGATTCTCTGTTGATTCGAAACCAATTCCAATAAACTATAAACTTATCAATTACAAAGATTTTAAATTTAAAATGTGTAACATGATATTTTCGTTTATATACAAAGATATCGAAGACAGCCAAGATGATTCAATCAAGAAACAACAAGAAATGGAACAATTATATAATATTATTAAATATGACGATAAATGTATTCTTGAAAGCTGACGGACAAACTGTGGAAAACTATTATAGAAAATTCTCTTCAATTTACTACAAAGCTACAAAGACTTTAGTGTAATATTCAAAAAATCTGAAATCCGACGTTGATTTGAAGTTTTCCAACTTCTTTGGTTCAAAATGTTTGTTTCCTAATTTTTGACTTCTCAATTATTCATTTCTTCATCTTTTTTTCACATTTGATTATAGGCATTTAGTATTTGTGCTTGGTGTTCTTTTTTTTTCTTTAGAAAAAAACTATATCAGTTGAAATGTTGCTTAAAATCAAAGTTGAAGTATAGTTAAATTTATAACTTAATTATATTTACTAATTCTGATTTGAAAAACAATACACTTATTTTTATTTTTATTTGACTGTGTGTATGTTTATTACTAAAATAAAAAAATTATTTAACTTAATACAATATTTATGAAAAGTGATTTTGATTATTAAGGGTGATTTTTTATAATTTTGATTAGTGGAATTGGTATCGATAGAGAAACTGAATGATAGTAGTAATTATTTATAAGATAATAGGATAGTAAACAACTATCTATTTGTATTGCTTTACAACTGGATGGGCTAGTAATTCATTCACTTTATTGCTATGCTCTTATAGCAATGTGATAGGTATTTTGGACATAGTTTACCTGTTTAGCTTTGAAGTATTGATTTCATAGTAAAAGGCTAATTTTCAGGTTAAAACAACTCAACTGGACATTATTTTGATTATGGATTGTTTATGTTGCACGAGGTGTGGCCGGAAAACACAATCCGAGCTCGGACGTTCGTGAAGCCACTATAGTCCGTTGCCCAAACCAAATACACAAGACTTAACCACTTATGAAACGAAAATTGTGTTTCCGCAAAAAACATTTAATTCACAAATACGTTGATGAAGACTGCAATCCAAATAATATAAATATGATCACTAAATAGCTAGATAGAAATAAAATAAANCAAGAGGAAAAGGAAAGAGAAGTCTACTAAGTCATGAGCACTAGAAGAAATCTCTATCCTTCCTTCGACGACTGTCAAAATCAGCATTCATGTCAAGAACGCTGATAGTGAAAACGAAGAGGAACTTGATACTTCACCAAACGCTTCCAACATTAATGAATTAAATCAAAAAATTGAGTTGATTGAATCGAACGTTGCATCCGGATTTAATCGACTAGAACGAATTCTAGAGTGTATTAACTCGTAACGAACGGCCGGAAGTTAGTTATTCAAGGTCACAACAGTTTAATTGCAGTATTTTAATGAAGTTTGGAATAAGGGCAGTTTCGCAACCGTATACGTAAGTTCGTAAGTTCGTAATATCTGTTGAAGTCTCCACAGCTCAAATAAATGCGTATGATAATGTATAATATGCATCAATTCGCGTAATAAGACATTACCACGCATGTATTTGCCTTTTTAACTCAAAATTGCTCTGTTTTATTCTTTGGCTGAGATTATATTTATATCCAAAGTGTTTAAAATGCTTCAAGATACTCAGGATGCTTAGGATAGTCAAGAAATCCAAGTCACTAAAGCTGTTATGAATTACATTTGCAGTGCTAACACTATTGGTATTGGTCACCAAAGCATTGATATCAATCAGGATTCTGAACATGTAGAGGAGAGCAATTTTAGCTATATTGAATTCCTGAAACTAAAACACTTGAACAACCATCTCTTCACCATCATTTGATTAATATAATGGATGAAGAAAAACTGATTTTCTTGAAATTCAACATTCTCAACTTGCAAAACTTGGAACTGAATTATCAGGTTCATTTACCAAAGACTGGTTTTAATTTCTACAGTATTACTCACGATTTACTTTTGGGCCAATGTACTGTGATAATTGTTTTACTATTTATAAAAATATTATCCTCGAGTAATGAAAGAAAACAGCAACAAACACACATTAGTACTCGATCAATTATACTGTTTAATCTGCTGTCTACTAACAATATGATCATATGCAATCATAGGAGAGAGTGATTGAATAAAATAAGGAATCTTTCCATTATTATATTGACAAGATGAAAGAACCCAGCTACATAGACTGATGTCAGTAAAATTTTTACAATATATACGCGGATAATAGAAAAGAAAAATAAAATTGAAAAGTAATATCAGAATCAGAATCATAAAATAATCATAAAATAAAAACGAGATATATCAAAAAAGTTTAATATTAGATGTTTCTTTTCAAAAATATTTTTATTTTTTGTTTTGTATAAAATTTACTCCTATGTTGGTTGAATTATGTATTGGAATAATTTTTGAATATAATTACTGGATATAATTTTATTTAAAAATTGTCAATATTTTTTAATTTTTTTATGTTCTTGATGTTTTATGATGATTTACTTTTTATCTGATATTTTTTTGGTTTTAAAAGAAACACCAATAGTTTATATTATCAGCTATACTAAAATTATAAAATGCTTATAAGCACATTCTGGGATGATAAATTAACAGCAGTTGAAATTTTTTTAGATATTATTTAAGACTATTAAATGTATTTATGACTGAAAAAAATTCTAAAGCTAAGAATAAATATAATTCAAAGATAAATTGAATGAAAAAATGATATTCATTGAAAACATCAGAAAATCAATCCTATGAATAGCAAAAATTGCAGTTTGATCATTAAGAATTTTATTCAAATTTGTGTTAGATAATGTTAATGGAAATCCCGATTTCAAAAACAGAGTTATAATATATTTGAGAAAGCAAAAGCTAAGAAAAATTGTTAATGGGTAGTTTTGATTGAGCCTCAAATATCTGGTAGAGACTAATGGGTATAGTCTGTTGTGTATCGTGAATAATATTGCTTTGTCAATGTGAATTTGAATTATTAATGAGGATTTTTAACTCGTTGTTAATGTTCTGTGGTTATCAGAATTGATTTATTTTTATCATAATTATCAAGTTTTTCTATTATTTTTTTTTATTTGCGCATCACTAGATTAATTTTTTTTATTGATTGATTTTCTTTAGCAGATTTTCAATTATACAATATAAATCTATTTAATGGAGTGAATAAGAAAGAAATTTAAACTTTACTAGATCAGAAGCCTAAAAATTCCAAAAACCGTTGGTTAGTAGAGAGACAAGTTTGTTTCGAATATAACAATCTTATATGGAAAGTTAGAAATTGGGATATTAATGGGTGTTTTCAAAAAAAAAAACTCTTCTGTTAAAGATATTTACTAAAAAAATATAACGAGAGAACTGGATATAATTGAAACTTCTAAAACTGGTTTTTATTGGAAATTTAATTTATTAATAGAAATGGAAAGTGAAAAAAAAAAAAATATTTGAAACAGTCAATTATATTTCAAATTCTAATATTTTCATAACGATGATTATGATCCACCTAGTTTTGAGGTCTAATCAAGAAAAAATTGCGTATTTACTTTATAAATTCAGATTCAAAAAATTAATTTGAATTAAAGATCAGGTATTTTATTGGTATAAAATATGTTTAAATAATAACTTTAACTTCTTTTGAGGTTCTTAATTTCAATTTTAAACAATCGGTATTGGTAATTCTATTATTTATTATAAAAACATTCATGGAAAACAATTCGAATGAAAATTAGCTGTTTTATAATTAGAGTGCAATTGTCATTGACTCGAGGTTTATAGCAATACCAATGGGTTTTTTTATTTCAAAATTTTACTGCTTTTATTTGAAAGAATTTTCAATGAAGTTTATTAATGAAGAGAATTTTAAAAGTATTTTTTTTTCAGAGAGAAAAATAAAACAATATTTCTGCATTTACAAGGTGATAATATTAAAGGGATAAGTCTCTAGAAACCTAGCCAGTTTTTATAGGCAGTTTTTAATGGTAATAACGATAAATGAGCTGACAACTTTAATGTTTGTGATTTGATGTTAAAATCGTTCAGCATATCAAAGGCATATCAAGGGAATTTTATATTTCTTCAAAAGATTTTTATTAAATTACTAATTCTATGAAGCATAAAAGCTTTTTGTGTTTAATGATCCTTTTAAAATTGGCAAAATCAAATATTAGTTTTTTAATTTTTTGTGGGAAATGGTTTGCTTTATGATGTAAAACATTGTAACCTATGTCCAGGTATTTAAAAACAATAAAATAATCTAAAAGAAGATTATTTGAAAATTTATGTTTTGATTCAATTGATTTATGATCAACTTATTAGTTTTGAAGTTTTTCAGTCTATCAAATTAATGAGTATTTTTTGTTTATTTCATCACACATTATTAATTGTGAAAGAAAGACATGGAATCAAATTAGCTTTAAATTTCCAAGAAAACACCTTTTTAAGTTTGTTTCTAGTGTGTTTTACAATGAAATCGATCAGCAGGCTATCAAAATAATACGAAGAATGGGAAAATATAATTAATAAAATTTTTATTACTTTGGATAGGAATATGATGAGAAAAAACATCAGATATTTTTAAACTCTTTTCAATATATTAATATATTAGTTTAAAGCAGCATAATAAAGAGCTCCATTGAGTTTTTTGTGGAATTCACATATAATTTTGAAAGCTTGTTGATTTTGGACTTTAACAACTATTCTTATTTTTTTGAAGATGAAGTTGTTTTCTCATAAGCAAAAAGTGTTAATAATTTGATAATAACAAAAATTAAGATTTTGCAATTTCTTTTTGGTCTCAGTGATCTTTATCTAAGAATAAAGTAGTTATTAGTATTACAAAAAATCATCTTATAATCATAAACACTATTTTGGCATTATACTAATTATAAAGTACAAAATAAATAAAAACACTATTTCTTGAATTGCTTTTGGAGAATAGTTTATTTTTCTAAAATAATTTTATTTTTGATTTTATTGTTGGTATTGTTTTTCAGGTGATTGTCAATATTCTCGACATGATATTTGCCTTTTCGATAATGTTTTTTCCGGAAAATATTTCCAAAGAATTTTCCAATTCGGTTTTTACTGGTTTTCATTTCAGTTATACTCGAAAAAATCTTCTTATAGTTGGTGTATTTGAATATCAGTTATGCTGATTGCGCTGGATTGGGTTCAAGTGGTATTCTATCCAAGTCTCAATCAGCAAGCATCGCTCCTGAGCCAACCTATCAAGTATGGAACTGCCTGCTGCCTTATCCATTGCTTGGAAAAATACAGTCAGGAGTAATTGCAGCAACACAATAAAGTGCCTGGTGAATTGGAAACTCTGCAAAACGTCAAAGCATTGGCTTTCCAACACATTGTGGAACTTACTTGGAGGAATTTCTCAATGTTGTTACTGATTATCGATATTATATCGGTATACCCTAAGATAACAGAACCGCTGCGGTGGAACCTAAATGCACTCGACCCACATAGCTGGTCGGAAAGATTACCACTAACATCTCCATTCTCTGATGAAATAAGGCCCATCATTGATTTGTTATATTTCACGTCGTTTGAATTCCTTCACCCAGTCACTTTCCTTAGAAAGTTCTATTAAGCCCAAGACTCTTGGTATTAAAGCACTGGGAAAATGAAGTTAGAACTGGATATTTGCACAGAAAGAAAAGATGTGCTGTTTGGGCTGCAGCTGGAACTAAGAGTATCTTTTATATATATAAAGATCTCAGCTTTTTTTTCCTTTTTGTCTATTTCCATATACTATCATATTAACCACTTAACTTATTAACCATAGGGATAATAGATTCTGTCTTTATCTTTTAGTCATTCTTTTAAAACCCAACTTCTTACTCTCCTTTAAACAACCCTCTCCAACCTTTTTAAATACTCATTATACACTCTTGAAAACTAACAAAAACAAGAAAACAAGAACAATTTGCTCACAAGTTATAGATTATTTGCTAAATCTTAGAAAAAATGCTCTTCCTGCTCACTTTATTTTTAAGTTTTATTTCTGTTATTTTTGCCTACACAAATTCTTCATCCTCTGAAACTTCCTCTGATACCTGTGCTTCCCTTTACTATCAATGTGGTGGGCTTAATTGGGAAGGCTCAACTTGTTGCTCTATTGGAACATGTGTAAAACACAATGACTACTACTGGCAATGTCAAGAAGATGATGCCACTTTGACCTCAACCTATATTGAATCCGATTATTCCATCAATTTTAATGAAACAGATGCTGATAGTGATTCAAGTTCCGAAACTGGGTATGATTACGAGTATGGCTTTCATGTTTACACTAATTCTACCGGAAGTTATACCAATGGGTCATCAAGTGCAACTACTGCTGATGTAATCTCAACCACTGCTGATGTAATTTCAACAAGTCCAGAAAATGATAACTGTGTTGGTCTTGACTATCAATGTGGTGGAATTGGTTGGGCTGGGCCAACCTGTTGCTCAGTTGGAACATGCGTAGAATCAAATGAGCACTATTGGAAATGTTCTGGTGATGAAACAATTTCATCACTGACAACTACTTTAGAAGATGAAGAGGATTATGTTACAGTTTATATTAAGAAATTTGTAACCATTACAACAGATGTTTACACTACTCTTTCAATAGATGCTGAAGGATCCACATCAGAACTCGCCTATACTTCAACAAATAAAATTACAATGACATTAACAACATCAATTCGTGGTAACAATACAGTCACATCTAGTTATAATAACTATCCTCCAGTTGCAACATCCAATTCTTATTATGAATCAAGTCTTGATGGTGTTTCTGCTACAAACAACAATAGCACTTATGTCACAACAGCTTACTAGTTATTCCAAATTAAAAAAAAACAAAAAAAACTCAATCAAGATAAATTCTGTTTTAGTTTTAAATATTTATAGATTATTAAATTCATCAAATTATTAATCGAACATTTTAAATATTCAAAATTGTAATCTATAAACTGTTCATGATAATCATTGTATTTTTGTGGTTTTTGTGATTTTTTTTTTTTGTGATTGATTTCATTCAAATTAAACTTCCAGTTTTCAAACTAAAATTTGGAATTTTGACTTGAAACGATTGCAAGGCATAATTTCTTTAAGATCGCTTTAAGAACCATCAATTGGATTGGAATTGTAGATGAAATTAAAAATAAAAACAAACAAGACTGTATTTCATTAGTATTTTTAATAAAAAGCTGGTCATTGTGAAAGAGAATACAGATTTATTTTAAAATCCATATGAAAACCTGTAGTTGATATACAATTATTCAACTTTTAGTTTTTTCTTTTGTTTTGACCAGTTACGTAATATATCTGCAATATTCTATTTATTTATTCATTCGTTCATTCATTCCGAATCAGTTGTTTTATCAAAACACTAAATGGTGATAATCAAAAATCAAATAATTTTATTGTTACAAATTTATTTTTTCTCATTGATTTAATACCCTGCATTTTAAGATAATAGTAACAATGCACAAACTGCTTGATCTTTAAGACCTGGACCATAATATGACGCTTTTCCTACGTATTAAATATGATTGGAATATATTAATGATAAAATCCAAAATGAGTAACTGAGTAGTAAAGTGAATTACTGTTACTTTTACTTTTTATATAAGAAAAATTCGTCAATTGAATTGCTGATAACAAAATTAAGTTTTTGCTACAGTTATAAAGACTGTTTCCATTTCTTTTTTGTTTTTTTAAAATAGACTTGAGTTTGAGGATATTTTTAGATTTTAATTAAAGAAAATCTAGACATGGTTAAATTTATCATTGAAATGTTATTGGGATATTATTTTTATAGTAAAATGTTAAAATGATCACTAGTTGGTGATTATCGATGATTATCGATGTTGTTCTTTTTAGTTTTTACAAGCTTTTGGATCATATTAGATAAATCTAGGTATTCCTTTGGGTTCTTTCAAGAATATAATAGAAATGAAGTCAAAAGTAAATTATTTGATGAAATAACTATTAGATTTTATGTTATAGAAATCTTTAGCTATAAATATGGTTACAATGTGAATAATTTCTATATATAGATGGTATATCTTTTGAAGTATGATTGTTTTTGGTTTTTTTGGTTTTTGAACTTTTTAAATTCAATATATATACAGTGGTAATCATATGATAAAAATAGAAAAATATAAGTAGTCAAATGTTTAAAATGAGGTCAGTTGAAACGAGGTTAATTCAATTAAAATTGAGCAAGAAGTTATATAATTGCCAAATTTGAATGGAATAAAAATGCAAGATAAATTAGTCAAAATAATAAAAAAGTTGTATTCAAAGTGGATTATGCAATATAGATAATTGAATTGAGCAATACAACTAGATTATAATATCATGGTAGTTCTTTTTGTTTTTCAAGATATAGGTTATAAACCTCTTAAAACTGTCCAGTAAACTATTGTGATATTGCATCTGGTTCTTTTTTACATATTGCTGATAGTGAGCTACCGAAAAATAGGGCAGAGATCCCAAAAAATAAGACAGGGTCACCCTGTTAATAAGCACGTGGTTTGAATGACTAATAAAAGGATGTGCCGTTTGCAAAAACTATCACTTGTTTGAAATAGAAAAAAATGCACAAATCCCTGTGCCGCTCGATCTCAAAAGGATATCACATTGTGAACACCCTATTTTTTTGAAACACGACATGGCCCATTTTGTGAGCACTTTAGCAAATCTCACAGACTCAAATGTTCGACACTATCGTCACGGAAATATTTTGCACTGTGATTAAGCTGGTATTCTCTTCGTTATATGAAATTTTCAAAGTCTGGAATATTTTGAGCGTCTTTTACTGTTCTGTGTGTAAAACGGGAGAAAGCTTTTTTAGTTTTTGCTGTTCAAGTTGTAAGGCAAAAATGGCTGTTATCTGGTGTATTTTATTGGTGTGTTGGGTATTTTTTGTACTGCTTAATCAGATAAGGAAAGAAGACTTTCGTTTGGAATCATCAATAAATATCTCACGATGTTATGAGGATATGAAAGCACCTGTGTTTACCGGTATTTACCAGTACTATTGACTAAAACTATCACCGTATTATATTCTGAGAAAGCAAAAAAGCCCTTTTGTTTCTTCCCAGAGCCATGAAAAGTGCCTTTTCACTTTGGTCATGAGAGAATAGGCAATGCAAGTTATTGTTTATTGGTGCTCGATGCGATCACGTGCAGATTGGGTGATCCAACGGGGGTGTGCACATGTTTTAAGTAATTATAATATCAATATGCACGTGACTTGAGACAGTAACAAAAGAATGTACTGTTTGAGGAGGGGCACGGGAACCACAAATCCGGCGTCTGCTGGGCATGAAAAGGTGGAGGAGTTTAAACAAAAATGTAGAAAGAAGCTGAAAGGAAGTTGGAAAGAAGTTGGAAAGAAGAGGAAGAAACTGAAGGGAAATGAAGATGCTAGGAAAGGAAAACAGCTAGAACAAGTTAAGATCCCATCTGAAAAGAGGAACACATTCAGGAAAAGTTGAGGTTTGGGAACTTAAAAAGAGTTGGGAGCTTATTGGACTCCAACCGTATAAAATAACTAGCAAATTATAAATCATAAATTGTAAACGATAAACTTTTGTGATTTTAATCTTCAGCTTTATGGCAGACTTTGCAAAGTAATTATTCTGTTGTCATTCTTTATATAGAATTAGCTTTTTGTTTTTAGTTGATTAAATGTATAAATAGCGATAATTTATCTAGGATCTCTTTTGTCGCTTCTTTAACACGAAACGAGTAACTATTGTCAACTACAAACAAACGGGTATAGTCTTGATCCTTGAGTTGTTTTTGATCAATTTGATTTCTTGATTTGCTATTATTTTAAAATATTTATGATCCCTGGTTTGAATCTATTTCTTAACTTCTTGTCAACTTGCTAATAATTTCTTATTTTTTCAATCGTAATAATCTTAATCTTAATCATAATCATTCTAATAATTTGATCTAATTTAAAGTAACAGAACAAAATATAATAACATTAATAAAATTAATAAAATTAATATAATTTAGTATAAAACAAAATAGTATAACATCATATAACATAATATAATAAAAATTAAAGGGATATAATTTTTCTAATATCAATGAAAAATATAATCAATTCATTAAATATACTTATTATAAACGTTTTTATAGTAATTTTTTTCAATAAATTTGTTTCATCAGACGTTTCCATATCAAAACCACTATCAGGACAAACGTTTTCAGTATCAGGAGATGAGATAATAATTGATGTCAAATGGGTTGATTCAGGAGCTGAACCCAAGATTGAAGAAATAGTATCATATACATTTACATTGTGTACTGGATCAAATTCAGATATTACAGCTGTTGACGTACTAGGATCCAATATACTAGCATCAAAGATCACCAATAATTATTTTGAAGCCAAAATAGATCCAACGGCTGGTGAAAATGGTGTTTATTATATCCAAATCTTTTCAGTTTATCCTACCGGTTATTCAATTCACTATTCACATCGTTTTAAATTGAGTGGAATGACAGGGAAGGATGAGGCATCAGGATCGCTCAATGATCCGCCACCTTCAGCACAATACTCCTTCAAGAAAACTGGCACAGAGACTGAGACTGATGAGGCTCCTGGCACTATTGATTCAGCATCCTTTACCATCCCCTATACTTTGCAAACTGGCAGAACAAGATATGCTCCCATGCAAACCCAGCCAGGCTCAAAAGTAACAGCCACAGGATGGACAAGAAGATTTCCCACTTCTGCTGTCACATTTTATAAGACTGCCAAACCATCGCCAGTCGTCTATTCCACCATAACTCCCGGCTGGTCGTATTCAAGAACATCATATTTCAACTATGCGACCCCGGCACCATATCCAAGTGACAATGGAGGATGGTATGGAGCATCAGAAAGACTCATAGCTCCAGTGAAAATGAATCCCATTTCGCTAAGACGAAGATGGTTAAATGATTTTGACGATGATTATGAATAGTTGTGTTAATTTAATGGGTTTCGCTTTTTTTTTTTGTTTTAATTCTCGTTTATTGTACTGTATATTATTATTTATTGCTTATTGTTGCTTGTTTGTTACTTGAATGTTGGGTAGTGGCCACTTTACGTTTTATCTATACATTAATTTCAGCTGTCTTTTCTCTATCTCTCTCCTACTCGAGTCTGCAGGGCCGGGACCCTCTGCTCCAGCAGGTCTCACCATCAAGCACCTCCTCCACCATTGGACATCCTTCAATATTCCTCTAGAGGTCCAGAAAAGGCCATAAAATGCTACATTCCTTTTAGAATCCCACTGGCATTACCCTCCTCAGCCTCTGGAAATTTGGCTCTTCCGTTTTCGGCAGCTCAGTGTATGTGAAAGGATTGGAAAGGATTTGGGACTGAAGATGTGGTATTTAACGTCTTCTCTTCTTCACCAAACATTGTTTTCCCTTGACTGACTTCTTTCGTTTTGCTTTTGTCCTTGCTCCAGCACTCAATCTCCTCTTTGGCCTTTCCACTCTTTTATTTGCTTTCAATTCTTAGACTTATTCATCACTCTGCATTCCACAAAATTTTTCAATAATTCACAATGTCCTCAGCATCCTCTCGATCCTCTGTTTCATCCAGGTCTTCTAGATCCTCCAGATCCTCTTCCGATAGAGAGAATGCTCCTGCTCCTGCCCCAGCTTCAGCTCCTGCCCCAGCTGCTGCTCCTGCCCCAGCCCTTGCTCCTGCCGGTTCCTTGACCTCAAGATCCTCTTCAGACATAGGTGTTCCTCCAGCTGCTGTTCCAGCTGCTGCTCCTGCTCCTGCCCCAGCTGCTGCCGCTGCTCCTCCAGCTACTGCCGCTGCTCCAGCTGAAGACTCAGGCTGTTGTGGTTGTGTCATTATGTAAGGCCCCTGGCTGTCTTTCAGTAATGATAAATATTCAATCAATAAAAACATTGCGTGTGGTTTTTTTATCTTTAGTTCATTGAACCACTGATTTTTTTTGTTATCTTTTTTATTTTCTTCAATTGTTTTGTTTACATTTTTGTTTTATAACCCTGCGTCGTTGTGACTTTCATCTTAATCCTCTAATTTATTCTTTAATCTATTCTTTAATTTATTTTTTTTCAATTTCCCTCATCTTTTTATTAAATCAAATAACACCAAATAAAATACAATAAAATACAATAAAATACAATAAAATACAATAAAATACAATAAAACTCAAACAAATTCAAATAGATTCATTGGATTTACTTTCAAAAAGTGATTTTACATATATTTATAATCGTTAATGAAGAAACACATAATGGCTTAGTTAATGGCTTGCTTGTAAAAAATTCTCTTGGTACAATTCTCAATATGTATCCTCAATATGTGTTTTAAATAATTTGCATTTTCAATAATTTGTATATTTAAGATCTTATTCATTTACTGCAAGAAAAGGGTAGTGCAACTGTTTATCAATATTTCTGTTATAAGCAGTGATTTTATTCAATGTATCACATCAACATTCTTATATCCAATTGTCTGTATTTGATGGTTATTATCGCTGCTGTTATGAATTTAACAGCAGTTCTTGGTTGTAATTCTTTTGCGGAATCAACCAATGAGCGCCGCCTATCGCCTTCTAAGCCAAGATAAAAAGCATCCCATACAATTTGTAATAACCACCACAACGTACTTGAAAGTTATGTATCAACTGTGCTTTTTAACAATTGCAAAAATTGTTTTTTTACTTATCAGTGGAAATGAAATCAATTAGTTACTGTTCGATTTTGCTGTATCTCCATCATTCGTACTACTGCTTTTGCTATCTTTTTTAAACTTTATACCAGATCATTGAGTAACTAATTTATTATAATTTAAACTAACTTGATCTTTTTTTTTATTAATTTTTATTAATTTTTATTAATTTGTACTTGCTTTTATTAAATTTTATTAATTTCATCTCAAACCGACTAGTTAATTAAACTATCAATCTAATTTCTTATCACATAGAAGAAAATGAAGAAAATAAATAAAAAATAAAAAAATTGAGTGTCTGCTATCCACTCTCAACTCGTTATATCTATATTAGCCGATCTTCAAACCATTCAATATCCCATTTCAAAGCTAACAAATTAATATCTCAATGAATTTAATAATCAGACAGTTTAAAAACCACTAAACCCAGCTAATTAAAAACTGGCTAAAACTATCGATCCACCAAATCACCACACCTTTCCAAACGTTTTCATCTAATTTTCCCACATCCGTAACATGAAAAAAATATCTTAAACCAAAGTCACTTTTAAATGAAATTACTGTAAATTTAAACCACTCTAGCCCTGCTTGGCTCCACTAACCAGCTTTCAAACATCTTTATCGACCCACGATAACGCTCTGCTGCTTCAGCTTCATCTGCTCTTGCTCTGCTCCTGCTCTGCTCTTCCTCCTCTTCCACCATCGCTTCCTCACTTCTCGTGCCCACCCCCACAAAACCGGCTCTCTGGGCCAAATTATTCCGCTGCCGTCTCCCGGCTCGGCTCTCAAGCTCGGCTAAATCCAAGCACTCCTATTGTGATCAACACATTACTATGAGTTTAACTCGGGTCTTAATGGTGGGTCTGAAAGTCCAGCACTCTACAATTTACACCTTTTCTGTTCACCATATCTCGATTCACTGGCTCTGCTTTCAACACTTCTTCTTCCCTGCTTTTGAGTACACTCTAACAATCCCTCTATCTGATTTTTTTTATAAATACGAGCATATCTTGCCTCCTTTTCTCTCTGATGTTTCTTCGTAGACAAGCACTGTGTAATTCAACCAGCCCACTTATCGTGCAAGTTATACAATGGCAAAGCTAACTGACTATTCTTTTGACCAGTTCTCGGGCTACACCTTATCGCCCTCTGAGAAGAAATCGTTTCTTGATTTCTACTCAATGTTTCCTTTACCAACTGACCAAATCGACTATGGTGAAGCAATCCCAAACTCACAAAGACAAAACTATTCAAAGATATATAGACCAAAATCTCTAGTCAACCTTGACATCTCAAATCCAAACGATCAACCAAACTTGCTAACATACTTGCATCCCTTCTTGGACACCTATTTCAAGTTTTTTGAAATTGCTAGCAATTTATGGCCTAACCATAACTGTCTAGGCGAAAGATTGTTCAACCAACAACTCAACTCTCACAACGATTACTACACTTTTCAAACCTTTGATCAAATCAAACAGAGAAGAAACAATCTAGGCTCTGGTATCCTAAAAATCGTTAGAAACAACAAAAACTATCAAAATTTCATCAAAAATGATCCCAATATCTACTCCCACTCGGATTTCAATTATGAGTTTATACTAACTCTTTACTCATCCAATAGAATAGAATGGGCTCTAACTGATCTAGCTTGTCAAGCTTACAGTTTACCCAATACCACTCTATATGATACACTTGGTTCTGAGACCTCGAATTATATCTTAAATTTAACTCGATCTCCCATTGTTTTTTGTTCTCGTCAGAATATTATAAAACTCTTAAATTTGAAAAAGACTTTTGAGTCAAAATTGACTAAATTTTTAATCATCGTTTCATTTGACGAGTTGGACTTCAAACAAAAAAAAGAAGATCAATCCTTGAAAGAATTGGCTGAATCGTTGAATTTGGAATTATACGATATAAATGAAGTCGAAACCGCCGGTAAATCATTCCCATTACCTTTAAACCCATCAGGGCCAAATGACTTGTACACCATATCGTTCACTTCTGGTACCACTGGTGTTCCCAAGGGTGTTGAATTAACTCAAAGGAACCTATGCGCTGGTCTTGCGTTGTGTTTCAAACAAATTGGTAAACCCGATCTTAAAGCTGATAATGCAATTGATATACTTACCAAAGATCAACAGAACAACTACACACAATACCAACCAAGAACTTTGGCATTTTTACCATTGGCTCATATTTATGAAAGACAATTCTTAGCATTTGAGTTAGTCTCCGGCGGAGCAATTGGATTCCCAAGTTCAGCTAATCCTGTGATTTCATTGATTGAGGATTTGAAATCTTTAAGACCTTATTCTTTCAACTCTGTTCCAAGGGTTTTCAATAAAATTGAAAGCTCAATTAAATTGTTAATCAAACACTCAAACGATCCTAAAAGCCAATCACTCAAAGAAGAAATACTAAAAAATGAACAACAAAAGGAAAAGGAAAAGGATAAAAAACAAAAAAGTAATAACCAACCTCATTGGTTGTTTGATAAGGAAACTGTTGACAAATTTCGTCAAGTATTTGGGTTTCATAATACTCGTTTTTTCGTCACTGGCTCAGCACCTATTGCTCCAGAAACTGTTAAGTTTTTAAGAGCAGCTTTGGGACTTGGTTTTAGACAAGGGTATGGACTAACTGAGTCTGTTGCTTGTATAACTATCGGTATACCATTTGAAAAGGATCCAAGTGCATGTGGAGTTGGTGGATTGACCATTGAGTATAGATTAAGAGACGTTAAGGAAATGAATTACATCTCAAACAATCCAGATGGAATCCCCAAGGGTGAGTTAATGATTAGAGGGCCACAAATATTTTTGGGATATTTCAAAAACGAAAAAGCTACTTCAGAATCATTTGATGAAGATGGGTTTTTCCACACTGGCGATATTTGTAAAGTCAATCCAAACAACAGAAATCGGTTATATATAATTGACAGAATTAAAAACTTTTTTAAATTATCTCAGGGAGAATATATTAGTCCCGAAAAAATTGAAACAGTTTACCTCACAGCTTCTCCAATGGTTCAACAAGCATTTGTTTATGGAAATTCATTGAAAAGTTATCTAATTGGAATCTTTGGTGTCGATGTTGAAAACTTGAAGAAAACCATTTTCCATAAACAGATTGATGTATTAAAATATGCCAATTTAGATAAATCAGGCAACGAGAAAATTATCGAAGAATTCATTGGGATGGTTAACAATAGTAACAACGATAAGCAATTTATTGAGTTAATTAACACTCATTCTTTTTTAAAAAAACCTATCATCTTATATCTAAACAATCAGGTTGAAAAATTGTCCCTGAGAATGAATCGTAAATTGTTGCAGAATTATGAAAAAATACAAAACCTTGAGTTTGCAATCAACCCGTTGACTATTGAGGACAACTTGATTACACCAACAATGAAGGTGAGAAGAGCCAATTGCAGTAAGCATTTTGACGAAGCACTCGACAAGTTGTATTTGGAAGGATCGCTAGTCAAGGACAGTAAGCAGCTATTAAAAGTTCTTGAGGAGGACGAAAGCTGATTTGAAATCCAGCACAGAAATAACTTTATAGATCTTTATATATATAAACCCTTTTCGGCATGAGGCTACAGATATCAAGATACTATCACGCAATTTTCAGCACGCAAAACTCAAACACGAAACTCAAAAGCAAATCACAGATACGAAATAAAAACGCAAATAATGTCCGGCATTAGGCGGCACTGCGGGCGGAAGATGGATTCAACAAAACTGGAATTGCTGTTTTCAGAAGCGTGTTGAAGGTTGTATCCATCACAGTGGTGCGAAACACACAGGTACGTGCAGAAACGGTGCTGGTGGTTTCTTTCTTTAAACCCTTCAGGATATATTGGAATATTGGGATGTGATGAGAAAGAGTTTTTGAAAGAAAAAGAACAACTGGATAAAAACAAGCAGTTGACGAGGATTGATATCTTGGAGGGATCAATTAATATAGTTGTTTCTATTGTTTTTTGCTCTTAGGTCTGATGCAGTAATTTGCTTGTTTTATTGCTGGACTCAATATATTTGGATCAATAGACGTGTGCTTTGTTGGCTGATATGTTTTGGTCTTTATATGTGCTCGAATATTTACAATTTGAAAGTGATACGAAAGAGAGTAGAGACAATGAAATTCAAGTTACTAAGGTATATTTGTTTTTTAAAGAAAACTCACCACTCTAAATAATAAATTTCATTAACCTAGAAACTGTGAATTGATGATTTCAAGCAACAGATTAACAAAAAAGTTGTTTTTTTTCAAAAAAAAAAGGCTAGAAATTAAAAAAAATAAAAAGTAATGTAAAGATGTTCAAGAAATCCAGGGAAAATTTAATTCACTTTTATGACCGATATTCAAATAAGTGGAAGAGTTTTAATTTGAGTTTACAAATAATCAAATTCGCCATTACTAATAGCTTTAGTTATTGAGGCAGAAACCATTTTCTTAAAACGACATTTAAGCATTTGTAATTGGTTGATTTGTCTATGTTCATCCATGATTCTCTATGGTGAAGGAATTAAGCAATCTCATTAGAATTTGTCTTATAAATCTGTATTATAAATTCTCCCATTAAAAATAACTGGTATCACAACTCAATTACACAAAATATTCCGCAATCAAAAGTGTTATTTGTACTCTATGGGGTGAAATGCTACTTGTCAGTTATTGTCAAATGTGGATTGTGGTTTTTAGCTGTCTTTAAAGAGAGGGAAATGATCCATTTAGTAAAAAACTGGAGAATTTTCCAATAACTGTGTATTTGGAAGATGGAGGTTTCCTGTTTTAACTAACGATTCAATTCTCACACTCTTTTGTCTATTGTTCACCTAGAAGCAGTATCTGGAATTTGCTGCAGCTTGTCGTAGTAGCACCTTTGCAGTAATACTCCAAGATATCCTACAATAGTCCCCCATCAAGTATGCCCATTCACATATAATCAGATATTCCACAACCTGAAAACTCTGCTGCGAACGTTGCTCTGAGTGGAAAACAGCTTCGAGTATAATTAGAATTATTCAGGTGATCGAGCTGTGACTATTCTTTTTGTCCCCGCTCCCAAGTGCTATATTAAGAAATTATCAGTAAAATTGATTTTTATTACTCTGTTTAACTTCTCTCAAACTCTCTGCAGCTGGAGGTTTCAGCTTTCTCTCTAGAATTTATTATTCAGCTGAGAGATTCAGTTCATTCGACACCACAAGTATGTTCTGCTATCCACCTCATAAACAAAGCCAACACCATCACAATGCCTTGATTGCTTCATGCTGAGTGATCTCAAGGCTGATCTTTTTCATTTTCAGAAAGCTAATTCTCTCGTTTCTGCTGTGGCTATTCGCTATGTTTTGAGCTTCAAAATACTTCTTTTCGCCTGTTTTTGACCTTTAAGAATTTAGCAATTACATCCCATAAAGAAAAGCTTGTGCTAAAAGACAATGCAAATGTTTGTAATTGCTTTTTGTTCATGATTGATATCCTTCATAGAGGAGTCAACTCAATTCAGCGCACTTTCATATCCATCGATTTTTACACCTACATCTCCTGGAAGCCCTGAGCTGATCAATCCGCTGTTTATGTTTTTCTTTAACCAAAAATAGACCAATTTGTCCTTTCTTTTAGTTATTTTTCTCCTGAATCGCTAAACTATTTTTGACCTCCTATGGCCTTAATTGGGTTTCAACAAAGTTCCTTCGTCAAACTATTTTTAATCTCTCCAACAATGCATATTTACTAATATAGAAAACTCAGCAAGCACATATGGCATACCTTTCCAATAGACAAAACCAACTGCCGTCACTATGTCGAAATACCTTAATTCCAACGAGACAATGATCGAAATGTGCTTTTGAGTTTCAGACATCTAATTGGTCCTGTGGGGGAATGTTAAAGAATAACGAAGAAAAAGAGTTTAGTTTTGTGTTTTTTCACTTCCACTGCCACTGAAGGTTGAAAACTTTTTAACAGGAAAATTATTTCAAGTTAGCCAAATTGAACAGTAATATATTCCCCTTTGCCTGATCTATTAAACAGATTATGATGAGCTCAAGATATAAATTCCTTGCAATTTCTCTTGCAATTTTAGACGACTAATTTGGAAACCAGAATCAATTTCTTCAACATATTTTATTGCTTTTAATATCGAAGACTGTAAAAAAAAAAGAAATTTCAAAACTACACAAATAAAGATAAAAAAAACCAAAAAGAAATTTAAACAATTAAAAAAAGCAAACAAAAATGAAAGTCAAAGCTCAATCTGCTTTAGCGCTCTCACTATCGTCTTTTATTGTCAATGCTTTTTCTCTTCAAGATGAAAAAACTGATAGCGAATGTGACTACGCTGCCTGTGAAAAGCTCCACCATCGCTATGAAACTGTTCCTCATCTTTTCTTTTGCAATACTTTCCATCCAGCTGAAATTCCCTACCATAACTTAGACAGTGATATCTCCTCCTGTATTTCATGCGGTTATTGCAAAGTTTGGTTCAAATATTCTCCTGCCTTCGTTCAAGCTTTGAATTGCAATGGGGAGGTGATTGACCATTACTGTACAAGTGAAGACAAAACTTTGAGCTTTACCAAGCGTGACAATGGTAACAATAACGGCAACGAAAATGGTAATTTCAACGAAGAAGGAGGAGTCAATGGAAACTCCAACGGAAACGTTAATGGAAATGCTAATCAAGAAGGTGGCGAAAACGGCAATGGAAATGGCAATGAAAACGGAAACAACAATGAAGATGGTGGTATTAATGGCAATTCCAATGGAAATGAAAATGGAAATGAAAATGGTGCCGGCGGTGA